TCTCAGTGGGAGTGTGCTCCTCCGAGGTAGGCGTCTCAGTGGGAGTGTGCTCCTCCGAGGTAGGCGTCTCAGTGGGAGTGTGCTCCTCCGAGGTAGGCGTCTCAGTGGGACTGTGCTCCTCCGTGTTGGTGCAGTCATACTCGGTGCAAGGCAAGGTCACAGTGGTGAAAGAGGTCTGTGTGCACTCTTCGCAGTCCTCCTCCTCGGTGGTGGTAGGCTGGGGCTCCGGGGTAGTAGTGTGCTGCTCCTCGGTGGTGGTGGTGTGAGGAGTGCTGGTCTCTGGCTCCTCGGTAGGGGTCTGCTCCTCGGTGGTGGTGCATGGAGTGCTGGTCTCGGGCTCCTCGGTAGGTGTCTGCTCCTCGGTGGTAGTGCATGGAGTGCTGGTCTCGGGCTCCTCGGTAGGTGTCTCCTCCTCGGTGGTGGTGCAAGGCTCGCTTGTTGAGCCATGCTCCTCCTCTGTGGTGGTGGTGGTTGTGCAGGGCTCCTCCGTGGGGGAAGGCTCGTGGGTGGCCGTGTAGGTGATGCAGGAGCAGACGGACGAGACCTTGTGGACATCGTGGTGGCAGTTGACGTACTGTGTGGGAATGGCCTCGGGGGCGGTAGTGGTGCCGGCGAGGAATTCGAAGCAGAAGTCGACGCCCATGTCTGCAATGTCTTCGCGGACCATGTTGCGGTAGCAGTTGTTCTGGCTGCAGTCTGGCCACTCGGTGGCGGAGGCCAGGCCAGCGGCCATGGCGACGAGAGCGAAGGACTTCATGGTGGATGAAACGACAGGCGCCAAAGGGGTCTGCAGAAACGAAACGAAACAGCGACAGATATTCAAAGGGGTTCAGGAGAATGTGATCCAAGAAAGACCGAACCCTTTATGAAGCGAGTGTTGGTGCGGTATCTGGGTACCCAAGCGAATGTATGAGGGACAAGAGAGAAGGAGATGCACACACAAGTCGGACAGCAATGAGCCTGGACCAACAAGAGGAGTAAGAGGCCGCAGGAATAGTCTACTGATGCAGGATGGCTCGTCTTTCTTATAATGGCACTGGTCGACCGTCGTGGTGCTTGCAGCCAAGCGCTGTCCAGCCTCGGGCTTCCCCATCGAGCATCGATCCCTCGTCCAAGGTGTGGCCGGGTCGTACGTGCGTATACGACATGTCAGGCATAATGATCAGGTGCGGGAATACGTAGCCCCCCCTTGCGCAGTAAAAACAATATTGCTCTGGTCGGTAGCGACGGTAGGTTCATCCTGTTCTGACAACAGGGCCGGCGGTTTCGACTGAGCGGTAGGTCGACCCCCTGATTGGCCACCGGGAGCCCCTGCGTTGCGTTGGCGCCGGCCGGGGCTCCAGTGGTGGAGCCGCCCCAGCGAGCCGCGCTGACTGGCCCCTGGCGCAATCTGTCAGTCCCCAGTCTTTGTTCCGCCTGTGCCCCTTTGTCGCTGGTGCTACGGATATGTACTCCGGAGAGTTTGTTTGACTGGAGCCATTGGTGCTGGTGTTTAGGCGCCATGGGACCAAGATCAGCGCCCTTCTCCATCCAGACCGGACGTCCCTCGCATGCAAGACAACAAAGCTTCCAGTGCCAGCCGCCCTGAGGTACGGGCGCTTCGCACGATGAGCATTGCAGCGGGAGGCCAGGGCCAATTGCTGGCTCTGTGCCGTTCAGTGCGAGCTTAATATGGCATCAGTGACAATGTCAGGCAGGCAGACAGACAGACAGATAGATCCAGCTTCGGCCGATGAAAGGCTCGTGCGCCAAGGGCAGTTGTGGCACCCACTCATTGGGGGTTGAGTCCTGGGACTGGGGCAATGGGCAGCTTTTCTTTTGCCACATGCATCTACTGCATGTAGCCGGTGTAATAATAAAGACAATAGCCATTGGATCGATCCGTGTCCGCTACCACTTATTACACTTTACGCACCATTTGCGCATCATGCAGAGCCGGGCTCGTGTTGCACTGACGGGTGGCAGGGTCACACAACTCCTCACAACCACCGCAGGGCCGCAATCTCTGTGCGCTCCTCGACTCGGCTGCGCACAGGCAGACCGGATGGTTGCTTCTCATATCCGTACCCATTGGCCTTTTTCTTGCAATTCGCAAGCCATCAAGGATGCATGCGACCCCCGACGCCGTGGAAACTCCCAGTCTCTTCAAGTCGTGTTGGGACGGACTCGCGCAGACTGCCCGCTATTGCACTACTATTCCGTACCTCGACCCGACATGAGATCCCCCAGTGCAGTGAGCCAGATCGATCGAGAGCTCATCCTCCACACCACAACCCTTTGCTTGCTGGCTGCAAGACTAGTACCTGCAACCCAATGCCTCACCACCTCGCTCCTCGCGTCCGCTTTCGTGAAGAGTGCGAGTTGGGAGGCCATGCACTGACCGAGGCAGGGATGGAGCCTCCACCTGACGATCCGGCCATTCTGCCGAGCCCGTCTAAAAACAGGTTCCTGAGTCCTTGCTTGACTCAAAATCGTCCACGTACAGAGGTCATTATTCTCCGTCGTGCCTTTCTTGTGGGGCACGAAAGGGGGCTATCCCACTGCACCTACGCAGGCGGCGCTGCGCTGCTGCCCTGTTTCTCTCCAGGTCAAGACATTTCGATACGAGACATATGGAGACAGCCGGTTGATTGACACGATCAACGATGCACGGTTGTGGGAAATGCAGGGCTAACTAACAATGCATGAAAAGAAACTATTAACCATTTGACATACGGACGGCACTGTGCTTTGGTAATTACAGCCAGGTAGCATGCATGAAGCAAAGTGCGGGCACTCGAGCCAATATTGACATGGGTCACCCACTGTTCACTCCCGGTGGTCGCAGCTGCGCATTCCAGCAGGCCAGAAACTACCGAGACAAAGACTGACAGATAAAGGGGCCGCATTCCAGTGACTTCTTGAGCTAAAGAGGACCTTGCTTGTGAGGCGATAAGGTTCTCGCCATGTGGCCCCAATGGCACGTGGCACCGCCCAGAATCCGCCCGTCTCGCCCGACCAGACTTTTTTTCCCTCTGGCGTGAAACATGTCCGCTTGTACCGATGAGGTCTAACGTTGACGTCTTCCGGGGTCCATCCGATCCTTTGCTTGCATCGATCGTCGTTGAGAGCGCCAGAGTGACTAGCACTGCAGAGTATTGATTGAGTGACGCAACAATTATCAGTTGTCTTCCGTTTTGCGGTGCTCCGTTATCGTGCAGTGGTGAATACGAGAGTCTTGGCCCATGGCTGCCGGATGGCTGTGCAGTAGTAATACCAGACGTGACGGACATTGGCCGGGGGGCGATTGGTGAGGCAGGCCTATTTCCATATGCATAATACGCGGGACCATGCTTATAATCCCCGGCCTGGGCTTCGTGCATAAAAGCTCCTGTGAATACTCAATGACCTACTTATGAGGTGGATGGCCGCGTCCATCGCTGACGGCACATTCTACGCGGATTGCTTCTCTTCTTCTAGCAGTCAGCCGTCGTGACAAAAGTTCTCGGGGATCGGCGGTTGGCCGCCAGCCGAACGAAAACAAATGTGACCGCGTAGCGGCGTGTCCAACTGCAAGCTGGGTCCCTGGTGCTTGTGGGGAATACTGCCCTCCATCAACGTCGCCGGATGTTTCACCCACTGGTGATTGACCTGACATGTTGAACACGGGGAGGCATATATTATACTCAGAAATTTTCGTCAACATACAGCGATATTGAGGGCGTTATTTATACAATCGGGGCCGTATTTCTGGTGTTGGAATATTGCTACAGTATTTGGATACAGTGGCGCAAATTCGCAATGCGAGATGGTCAGGGTCAGGGAGAGTGGCTCAGCCCCAAGAGATTCTTGGCACCCATTCCTTGGTATTTTCTTTCGGGGACAGTGCACGATCCTTCATCATGTTCTCGGGTCCAAATTAGCCACAGGGTAGGTCAGAGGTCGTTCCTTATGAAGAACGCCGGTGTGTCAAACTGTCAACAGTGGAAGTAGTCTTTCAGCAGCTGGCACGTGCTCGCATTTATGTGGCTTGTCTCGCTCATCGCCGCCCATTCTCGGTATGCGTCGATGGCTGAACCATATCGTCGTCAACGTCATGGTTCAATTAAGTAATGTGGCCTTATTCAGGCCGTTTCTTCGTGGTATCCGTAGTCCACTCTCTGGTCACATGCATTGACAAGGGAAGGCCGTTATAAGAGGTCTCTAGACTCCTTGTCTTTATGTGCCATTCCACAGCCATATTCGCCTCGTCGATGCATCGGACTAACTCATCATTAAGCATTTCTTGGAATCCGCGGATCAAGTCCCCGTCGGGCACTGGGTTGGATCCCAGCACTACGCAACTTCCTCGCAGTGCCGATAATTGTGCACCCTTGAAAGCCAGGCTGTTCTCCGCATCCATCACGATTTCCACAATCTTGCCGTTGCCCGTGGCAAGCCGTCGAGCCCCTGCGGCCACCAGTCTACGGATGGAACTATTGTCAGACACGTGAAGCAGTGCATCGTACAGAACAGTCACCCCTTTGTTGTTGACAGCGTTCAGCACGGCTTGCAACTGACCGGCCCTCGCCAGTTCTGCCAGCATCGGTCGCAGACCTTTCTTTGCCTTGATCTGATAGTGCAGTAATGTCTCTCCCGTGGAGTCGCAGACGCAAGCATCGGCTCCATACTGCAAGAGAAGCCGCAGTCCCGGCACACTGCCTCGTGTCAATATGGCTTTCATGAGGCAGGTTCGCATCTCGTCGTCTGAGTCCTGCGCATTGGGATTCGCGCCATAGCGGAGCAACAGCTCCAAGCATTTGACTCGATTCGCACGGATGCAGTGCAGGATCGGGACGTGGAGCTCACGCGGCAAATCGGCTTCAAAACGATACCCATTGGGATCAACGCCGGCTGCCAACAAAGCACTGACTTTGTCGTGCGTTGTGAGAAACTGAAGTCCGGCTTCAACATGATCATCATCAGTCGCACCGTCTTGGAGGGCATAAACAAGTGGAGACTTGCCAGCGAGTATCAAACCGTTGAGGTCCACACGCTGCGCGACATCCAAGAGGATCTCCAACAGGGCATTCCGTGTGATCGATGTCGTCTTGAAGAGAGCGAGCAGGAATTTCTCAGCAGCGTCCCGGAGACGCGGAACACTAATGTCTATTATGGTATTGCCCGTGAGTAAGTCGGTGGATGTGTGTATTGGCAGGCCTAGCATCCGGCCAGGCATCTGCCAATACCGCCCGATGCACACGAAGTTCTTCCAGCGAAAGTGCAGTAGCGAGTACAGCCGCATGGTCCGCGGAGTGTCTTGATGGGATGGAACTTGGAATGGGCTTATTGAAACGAGGGGAGGGTCCAGTGGCCGATGTCCTTGGAAGTGGCAAGTGACCAGTGGCCGGTGTCTTTGGTCGATCGCCCAGTCGAGACCGTCACTTTGGTCTTTTGCTGAGCTTGCGAGCACGCGGAGAGGATCGTTGCCCTCAAAGATGGACCACCATAGGGCGCTACACTTGTCGTCCAGGGCCATGTCGCGCGAGAGGGCTATATAGTTTGCTTTCGCATACGAGCGAAGACCCCAGAGGTCAGACTGCGCACTGCTGTACCCTAGAGCGCTGCCGACCACAACGGCCATGTTTAGGGTGTGGGTGAATGATCCATCCTCCTTACACTTGGGCCCGTACATGGACATGAGCCGCCGCCCGAGACCGCTGCTTTGCGCAACTGGCTGGGCTGTCACGTGGAACACTCCTCTCTGTGGCCCGTCGGCGGATTTCCTCCTCAGAGAAGCCAAGTCGGCCAATGCAGGCATGTTGAGGTATGTCAGGCACACCATGGCCACCCGCTCCTCAGCCTGCTCGTATTGAAAGTGCATCGCCGAGGCGAGCTCGTTGTGCGGCAGCCCGCACAGGTGCAAGGCAACAGTCGGATGGATGAGGCGGACCTGTCCGTCTTCCGGATCTGTCTCGAGCAGGTAGCGCCCAAACTGCCAGCAAAAGTCGGCGGGAATCTTGCTCGAATGCAAAGGCCTCCATTTAGTGTCGCCGGGAATGACGTTCGCCGCTATCCTGAGCTCCTTGAATGCCAACGGTGGTTCGGCGGCAGTCACCAGCTCGAGCACCGCGCGCGCCTTGCCACCCTCCGTCTCTGCGAGGTGCACCAAGGCCCTCGCGTAGATCTCAGAGAGCTCCTCGTGTAGTCTGGCTAGCGCGCTCGTGAGCTCGAGATGCGAGTGCTCCAGATCTTCGCGCAAGAGTCGCAATTGTAGGCTGAGCCACAGGAACATATCCTGCCACCCGGCAAGGAGCTGTTTTTGAATGAGATCCTTGGCGTCACCCAAATCCAGACCCCGGGACTCCCACATGGCAAGCTCACTTGCAATATACTCTTTCGCTTCCGCTGTGCGATCCGTGTCCTCGATCATGACAGTAACAAACGGGCTAAGCAGGGTATCACTGGCCGTACGAAGCTCTTTCCAATTTAGATGCGAGGAGCAAAGCAGGAGGACTCTTCGTGTGGCCGCGAGACGCTTGAGTTCTCGGAAAATGGTGTGCACCTCGCTGGATGCACAGTTGCCCAGACCGTCGAGGATGATGAAGAGCTTGCATTCCAGTGGGACGACGGCAATGAGCAAGTCTATGCAAGAGTCGTCGGACAGCTTCACCGTTTCGAGTCCACCAAACTTCTGCAGATGGGCATCCAACGCAGGCTCCACCACCTTGCTATGCAAGATCTGATATGCAATGTTTCCCAGGATGCTGGTGGCGGTGACGGCGGTCTTGACGCCCTTACGCCAGAAGTAATGTGCAATCGCGGAATCTCCAGTCGAGCTGGCCTTTTCAACGCGGAACAGATCCATCACAAGGGAGGCCAGTATAACAGACTTGCCAGATCCAAGTTTGCCTGTCACCCATAACGTACGTGAGGCTGAGGACTCTTGCCATTGTCTGTATTCGTCCCTCTGCAGCATCCACGTTGAGGTACCCTTTTCACAATAGTACCGTAGATCGAGCGTGTGCTTGATATCGCCTTTGCTAATCGTCTTTGTCACTTTGTGCTTCCACAGATCCCGACTGCCCTGTGTACTGACTAGGTCCATGCCCTTGAGTCGACCCATTATCTGCCCCAACCTGCTTTTGGTATCCTTGTGACCTTCTTGGCTGAGACTGATGGCCTGGGTGTTGGCGGCTTCGCTGATGGCGGACGCAATGGACTGCAGATCCTTCTCCAGAGGCCCAAACCTTGTATCGAACGTCGAGCCGAGCGCAGACATCAACTGTGAGGGCGCCGACTTGTGGGCGTACCGGATGACTTCGGTGCAGATGGCAATCAAGCCAGACAAGTATTGGAAAGCAAGTGCCTTGAGTCGTGGGTCTGCGGGGAACAGTACGTGGTAACTATCGTTGGCATGTGTGAAGCGCCCAATCCGCGACAGCATCTCGGAGAGTTTATCGTAGAAGAACATCAAGGTCAATGAAACCTAGTGCAGTCAGTAAATCTCTCTTGAAAGAGCACAGTAGTCACGCACTCACATCGATAGCAACACGAAGTGCCCCCCATGCACCGCTCACGGCCATGTTCTGCGCGCCCCCGACGAAGACATCGCCTACAGAGGCAAAATCCTTGATCCGTTCGAGACATTGTCCGCAGCGTCTCGCCCACTGGTACGAGTTGACCGGCTGTTTCTTGGCGATGCTGTGCGCAACTTCTTGAATCGCCGCGTGGATGTCGGCGGCGTCGAGCCACCCGTCGCGGTGCAAAGCTTGCTCAAAGTCGCGGTGCAAGTCCCCATTGTACTTTCGCAGCACGCTGCTGAAGCCCTCTAGAGCCTGCTGGTAGCCCTCGCGAGCTGCGTCGACCCCCAGTTGTACTCTGGCCGCGCTGCTGGACAAGGCGAGAATTCGAGGGGCGCCCACGCGGCTCACAGCAGAACTCGACGCCATGGTGGCATGCGAGGCGAGCGCCGATGGAAGTGGTTGGGCCGCCCATCATGGCCGATGGACAGTTGGCACGGAAGAGGGAGGGCGGGGAAATGCGCCTCAGCTCAGGTCGAGGCATTCTGCACTTTGAGGTGCATGTGGGTGGCGCAAGGCTCAAGCCGGGGGAGGGCACGGTAGAGGAGGGTCTTTCCTCGAGGCTGCTCAAACTTCACAGTATTGACTCATCGAGTGCGCGACCTGTGGAAACATGAAGCTTGGAGCAAATAACCGTAGCAATTGATCTCCCCGAAAAACTAACTATGCTCGATGTACAGAACCGACAGAAGAGCCTTTCATGACTTCTTTCCTGGCTTTTCCACAGGGTATTTCTCCAATGCCTCGTACCAAAGCAGCGCACTGCCGATGAAGAAGGCAGCAGACGCCCAAAGCAGGGTGAGCTCGCCCTGGTACTCGCACCAGCTCGCGGTGCAGTACCCCAACGATGCTGACAGCGTCCAGCCGACGGAGCCGATCATGTTCCAAAAGCCAATGTGCCATCCGAGGACGCGCGGCGCCGGGGTGTACCAGTTGGGCTGCGTCTCGAGCATGTAGAGGGCGGAGGAAAAGATGAAGAGAATTCCACCGACAAGGTACGTCAGCCAGTATATTCCCCTGGCCACGCCGAGACTCATGTTTTCGTAAATACCTGGCAGTGCGCAGATGCCTGAGACATAGAAGATGGTGGCACCAAGAGAGAGGGATGTCGAGGCGACGAAGCCAATCTCGCGAATGTAGTGCGTCTTGAGCTCGTACCAGGATGGCCACCACCTCCATCGCATTTCCGACGAAAAACCATTCGCGGAGCTTTTCTCCCCGCGGCGGCGTTGGTGATGGTGATGACAACCGACGGGATCTTGCTGGGCTAGCATCATACCACCGTGAGGGGTGCTGTGTCCATCCTGGTCCATTTCGTGGAGCGCCTGATGGAGAGCCCATCCAAAGCAACCAGTCTTGTCCTCATTGCAAGCCTCGAAGACGAGAAGGACAGCCCCTATCTGGAAAAGGGTGGCCCCAACAAAAGCCATTATGCCGCCCGCAATGGTCGATTCACCAGGGAACTCGTAGCGGGAATCGACCAGAGGGAGCCAGTAGAAGAGACCGCAGACAATGAAGAGGAGGCAACCAACGGTGAAGGAGACGGCGACGAGGTACGAGACATCCCAGTAGGGGCACTCGGTGGCCATGCGACGTAGGCCTCGGAGGACGGCTCGCAGCGTAGCCGTGTGAGCAGCGCCGCCCTTTTGCTCTTTGCGATCGATGAGGAGGGTATGTCGTCCTGCAGGGAGCGTGAAGATAAAATGTCAGCTTGCTTCTTCAGGTTAAGCGATGTGTTGGCGACTCTTGCGCAGCACAAACCTTTTCTGTTGTCTCGCGAGCGCCAGCGGATATGGGTTCCGGGGATGAAGATGTCGGCACCTGGGACAGCCTCTCCGGCTGTGGGCTTCCAGTCCTTCTGGGCGGACTTTTTGACGCGAAAACGAGCGTCGGTCGGATTGAAGAAGGAAAGGGGACCGTTGATAGTTCGGTCGTCAACCTGGAGGTTCGCGTCGCTTGAGAAGGGAGCCGGGCGACCAGGCGAGGCGAAGGCCTTATTCCGCGGCATACTGCAGCAGAAACGATTGCGACCGCAGATTTGACGGTATGGTAGAAGAATGAGACGGGCAAGTAAAAATGTCTGCTACTCGCGTTTGCCAGTTGTCTTCACGTGAAGCAGTGGCTCATGGCGGTCGGCTTGCCAGGGACTCTAGGCGATTCTCGCGCAATTCGTCGTTCCAGCATCGTCAGCGCCGTTGATTGCCAGGAAATACTGCTGTGGCCCCCGTCCCAGTCTTCGGTGTAAACAAGTGTTCTCGATCATGCATGTGACCATGGAAGGACGTCAAGAATCGAGGAAAAGGTTGAGGCCTCGGACACGTCATAATTGGAAATCGGCACGTTGCCGCGTTGCGGAGTCAGACTGGAGCATTGGAGACCCCGGACTCGAGGCCATCACCAAGAGTTATCGGATGACGTAGGTTTCACCAAATCTATCATTTTCGTAAAAGACGATGCTCAGCCCCCCAGCTCAGGGCGCCTGGCTCTCCGCCCACGCCGCGCGTTTGCGGTAAATGTCGTGTCGAAACGTCTGCTTCAGCTCAGCGATCGCCTGCCCATCCACCGGCAGCTTGGCCTGCATAGCGCCTACGCCGCACAAATCATTCTTGCGGTCGATGAACCATGCAAACGTAAGCCCACCACCCCAGCTCAGCGTGTGTTTGCCGTACCAACCCTCGACGTCCTCCAGCGTGAGCAGGCCACTGAGGCCGTGGCCTGCCTCGACATCGAGCGCGGTGCCGACTCGGGTGAAGGGGCCCAGCGGCGTGGAGGACACGGCTTCGAAGGACGTGGCGGCAGCTGGCGAGAGGTGGTTTTCAAACATGTCGTCGACCGTGGCTGGTTTGAGGAGTTTGCCGTCATTGGCGAGGATCGACTGCAGGAGCTTGAGATAACCGGGCGCCGTCATGAACAGCCCATGCCCCCCAAAATCTCCCTTGGACCACCTGTTCAAGTCACCGCTGCCACCGAGGACCGCTCGTCCTAGACAATGCGGATCGTCGGGGTTCAAGTCGACAAGGCGCTCGCGCAGCTTCTCATCTAGGACAGGGTAAAACTGTGCATCTGTGATGCCCAAGGGCGCAAACATGCGCTCGTGCATACGTTCACACAGCGTCTTGCCCGTGGCCCTCTCCACGATGCGGCCAGCCCAGTCAAGCCCGGGCCCGTACATCCACCCTTCGCCAGGCTGATATCGTAACGGGTACGAAAAGCTCTCCTCGACACGGAGTTTTGCGTCGTCCCCAGAAGCAGCGGGCCTCGAGACAAACTTGTCGTGCCAGCGAGCGAGATCAGCATCGGCAAACTGGTAGTTGAGCCCCGCACTGTGCGTCAGCAGCATCTCCAAAGTGATGGGGTTCCTCTGGGGTTCCATCACAGGCTCGTCATCGTCAGACCACCCGGTGAGGACCTGCTTGTTTGCAAGCTCGGGCGCCAAGGCAGACACATCGGCCCGGAGGGTGAGCAGCCCATCCTCGACGCACTGCAGCGCGGCGATGGCCGTCAAGAGCTTGGTCGCGGACGCGAGGTACAGCACGTCGTCCGATTGGTGTGGGCGCTTCTCGCCCGAGAGAAGCGTGCGTTCGCCAAACAGCTGCTCGTAAACGAAGCGGTCTTGAGCATCGGTGGCACTCAATAGGGCACCGTTTATTTTGCCTGCTTCGATCGCTGCCGGAATGCTAGTGTCAATGCCATCGGTGGCCATGGTGCAGGTGAAACGTGAGCGAAATCGTGACGACATGTCGAGTGAGCTGCCACGTTAATGATGGGTTGTATTCCACGAGAAGGTAAGCGTTGCAGCGATGGGGTTTTATTGTACGGGGTAGATACGGCTAACTCGCGGCATTTCTTTGGATTTTTGGACTCTGCCATTAGCGAGTCGGAGAGCCAGTATTGCGAGGCAATTGATAAATATATATGCAATGAAGCAGAAATGGATATCTAGCGTCGGGGTTTATTATTTACCATGGCCGGGACATGGCTCACAATTTCAGAACCTGGAATGTCAGCCGCAAGACGCATTCGAAACCGTTGCAAGACCAAAGTCACTCACCATGTCGTACCAGCCGCCCCCTCCAAAGTTGCATGGGCTGGGACCGAGATTCTTGAAGCCAACACTCTCATAGAATTGTAGAAGGTGGTCATGCGCGATGATGGCGACGCAGTCGGCCTTTTGGTCCAAGTTCCTCAGGTACTCGAGGTACTTGTTCAGCAGGGACCGACCGAGACCTTTCTTTTGGTGCTCTGCGACGATGACCAGACCATGGACGCCGATGCCACTTCCATTCGCGTCGTTGCCAATCACCAGGCCATCGTCAGCTTTGACGACTTTCCGCGAGCCGTCCCAGTTTTGAGGCATTTCCATAGAGCCATCGGTGACTCGATCTGAGGTGATTCTGGTGGCTATCACGTGTCCAACGAGCTCGTCATGGTCGTTTTCCTTGATGAAAAGCCCGAGACAGAGTTCAGACGATACAGCCAGGCGGTATTTGAACTTTAGAGAACGAGTGTGAGTGTGAGTGTTTCTCGGGTCACCATGGCTCACGCCTCGGCAATGTTGAACTGACCTTTTCCTCAGAGCATCGCTCTGGCTCTGGGAAGGTGGACTCGACGCGAACGCAAGCATCCACATCCCCGACCGTCAGAGGCCTGACAAAGGCCGTTTTGTCGCTGAGGCCAGGAAAATTGACAGTCTCCATCGTTGCGCTTCAGGCCTGTTGTTGAGCGAGCCAGCAAGATCGGTGCTTTGGAGGTATAGTGGCGCGCTTAGCTAATTGTGACACCGAGGACTAGAAATTTCAACACCTGCTCCAAGGCGTTGCTGTGCAGGTAAACTTACTGTGGAAGAACGATTGTCATATATTGAAAAAGTGTGAGAAAACAGAAGCATGTAACTATCTGTTGACGTTCGTGACGATGCCTACCCTATGTCTTCCCGATTCCCTCGGACGCAGCCCCTCTTTAGATCACGTGCCCACCTACTTGCGCTACACAGCCTCCCCTGAACAGGGTCTGCCGGCCAGCTGCTCTCTTCCAAAAGGTTGGAATTTGGAGCCACAAAAATTACTCCAGCTCCAAGATGCAACCGATTTATGGCGAAGGACATACCTGACTTCTGAAAACCCCACGCAATAGACAGTGTAAATATCCCCAACCCGGGAACATACGCTGTGTCGCGCTCGCGTGGCAAGCAGCCAGGCGAATCGCGTCTCAGCGCGAGAATGAGGGAAAAGAGGAAGACCGATGGGAAAGCTCACTCTTCGGACGAGTCTGAGGCCGAGGATGAGCTTGCCTCAGGTTAGTCCGCAAGATGCGTTGAGCCTTTTTCTATTGGCGTTCGTTTAGCTAACGAGCAGACGCCGTGGTTCTGCACAAACTGTTCGACCGCATGGTCGTGCTGTACCCCGACAACACTGTCATCAAATCAGGGGATCGCAACCTACTCGGAGAAGCAGAGGCGCTGAAGACGGCCGCGCGCTTGGGTGCCTGTGCCCACTGTACACGAGGCATACACAGCGCCAGACGGACGAGTGAACACATGCATGGAGTATGTCCCAGGGGAGTCCCTCGACAAGCAGTGGCCGAACATGTCTGCTGACGAGAGAATCGACATTGCGCACCAGCTACGGGCGATTCTCGAAAGAATGAGATCCGTGGACCCGCCTCGTCATCTCATCAGTGCCTGTGACGGGACCGAGATCCGAGACTCGCGTGTGTACTTTACGTATCATGCGTCCGCTTGTCGTGACGAGCATGCTTTTAATGAGTACTTGTTGTCGTCTCTAGAACCTTCCACGCCGCCACCGGTGCGGGAAGCGCTCTCTCGAGGATGACGGACGAACCATCGGATTGTTCTGTCCCACTGCGATCTCGCGCCACGGAACATCATCGTGCAAGAAGGGAAGATCGCCGGACTGGTGGACTGGGAAGACAGCGGATGGTACCCATAGTATTGGGAATACGTCAAGTTCTTTAAACGCCCTTCAACCCACGAGTGGAGACGGTACGCCGAGCATATATTTCCAGAATTCTACCACGACGAACTGATACAGTACTTTGCCATGTCGAGGTGGCAGAGCTCTTAGCCAGCATTTTCTTGAATATGACTGAGACAACTAGAGCTTCTCTTATCCATGCCATTTGCCATGTTCGGCTTGCCATTCGCAGTTGTCCTCGCGTATCCCGAGACGCTGTACTGGCCAAGTGATCAGTAACAGAATCTCAAATACATACGTGAGATTATTTTGATTCCCGATGGAGCTATTGCCGCAAAGTCGTTTGGGTTTTTGCTAGCGAGTCCAAATGACTACAAGAGATCGTCCACGACGTAGTCCCAAAGTGGCACTTCACTCATGTTTGTGATCTTGCGCCTGATCAATGCCGTCTAAGCCCTGGCCATGACGGCATGTGTGTGGGGTCTGGGTTTTGGGGAAGTGGGGATTGCTTCGGGTGATCGACACGATGAACGATTCAAGGTAACTCAAACTGCAATTGTGGAAGGCATATATATCCCCCCCTTCCAAGACGAAAGAAAAAATCCGACTGCACTATGAGAGCGGCCCTTTTGGATGAGCCAGAACAAGATACTTATGTTTCCATTGGAGCGCAATGTTCAGATATCTACCAGGCTCTGACCTCGTCATGTCTGTCCCTGCCAAGCTTTGGAAGTGTGGGGTATAGCTTGCTGCGATGGAGGAGGGGATGGACAACATTTCACCATGAACTATAGCATTTCTCTTGAGGTACAATAGCTAACCTCAGACCCCAAAATGCAACTGTGTGCGTAGGTAATTAACCCCGTCACATGGTAATCCCCGAATTTCGAGGGTAGAAATCCAGGAACCAGAGAACTATGACGGCATGGCTGGCCGTTCTCGAACATTGAAGCGCGGAGCATCTGGTCCGCCACCGCTGATTCGCCAATGGAACAAACCAAAACTACCTACCGAAAACGTCAGGTACCTGGCACGTCATCTATGCGTAGCTCGGCTACCATCGTCATCAGCTCACCTGGTCCAGAGTACAATTCTCATTTATTTCTTCTCCCTTTTCTTGAACTGCACTCCTACCTCCCACACTCACTCCCCACACCTCATCACACCAACATATCAACACCACCTCCGTCACCATGATCTCCTCCAGAGTCGCTTCTCGCACCGCCCGCCAGACGGCGATGCGCTCCACGCGCCTGCCCTACCGCCAGCCTGTTCGCTTCCAGTCGACCGCCTCCTCCTCCTCCTCCTCCTCCTCTGGTGGCCCCTCCTCCAGCGGACACCTCGCAGCTGGTCTGGCCGGCGGTGTCATTGGCGCTGGCGTCTTCTACTCCCTCTACACCTTCACCCCCGCCGGACGCACTGCTTCCACCATCAACAAGACCGCCAAGGAGGCGAACAAGAAGTACAACGAGGCTGCGCAGAAACTGCAGGAGAAGACCCCCAACGCCGACCAGGCCGTCGACTCGATCAAGCAGTTTGCATACTCCTACGTTGCCTGGATCCCTGGAGGTCGCGCCTACGTGGACACTGCCTTTAATGACTGGGAAAAGGTCCGCCAGAACCACAAGGAAGAGGCGGACAAGCTTGTTAGCGATGCGTACAAGCAGTTTCAGGATATTGCCAAGTCCGGGCTGAGCCTCGAGACGGCGTCCAAGGCCTATGAGGTTCTGGCTGGCCTCGCTAAGAAGGTCGCCGACCTCTCGGGTGATGCCTTTGCCGACATCCTCGACAACCACCCCCAGGTCAAGGAGAAGCTCGGCAGCAATGTCGACCAGCTTAAGCGCATGGGTGATGAGTATGGGCCCGAGGCTAAGAAGCAGGTGGACGAGACATGGAGGCAGCTCAAGGACATTGTCGCTGGTGGCGTCAGTGTCAGCAGCCTCGACAAGGCACGCCAGTTGATTGACGACAAGGTCAAGCAGGTGAAGAAACTGGGTGACGAGGCCTGGAACAAGGCCTACGAGCAGGCCAAGCCTACCCTGGACAAAAACCCCAAGGTCAAGGAGATTATCGAGAACAACGCCGATGCGCTGAAGCAGGGCAACGCCAAGGAGCTCTTCGAGAAGGCCAAGTCATCCATTGACTCGGGCAACGTCGACGACCTCAAGAAATACGTCGACAGTGCCGTCAGCAAGGCCAAGGACACAGCCTCGACGGGTTCTGGCGGTGGCGTCTGGGGCGAGGTGGGGAAGTACGTCAAGATGATTCCGCAGGCCGACGAGATCTTCCCCAAGCTCAAGCAGCTCAGCGAGGTGGCCGAGAACCACAAGGAGGAGGGCGAGAAACTGTTGCGTGAGACGGCTGAGGACCTCAAGAAGCTTCTCGAGGAGAAGTCGAAGAAGGGCGAGGAGATTGTCGAGAAGGCCAAGAAGGACGCCAAATGAGAAGCGCGTCCTGAAGATTAGACTACTGTACTCTACAAATTAGCATCGGCCGGCGTTGGTGGAATACAAACTGGTATTTTGTCAGAATGAAGAGTTCATCTGTCTAATGGTCCTCTCTTTTCAGCTTGGATGTGGCTTCCCTAGCAGTAGTGCGCATAATTTTGTTACGCTAGATCTTGTGGATGACATCTGTACAGACGCGAAATACAGCAACCCCTTTTCAACGCCCATGATTCTTAGTTCCCAAGGCTGATGTAGATATCACCCCCATTGTCCCAACCGTAGCACCCTCCCTCAGGGTTACCATTCAGCCAGCCCGTGCCAGAATCGGGGTTGACGTCCGGCGTGCATCTGAGCAGGTCATAGGAGCCCGACTCCCCACACTCGCTCAGACCATTCTTGCACTGAAACGAGCACCAATCCATATCAGCCAGACAACCTGCCACACGAACTGACTGTGGGTTGCCATTCATGTTGACAAGTCGACTGACATTGATCGTCGCCGACCCTGGCCAGCCATTGCCCGTAGTAGCCTCGCCCCAGGTGTTGAAGATCTGACCCCAGCGGGAGAGTGTCGTCTGGCGGTTGTTGAGCGTAGCGTAGGCGAGCGTGATGCCGCTGGCGACAGAGATGGTGACGGAGCTGCCAGAGCCGGGGAGGGAGTAGGAGATTTTGGGGCGGCGGACGTTCATAAAGGAGGACTGGTAGTCGCCGTTGGCAAAGTCCCACAAGATGAGGGTCATGGGCACGCCGCCCGTGTTGGTGAACCGGAACCTGTTGGGTCCGTCGTCGCCGATCCAGATGTAGCCGTTGTTCCAAAAGGGGTTGTCGCCCATGCCGGCCATGCCAATGTTGTTCATGTGCAGGCAGTCCTCGAAGGACAGGCCGGCCACAGGGGCGTTGCAATCGGCTGCTTGTAGGGAGAAAGTGCTGTTTCTACAGGCGGTCTTAGCAATGGACGGGGGGGTTGGTGGGTAGCAGCGATTTTCTGATCGTACCTGGAAGAAACGGAAACCGGTGTAGTGGCAACGAAGCCTGCCAAAGAGGCCAAAGATAGGAGACCAGAGAGCAACATTGTAATGAGTGAGGGGTGACGGAAAGTAAAGAGTGACAGTCAATGGAGTAGATCCAGCAGTTCAAAAAGTTGGTAAGAGGCTTGCCAGAGCGCATGGCTCTCCAGCAACTCTTACAGCATCAAGTCTCTCGTTCTTTATACATTCCCTTGGAGCACCTGGTTACTTCTGAACAGTCTGAGAATGATACACGAGCGAGTGCCCCTGTCTCGTGCATATTCCTATTGCATTCCACGCCAAGCTTCCTTTCAATACTTCGGCAAGGACCCTAGTTCTGAGGAAACGTTACCATGTTCCTTACGTGAAGCCTACATCCAAACTCTAAACCAGGCAAAATTCCTTTGGAATGCTTGGAAGGCTTGGGAAGTCCACGAGAAACGTTGTTGAGTGACTATGCGCGTGGACTGCAGGCAGAGACGGCGGTAATTTCCGGGTGGTAAGGGGTCGATCCTTCGACGCTGTCAGGTCCATACAGCAAGCACATATCTGGCACGCCCAGCCGAGGTATTCATGCACGATAAGAACTGACAACCTAAAAGGGCCGGAGCTCAGCAGCCTGTCGAGCGTGGGGGGTACCAATCAATAATATATCGAACCCTGCCAGGGGTCGAATCTGACAGAACAAAAAACTTGCTCAGGATCTACCGTATCCGGCCGCTACCGAGCACCAGCACCAGCTCCATGTAAGTGGTATGACTGGAGACCATATATGAATTCAAAGCCTTGAAATTCATATACACATCTGTGCAGAGAGCTTCGTTGATCGCTTCAAGTACTGGTTACAACCATCTTGTCAGCCTTGACGTTCAATCCGATATCAGGGCCGGATCACAACGCTCTTCCGCAGTCTAGATACAAGAAGCCGAAAGGTGTATTCCAACAGGAAGATTGCCAGGGGGGCTAATGGAGAGGGGGGCTAAGGCACACTTGAGGTGCTTAGTACGGCCGAATGCCAAGAGATTAGATTATTCTGGTTGCACGCCACTGTCGCATGGTTCCCAGGGCATTCCGTGGCCACTCAGGTTGATGGTCTTCTTTGGCTGATAATAGGGTACAATACTGTACTATAAAGACGTTCTCGGTTGCTCGCCGTAAGGTCATCTTGACTCCCTAGACCACGAGCCTCTCCTTTCTCCCTACGCCCCGACTTGACGGCCCATCTCCATTTCACTTGCCTCCAGTCTTCATCGCCATGTTCAATAGTTTCCTTCCTTCCGTCATGGTTGTGGCCATACTCACGCCCGGAGCCATATCCAACTTGATGATCAACAATTATTGCGGAGCCGGTGTCAGCATGGTCAAGTCCAAGTATGGAAGCTGTGACCACGGGCCCGATGGCCGTTGCATTAGAGACGGTGGAGTTCCATGGTATCTCCCCCGGGGGACTGGGCAGTCCATCCTCAGTCACGCCTGGGACGGCGAAGCGGTCAGTCTGAAGCTGTCCAAGGACGGTAGTCCGCCTGGTGTGCTCCAGTTCGAGTACTCGCAGACCTTTGGCGAGTGGGGGGGTATCTGGTGGGATCTGAGCGACCTCGACGGGAGCGGCCATGGCCTAGTCGGCACCCCGTTCCGGAACGACAATGTGGGCGTCACACCGACGGGCAGCGGCTCTGGCCAAGGGACATGCGTCAAAATTCGCTGCAGCGCTGGCAGCGTCTGCCTCGACAGCTATCAGCATCCGGACGATCCCAACACCAAATACTGTCCTCTCGATACGGGCGACATGTGGCTTGATCTGTGCATGCCGCCGGATCTGTTCTACCAGCAGAGAGTTTTGGTTCTGGATGAGAAGAACAAGAAGAACTTGACGGATACCAAGCCGCCGCCGAGCTTGGAGGATTGGGCTGGGCCGGGCGGGGATCATGCCCGTCGGGATGCTGGCTACAGGATGTATTTCGAGTCCTAGATGCTTCTTTGGGTTGAATCTGTAACATTTCCAGCTTCCAATGTGGGGATGTCCCCTCATGATCTTTAGAGATCTCAGTCCGATTTTTTCCTTGCATTGATGTCTCGTGTGTAGTAGGTCCTTAGAGGTCACGTAGTCCAAAGGGGTGTACTACTGAGCCACCAGCTTTGCACAATGACCAGCATGACGCTGAGAAGCAACCCCAAAAAGTAATCGATTGACTCGAGTAAATTCAATATCTGTTCAACGCGTCTCTTCATATTTGCTATCCATGGCATGAGTGCGCACCTCTTCAGTCTCGGGGAACTCGGGATATTCAGAGTATCTGGCGCCCCTAGTGACCATGATAGTGATTCACCGGCTTCTCAGAAGCGACCCACTGCATTCAATGCAGTGTGGAAGATCTTGGGTAGCCAACGCCACGCCAGAACAGGCACATGGGCCTGACCACTGAACTGACACAAAATCAAGATCTCCAACTTCCCTTGCGTTTTCTCTCTGTCACATACTCTTTCCAGACATATCGATCTACCAGAAGTCACTGACAGTTGAGCAGAAAGAGGTGCGTCACCGGCATTCCATTCACGAGTACTGCAAGAGACCTTAAACTCGCGACCCGTGTAGGTGTGTCGAAGGGTCCGAGTCCAGACTGCTAGTTTCTCGTCGTCTTTGCCAGTCTTGAACTCGTCATGACCTGTTCTGCTTCAGCTCGTCACGACTGTCAACTCCCAACTGTCACCAGGAAGTACAAAGGCTCCTTGCCATGAGCTGGCATGACATTTCGAGTCGAGCAGACCCCCTATGGGCTCTTCTCCTTCCGCTCTTCCTGTTCTCTGTTCTGGCGGTCGTCGGCGTCTTGACTACCCTGTTCCTAGCCAAAGTGGCTTTTTCGAGCGTAGACCTTGGTCTAGTCTCTGCAAGGATAATCTCTCCGAGACAGTTCTCTATCGTTGTCAATGGGTGCATGAGGCCTAGAGATAAGTACGCATCTCCATACATTCGGGGATTGGAGGCTACTTCCAGGCCGGATGAGACGAGTCGTGGTTTCGTCGATCAGGGGCCAGGGACCATAATGCCTGATTAATAAGGGCAGATAGTTGTCAAGGCGGTGGGTGGACTACCTTGGGATTACACACCATGACCGATTCGGATCCGCGACTCCGCGTACCTAGTCGTAGAGGCGCGAGAAGCCGCAGATTCAAACCAGCCTAGTCAAGTCGAGGATCCGCCGTCTTTTCACTTATCAGTCTATGACAGCAACCGGGGACCAATCAGCGGCCGTACAGCTGCCATGTACGTATCTGTGGAGATTGATGACGAAGTTGAATCGCGGGCGGCGCTCGAGAACTTTTCTGTCTCGAACATTTTTTGAGTTTGGACGCGGATGTGGGTATCATTGACATCAACCACTTTTTCCACGGCCCGTCCGTGAGCCCAGTCCGATCAATGCCTGAAGGCTCTGTCTGATGCAGGTGGATTACATTCTCTGTCGCGAGCCGGCAGTCTAGCGCCGTCTCTCCTCGTGGTGTTAGCGGACCGAACGCGAACAGACGCTGGCCTCCCTCCGTGACTCCGATGACGAGGCAGATGCAATGACGCCAGTGCTCGGTGGACGGCAGGCGGCCTGAGAGAGATATAAGTGTCAATGGCGACCCATTGTCCAATCTCCTGGTGTATTCCTCCATCACTCTACAGACCGCGTTGAACACTCTACCAACCAAAACACCCGAACACCACCATCACCCACCATGGCCGAAAACACCAACTACGAATTCAAGGGATGGGTCGGCGAGGACCCCTCGGCGGCCGAGGGCAACATGAAGTGGAAGACCTTTGAGCCCAAGCCCTGGGAGGAGACAGACGTGGATATCAAGATCACACACTCTGGCATCTGCGGCTCAGACCTTCACACCATCAGCTCCGGATGGGTACGCCCCCCCTCTCCCCTTTCCTACCTCCCTCTGTGCGACAGACATGATGGCTAACAAAGAGACAGGGCCCCGCTGACTACCCCTGCGTCGTCGGCCACGAGATTGTCGGCGTTGCCGTGCGCGTCGGCTCCCAGGCCGAGGGTGGCATCAAGGTGGGCGACGTCGTGGGCGTGGGCGCGCAGAACGACTCGTGCCTGGGCCGCGACGGACCCTGCGACGCCTGCGACAACAACTCCGAGCAGTACTGCAGTGGCAACGTCGGCACCTACAACTCCAAGCACCGCAACGGCGGCAAGTCCATGGGCGGCTACGCCCTCTACCACCGCTGCCCCTCGCACTTTGTCATCAAGATCCCTGACGGCCTCGCCCCCGAGGCCGCCGCCCCCATGCTCTGCGGCGGTGTGACCGTCTACTCCCCCCTCAAGCACTTTGGCTGCGGGCCCGGTAAGAAGGTTGGCGTCGTCGGTGTCGGTGGCCTCGGTCACTTTGCCGTCCTCTTCGCCAAGGCCCTCGGCGCGGACGAGGTCGTGGGCATCTCGCGCAAGGCCGACAAGAAGGACGACGCTCTCGCCCTTGGCTGCGACGACTACATTGCCACCTCCGAGGATGACGGTTGGGAGACCAAGAACAAGAGCCGCTTCGACCTCATCATCTCCACCGTCTCCTCCCCCAAGGTCCCCTTCACCGGGTACATTGGCATGCTCAAGATGGACGGCACCATGGTCCAGGTCGGTGCCCCCGAGGAGGCCTTGCCTCTGCACGCCTTCTCCCTCATCCCCGGGCGCAGGCGTCTTGCCGGCTCCATGATTGGCAGCCCCTCGGACATTCGCGCCATGTTCCAGCTCGCCGCCGACAAGAACGTCAAGCCCTGGATCGAGCAGCGGCCCATGAGCGAGGCCAACCAAGCTATCATTGACTTTTCCGCCGGCAAGCCGCGTTTCCGCTACGTCCTCGTCAATTAAGGGGCAGGGCAGATAGGGGGGGAATGTTGTACATACTTGGAAATGGAGGAGTGAATGAGAGATGAATGCAATAGAAAGAAAGAAATTGCACGACTTCGTTTTATACCTGCTGCCCGTATCTGCATCCGCTGCTCACGTTATCAAGTTGGTCAGCTTCATCTTCCTGCGCGACGCTTCCTCCGCCTCAATATCCTCAAACACCTTGTCCATCTTCCGCAAATCCTCGTCTCGCAGCGCCGCCTCATGACTGCATGCTGCGCCATCCTTGTTGGCCCTGCCCTTCGGTGCCTCGCCATGTCGTCCCTCTTTCCCCTCCGACGTCTGTCCCTCCTCCGCACAGTCGCGTTGCTGTTGGGCCAGCGCCATCTGGCGATTGCACCATGATTCCACACACTCCCGAAACACGGCAATCACACGCCATCCAGGCCGGTGGAGGAACCTTGGCCGCAGCAGCCCGTCGATCTGGTCGAGGACATAGTCCCTCTTGACGGGGTTCATGCGCTGCTCCTGGTGCAGCAGCTGCAGCGCCTCGGTGAAGCGCCAGCGCAGGTTGGTGCGCGTCATCGGGTCGTCCGGGTGCTCCCAGCTGAAGGAGCGGATGATGTTGTACACGTCCGACGACACCTTGTCCCGGTTGGACGGGGACCGATTGCGCGAGATCATCATGGCCGTCCACATCTGATGGGTGATTGGTGGCATGGGAGGAGAGACAGAGAGCCATGGCGCGTCCCGTCGCCGCTCTTTATACGGCTCTGGTGAGTTGTGACGGCGCCCTCCCCCCTCCTTGGGAGAAGGGCGGCAGACGGTGCCAGTCAATCACCTGTGCCACGTAGGGTCTGTGTAGCTACCGCATGCAGGTCGGGCCAGCAGACGGTGGAGGCTTGAAGGACGCGCCGACATCGCCCTGGCTCATGGACGAGCAAATCAACGTGAAAAGGTATGCCCGCTCGGTAAACTGGTTTCTATTATCGTTGTCTCCCCCCATCTGGTGCCGCCCTTGAGCGTTTTCCGCTCCCATCACGGCCCCTAGGCACCGTTCCTCCGCCGCCCGCCCCTCGTACTCTTCTCCACGTGCGCCTTGAGCACCTTGCGCGTCTCCACCAGACTTCGCTTCTGCTTGCTCTTGGCCTTGCCCAGCGTCATGAGGAAGTTCTTCTTGCGCGCCTTCTCCTTGTTGCTCGTGCTCTTACCCGCCGCCTCCTTCTTCGACTTGTTGATGGCCTGTGTCGACTTGTGCTCGTTGCGGTCTGGGCGGCCCTCCTTGGCCAGCGCCACACGCTCCTCCTTGGTCAGCTTGCGCAGCTTGGCCGGCGCCTCGATCTGCTCCGCCGTGAGGCCGTCGTCCTGGTGTCGGCTCGCGTTCGCGTCGTCCTTCTTGCGGTTGCGGCCCATGGCTCTGTCGACTGCAGCCGCCGCCCGGAGCTCCTGAAGCTTGGCGAGATCGGCGGGCGTGAGGATCGTCGTCGTGGCCAGCTTGGACAGCCGCTGCTCCTCCGCCTTGTCCTCTTCCTTCTGACCGCCGTTCTCTTGATCAACGCCATCCTCCTCGCCAGCCTTGCGCTTCTTGGGCGCAGGCGCCTCCTCCTCGTCATCGCTCACGTTGATCCAGCCACCCGAGTCGCTGCTATCGTCCGAGTCGACCTCCCACCCGTCATCTTCGCTGGCCACATCCTCCTCGTCACTGTCCGCGTCCTCGGGCAAGCCCTTCTCGACACGTTTGCGCTTCTTCTCCTCCTCCTTCCATTTTTCCAAGAGGTCAAGGCCTTCAATCTCGCCCGTGTCCTCATGACCGAATTTCCGGATCAGCAGTGACCCGTCCTTGAGTGCAATGGTGGCATCCTTGCCACGGTCCTTCTTCTTCAGCAACTCCGGATCCACCTCGCGGAACAGCGACAGCAGACCCTTGGCCGCCATCATCACGCCCTTGTCCTTGCTCTTGCGGTATTGTATCAGATCCTGGAGAAGTGTCTCGGTCATGGCCAGCGGTTGTCGCGCGCAGATCTCGCGGATCGAGTTGAGACCCGCCGCGGCCACCTCGTTCGCGGCCGCTTCTGACACGAACTCGTTGGCAATCTTCTGTATCAGTGGCTCGAGCGCGTCGGGCGGCACGAGGTTGTGCGTGCCCTGCGCTAGCGACGCCAGGAACGACGTGACGGACTGCTGCCTCGGCGTAAGGAACTTGATGAACCACGAATACAGCGTCACCACAGTGAGCTTGTGCAGACCGATCAGGCGGGTCACCAGCTGCAGGACCAGTAGTTTGGTGTCCAGGCTGAGCTTGTTCTTGGTGCTCTGCAGATGTCTCGAGAAGAGCTCCTCGGCAAAGCTCTGCGGGTCGTGCAGCAGATGGAGCGCGGAGAAGTTGAGGGGATGCGGCTTGTGCTTCTTCTGCTCCTGCTTGTGGAGCTTGTCCACGGCCTTGCTATACTGCTTCTTTTGCTTCCTGCTTTTCTTGTTGATTGTCATCTGATGCTTGATCTTGGATAGGTCAACGTCGTCGTCGCTCTCCTCGTCCTCGAGCTCTTCGCGCTCCTTGTCGCCACCGAGGAAGAAGCGCACGCCGCCGACGACGACCTTTTCGTTCTCGGACAAGCACGCCTCCTTCATCACGTCGACGGGCTTGGCGTCTGTCCAGATCTGGCGCTTCCATAGCTCACGCGTCAGCTTGATGGCCCAGATGGCGCGCGGTGACGCGCGGTCGGCGGTCACGAGGTTGTAGAGGACGGTCTGGATCGTGCGGTTGAGGGGGTGGTTGATGGAGCGCGCGTTGGAGTTGCGCATGTCGTTGAGGATCTTGGAGAAGAGCTGTGCGCGGAAGGTCTTGCTCGGGGAGGACACGAGGATGGGGAAGAGGCAGGTGAGGACGTTGGCCGTGTCAATGATCTCCTTGCGTCGCAGAATGATCAAACTCCCCACCAGCTTCTCTCGTAGCTCGGAGCCCAGGACGGCGTGGTGTAGCGATAGCATCGTCTTCAGATCATCGGGAAAGGTAGCCGTCGCCTCGGGGTAGCAGTCGGCAACGTGCGCAATCAGGTTGACCAAGTTCTCGAAATGCTCCGTCGCTTCGGCCGTCGCCGTGGTCGGCGCTACGAGGAAAATCTCACGCTGTGACTCGTACTGGTCCCATTGTCTTCGAAAGTCGTCCACGTACGACTTGGGATCGCGACGGATCTTGTTCTGCAGACTCGGGCTGCAAAAGTGTCAGTGGCGAGCTCACTCTGGAAGTGTTCGTCGTCGTGAGACTCACAAATCGGCATCGATCTTCTCGAGCGCCGCAACCTTGCGTTTCGGCATGCTGGGCAAGGGCTGGATTGAAAATGTACGACTTCTGGAGAGCCGTGAATGGGGATGTTGATGGCGGGGAGCGCAGTGGGAAGGAAGCACCAAGGTGGTGGAGGTTGGGATTTTTTTAGCGGGGCTGATAAGATACGGCAATCGATAGCGCTGTGGGATTCTTCGATTCACTCCTCGAATTCCGGTATTGTTGAAGCTTCCCCTGGATCATTGATCACTGGGAATCAATGGCAACAACGTCAATGATAGCCATCAAACAAACATAAAAAAGCTTTGGGAGCCAATTGCGCTCAGTGCTGCACTTGTGAGCTTGGTGACGAAACTTAGAACTACCACATGCTTCTCAACGCCTTCAGCAATCTACATAAGAGACAGGAAGTTTTGCGTCCATCACATTGCTTCTTTTACACCTACTCGGTCTGTAGTTGCGTAACACAACAATAAGCGGCACAGTATTCGAGTGAGACATGGGCCGGGAAAAACAAACCACCTTAGGTGCTTTGACTTGTTGCCAACCAAGCACTATGACAAACCCGAAGGGATTATCCATTCGCTTCCCCTTGATACTTTAACGATACCAGGACCCTGGACTCGGGTAGTCCACAGTGGACGAGGTCCGCCTTCCAAGCGCGTCAACCAATCAGAGAACCAAAAACCCGACCCTGCGAATGACGGCAACCCAACAGGAAGGATGCTGAACCCTCGTTTGTGCTCTCGTCAGCACCTTCAGCTCCAGTTCAACGCCTTGTGCATGATGCCCCCCAGGTCCTTCTCGACACCCGAGTTCTCACCCCACTCACCAGGATGGCTCGGGGACATTGTTACTCTCAGCACATGTACCTTGCAACTTGTGTCTGAACCGCTTTCAATCACCAGCATCTCAGGCTCCAGCTGTCCAAGTGAACATGAACATGGCAGAAGCAACTGGTCCATCGGCAATTAAGGCTGGAGTCGGACGCTCTGGTCCAAAAGTCAAGTCTGGATGTCGCACGTGCAAGTCAGTCCGCGCCAACGCAAAGGACCACAAACCGCGTCCACTGACCAGTACGACAGGATCCGCCGGGTGAAATGCGACGAAGGCCGCCCTGCGTGCCACAAGTGCGTCTCAACGGGCAGAAAGTGCGATGGCTACGGGATCTGGGGCGGTGGGAGCAACACACCCACCCACCTCACGGATGGTCGATTGGCCCTGAAGCGAAACCCGTTCCCCCTCTTCGTCGACGCCCCCGGCGAGGATGAGCACTGCTGCTTCGAGTGGTTCCGCTCGCGCACCGCCAAGAAAATCCCGGGGCCCTTTGAACCCGTCTTCTGGGAGACTGTTGTTCTGGGCGCCAGCTTTGAGGAACCTGCCGTGCTTCACGCGGTCCTGGCTCTTGGTTTGGCCCACAAGAAGGAAAGCCTCGAAGGGGACTCTCAGGATGTCGCAACGGACTCCCCCGACGAGGAAGAACAATTCATCTTGCGACACTATAGCGAGTCAATCCGTCAGCTTGCACCGCACTTTGTCAATCAGAGCAGATCGTCCATTCGCGTGGCGCTCATCGCATGCATGGTCTTTGTCTGTCTGGAATTCATCCGTGGCAGGTATCGTACGGGCAACGAGCATTTGAAGAATGGTATGAAACTTCTGGGGCAGCTCGCAGGGCAAAGTGTCGCCATTGACCTGAAGGCACCTCGCGACCCGGCCGACACATGGCTGCTGGAGACGTTTGCGAAACTCAACCTGCAGTCTAATCTGCTGGGCCAGGGCACCCGTTTTCTCCATCAAGTCCAGCAAGGTCTCGATATGTATCCTCTACCCGTGTTGTTCAAGACCATGGGGGATGCAAGGAAGCGTCTGGATTGGCTGCAACATGAGATTGGACAATTGGCTGGCGAGCGGGAACATTGCTCAGAGGCCAGTCCCCAGCCTCTTCAAGTCATGGCATGTAGACAGCAGCTTCTTCTGACCCAGCTTATAGCTTGGAAACACGTCTGCGATGTGTCCAGGTCGTCGTTGCTGGCCTCCATGGGACCAATCGGCCGCATCATGTACACTATCCTGCAGCTGTACTATCACATGGCATTCATCATGGCTAGCACATGTCTGGCTGACACTGAGAATGTTTTCGATCAGCACACAAACGATTTTCTGGAGATTGTCGACCAAGCAATTGCGTTGCATCAGTGCATCGCGTCAGACTGTCTAGGCGACTCCCCCTTTGCGCATAGACCAGATGTAGCGCCTTTCACCTCGGACAAGGGCTGGATACCGCCGTTGTACTTTACAGCAATCAAGTGTCGCGCTCACCGGATCAGGCTGCATGCTGTTCGCTTGCTCAGCACTATACCGAGCAAAGAGGGGATTTGGGATGCCCAATTGGCGGCCACGATAGGGGCTGAGGTTATGCGCCTTGAAGAACAGGTCTTGGATCCAACATTGAAGAACAAGGACAACTTTGCGCCTCATTCGGCGCCCTCTGCTGATGAAGCCAGAAGTTGCTTTGCCCCGTGCGAGTCGAGGTTGAGGCATGTGCAGGTCACGCTGCCCAACGGTCGCCACGACAAGACCTTCATCAGATGCATCCCAGGAACGCGCTATACGGCAAACGACGCTATCTTGCGAGAATACAATCCTATTCAGAAAGCATGGCAAGATGTTCCGGGGTCTGCCAATGTCCCCATCGGGTAGCTGGCGTCGCATTTGCTGGCACTCTATTGGTTCGGTCCGGCCCGAGGGTCCAGGGCATACTGCAAGCTACGAGGTGTAAGACGCTCTGGAATTTGAGATGTCCACTCGTTAGGCAAATGGGAGCTTCAGTTTTGCGAAGCACATCTCCATATAGGGACAGTGACATACTAGGCAGCGATATCCCGGACAACAACGGGCTCTCAGATGATGCCGCCGCCTCTCCCAAGGGCCTATAAGTAGAGGTTCAGCTCTGGACACACAAGCGTCCAGCTTTATCACACGAGACCACTCACTTGCAATTTCATCATGTCTACTGCATTCGACCCTTCCGTCGACATTCCCGCCCTCAATGGCAAGGTCATCCTAATCACAGGCGCCAACGCCGGCCTCGGCAAGCAGGCTGCAATAGACCTAACGAAGCACAGCCCAGCTCTCATCCTCATGACATCGCGCGACGAGTCCCGCGGCCAGGCTGCTCTGGAGCAAGTGAAAGCTACAGCCACAAAGGGTACGAGAGTAGCCTTGGTGCACCTCAATCTGGCAAGCTTTGCATCCATCAAGCAAGCCGCCCAAACTGTCATGTCGCAGACAGACAGGCTGGATGTTCTGAACTTGAATGCCGGCATTCTGGGAGCGCCTGCCGGCCTAACTGAAGAAGGCTATGAAATTACCATGGGCGTGAATCACGTCGGCCACGCCCTTCTTCTCAAGCTTCTTACACCCTTGCTTGAAGCGACCAGCACGTCCACCGGGACCCCCTCCCGAGTCCTGAGCATCAGCTCCGTAGGATGGAAATACCTCGAGCAGCCGGTCATCAATTTCGACGCACTCCATACTCCCGACGCCGGCCTCGCGAGTATGCAGCGCTATATGCAGAGCAAGCTGGCCAACGTTCTATACGCCCGCGAATTTGCCAAGCGCCATCCCACCCTCAAGATTGTGTCCTTGCATCCTGGAGAGGCGGACACCGAACTGTACTCGCGTGAGCCTGGCGACGACTTTGTTGTGTACCTGCAGAAAGAAGTTGCGCCGAAGCACGTGGTGCCACTGAGTGAGGGAGTCAAGCACGAGCTGTGGGCCATGACTGTGGTGGACGAGAAGCTTGACAATGGGGCTTACTACGAACCTATTGGCGTAAAGGGACTCCTGGAGAAGGCGGCGGCTGACAATGAGCTCGCTGCCAAGCTCTGGGACTGGACGGACAAGGAGATAGACGGGCATGGTCTGTAATCATTGTCAGTCGTCTTTGCTGGGATTTGTCACAGATTCATGCCGTTTTGCGAGGTTTGACGGCAGGACAGTGATGCTGAACTTTGCCATACAATTGGCTTATTGGTTCAGACAATTGATTCCTAGTTCTGAATAATGCACTTGGACTTTGTCATGTTCTTTGTCACGTTGTTTTCATCATAGCAGATCGTAGCAACAAAAGGTCTAAGAGCCGCGCCTCAAAGCCAAAGGATGGCTCAGAACTCTGAAGGCCACCAGTTCACGAACAACGATTGACAGAGAATGACAGATCCATGGGCTAATCTCTTGACCATGAATCGTTCTCGATTTAAACTACTACATTGCGAAGGTAATAATCTCACACGGAGCTATTGACATCGCCAAGCCATTCCACTGTAGACCGGCTTATTACCATGTACAAACGATCAACGTCAGAGGAGCCATAATACCTCTCCGAGCCGCCGTCCGTTGCATCCAGAAGCTGGCGCTGGCAATGTAAATGCGGCATCAGCTACGGCTTTGGCGTCACCCTCTACTGCCTGCAGTGCGGGAGACCCTACCGCGGGCGGCCTACCAGGAAGATACGAGCTTCCGCAACGCAGTTTGACTATGCCGCATGGGCAAGGCGCAACAAGTGGCGACGGCTCCAAGCTATTCAAGCCATGGAACCAGGCGTGGTACATCCGGAGATGGAGATCTACAGCATCAGCGCCCGCATCGGTGGCAGGACATCGAGTCCTCCGCCCCTACGACGCGTCGCGGAGGCTCATGAGCGGGCTCGACTGCACAATCTTGCTAGAGGCTCGCATCACTGTGAGAAGGACTGCGATTACCCCAGTCAATGTACTGTGCTAGCTGCGGAACACGCTCAGGAAGCAGGAAAACGCGTGCGCGGCACGACTGGCGCCACACATCCAACTTGTGGCAGCAGCAACTAGTCGAGAGGATGCCGGATCACGAAAATGCGTCTCCCTTCAACTGTCTTGCTCGTTAGACAAAACATAACGTACAGAACAGAACGCAAGCCACAACCATTCTCATTACTATACTTTGCATCATACTTGAACTTGAATATGGATTACCACGTGACCGGACCCGAGTGTCGGTCGACACGAATCCAGGTGTCCCCGCGGTGGATGACGCCCGCGCAAGCCTCCCTGCAGTCACTCGTTGCTCGCAACTCCCATCTGGGAAGAGATTACCTCGTCTTCACAGCTGTCCCACACAAGTAACAGAACCAAAATGCGCGCCCCTTTCAACCCTTACAATAATCAAAGCAAATCGAGAAAAGCAAAAGTGCCTCGATTATTCCTCGGTGAGCTTCGCCTTCTTCTTCTGCTCGACCTTGAGTAGTAGCGCACGGTTGATGTGCGGCAGGACACCACCGTGGGCGATGGTGGCGCGAATGAGGGTATCGAGTTCTTCATCGCCGCGGATAGCGAGCTGGAGGTGGCGAGGCGTGATACGCTTGACCTTGAGATCCTTGGCGGCATTCTAGGAGCACACGTGTTAGCGCTTGGAGGAAAGAGAGGTGGGCCGTGTGCGCCCTCCGGAATGACTTACGCCGGCCAACTCGAGCACCTCAGCTGTCAAGTACTCCAGAACGGCGGTAACGTAGACAGCAGCCTTGGCGCCAACGCGCATTTTGCTCTGGGTGTTCTGCTTGAGGAAACGCTTGACACGACCACAGGGGAACTAGACATCCATATTAGCGGGACTGGTACAGTCTGACGCGTGAGATACGGCCAGAGATGGTCGCCTTCGCCCCGACACTTGGGGTGGGATGGGAAGCGAGTTGGCGCGTCATTGAGCATCGTGTGCCAGAGTGTGAACGCCGCGCTGTCCACTTGATGGACCCCACCCCGCGCACGCCAAAGGACAACCGTCGCCGCCGAGGCCTGCGTTGGGTGACTCAGAGCGAGGAGAGCGAGGACGTAAGACTCGCACCTTTCTTGTCGCTATCCTCCACGTCGACATTGTCGAAGCGGGCGGGACGCAAGGCCTATGGTCGGAGACGTGGTCCAGGCAGCAAATAGGTCGATCTGACTCACCTGCAAACCAGCGCGCTGGGAATGGCTCATCTGCTTCTTGGAACCCTCGGCACCGGTCTTGCCACCAGAGCTCTTGCCGCCCGAGGACTTGCCCTTACCGCCAGGCATGTTGATGAATTCGTCGAGGATCGGGTGGGGAAAAATTCGGGTTGATCGACTCGTGACGTGATCTACGGCGCGACGCAGATGATAAACGCGATAAATCTGTTGGAGCGCGAGGAGTCGGTTGTTTTCGAGTTCGCCTCGTGCAGATACTATGTGGTGATGTTGGTGGCGGGTTGGCTGTTTTGTTTGCGATGCAGTGGAATGGGAGAAAAGCCTTCCAAAGTTGCGCTGGGCAGGCTGGGCGTGCTGCACCTCCCGCAGCAGGGCCCTCAGGCAGTTGCAGCAACCCGGAACGGTCGCCTGATTTGTTGTTGTTTGCTAGGATCGCGCTAGTTCCGCATTCGTTTTAGCGTATTCTGTCGTTGAAGCTGCGCGCTAGACGTGGTTAGGTAAGCTCCAGTCCCCTCGTTGTGTGACGAAGGCAGGTATCAGAAGGTCCAGAGTGACGAAGGGCAACATGGCAGTGCACCAGTCCATCTCTCTCAGGTTTCTGAAAGATTCTGATGGACTGTACTGAGATAGACTCAATCAGTGAATGCAATCTACCAAGCTCAAGACTTCTTGCGCCTGGACCATACTGACCTGACTATTGCCACCTCAACCGGGCGGACGCACCAGCCTGTCCAAGGGATGCTGTGCAACAAACTTGAGAGAGAAAGGTAATGAGCCATGTTTGGTAGCATGCCTCTGCTGCAATGCCATGTCTTGAGAACTTCATTCAGACTGTGGCATGGTTGGCTTGCTGCGACCATATCATCGTGTTCGTCTGAGTTTGAGGTCTCTCTGCAACGCAATTTACCTTCACGTCACGTGCGCCTCAGCCACTCACTGCCCATTGTCAAGCCACAGATGCAGACATCATCAATTCGAGCGTTGGTTATGCATGCCGTGCCCGGCCACCTTCAACAACAGCTCCTGTGAAGGACAGACAAGATGGCTTCGCTAATCACGCGAATACATTGTCGCATCCTGCATCACGGCTCTTTACTCTTCCTCTTCCGCTTCCTTTGTTGTCACTCACGCACGTTCGCTCATTGTGAGCCCACTTCCGCAATGGTTGGCTAGAACAGCGCGTTCGCTCCTCGAGCAGTCGGCGACAAGATCCGCACAATGTCGTCGACGAAACAATGGGAGGCCATCACAACTTCATGATCTACACGTATAGCCCGTTTCCCTTTGCGCAAGATTCCTTGTCCGAGCTCGCTATTTTGAGCAACAAAAACCTGGTCGCTTCAGCTTAGACCCGGCGAGCAAGTCCGCCCTTGTCCGCAGTGTTGGTCTTTGTTGAGATGGTTGTCCCAGAGAGATGGACGTCTGCCGTCCATGTTCTATAGATCACGCGGCTGCTGGCCCCATTGCGCGCTCTTGGATTTCAATACTGTCCTCGCATTACCCGTGTCTACTTCAACTGGACCGACTGTATCATTCCGTGATCTCTCACTATACATTGCATTTAAGATGGCAACCACAAACACAGCCACTCGGCGACAAACATCAGCTCTCCGTGGACGCGTGTATGGGAATGGACTTGGCCATTTTCATAATCTTCAGGAGAATCTTGCAGATGGTCCTGCGCAGCTGCCACAGTTCCTTCCTCGCACTAAATGGCCCCAAGATCACGACGCCGGAGGCGAGCATCGTCATGAGAAACGCTTCCACAAGCGTCGAGTCCATTGGTGGCCCCGTGCTAATCACCCGATTAACGATGAAGGAGCCGCCATTCGTGACAAGGTGCGACGCGCGTATCCCCAACTAGAGCCCATGCCTCCCTTTCAAAATGAGAGGACCCGAGACCCCACAGATCCTCGAAACGACAACTTGCACAAATATGAGGATTCCGTGTGGTTAGATCACGCCGCCATTCTGCATGGCATCCTCATGTACACTATTGGCGATCGACGGCGTCCTTATTACCTGGACAGCTCGGAGATTCATCAGCTCCTCACCACCATTTCCTACGGCATGCATCAGAGCATGGCTTGGCTTGAGGCCTGGTCAATCTGTGGTCCTCCTTCCTCCCGCATGATCAAGCATGATTCCCGGGCCAGCCATCATTTCGCAAAGCAATGGGTGCCCGCGTTCGGCATGGAGATGTTCGAGGGCGCGTTCTGCTTCGGCTCCACGGAACCTGGCTGGGAGCATCAGATGCGTACCCGCATCCACGGAAACCGCTACATTGTGGTTCCCATCTGTCAGTTTGAGATGCACTGGATGATGACCATCTTCGACCGCGAGGCTGGACACTTGTACATCTTTGATGCTGTCGAGGCAGATCGAGAGACTCGTGTCGAGGCTGCTGTGCATAGATGGGCTCAGTTCTGGGATCGTCTGGGGTTTCCCTACCACTTTCAGTACTTTGCGCCCGCCGTCAGCCTTCAGGCTGGCTCCTGGGAGTGCGGTTTGATTGGCATTCATTGGGTAACCAACACCTTGCGGCACCGCGTAGGTGGAACGGAGTACCGCGCTGACGATGACAATATCGTCGTCAAGGACTTTAATCTTCGTGACCACGACCATGCCAATTATCCCCTGGAGACGGCCTCTATCCCGGTCCATGACTGGGTCCCTAACAGTGTGGCTGTGTTCGACGCCCTGCCATTTGGCACGGGATTGTCTCTTGCCAAGTCAGTGGAGTGGATTTGTCTTTATTACAAGATTGTCTGTGCAAATGAGCTCGGTATTCGGGAGGCCAGGAGCTTATTGGAGCCGCATGCTACTTTTGGCCCAGCCCAGCGAAGTGTTCCTGCCAATCCCTTCGAACGATCCGACTCTCTCGTTCCGGCAATGCCCAAGCCTGGTCATAAGAGATACAAGCTCCGTGCAAAGCTGAGCGAGTTGATGACCGGCTTCGGTGGTAAAACCTTTGGTCATCCTAAGACTGCCGTTGCGCTCGCCACGGCCAACGCCAAATATTGGGAAACATGCAACAGGAGCAATGCCTTCCCGCTGGACGCAGGTACAGCCACGGCGTACACCGTGTGCGGCGTGAACGAACAAGGAGCCCTAGAGATTCGACATATACTTGACGTCGAAGTCGACGGAGAGAGTTCGCAAATCTCGACGCCCGCTTTGACCGCGGCATTCTCCAACTGGGTAGCCCAGGTGGCACACGACAACCCTTCCCCTGTAGACGCTCAAGTCCATTCGGGACAAGGGAATAGATTCCCTCCCGCGAGAACGTGCAAGCGCACGCGTGACAGCGGTGATACCGGTGGAGTTGGTAGTTCAAGTGAACACCGGCCAGCCAAACGGCTTCGCCGAGCACCTGTCAAGGCCTGAGTGTCGTTGGCCATAGTTCAACGAGTAAATGCTCAAGAAGTCTTGGGCGGTTGAGCAGAGGTAGGTTCGTGGTGCCTTGGGCCAACTGGCATCGGTGAGACACCACCAAGGTGAGAAAGTTGCGACCAAGGATGGGCAATGTGTTTCGTCATCGTACTACGTTGTATTAATCTACGTTACAGATCTCATAATAATTCTCCGTTTCATTCCTTGGCCTGTTTTCACAAAAGTGCTGTATCGCCCTTGTTGGGTGGAATTCCACGCCCTCTTCGCTTTGCCGACCATATCATGTCCCATCACAGCCGACCAGGTGTGATAGCACCGCCCACTGCTCTCCTCGAGCCACTGGCCACCACTTTCTCTGCAAGAAACCAGTTGACCGTCCTATCAAGGCCTTCCTCGAGCTCAATTTTCGGGGCCCAGCCCAGCACTCTCTTCGCTAATCCAATATCAGGTTGTCGCTGCGTCGGGTCATCTTCTCGCTGCGGCAGAAACGTCACGTCGACGCAGTCTGCGTGTCCCATCTTTTCCGCGACCACTCGGGCGACCATGTCCGCAATCAGGCCGATCGGCATCTCGACGTCGCTCCCAATGTTGACCGGTAAGTCGTGGTCGCTATTCATAAGTCGATGCAAGCCCTCGACACAATCCAAGGCATACTGAAAACACCTCGTGGAATTCCCGTCACCATACACAACGATCGAATGGCCCTCCATAGCAGAAGAAATGAAGTTGGGCACGGCCCTCCCGTCATGGAGCTGCATATGCGGCCCATAGGCGTTGAATATCCGCGCAACACGAACTTGGAGTCCGTGCTTGTGATGGTAAGCGTAAGCTAGGGACTCCGCGATGCGTTTCCCTTCGTCGTAGCATGATCTTGGCCCGAAGCAGTTCACGTTGCCTCGATACTGCTCAGACTGAGGGCTTGTCAACGGATCTCCGTATGTTTCTACACATGACTTAGTAGGATGACCTTGTCGCGACGTCTTTACTTCTTGGTGCCTACCTGATGTGCTTGCGATGAGCACGCGAGCGCCACACTTGACACCTAGGTCGAAGATGTTCTTGGTGCCTTGAAAGCAGGTCTCCAATATCTCCACAGGACTCTCTTCGAAACGATCCGGGCTTGCTGGGCAGGCTAGATGGTAGATCTGCTCGACGTGCCCGACGTCTGGCAGTCGTTCTCTGATGTCGCAACTTTTCCAGTGTTAGTCCTGGAACTCGTTCTATTCATGGGCATCGTTGGCATCAAGCGACTTACTGCACGAATGTGAAGCCCAGATGCTGCTCGAAGTGACGGACATTTTTCGCCGAACCCGTCCACAGGTTATCGAATACGACGACTTCCTTGCCCTCTTCCAGCAGCAGCTTGACGAGGTGGTGTCCGAGAAATCCTGCCCCCTATGTGCACACTTTTGTCAACTCTGGCGGATGGTTCGTGTCTGGTGGTGGTACTAACCCCAGTCACGAGAACAGTCATTGTACTTGAGTATGTCGTCAAAAGCGATGCCAGATATTTACACATCGTTCTAACTTTCGAAAATGCGTCTCCCACGGCGTTTTTATATAGCGTCAGGTCCGTCTGAGCCCCTCAACGGGTCTGCATTCCATATCCCAACAGACATCCCCTAGTGCCGTCATCAGCTCTGGATTAGATTCAGATTCGGCGGCATTTACGGTTGAAGCTGGGCCTGTCTTGGCAGCGATCTCCGCGCCTTGCTTTGCTAGCTCTGAGCTGAGTTAATGATGCCCAGTCCACACAGCTGCTGTGATCTGCGCCAAGACTGCGAATGCGCCGCGTCTGACATATTAATCGCCTGGTATATAGGCACGGCATACGCAGATAGGCGTATTGTCTCGAATTTTTTTTCTAGCTCTTCGATCTGGCGCTACATTATTTCGAAATGATAAGGCATCGCACCTGTAAAGTGCGACTGCAGGTGATCGAAAGGCCAATGTTTTGCAAACACTGTGGAGGACATGAAAGCTTCGTAGCGCAAGAGGACGCTCCGTGCGCCCTACGTCATTGTCTCACGCGGGCCTTGGATAGAAGTCTTTGACGGTCTTGGATTACGTGTGGGCAGCAGGTGGCTCAGACATCATTACAAGAAAGTACGTTGGGCCCCTGACCGCAGATTGGAATATGCAGCTTGCTTCTTCTGACTTTGACCGCTTTCAAGCATCGACTCGGGACTTGCCGATGCTTTTTGAAGGTACTATAATTTAATTGCTTCTCAAAGCTACTGAGCCGATCGAGCACACCAGAACCATGAGACGAGACTGATCAACCTTGCTGGAGATGAGTCCAGGGTAGGCAGTAACTAGATCTGCAAAGCATGAGATGGCATAGAACTACCTGGTACTGTGCTCTTGACGTTAGCAACAGCTCAAAACCACATTTCGGTTAAATCAAATTAGCATGACTAAAAATTCCCGTCTTCGTGTAGGCTAAGGCTCTCAGAGGCGAGTGTTTGAATGCCAGTCTTGGTTTTTCGACTTGTGAGTCTGTGACCGCCAGACAGCGAAATTCCCATCCCTGCACGGCTACCGTGACATTCGACACCCCGAGACATGCGCCACGTGGTGCGAGTGGCTTTAGTCTGATGACTGGACTAAGTTCCATGTCCAGCTGAGACTAATTCAAGTTGATCCTTTTTAAAACAAGTGGTCTGGTGGCCAATCCAGTCGGCATCGCGGGCAGACAATCGTCGGTGCGCACGAACAACGGTCGATCAGGGGGTTTGCCATGACGCATTGCCCCGGCGACGATCTCATGGTTTGCGACTACCGTGGTGCTAGCTGATTACAGCAGACTAACCCCTCCGCGGCCGGGCCGTCGCCGGCCGCGTCTGGCGTTGGGACGATTGGGGACACCAATTGACTAGCGGGAGAAACCGCCGCAGCAAACATTGAGATGGTGATACCCAAGACATCGTGGTCAGGAGCACTATCTATCAGAAATCATTGTTAGATCTTGCCAGTGATGGCCGCTTTTGAAACGATTGACTGCTACGTTGCCCACCCTTACATAATGTGGCGCGCACGATCCAGTCTGCTGCACTGAGCTGGAGCAAGTCAGGCACTATTTCGCCACACATGTTTGCTTGCCAGGAAGAAGGACGTGACTGCGAGAGTGACAAACCCATTTTATATTTTGGGCAGTGCATACACAATTATGGCTCGTGTACTGTAGAACCCTGTGATGTTGAGTCTCTTTCCGTAGCACGCCAGGTATCGTGAAACGCATAAACATAGTGTTACCACGAGAGCTTCTCATTGTTTCAGCTCGACAAGCCATCAAGACGCCCGTGCTGAAGTGATGGGTGTAGAAAGTTTTATTACAAAACATTACGCGCAGCAAACCTTGGCAAGATTTCAAGCACGTTAGATAGAGCCACGGCTGGCGAAGTCGAGACTTTCCCATTCTACATTCCATATCATTGCTGGTGGTTGCTTTGTGCGCCACATTCATGAACAGGGCATCGATAAGTGTACTCCGTACAATCACCGGTGAAACTTGTAATGTCCAAAAACCCCTTTACGACGTGCTCATAGAAAGCCACAGAGTGATTATAATTATTGGTACCCATGTTTGCCCGCCGTAGGTAATATGCTACGTAATGTGACGAAGAGGCCCCTGAAGATGGAGTCTCCACCGGGTACTCGGCGGTGGCCTCGGCACTGTGCAGAGCACTGTACCAGACAGGTGCATCCCCACTTCTCCTGCCCCTCGGCACCGAAAGTTCAACGTGATGAGTGCAGTCTCCCCCTGGCGAGCAGCTGCCTCCTGGACCCGAGCCTTCAACGACAAGAGCTAGTTCAGAAGCTCAGTGGGATCGATTGCGCAGATACTGCATGAGTCTACTTGTGAGTCGAACCGGGATCTGATGCGTCGACATGCAACCGCATATGCAGGCTTGATCTCGCCGGATGATGTGCGGTTTCGCATGTTTGATGGACCGTGCATCCAAGGGCACTTGCACACTGTCCTCCGTCATCCCGTTCATCAGCAATAAGTTGAGATCCACGGACGAGACCTCCTTACTTTACCGCACAGCTCAACAGGTGAGTAACATGCGCTCGTAATAAGGGTCGTGGTCCGCGCGCGTCTGATGAGGTCCAACCATTTATTGTCAGCTGATTGAACCGACGGCTGGACGGTTTGCAGCGGACCAGTGCAGACGTCTGGCGACGGGACAGTGGAAAGGCGCTTTGACCAGGCACTTTCAGTTGAACCCCTAATTCCATTCGTGACTGGACTTGGGTACTTGGGTGGCACCTTATTTTGCATCAGGGCCTGACTGGCACCTAACTAGAGTCCCGCCCGGTGCGTGTCTCCCCTGTAGGCGGAACCCCCGCCGGGGTCATTGGCAGGCGGATGCCACTGAAATCTGCGCCCAACTGAAAGCGCCCCCACCGTAATTAGTGCAGTGTGAGCTGCTCCCCTTTCCTTCCTGGACCCTGGAAGCCAATCACAGGGCCCCTCTCCTCTCCTGCTCCCCTCCAGAGTCCAGCCCAGCTCAAGCTTCGAGCGTTCTGAATTATCCCAGGCCTGGCTGGCTGGCTGGCAGTGAAGGAAGGCCCCAGCGCCTCAATTTTCCCAACGCCAGGCCTCTCCCGTCCAGTCCATCCCTTTCCTCATCGCTCGCCTGCCAGTCCCCTTCTCTTTTCTCTTCATCACGAACCGCTCCCCCATCCTCCTCCCTCCCGCCTATTCTCTCCTCAACCGACTCTCACGACACACGAGTCGGGTCCGACCTTTGCAGACGGACAGACCACGCAAAGGATTCCACGTGACGACGAACACCAGGGCTCTCCCCTCTCCCGCCCGTCCATCCACACCTACCTACCTAGATCCTGATACCCTTCTCGCTCCTCAAAAGGCTCGACCTGATTTGCTAGACTAGCCACCGCACCGCCACAGACATCGGCATCTCCAACAACCGCAAGCCGTACGCCAAACAACCTGCCAACCGACCATTCACACACCAGCAGCAGCAACCTGGCTGTCGACGTGACCTGCCTCACCCACGCCACTGTTGCCGTTGCCGCCCTCTTGCGACTGCGTCGTGACTTGATCGCGAGAGCCTGGACTGCGTCTGGCGTCTTGCAACGACTTTCAAGCTCTGCCTTTTGGCTCACGATTCCCACCACTCGACCATCGTACCGGCCGCGCGAGATTGTGGAGTATACAGCTATATCGATTTAGTTTGACGCCGCGGTCTACACTTCGAATTCGAAGAAAAAGTTGGAACACGGCTATATTGCTCTGGTCGTCACAGCACGATTTTGGATTGTCGCTTGACTACTTACTACTACTACTTACTTGTTGCTGGGACGTCTCTGCCGCATCGTACACCGCTCCAGCTGTGGAAACACTGCCACTGTCCATGTGGTGGACCGGCCCGAGCGACTCCATTTACCATTTTTGATCCGCCCGCGCGATATTCCTACGTACCCTCAAAGCCACCTTTTCCTCCAGCCATCTCGACCAACCGCACAGAAATCTTGTCCTACAGCGATGGCACAACCACCCCAGGATATCGGCTACCTCGACTACGGTACGCCCGCAAACCGTTCCCCCGGCACGCGCCATAACTTTGGCCCCTTTGGTGGCCATTCGCTCTCTCGTCAGGCGCAGCGACCTTTTGATGCGCCCCTGGGATCATCTGCCTTGTACGGCGCGCCCGACAGGAATGGCTCCTTCCACCGCGGTGGCATGGAAACGATGTCCGGCAACATCCCAAGCTATCTCCTTGATAGCCACAGCCCGCAACCAGGATGGAACTACAACGGTGCCGGCGTCGCGACAGTCAACGGTGCTGTGAATGGACCCAGCAGGCAGCGCAGCGTCAATCGGCGGGCCGCCCTGCCCCAGGTGTGTTTTCTCCTGCTCAAGCCCATTTTTCCCTTGCCCTTGCTGACCCAAATTGTAGACCTGGACAGATCCAAACATGGGACCATCTGGCAACATGCAAGGCTTTCCCACTGGCCTTCCTAACAGCCCCATGATGAATAACGGCCTCAGAATCGACCATCTCGGCTCGCACGCTTCGCAAAGTGACCTCCGATCCTCCCCATCTGACCCCGAGTCACTCATTCCGACGGCCATCGTCATCAAGAACATTCCCTTCGCCGTGCGAAAGGAGACCCTGGCGTCGATTATGCTCGAAATGCAACTGCCGCAGCCATATGCCTTCAACTACCACTTCGATAATGGTGTTTTCCGCGGTCTTGCATTCGCAAACTTTCAGTCGGCCGAGGACACGCGGGCGGTGATTGAGGCCCTGAATGGCATGGATGTGCATGGCCGGAAACTACGCGTGGAATACAAGAAGATGCTGCCCGAAGCAGAGCGTGAGCGCATCGAGCGCGAGAAGAGGGAAAGACGTGGTCAACTCGAGGAGCAACACCGCGCCCCCATGCTGCACCAACAGAGCTCGATCCAGTCGCTAGGCGCACTGTCACAGAGCCAAGGGCGAGCAGGGTCGCACATTGGCAGGCCTTCCTCTCGTCGTGACATAAGCGGACCCAACCAGGTGGGAGATGTGGACCTCAACGACCCCCAAACCCTCGACTTCTACACCGAGCTGGCCATGTTCAAGCGGGATGAGACACGCGAGGTGCTCGTCTTCCCCACTGGCATGGCCCCCGAACACCGCCGCTCGATCCACATCCTCGCACACCACATGGGTCTCGAGCATCAGTCCATGGGCGAAGCAGACTCGCGTCAGCTTACGGTGCTGAAGCGTCAGCCTTCGCCCACCATCAATGCTCCCATGGCAGCCAACCCTCTCGACATCCACAAACGTGGTCTCAGCCGCGCGGCCACTTTCGACTTCGCCGCCGACCGCGAGCACCGCGGGGCCAGCAACAATTACTCGCACATGATGGGCCGCCAGAACCCGACGTTGGAGATCCCTGACAGCCCAGACGCCACGGCCATTCCCAACAACCTGCGTGCAGCCAAGAGTTTCGCTGATCTCAGATCGTTCACGCCAAGCCCTTCGCAGGCTTCCTCCAGCTACCTAGCTCCTGGAGCCAGTCTCGGAGGCGGCTCAGCCCGCTTCGGTGACTACATGAGCGCTGGTGGTCACCCTGGCCATGCAGGAACTCCCACCGGTCGAGAAAATGGCAATTCGTTGATAGGCGGTCTCAACAGCCTCAACCTTGGAGGCTTTGACGGAAACAGTCTTCAAGCCCAAGCACGGAACACCGCCGGTGCCATTGGCAGCCAGCGCCCTGGCGCAAGCGGAAGCAACAACACGAAGAACGCTCCCGACAGGCAGCCACGCAACCCCGAGTGGGAGAACTCGACAGGGTTTGGCGCTCGTCGAGCCAACGGGCACATGGCTCGCGGTAGCGGTATGTGTCATCTTGACTCGCTTCCTTGCAGCTTGACTAACTTCTTTCCAGATTCGTCCGACAGCGGTGCCCGCATCGGTGCTACTTCAACCGGCTCGTCGAGGTACCACTAAGCACTACGTTGCACCCGTCTTGATTTCCTTTTTTTTGTGCGATTTGACGCATTCCTGCATCTGTACAATTGTTTATGGCGACCGCACGCAAGGCTCACGGACCGCTCACCAGCGGAGAGGCGCCACGCTCTGTTTGCGGTCAGGCCCTGTTTTGACGACGATGACGACGCTACATGGATGAGATGAAGGGTCTGAGGAGAGCGCGGAACGTGTTCTCGTCGGCCTGGGGTAGAGAGACATCTGCCCGAATACCCCTTATTTGGAGAAGAAGTATGGGACAAAGCAATTTTTTTGAAACGCCATATCCTTTGACGATGAACGACGCTTTCACGACCTTACGTCTAGACAACAGCGACACCGGCTATACTACTTGCATCCCACACACCTGTGGCGGCCAGGGGGGAGGCAACAACACACCGCGTCTGACCAGGACGACGACGACAGATTGCCGTCTTGCCACCTTTGGTAATAGCGGCAACGCGGATGGCTATGGATTAGGGCAGCGGCCCGACAGCGGATGGATCGCATCGATATCCTTTTTCTGACATTTTGCTGCGGGGAGGAGGGAGCTAGAAGCGAGGATCATATGGGGTGGCGCCAGCAGTGCTGCTGAGAAGACGGCGTGCGCTCGAAACCAGAAGAGGAGGAAGAAGATGAAGCGGGAAGAAGAAAACGAACCGAAAAGTGTTGCAATGTTTGGGCTGCATCATTTCTGCCATCAGTCACCGTGGAGAGACTGGCTAGAGTCTCTCATGGGGCTGATGTAGATTTCCCAGTGGGAAACCTGGGTGGCGTTGGTTGGGAGGTCAGCATATGCTTGGTTGGACTGCTTTTATTTCCTTTGCTATTTTACCTGGGGCGAGGAAGGAAAGGCCGTGGCGAGAGCTGCATAGTGCGAGAGTAGATCGGTTGTGTTTGGACTATGACTAGCTTGAATATGCACAGTAATTGAGGTTGAGCTTGGGTTGGAAGTTGAAGTGCGTCCTGTCACGAATAGATCATGTTTCTTGGCTTACCATTGCTTCGGACATTCATCAAGTACGTATGTCTTCCCCCACCCTTCATCAATAGTGATACTGACCAGGCAGCTCATGTCTCTCCGAGGCCCGCACACTACCTTGCATCTCATGCGGACGGTTCATGTTCTCCACCATCATCTCGTGCTGACCAGGCACCGCCACCGCCGGATACACCGTCTGGGCAGGAAAGGGATGGATCTGCTGCCCAGCAAGCTCTCTCCGGATCCCCTCACCCCCGAGCTCCAGCTTGTCCTGCTGCGTCTCGACAACCTTGTACACCGACTCAGTCTTCTTGCCTGTCCCACCTGCCGCGGGCACGGCGGGCACGACGCTGACTTGCGAGTAGGAGGGCGGTTGTTGTTGTTGTTGCTGCTGTTGTTGCTGCTCCTCCTCCTCGGAAGACACCTGCTTGCGCCGCCGCGGACGCATGCAAAGCCAGATGCCCACACCGACGAGGGCGAGCACGAGTGGCACGCCAACACCGAGACCGGCCCCGAGAGCAGTGTTGTTGACGCCGCCGCCGCCATCCTCTTCTTTGCTGGCGTCGGGCTCGGCTGTGTTGTCGACCCACAAGATGGACGTGCGGCTGACGATGACTACAAGACACAAAAGAGGATGAGCCAAAAGTACTATTTCCATCTTTCTCGCTAATCCCCCCTACGAAATTTGCAGAGCAACCGCCAGGGGCAAGGCGAGCAGCAGGGACAACTCACCCCTGGAGATGGACGCGCCGTCGTCCTCCGGTTCGCGCGTCTGCGTGGCCACCGTCGTGTCCGTGGACGTCTCCACGACCTGTCCTTCCTCGCCCTCGCTCCCCTCCGCCGTCTCCTCAGCCGCAGTCGTCTTGGTGGCCTCCTCCTTCTCCTCCTCCTCCTCCGTCGCCGTGGTGGTCGCCTCCGTGGCCTCGGGACCCGTGGCCGCCGTGTACCACCCCTCGATAAAGTCCTGCGTGTACCCCTTGCCGCGGCAGTAGCTAGCGTAGTAGCTGCGCATGCTGCTGACGTCCTTTGTCAAGTCGCCCGCCGAGCAGCTCGTGCTCGCGCAGTTGTTAATGTGCTCGCTGACGAGGGTGAGGGAGTCGTCCTCTGTGGCACAGTAGCAGTCCTCTTCGTAGGGGTCGCCGCACTGGAGGGCGGCGCCAATGTCCTTTCTTGCGCCATAAGGTTGCTGCACGCAGTACTGGACGCAGCGGTGGGCGGCGTAGGGGATGTCTCTGCTGAGGGTGACGGTCTGGCCGAGGGCGGCGGGCAGCAGGGCCAGGAGAAGAGGTACGTAGACGGCGATGGAGGGCATCTTGTCTTGTATACGCGGGTGGTCACTCGCGGTCAATTTGTTTTGGAGTGTGATCCGTGAAGTAGCCTGTGATCACAGCAGCCAGCAGCTGCACGAGCTACATATATAGGATTGTCGAACAGCAACGCATGTCCAGCGCGGAGGAGGGAAGAAAGAGACCGATTCCGCTCTCCGTGTCTGCAGCAATCCTCTCATTTCCGCAACAAGGCCATTATCCCACGTCTCTACACTTGAAAGGGACTTAAGCGCCGCGATGCCTGCCAGCTGAAATGCACCTAGACCGCCCTCGCGCCAAGAGATTGACTGCCGTTGGACGGGCGGGTTCAGCCGCACGTATAGCGCGTGTCGCATCGACCAGGATTGCCGCGATCTTCTTTGATTGTCTACATTTGAACTACCGTAGGCGGCTACGTAGATACCTTGATAACAGCCTTGCCAAAGTGCTGTCCATCCCGGACAAAGGCAAAGGCGTCCTTGGCCTCGTCAAACGTAAATGTCTTGCTCACAATGGGCTTGATGCCCTTTTTCGCGTAAAAGCCCAGCATCTCCTCGAACCGCTCCCTGGGCCCGTTGAGCATGCCCTTGAGGGTGACGTTCCTTCGGAGCGCGAGGACGTTGATGTTGAGCCGGTTGACCTCGTCGCCGCTGTCCTCCTTGCCGGACAGGTAGCCGATGCAGGAGATGAGGCCGCCAAAGGCGACGCAGTCAAACGACTTGCGCAACGTCTTGGCGCCGCCCGTCTCGAAGATAATGTCCGCGCCCGCGCCATCGGTGGCCTTCATCACGGCCTCCTGCCACTCCCAGTGCGTGCGGTAGTTGACCGTCGTGCCCGCGCCCAGGTCTTTGGTGGCGCGCGCGAGCTTCTCGTCGGACGAGGAGGTGACAATGGTGTTGAGCCCCGCCGCGCGCGCAATCTGCAGACCGGCGACCGACACGCCACCTGTGCCCTGGACGAGGAGCGTCGGCTTCTTGGTGTCCGAGGAGGACGAATCGGCGGACACATCGAGGTACTGCCCGAGGGGGTTAAAGGTGTTGATCGACATCCACGCCGTCACCGCCGCAATGGGCAGCGTGCTGGCCTCCTCGTCGCTGAGGTAGTCGGGGCACTTGACCAGGCCCTCGCCGTCGAACACGCGGTACTCGGCCAGGACGCCGCTCAAGGGGAAGCCCAGGCCGGAGGCCATATCGGACTCCTTGACCTGGCCCTTGATGTGCGTCTGGTTGAAGATGGAGAGGACGCGGTCTCCTTCCTGGAACCGGGACGACTTGGACGAGACAATGACGCCTGCCATGTCGGAGCAGGGCACCAGGGAGGAGGACTGCGTCAGAGACTGGTGGTGGCCGTAGTCGCCCGAGACGACTGCAATGACATTAGAATGATGCTCTTTGCAGAACAAGATACAGACTCACCCTCAATGTCGCGGTAGTTGAGGCTCACAGCGCGGACCTTGACGAGCACCTCGCCCTGCTCGAGGTCGCCCGGCATGGGGGCCTCGCCCATCTTCAGCTTGTCCACGCCATCGAGTTCCGTCGTCCACTGCTTGTAGGTAGGCGCCATGGTGAAGAATCTCTTCAAGCTTTGCATGTACTGGGTTCGGAGTCGTCGCAAGTTGCTGGGAGGGGCCTTTTATGATGGATGGATGAGATATGTAAAGAGTGACGTCTATGATAGATCCACTCCGGTGGGTTCGACTAGCAAATGTTCGTTCTCCACGTTGAATGGCACTACACTGCAAATGCCGAGGGACGAAAACGCGCAATTAAGTTTGCAGTCAAAGGCGTAGTGTGGTGAGTGTGGGTGTGAGGTGTCGAGAGGCGTGACCATCGGCGAGGAAATCCCGACGAGGCAAGTTTTGGCCCGGAAGCTTTCAAGGTGCCACGCTGCAAGAAACCTTATCGTCTCGACAGCTGCCGTCGCATCACAATGCAAGCAGCAAGCTCATGTCGTCGCCATCGGCACATGTCCCCTTTTCCCGAAATGAAAAATGTCCGCAGACCATTCATATGCCACTCTTTTTCCCAAGTCTGAAGGTTGCGCCATGGTCAAGCTCAACCCCCCTCGTCATTAATAATACTCCACACCCAACTCTTTCTAGTCCATCCTCCCCTTCCCATTCTCCATCCCCTTGCCGCCGGGCACAGCCCTTGCGCGCTCCTCCTCGGCACCGGCCACGCCCATCCTCCTGGCAATCGGCCCAAAGACCCAGTTCTGCACCACGGCCAGCTCCCCAATCATCCACTCGAGGCGCCACCCGACGAGCGGCACGCATGCGCCCACCATGGCGTCCATGAGAAAGTGGTTCGCCGTGGTGACAATGGTCAGCAGCATCATGGCCGGCCAGACGGGCGCCAGCACCCGCACCAGCGTGTGCGGCGCGAACCGGTACAGCGAGACGGCGAAGAAGAGCGCCGTGCCAAAGTGCAGGCTCGGCATGGCCGCAATCGTCAGCTGGAACCGGTTGTTCTGCCACGGGTTGTCGTTTGGGTTGACCTTGGGGTGCAGAATGTCCACAAAGCCATACTCCTCCGGCAGCAGACGCGGCGGGCTGCACCGCCAGAGGGTGACAATGACGAATGCGACCGCATTGTCCATGGCAATCGTCCGTCGGATGCGCTGGTAGGTCGGGAACGGTAGGTAGGTGTACGTGTACACGAGGAACGCGATGCCGACGCAGATGTGCGAGTGGTAGATGTTGCCGAGCACGGACATCCAGTCGGGGTAGTTGCTGAGGAAGAAGCGCTGCACGCTGAGCTCGACGTCGATGCCCAGCAGCTGCTCGATCGAGAGGACGGCGAGGGCGTGCTGCTTCGCCCGCTCGAACACGGACGCATTTTCGGCAATGAGTCGCGCGGACACAGCTCGTAGCCCTTGGTACACCCTGCTCTCCTGTCAGCATCTGTCTGTTGGCTGCAAGCTTGCTGGTTGGCCTAGCAAGGTCTCCTCGGCTGGGGCCATGAACAAAACCCACCAGTATGTCAAGTTCCAGTACCAGATCTCTGGCAAAAAGGGGTATTTCCTCCAGAACCTGCGCAGCAGTTCCCACACAATGTTTCGCTGTTGACCGACGTCCACCGCGCTCAGCGACGGGGACGAGGAGAGACTGCTCGATTGCGTGGACGGCTCGCCATTTTCGTGTACCAGCGGTCGGTTCTCCACGTCGATCGGGGAGCGGCTGTCACGACGTCGGTTGATGAGGCACCCCGCGGTGAAAAGACAGACAATGACTGTGCGTGTTAGCCTTTTGGCTTTTCGAGCCCAGCGTCCCGACCGGGGCATGTAAGTCCATACCTATAGGCTCAAGGATCGTCTTGCTCAGGATGGACATGATGAGCGTAGAAAGGAGCGAATTGACCTCAGCAACAACACGGTCGCGTGAGTACGTAGTATTACAGTACTTGGTATGAAGACGAAGGGAATCAAGTCGAAAGCAAAAAAGACTGTCCGGGATGTGGAGAACCGAAAGGGGACTGGGACTGGAAGAACTCAAAGAAGGGGAGGGCTGCATAGAGGGAAGGCACGCGAGCAGCAGTCAATTAGGTATTGGCGACCGACTGCGCCAGGGACGAGACACTCCCAGCCAGCCATATCCGCCCAGCGCAAAGGCTAACACTACGTGCCCACGAGACGAATCCAGGGCGACATGGAGGCCTGGTCACGCATCGCGCGTTGCAGCATGCAGCCGGCGTAGCCGAGAGAGCGTGAAGTGAAATCCGATTCTGGAGTCCTGGGCTGGCAAAAGGTAGCTCTTTTCCGTTTTGGACGAGTACTTGAATTGTAATGGCGGCTCCGCTGGCAACCACCAGCAATCAGTCGGTCATCGGGGATTACTACCGCGCCGACGCGACCAACGTTAAAATGGTGCTTTGAAGCAGACTGGAGGAGGCACGAGGTCGCGTGTCTGCCTCCCTGAGGCTCAGGCACAGCCGCTAGCGGACCCGGCTTACCTCATCGCTCCATCGGATTAGCGCACTGTAACACCCGGGCAGCCCCCACATGATCGTCATCGTGACAGCCACAATTTCACAACCACCAGCCTGCACTGCATGGTGACACTTCATCAAGCATCAGACAGACGTCTCTCATTCATTCGCTACTACACGTATCAAATACAGCTCAGTGCTCACATCCCCCCCTCACTTCTCCAATCACCGTACGAGGTCAGGAATCTCTCCAACTCGTGACACTCTCCTCTGCTATCGAAAACAAACATGGACCCAAAGCAAAGGGGTGGCTCTCTCCCGGGCCTCCCCCCACATGAGCCGAGAAAACAGAAGGCAGAACAAGACAAGAGCGCGCGCCATGCCATGTGAACCCGTTCGCGTGCTAACAAACAGCCAATACTATGTGCGTGAGTTGGTATGATATACATCATTCAGTCATCGACCCCAGGCTGGTCGGGGGGATCGTGTCCCACAACGAGCCAGCCATGGGACGCCCTCTTCTTCCCTAGTGAAACAGCGGCAGAAACAATCCAAGTCGCCGTACGCCGGCTCATATATGTATGTCGTAGTAAACCAAGCCGCGATGCAATGGTCACATCGTCATTATGCTCAGATCATTCGTAGTGACCCATGGCCGCAAACTTGTGCAGGATGTTGTCCGACGTCCGCACAATCCAGTCCAACTTGTTCTTGTCCACATTCGCCAGGAACGGGTCGATCGGATACCCGGGCTGGATGCCGCTGCTCAGCGCCTGCATGCGCGTCACGAGCAGCTGCATCGTCTGCTTGCCGCTGCGGGCTACGTCGCGGTATGGTTGCGCGTTCCAGTCCTGTCGCCCTGTTAGATGGCTTTCTTGTTCGCCTGTCGCGAGCACCGCAGAAACTTACGTGGTTGTGAATGTCATTGTCAAACGACCGGATGGCCATCTCGATCCAATCCACTTCCTCCTTCAGGAGCGCGTTGGGCTTGATGTCCTTGGAGATCGTAGCAATCATGACAAGAAGCATCAGCGGTGGCAGGTTCTCAAACTTGGAAGGCGGGTAGCGAGACATAGTCCGCTTGAAGATGAGATCCTCATGCCCGCTCTGGATCCATTGGATCACTGCGTCCTGTAGGCGATCCTCCTGGATGAGTTGGTCGATGCGACGGCTGCGCTGCTGGAGATCCTGGTCGGCTTGCGCCTCGGGCCGGTTCAGTTGACTGGCCAGAGTGCTTGCAATCGCCGACACGCTGTGCTGCGAGCCGGCCAGCTGCTCAGACTGCGCGTGAGAGCCGGGAGGGCTGGTCACGAATTGCCCGCCGCGGGCGTACTGGGGGGAGCCAGCGTAGGTGTGCGCGTGGCTCGGGGCCTGGCTGGGCGCATAGCTGGATTGCTGGCTGGGCAGCATGGGCCCCGGCTGGCCGTGAACGCCACCGCCGTAGCTCTGTTGAGGACCTGGCATGCCAGGATGACCCTGCGGCCCTGGGAGGCCGGGAAGCTCGTGCACGGGGGTTTGCTTGAGCTTCAGAATTTCAGCCTGCAACGCCGACTGCGACGATGCCATTTGCGAGATCATGTCCGCCATCTGCTGCACGTGCGTCTTCAGCTGATCAATCTTATGCGAGTCAGCAGCACGCTGTGCCTTGAGGTGCTCGTATTGCTCGTGGTACTGCTGGCGCAGGTCGGTCGACATCTGCTTTGTCGATTGAGTGACGGCGTTGGTGAGCGTCGGCGCGAGGCGCTGCGTGAGCGAGGCCACCACCTCCTGCTGCACGGCTTGCGCAACATGCGGTCCAATGCGATCGGTTACGCTCTGCACAAAGTCATTCGCGCGGAGAGACCGGTTGACAGCTTGCGGCAGAGTGTTCTGGATCTCCTTGTGGACAGCCTTGGCGACATTGGGCTGGAGCTTGTGGTCCAGCAGCTCCGTCACAGCCCGGCCAGCAGTCTCGCCAATCGCAGGGATGACCTGCTCGGTGAACTGGTGGTGAATGAGTGCCTGCAGCACCTTCTGGGTGTTGTCGTTCAGAACCTCGGACACCATGTCCAGTAGCTTGCGCTGGTGTTCATTGAAGCTCACGTCGCGCTCGCGAGCACTGTCGTCGATCTGGGTCTGCAGGCCCTTGAGAGAGCCCTTGAGAGCGTCGGCCAGGCCTGCTGTGATGCGTGTCTCCATGCTGGCGACGGCGCTGTTGAGTGCTTCGTTGGACATGCCTGAGCCGTTTCCACCCTTGCCTGCATTGGGACCACTCGATGCTCCATTCGTTGTGGCGTCCCCCTGGTTGTTCGCGGCAGCCGCGGCAGCAGCAGCAGCGCCCTTCTTCTTACGAGGCTTGCGCTCTGGCTTCTCGGGTTGATTCTCCTTGACCGGGGGCGCCGCGGGCATCTCCACGTCCTTGGGCTCCGGCTTGTTCTTGGTGGAGGTGTCAGGATCAACAGAAGTGTCGACGGACGGAACGGGGGCAGCCGTCGTGTCCTTGGCCCCACGATTGCCGTTGCGAATGGGGACAGGCGTCTCCTTGACTTCGGCTTCCATGGCCTGGGGTGTCTTCAGCTTGGAGACGGTGACGATACCTTCACTAACCGCATCGACAGGGGCGAGCACCTTGTTGTCCTTGGACCAGCCGAGGTCACGTTGCTTGATTAACAGGCAGGCGACTCCCTTGGAGTGCATGGCGTACAGCTCGAACAAGGCGGCCTCGTCAGTGTCCTGCGCTATGGCGGGCTGCGGCAGGATGTCGAGACTGCGGAGGACTCCCCGGTTCTCAAAGGAGTACTCGCGGACTCCACTAATGACAGCAGTACTATCCGGCTGAGGGATGGAGGAGTCTTGCGCAACAAGGCGTTCAATGTATTCCGCCTGCGACATGCTCTTGAGGTTGTACTTGGGCGCCGACAGATGGGCAAAGTAGACCGAGTTGCGGGTTGGGTGGCCGATGATAATCATGCCAGAGGCGGCGTGGTACATGACACTGCACACCGCATCCGACTCCTTGCTGTGCGGCAGGTTGAACTCTTGCACTGGTTTACCCAGCGCGAGGTCCCACAGCTGCAGCGTGTGGTTCTGCTTCATGCCAACAATCATGTAACGCAAAGCACAGCGCTTCTGGTAAGGGCGCTGCTTGTCGAGCAGCAGGACTGAGGTCGGCCACGCCTTCTCGCCCTCGGGTGTGCTGCCCAGTGTCATCAGGGGATCCCGGACCTCCATGGACGTGTGCTCAGGCACAGGGTGGCGAGGGTCGCTGCCGCTCTTCGTCGCGGTCAAGTCACGAACATCCCAGAACTTGACTCGGCCGGACTTGTCTAGCGAGACGACCACGGAATCATCCTGACTGAAGGTGAAGTCCTTGCCGGCCTTACCGGTGTTGATCTTGAGCGAGCACTGCGACAGCAACTTCTCCGTGTCGACAACGCGGTCGTGGCCTGGCTTGAAAAGGTTGTTCTGCATGATGTAGGAGGGCCAGACAAAGTTGATGGTCTTGCCACGGCCAACGGCGAAGAAGCCGGGGTGGCTGGTAGAAGCCCGCGCGCGAGTCTTGAGCACGCCGCCGGGGGTGTCACCCTCCGACGAGCTCATGGGCGGCAAGGCAAAGCCGTATTGCTCGAGGTGCGCATCTTCGGTATGGTCCTTCTCTCCGTCTCTGATCTGCACCCAGTAGACGGTGCCACTGATGCCGGTACCAATGATGGCTTCGCGGTAGGTGCCCTCATAGTCAGCGGGTGTCACCGACATGGCCACGTTGAATATGCGGTCCTTGGTGTCGGTGAAGACCTTGGCGTCCTTCCCATCCTCCTGGCGGATGATGCGCAGACCGCCCTGCTTGGACATGCCGTAGGTCATGTAATTGGGCGAGGCAGTGTACAGGTTGCGGTCGATCTGGTCAAACTCCTTTTTAAGACGGGCGACATCCATAACAGCTTCATAGCGAAACTCTGGACGTGGTTCGGCAGTGCCCGCTAGGAGACTGACCGAGATCCATGGCTTCATGGGGAAGTTGAAGACCTTGACAGGTGGCTCCTCTCTCTCCTCGATGACCACAATCTCCTCCTGGTCTGCGCTCTCCCAGCTGTCCGCCACACCTTGGGCCGTCTCGTCGACAATCTCGCGAACAGTGTCGGCCACCTCACGGGGCAGCGTCTGGTCAAGGGCGCCCTCGTTCTCGCTCTTGTCGAGCTCGTCCTGCAGTTCGCGAGCTACGTTGCGGGCGTTGCGATTGAACTCGGCATCAGAGTCGGCGTTGAGCATTCTGTCGAGCTCGTCGGCGATTTCAGCCTCGGAACGCTCATGCTCGGCCTTGTTCAACGCCTCGCGAGCGTCGCGGTCTGCCTTGGGGCCAAGATCAGTGACAGCTTCCGAGACAGTTTCCTTGTGCTCGGGCGCGCCATGACGCTCGAATTCCATCGACGTCGGAGTTGGCTTGGAGACGGACGCAGACTGGTGAGAGTGAAGTGACGAAGTGCGGTTCGCCTTATGACGGTGAAGGTCTTGGGGGCTCATGGCAGGGCTTCGGTGATCGTGGTGGCTCTCATTTGCTCCACGCTGAGAACCATGATGCTGGGAGCCAGCCGGGGAGGAGTGGTCCTTCATGAGGACCTGGAAGGGCTGACCAGCCACAGAGGCGGACGCAGAGTGGGCGGCAGCACTGCCGTGGGGAGACGACTTTTGTGCCAAGGTTCCCATCAACTGCTGATAGAGCTCGACATTGCCAGGGTCATCCGACTTCTGTTGCTGCTGAGGGTGATGTTGCTCGTTGCCATAGCCTTGTCCGTACGTCTGGGCCTGGTACTGCTTGGCAGCAGCGTACGCATCGACCGAAGTTTGCTGGGAGAATTGAGACAAGAACTCGCGAGTGTGCTCGCCTAAATCGGGAGACTGCGGGGTGTCGTTGTTCGATCGTGACGTCTCGGCCATCATCGGCTGTTCATTCTGGCTCGGCTTGGGGCGATTGAGCAGATTGAGGAGATACGACCTCGTCTCAGGCGGCGGCGAGCCTCCACTGCCAAAGGGGTTGGCTTGGGGCTGTTGCTGCTGCTGCTGCTGCTGCTGCTGCTGCTGCTGTTGGGCAGGCTGAGACTGCTGAGGAGGCGACTGGACATGCTGCTGCTGAGCATGCTGCGAGTGTTGCTGCTCGTGAGGTCGGGGAGCAGGCGACTCAGAGTCATGAGCACCACGCATCAGCGCGGCGAGCAAGCCTTTAGGGTCAGCCGCTGCGGGTGCAGGCTGATGAATACGGTGCTGGTACTCGGCATGCGATTCATGAGCCTGCTGTGGCTGCATCTGGTATTGATGCGATTGCGGCGGTTGCTGCTGATACCCTAGGTAGTGCTGATTCTGATTTTGGTTCTGGTTTGAGTTTTGCTGATAGGTCTGTTGGTAGCTTTGCTGCGGCGGCGACAGTGGTGCGTGATGCTGATGGTGGTGCGGCTGATGCTCGACAGCAGGCGAATGCTGCTGCGACGACTGGGCCGGCTGGGACCCAATGGGCGGCTGCGGCTGCTGCTGCTGTGTCTGCAATGGCTGCTGGGCCTGTTGATCACGGGCACCAGAGCCGCTGAACTTGAGAAGGTTCAGCAAGTTTGATGTGCGATCGGCGCCGTTGGACGCCATGTTGCTGTGCTGGTTGTTGTTTACGGGCGGCGTGGGCGCCGGCGGCAAATGGTCCATCGCAGGGACAGCCGCTAGAAGGTAATGAGAAGCAGTCTCTGGGAGATGAAGGAACTGCTTTGAGGAAGGAGATTTTCTTTGTGCAGGGATGGAGGAAGAGATGAGGTTGGGAGAGGCCAGAGAGGTAAGGTAGATGGAAGGAAGGAAAAGTCGGTGGTGGGTGCAGCAAGGCTAGGCCAGACCGCAAGCTGCAGCGCGCTGGACAGTGGAGGCGCTGGCTGGCAGTTCAGACAAGCGTAGCAGCCCAACTCGAAACCGAGTGGAGAAGTGCCTGTGATGTGGCGCCCGATCAGCCAGTCATGACGTCTCTGATTGGGTGGAGCCCCAGAGTTGCTGCAGTGCCAGCGTGAACATGACCGTAAAGCGGTCACTGAAAAGTTGATGGATGCTGGACAGGGAGAAGAGAGTGAGGACTTGGGTATGAGTTCGCAACAAACTACTGGGCGATGAGGAGAAGATCATACTCAAGTCTTTGCCGTGATGACTGTGGCAACAGCTTCAAGGCAAGGTGCATGCATGCCACTGTTGATGGAAAGCTGACGGTATCGATAAGGATCCATGCAGCCCTGTTCCTTATCTTAGCGCAGCCGTCCGCCCCCCCCGTCCACTGTCATTCGATCCGACCCCACCCCCAATGAGGCAGGCGGTGAAAGCTCCCAGCAGCAGTCTGCCATCATCATGTCTCAGTCCGGAATTTGGGGACCCTGCGACGATATCCTACACCTTCACACGCGCGCGCGACGTCCATGCATTTCCAGCGTTCGCACTGACGGGTCTCACTTGACATTCTGTTTCTCTAGGAGCGTGGTCGAAGTGTAAAAACGCACCAGATCATCAACATGTTCTGCCTCCGAAGGTACAGTAGCACAGCGCACCCCGTTCTACCTTGCCTCTGTACAAACATTGTTAGGTACTGACCTATTCTTCCTTTCTCCAGTTGGCTCCCACTCCTCTTCATTCCGACAAACGCATCGCCCGCATTCATCCTGCTCTTCTTCATCGGAACCTACTTCCTCAACCGCCCATGCGTCTACTGCTCGCTGCTCCTCCTCATCCTCTTCTGCACCTCGTGCGTCTGGTCGGACCAATGCCTCTTTGACCGCGATACATCGCAGTGGTTCCATCCACGACCGGGCAGCAGCGCCGACATGGGCGCGTCGAGTCCTTACCTTGGACACGAAACTATCCTGCCTGCCGTGGTCGGCGGCGCGCTGCGCAAGATGCAGGCCGAGCGCGCGGCAAGGTGGACGGGTCTGGGAGCAGAGTGGTTGAGAAATCTACTGGGAAAGAGGGAATGGACCGTCGATTGCATGGGAGTGAACATACAGCTCTGACGGAGGGGCGTGGTGTTCACGAAGAAGAGACGTATGAAGGAATGAATGAGCAGCGTCATGATTACTCACGGCCGGAAACGTGCAGGTTGAGAGTGTCATAAAACTGTGTTCGATTTTTTCTGGCAACAGTCTAATTACTGGTTCATTGACTCATCCATATAGTGCCCAATCAACGCCAAAGATCCCATTTCGATATGCGGAAAGAAAAAAACACGCTCATAGCTCAACCTCCTGCTCCCCTTCCTCTTCCTGTTCCCTGTCGATGTTCGGGTCAGCTTCACCCACAACCGGCTCAGGGGCTTGATCTAAATCGCCCTCTGGTGCGACAGACGCGCCAGCAACGTCGGGAACTGCCTCAACCCCCTCAACACGAATATCCGAAAAATTCACAATTGTTGTTTCTTCCAGGGCCGAAGCTTGAGGCGCCGTTACAGTACTGGTTTCGAAGGCAGTCTCGGTAACGGTCTCATATACCTTGACAATCTCATGTGTCGACACAGTCTTGACCTCCTCGTGCCCCAGCGACTCAACGCTTGCCTGAGTCGCAGCTGCTGTTTGGGTCACTGTCACGGTAGCCATTGTGCCACTATCCAGCATACTTTGTGTAGCAGCTGCTGTGACCGTCACTGTAGCTGGGCCTTGGTTGATAGGTCTCTCAGGCATGACGACGGCCGGCATTTCCCTCTTCGCCATGACGGGGAAGTTGTCGAAGCTAGCCGCGCTGCTTCCGCCCCGCAACGCGAGGACGAGGACCAGAACACTCATTAGCAGAATGGCCACATTCTTCGAGTCACGAAGCATGACCTTGGTCGCCTCCAATATCAGCTCTGGCAGAGAGTCGTCCCGGCTAGCCGACTGCCTGCGGTCTCGGTACCGAGCGTACTCGTCCGCTACAGGTGGCGGTGGTGGTGTCTGGTGATGATGATGATGGTGCTGCTGCTGATGGTCATGGCGTTGCGTGTATTCGGGTGAGAGTCGGGGTTGCTCGACCACAGCAATGGGGTGGGCAACAGGCTGTGGCGAGGGCGGGGGCTGCTCGACCACAGCAATGGGGTGGGCAACAGGCTCCGGTGAGTGTCCGTAGATCTCTCGCAGACGCTCGTCGTGTTGCCTTTGTTGTTCATCCGCGCTTGGCGGCGCAGGGCTTTCCGTAACCCTGATCTCTGGCACAGGCGAAGACGGAACTTCGTGGTGCACCTCTGTTGGTTCCTCGACATACTCGTGAACCTCTTCTTCGATGTGCTCTTGCTCGGGCATGCACTCCGGCTCCGCTTCCGCCTGGACCTCGACCTCCTCCTCCTCCTCTTCTTCTTCGAGCTGCTCCTGATGCAACTCCAGGGCCTGCTGCTGCTCGTCATCCAGGCGTGCCATCTCCTCTTGGATGTCGCTCTCAACAATTGGCTCAATCTCCACATCAACCCGCTCCATTTCTTTCCAACAAGCCTCCCACGCACCAGCTTTGACAAGTCCGTTGCTCGCGTATACTTTGACGCGGAACACCTTGTCAGCACCAAGAGCGTCGAAGCGAATCTCGGAACGACAAGTATTGCACCAGTGCTTCTTCTCCATAGAGCTCCGAGATTGACGGTGTGAGTCTTCAAAGACACCTTCGTCGTCCTCTTCCTCCGAGCTTTCCTCTAAAATTGTCGTTTCGTTCGCAGGCCCCAGATAATGACCACACTCGAGGATCCGTGCCCTTCTCCTAAGAGGCAGCTCGAGCGCTTCGAGTAGTCGTTCCTCGAGAATCTCAAAGTCATTCTGTGGATGCGGCAGAAGGATGCCACGCTCGCAGGTAGTGTCGCCCATGCGATCCTGGAGCTGTCGCCATGCTTGCTTGAGGCGCTTACTGCCCTCACTCAGCTGCTCGCTGGACGCCTGCTCGAGCACGTCACCCCAGCCCCAACGCAGCGGCAAGAGGGTGACATGCAAGAGAACGAGAGGTGGCGTGGCCCGCCTGAACCTTGGAGGCGTCCTCTTGGGGGAGTACTGCGCACTTGGCGAACCAAGCCTCGAGCCCGAGGGGATGGGAGTCCTGCGGCTGGAGCGACTTGAGCCGATCACACTTTGAGCTGGCGAGGACATCTGTATTGCTTTGACAGACGATGGAGATCTGAACGGTGGGCGGGGCGTCCCCCGTACTGTTGGGATAAAAATTTCGTCTTGGTCATCCGTCTCGTAGTGGGAGAAGTCAGACATGCGATGCGTGCGCGTCCGATGCGTGACATTTTCGCTGATCTCGCGATGCTGGCGATGATCCTCCCCTGAGGTAGAGCCCACTGAGCTTCGGGGGCTGTGGTCGCTGAAGACGTCGTCCTCGTGTTCGTTGTGAGAGCTGTCGGCATTCTCCTCGGGTACAGGCTCGTCGTCGTTCTCAATGGACTGGATCACCGAGTCGCCGCATTGACTGGCTGAGCGATCCATGATTGAGTTTTCGTGATCCTCGAAATGATCAGGGTCCGGCTGGCTTGCCGTATCCAATTCGCGTTCGCCCTCGGCGTTGCCTGTGGCGGGAGCCTCGGGTGCTTGATCGATACCAGGGGCAGTTGATGCAGCATCTTCCGTTACGGGAGCCTGCTCTGGTTGCTCATCTAGGATGGGGGCAGCGACTTCCGCAGTTGTATCAACGGAGGCAGCGACAGTGTCATCGTCTTCATCAATGGTTGATGCTGTAGGCTCCTCGGCTGGTAGCGCGTTGCTGTCTTCCGCCGACGCTAGGGTGGACTCGGCAGCTTTCTCAGTGTCTTCCTCTACAACTTCAGGGGCGGTTTCGACGATGGCCTCCGGTTCCTCCTCATGGGAGGCGACTTGAATAGATTCTGTCGTTTCCTCCGATGTGGGCTCAGCCGCAGGTTCCTCAATAACTTCAGGGCCAACATCAGCGTCGGCTACTGACTTCTCTTCGTCAGGGGCGACCTGAACAGATTCCAATTTGTGTCCCGATGTGGGCTCAGCCGTAGGTTCCTCGACGGCGGGCTCTGGCTCGTCCTCATTCGAGGCGACCTGAGCAGCATCCGTCGTTTCCTCCAATGCAGGCTCAGCGACGGGCTCTGACTCCTCTTCCTTGGAGGCGACCTGTACAGACTCTGTGGTTTCTTCCGATGTGGGCTCTGCCGCAGGCTCCTCTACCGCTGCTGATAGAGGCTCTTCGTGTTGTGCGACCTCGGCAGAAGGCTCGGGAAGCTCCCCTTCTTGATGGGCAGACCTACCAGCCGCAACGTCTTCTTCGACCGCAGACTCGTCGGAGATACTGGCAGGCTCGGGGATTGATTCCTCAATGGGCTCATGCACTGATGTATCAGCTTCAAGCGCCACCTCCTTGGAAACATCAGCCTCCTCCGCCTCCTTGGGAACATGAGTCTCCTCCACCTCTTTGGGAAGCTGAGTGTCCACCGCCTCCTCCTCTACACAAGTTGGCGCGTCATCATTCGCAGCCGCCGAAATGTCGAGTGTCTCCATCGCTGCTTCATCAGCGGGGACCTCGACGACATCGACGACGGGCGAAGGGACGCTCTCGACAATGTGCGCTTCGGCCTCCTTGGCCTCTTGGGCCGATTGTCTGGCGGCTTTTTCCTCCGGACCTTCGACGAGTGCGGCCCAAGAGTCTTCAAAATCATCGCCTTCTTGCTCGTGACCCTCGACCTCAGACACAAGCTCGAGGAAGGGCTCATGGGCGTCGTCAACGACACTCTCGGCATTGCCCGTCAGGTCCTCGCGCACGAGAGAATGTGCGTCTGACACCCTAGCACTGGCCGTCATGGCGTCCTCTTCGTCATCGGAGGGTGGGGGAGGTGATCGTCTCCTAGGTCCATTGCTCACGTAGCACAATGCATCTGAAGGACGAACTCCCATATCTCGAGCCCCAGGTACATACGGCACTTTGGAGTAGTTTTGGCTCGAGGCTCTACTATTGGAGACGTAGCTCTCCGTGAAGTCAGATTCATCGTCATCGCTGCGATGGATCTGGTCGACGATGTTGCGGGCAGCAGCATGGATCAGAGCTTCAGTTCGACCCGAGGCTCGTCGGTGGAGAGAGGAGGATGAATGCTCTGACGTGGTGGAATGATCGCCTAGGACACTGTCATCGAGCGCCGATTGATCCTGAGACTCCGAGTACCTTGACTCTCCGCGGCTGGAATCGGTGCCGTTGGAGTCTCGTCGAGAGTATGAGTCGTCAGTGGCGTCATAGGAGGCGCCAGATTCTCGTCTGGAAACGTTGTCCTCTGTGTAGTTTGCCTCATGCAGGCTGTCTCTGCTCCTCTTCAAAGAGTCGAACGAGTCCCTGCGAGAGTCTAGTGACTCTCGTCGCGAGCTCGATGCACTTGTATTCTTTTTATCCCCCAGCTCCTCCAACATGCTGTCCAAGCGAGCTTCGACGCTCTTCTCGTCATTCTCGGCGCTCGCATCCTCGTTGACGAGGGTGCTGGCCTTGGTCAGGTTCGACTCGGTCGCACCGTTTGCAAAGTCTCGAATGTCGCTGTCGTCAATGGGTGTAGGCTGGTCTTCGTGGATCGTGAAGTCGTTGGCGGCAGCTGCTGCGGCCCTGCCTCGCTTGTTGCGGCGGGCCATTGTAAGACTTGTCTGTGGAGATGAATATCAAAAGGTATCAACGCGGGGAAAGGAATGCTGGAGCAGAATAGCAATGCTGGCGGGTTTTTCTTGTTGGAATGTGGCATTTGCATGCCTTCGTGGCACTGCATGGTTGGGCGGTGGAGGAGTACCTTTTGTTTACGCTGTTGTCAGGGCAACGGCAATCTCCTCGACATCCGGGATCAGGGGGTGACGAATGACGACAGAGGTCTCACTCAGGCCAGCGTCTACCGAGACTATTCTGTAGCAATCGTTTTGGCCGTCGCTAGTCTTTGCTAGTAGTAGCTATTGTTCTTCGGCTCTCCCGTCAGCCTGTGGTTTTCTCAGTCAATGATGCCACCATCACCTTCGCTCGTTCATCAATTGCCGTTGTTCGCCTGCCTAGACGCAGCAGGTTACCCTACGCTCTGTCCCACAAGTGCTCGATCGCCGTCATGAGAAGCTCCCTCGCTCAAAACTTAAATGATCTAGTTCTGTATGGCATCGCTTCAATCATCCAATGACTTTGGTCCGTATGCTCTTGAATATGAGCTGTTGGCGTGGTGGCTGAGACACACCCACCAAAATTACTGTGCATCACCTTTGTACAAAACACTATGCATCTCACTCAACAAGTCTGCTTTGAACGCCCCAAACAAACATATGCAGTACTCCACCTCAGTTGCGAGTCTGTCCCTTCGACTTAAGCACAGGGACAAGTTTATAACAACACACTGTCCGCCTGACCAAAACGAACATCAGGCCAGGAACAGTGTGCAGTTGTTCAATGATCGTGGGGGCGTTCGGATGCAAGCGGTGTCGAACGACTATCTCGAGTTGTCTCCGGCTCCAAATATTGATCTATACCAGAAGAATCTGGTAGCATTCTTCACAAAGCCCGCTTTCGTGAGCCGGCCAGAGTGGATAAGCTGTTGTACATGTTAGGAGAACTGAAAGCACGCGACAAGCATGCATTTCCATGATCGATGGTGCGTGGAAAGTATCAAGTTAATTGTAAAGAACCCGTCGTGGATTGGAATGTGGGCGGGTTTGGCTACGTACATTCTACATGTAACTTACAGCTGGAATGGAGCATCAATTGGTGGCATCAGGCGAAGCCGTGAAACATTGATCTACAGGGACCGACTGGAATGCAGACCGAGACACGGGGCGATCGATGCCACTGTTGATCGACACGGCAAGCGGACAAATACTTTGACAGCAGTTTAGTGCACAAGACAGTGAAGAATGGATGCTGAGGTAGTACTTGGTAGGTGATATGATTTCATTTGCCTCGTGTCCCATATACACACTGGTCATTTCCTTTCTATGTTCATCATCAGGCTTGACACCATACATTGGAGACGTTTACAAGTCCTCGCAGTAGTCGACGGTGGTGGTGGTGGTGACGGTCTCGGTGGGCGTGGGAGCCGTGGTGACGGCCGAGGTGATGCCCCAGCACGAGCACGCGGAGGAGTACTCAGGAGGGTCGTCGCAGGACGAGGCGTAGGCGGGGATGTCGGTGGGCAGGACGGTCTCGGCGCGGTACTCGAGGGCAGCGGCCTCACGCTTGAACTTGGCGGGCTCGTCGGCGTCGACGGTGACGGTGACGGTGGTGGTCCTGTGGGTTGTGCTGTTAGCATCTCTTGTGTGGCCCCTTAGGGATTACTCGCTCGCTCGCTAGCTCAGCCAGCGGCGGGACGGGCGTGGAGGAGCGTACTCAGCCTCGGGCATGACGGTGGCGGTCATGAAGCTGGAGCAGTCGGCCATGCGGGACTCGATGGGGGTGAGACCGGCACGGGTACCAGTGACCTGACGAGCGCAGTTGTTGGCGTTGCAGCCACGCTTCTCGACAAGGCCAGCCATGGCGGCGGCGACGAAAGACAGGACAACGGCGGCCTTCATCTTGACAGACAGTTGTAGTGGAGGAATTGGGAAGCTGGAGGAGTGACTGTGAGATGGTAACAAGGTCGGCGAGTGAAGAGGAAGAGAAGGGAAAGGGGGGCTGGAAGGGCTGCAGGCTGCAACGTCGCTACTTATACAACATGGCACGATATTTCATTACCACTGCCTTGCCGTTCAGGAACAGTTGGGAGGACGGGATGGGGTAAGCTCTCGGCGTCCGTCTGCTATGCACGCAAGCACCCATGCATGCGCTGAGCCTGCTGGCGAATGCTCATACCATGCCCACATTAGCCCATTGCACCTCGCACAGGCCCTGCCACGTCCGGCCCGCCGGGCAGTAAAGATCTCAGCCAAAGGAACAAACGGTGGTGCATCCACCTATCATGTTGGCCATTCGCCGCATGAGGCAGGCCAAGGGTCCTGCGCAGGTCGGGGCTGGGGAGGAGGGGGGCGAGGGTGAGGGTGGGAACATTTTTGCCAGGTCCTTCTGCGTCTCTGCAGCGACTGCACGCAGCGAGCGAGGATCAGAACAGGCGGCGGAAGCGAAGGTGCAAAGGGGACCGAGCGATTGCGCCTCGTGAGAAATCCTGGTCGACCTCCTACCCCCTGTCTATCTGGCGGGGACTTTGGTAGTGGAACCTTGGCCTTGCGCTCCATCCCTGCTGCTCGCATCTCGGATTTAGCCTAGGCCAGAGAAACGACGGACAGCCTTGACAACGTGCTCGCCGTGTCGTCGATTGAATGGTCTGCTGGAGGGGACGTCGATGGGATGGTTCATGGATGCTGGCATTGTGTTGCCCGTGGTCATTTTACAGAGTGGCTCTCTCGATAAACCTATTAATGGTGGGGTTTGTCTAATCAGGAACTTGTTCTCCAAGCGTGCCTGGAATGAAGGAATGAAGGAATGAAGGAAAACGTGGCTGCGGATAGCCTGCTAGCCCTCGCGCTGGAGAGCACCGTGGCGCTCATGGTGTCCGCCGCAGCCCGCATTGTCTAGCGTCGGTCCTGGCTGTCTCGGTTTGAGGAATGGGAGCCTTTCTTTGTGCCTGGAAGGCGGGGAAGCAATCGTCCACGGCTGTTGTTGAGACGAGAGAAGCTTATTTCCAGGGCCTCGTGAACTCCCGGCGCCGGTTATTCTGCCCAGGTGCGGATGTTGAAGCCAACAAATTCAGGCGCCATCGGTACCTCGCCAGGAGTGCAGGACAGCCGACAAGATGGCGGAACAGCGAGGAGGACCACTGTACACGGTACACAGGCACAGGCCGAGCTGCCGCGCCCAGAGATCCCATGGCCTTGTTGATAAATGATAGACACCCCGGTGACGCTTGTCGTTCTTGGCCGCATTGGGTGCCTTGGCTGGCAGTTTAGCCTCTACCAGTAAGCCCGGTCTTTTCGCCATGAGAAGCGGCAATGGCTGAATTGAACCGTCCATCAACCCGTCCTGAGTGTCGATTCGTGGGACAAATGGGCACAGTTCTTTGCGTGAACAATGGCTACCCAGCAAGTCTTCTTGGGCTCAGCCTTGGATTCGAGGCCCTACCGGGACGGACAGTGCAGTCCCTCCAGTGCGCCAGTCGAGCGACAGGCGGGCAGATCTAGAACAGGCACTCACCGACTCCACCGCGAACCGCCCAGCGCATGCATCACCAAATCGGGCAGGCTGGAATCGTCGCTTTCCGCCGCCGAGGACGGGCTTGTAAGCAGCAAGTGGTGGTGGGTACCGGCCCAACCGACCATCTTGCACGTGGCCCTGGACGACGTCTTCTGCTTCCGCGCTGGCGCTGCTGCTCGTGCCCAGAGACGAGGACCTTTTGCGGGCTAGCCACCTGCTCTCTTGGGGGAGTCCTCGCCGCCACTATTTGCGTGTTGCAGATAAACAGGTCCTTGCCAAATTGTCAGTATGGGCAGGTTGTTGAAGAATAATGCGGGTGGTTCGAATCAGGCGACGATCTTGCCAGGTCTTCGGTGAGACCTGGCTTCTCCACCCGTTGGGTCATCAATAATAACATTGGCCATTCATATGTAGAGTTGCACTGCTTGAAGATCCAGCGAGATGCCAGGTCTCATTTTGCCGGCGGATATGGACGACTGCGTCCTACGTGTAGCAGGACGCCACACGGACGGCTTCCACGAGGAACGGCTCGGCCACTACTCATTAATTGGACCTCCCCATTGTCGTAATTGTTCTGTTGCCAAGTCGCTCTGTGAACGGTGAACGTCTTGCCTGTGGACGACAACCCAGCTGCACTCAGCTCTAAGCGCTCGTCCGCAATTGGTCCCATCGCCAGCGACCGTCGTCAATACCAAGCTCGGGGAAACGCGCGACGCAACGAAGCTGCATCGATTCGCGCAGGACACCTCCACCCACCACAAGCTCTCCCCTCATACGCGGCCCATCGCAGAGGTTTTTATCCAGGAACAAGCGACAGGCAGATAATTACCGGCTCCCCCGCACTTTAGACAATGCTGCTCTCGGCTTAATTGCGCCCGATTACTGATTTCCCCGTGGGGTTTATCCTTCTTTGACGGCTCGCCAGTCCTCGTCCTTTGTCTTGCCAATTGCCGATGCCATTCGTACCAAAGCAAGCCGACGAAGACAGACCTGTAAAAGTCTTGACGACCCCAAGCAGACGGGCGGGTGGGTTGTGATAGCTGGGATCGTCCGGCCAAGAAGCCGGATCGGCGGTGATAAGCTCAAGCGCGTCTGACCTTCCAGATCGAGAGAGGCTTTTTGGAGCCCGGGTGGGAAAGATATATACCCAGCACACGAGCCGCTATCTGCTGGTATCGCCCGGCGCCGTGGGCGACCCCTCGATCAACGCGTGAGCCTTATGAACCATATCTGGTTCAGTTGTGCTCTCAATCTTGCGGCACCCTTTGTACCTCATCTTCTTCGATCCGTCCGTCCGTCGCCCCCGCCTTCATCACTTCCCAAACTTCGGGCATCCTTGATCGTAGCACTGTCCTCGCGAATGATACTGCAAAGCGCCTTTGGTGTTGTGAGAGTTCCTCTTCTGCGTTGACTGCAGGCCCGCAGGGTGACCCAACGTCGCCAATTACAGTCCTGGCTCTGCTTCACTCCTAGGAAGATGAGCATGTGAGTGCATGCCACATTGGCAACAAGGTGGCTTGACTCTTAAGAGGCCGGTAGGTGATTCCGATTCCCGACGCTATTGCGACAACTTGACCATTTCGATGAATGGTCATGTTCAGCATTGCACACCGTCATAACACATTAGCCCTTTGGAGAGCATGCGGCGGTGAGAGCTGTGGTATCCGAGACTGCTTATTGGCAATCGAACACTGTCAGAGAGAGACCCAGAGCAGCTCTGGGTCCTGCTAGTCGGAACGCCATTTCTGGGCGCCCAGATGAGAGCTTGTTGCCATCGTGGTCGGACCGACGTCTTGGGAGACAATGGAGTCTGGGGTCAGGCTATCCACCGTCCGGGGTAGATGATCCCCACGACCCTCAAGTTCTCCAGGTGATGTGATGGCTAGGCGCCGAAATTCGACACTCTCTTTTCAGCCATTCAGGACTGATGGGCCCACGCCAATCTCAAGCCCATAGTTGTGGTCGATTGATAGTCGACGTTGATCGGCCCGATTCCCATCTTTAGCATCCTTCGGCTGGTCGCTCGGCGAGCGCAAGGGGAAGCATGAAAGGACCAAGATGGAGATGGTCGAAGAATCGGTCCTTTTGAATGCTACTTGTTGTCAGCTGAGGCTGCTGAGCTCAATATCCCGCACCGGGCTTGCAGCATTTCTGGGGCCCCGTAGTACCATACCACACTATCGCAGCCCAGATTACAGAGTAATTGTGATGTTAAATCAGGTTGATTCAACATACCGAGCAGCAATGCATCAGGTAATAAGTTTGGTGGGTTTTGCGATGTAGTAGAGTTGTGGGCGGCAAAACGCCGCACAATATAGAACTGAACGAGAGGCGGGCGCCCAGTAGTTGTTCACCAGCCTCATATCCTCAGCTGAGCCGCATCGGGCAGACAAGAATATTGATCTGCGCAAAAGAGGCTCAGAAAGCTCCAGATGAAGTGCAATGGAGCGACACAGTCCGCCTGTTCAGCCCTGTGGCATTGTATTGAAAGTGCACAAGTACGCCGCGGCCAGAAGGGCAGCATGCACAAACGCGCGCTTCCCCAGCATCGAGATTCCCGCCGCCCGTCTTCCGCCATTCTGATCAAGCAAGCGACGGGCCCTTTCAGAAGCGAACCTCATGAACTCAAATCAGGGCTGGGCAAGCACTCGCTCTGATTCGATTCGAGAGCTGTGTCCCTGTCTCAGCGTATGGCAATTAGCTCACCTTGCGGCCCGAGCCTCGCCTCCGTGGTAGTCTATCCCTATTGATAGACATAGCAGAGCCTGTGCACATGGTGGCAGTGCCGGCTGGGTCGTGCTTATTGTTGGCTGACGGCTCCATTTGTCTCCGGCACATACAAGCGAAGCGAGATGTTGCTACGTACGTGACAATGGATATATCGGTGGTTAACCATCTGCTGCGCCTCGCCCAGAAAGTCTGACATGGGCGCATCAAGCATGTTGCTGATGCGTGGGTGAAGCAGCCCGTCCTGCACGACGCACGCATCGTGGCCCCCCCAGGCGCTCGCCTGCGCTCATGCTGACAAGTGTTGGTCTGTGTTCTGTTCTGCCGAGGCCGTGTCAGCTTTCATTTCCCATGATCTGGCGTGAACTTCCTTCATGCTTGTTCGTGACACCTAGACTAGCTCTCCAGCTGGCGACCAACAAGAAACTCGAAAGTCAAACCAGGCAGCTCCCATCAAGAGGGCAGTCTTCTGTCGAGCTGCGGTACACTGCAGCTACCCATCCATTCAGCTCAGCAGCATCCTGACAAGAACCCCTCTTTGGCACATCGCCATCTCGAAAAGTCGCGGCTGCCTGCATCTCCCAACTGGCGACACTTCCGATACGACGAACAGGGCACCGAACACAACCGGCACGATGAGGCCACTAGGGGGCTTCATCGTTGCTCTCACATTCAACGTGGGCGCGACATGGGCAGCCGAGATTAGGCATCTCGACGGCATCCACCGCGTCGAGAAGAAGGCGGAAACCACAGCGCGAGCACATCTCCCCTCTGCTGATGCTGTCGTCGACAAGCGTGCCAAAGACAATGGCGAGGATATTTGCGGAACAAGCATGAAGCTGTGCCCCGAGTCCATGAAAGGCGGCTGCTGTCCAGAGAACTACTCGTGCGGTGTGTCGAGCTGCTATGCCACGACCAAGGGGCCGTCGACCTGTGGCACGCTCGTGGGATGGTATGCTTGCGACCAGGTCTACGGTGGAGGGTGTTGTCCTGACGGGTATCTCTGTCAGACGGCGGACAATTGCATCCCGCCCTCGGGGTCGGCATACACTCTAGACTGTCCCGCGAGTCACTACCTGTGCCCAGAGAGCATGAGCTACGGATGTTGTCCCGATGGCATGGGCTGCGCCGTCAACCAGTGCTACTCGATCGAGTCGAGCACGGTCACAGAGGCGGTCACGGTGACGACAACGGAAGATGGGGAGAGGCGGGTGTTCACGACGCGGCAGACAACGGTAGAGACCCCAGCAGCCCCAACGAGGTTGCCCGAGGTGGACGCCGGCGATGATGACGAGCAGTTTATCCTCAAGGTCTTCCCATCTGTCATCGCCAAGCAGACGGCCGCACCACAGGAAGACGACGACGACAATAGCAGCGGCGGTCTCACACAAGGCCAGCTTGCCGGCATCGTGACGGGTGCCGTTGTCTTCCTCATCGTCGTCATCGTCGTCGCCTTCATCATCATCCGTCACCTCAACAAGGTGGTCGCAGCCGTCGCATCCTCCGGCTCCCACCCATCCAACCCGCGGCCCGTGATGAAGCAGTTCCGCCCGACCGACTCGGAGATTGACGCCCTCAGCGTCGATCCGCTCATACTGTCCCCCCGCGTGGCCGCCGTCGCTAAGAATGCAGCCACCACCACCTGGTCGCCGGACGCGCTGAGCTCCACGGACCCGACGCCCAGTTCCTTCAACGGCGCCTACGTGCCCGTGAGTACGAGTCAGAGCCGGCACACGAGCTTTGATAGCCAGGGCAACGTGAGCTCGTACTTTGACGCCATCCCGGGGAGGAATTCTCGATTTAGCACGCAGACTTGGAATCCGCAGCAGTCTGCGGACACCAAGGCTCCATTGTCGAGCGGGAATACGGCCAGCGGCGATTCCTCCGGGACCTATATGCATGTGCGGCATTGGTCCCATGCTTCGGAGGAGGAGGAGGATGTGTCCGATGCGCGCAACGTCTGCGCAGCGGCGGGAACATTGGGGGTACCAGCGGCACCGGCGCCGCCGTCATTGCTCACCGAGCTCGAGGCCAAGTCGGTGGTGCCCGAGCTTGTGGGCTCTCCGACAGGCGAGTACAGACGACGCAGCAGCGGGAGCAACGTGTCCATCTCGGGCATGCTGTCCCGACATTCATCGTCGAACCATCAACGACTTCGCAGCGAGAGCACGGCCGTCACGACAGCGACAGGAGGTCTGGACGTCGTGGATGAGGAGACCAATTCGCCGACAAACATTGCCCGACAGCAGCAACAGGAGCAGACTGGGCAAGACGTCCAACGGCCAGGGTCAGCCCTAAGCTGGCAGCAGGGCGACGATCAGGGCCATGCACGGGCCGGATAAGTATCATGGCGGGGAGGGGAGGATGTGATTGGTATTATTGCAAGCCGGAGTTTTGGATTAGATACCTCAGTCTTTGGAAGGGGGTTGGGCAGCATACGCAACATATACAGGGCGTTGGGCATTAGTCGCTGGTTCACGCAGGATTCAGTCAAGATGGAGCTTGCGAGCAGTTTCTGTATCATTCGAAAGGCAACTAGTTAACTATCGGAATGGCTTCTTCGACCGCCGATTCAAGCAGGATGCGAGTTTTGTGAATCTCGCGGTCACGTAGTCGTGTCTCATTCAACAAGGATGCGCGTCTCCGTTTTTTTGCTGCCACCGACATTGTGCTGCACCCTCCAAACAGAACTAATCGTCATCTCCGCAGTTGGCAGAGAGCGCGGCGCGTGTTGGCCTCCTTGGTGGTGGTGGTGATGGCCTCCCGGTAGTCGTGCACGGTGCGCGACGGGGAGGCACAGCGTGTGCCTGGCCAAAGGCATGGACTAGATCTCTTCTCTAGAGTCAAGACGCATGCACGCACAACACGTTGCACGATCAGTCTCGACTCCTGGATCAAGTCGACCCCCTCAGCCGAACACAATCGCCATGCCCATGTCCCGGCTCACCCGCCTCCACAGATCGCCGCTGCGCCTCTCCTTCATCATCTCCTCTTGCTGCAGGATGATGGCTTCAATCTCCTGCTCGTCCGCGCGGCGCCAGACCTCCTGGACAATGCACCAAGCCCGCTGAATGTTCGTCATCCCCTGGACCCTGTCAATCGCCGTAAAGGTTTGCCGGGCAAGATCCCGATCGTCGAGGTCTGTGGCCTCGCAGGCTGCGACGAAGAGTGGCCACAGCAGCGCGCTCATGGGGCCGTCGCCCGTGACTGTGCCGATGCAATGCGTCAAGCTCAGATGGGCGTGGTGCTGCACGAGGGCGTGGGAGCGGGGGTGCTCGTAGATGGTGCGGTAGAGGTAGACAAAGGCCGAGTGACGGTAGGCGAGGGCGTTGTTGAGGATGCTCTGCAGACGGGCCCTTTCGGATGGCGAGTTGGACTCGGGCGGAGGCGCGGGCTGCCAGTGCTTGAGGGCGACCTGGATGGCGGAGCCGGTTGTCTCGAGCTCGGTGCGGAGGACGGCCACCTTGGACAGCTGGCCTTGTGCCTGCGCGGCGTCGAGCTCGTCCTTGAGGCTGCCGAGGTTGGAGAGTCGATGGATGATGGGCCAGAGGGTCGTGGCCATGCCGAGCAGCGTGTCGACGGAGCCGACGGGGCTCGTTGCGCCATTGGAGTCGAGAGGGGGCAAGGGAGACAGAGACCCGCGACCCGGTGCCGTGGACAGGGGAGCTGTGCCGAAGGACAGAGCGGCAATGACGTCGTAGAACTTGAACGCCCTCTCGAGGAAGACGCCTGTTGGGTCGGTGCTGGCCTCGCGGTTGTTGATGATGGACATGGCGCCCTTGAGGTGGCCGTCCACAATATTTGATCTCTCCTTCTGCACGAGCTGTTGAGGTATGTCAGTCGAAATTCCTTTGTGGCTTTCGCCACACGGCATGTCCCCGAGAGTACTCACAACTTCATAGTAGACAAGGAGCATGATGGCCGCCAGCAGCTCATTCTTGTTCTTACCGCCCCCGTTCTCAATCAACCGCGCCAGCTCCTGGATGGCCCTCCCGTGGAAATAGTCACTCCTCTCCTCGTTCGCCACGCCCCTGAACTCCAAGTGCGCACTCGCCAGGGCATATATCGCGTCCATCACCGCCGGGCTGCCGTAGCTGAGGGGCAGAACAAGCTGCTGGAAGGGGTTTCCATTCTCCTCTCGGAAAACGATCAGGTGCGAGAGGACGTTGCAGAAGTGGTCCACCAGCTGGCGTCGGTTCGTGCGCTGAGAAAATTCGGCGAAGGGGCTGCAGAATTCAAGACGAGGTGAGGGATATGAATCCCGCGGGTGCCTACTTGTTGGGGCCACCGCAGTGGAAAACGAGTGTCGCCGCACGATTTCCTCCACGTCCTCGTCGTCAAAGGTCGCGGTTGTCATGGGCGAGAAGACGGCGGTATCCGTCGGGGTCCATGGGAAGATGCCCAGCGAGCTCAAGCTCGTCTCGTCCGCCGTCTCGGCTCCCCACTTTGGCAGCTCCTGCGGTTGCTGTTCCCACTGCGTCACGGCCAGGTCAGTCTGCGACAGCTCGTCGCATGCCGTGTCAATTGACAGTGTCTGCTCGCGCTTCCTTCGCTGACGCGGGCGGACTGGTTCGTAGACGCATGGTTCGCCGCGTTCGTCGCAGCGTGAGCAATTCGGTCGGATCTCGTCACACTTCTTCTTCTTCTCCTTGCAATAATTACATCCTGGAGTGGTGTTACTCTTTGCTGCTGCCTGGGCTTGTGCGTGCTGGGGGCTTGTGAGGAAAATTGGGGTTGCCTGGCCGAGGAAAAGAGTGGTGGGGGGTAGTTAAAGTTCTCTTCCTGAGCAACGTACGTACCTGCTCGCGATCGTTTCTTGGGAACCTTTGGAGGCGCGACGCGTGTGTAGAGCAACATGGTCACTGTTCGCCCGTGGTGGTTTTGTTTTCTTCTCGTTTGACGTGGCCAGGCTTGTCTCGCTGGGTGTCTCAGGTCGTCTTGGCCTCAGCCGAATAGCGGTATTTGATTCGTATCGTCAAGGTCGCGAGTCGGTCGGTTGGTCAGTCGGTGCAGGCCTGTCGCGGTGTAGAGGAAGAGATGATCATGCCAAGTTGGTAAATCCAAGATGATGTGAGACGTGGAAGAAAATGAGGAGGGCCCTTTCGATGAAAACGGCGGTCGAGTCCCCTTTGGTCGTTGGCTCCGAATATACATCAAACGGGCAGCCATGGGGAGGGGGGCGTCATGCCTTGGCCTCCAGTTTCCGTCTCCAGGTTCCAGTCCCATTTCCCCATCCCGTGAGCCCATCGTGACCCTCCCAGTCCCTAATATGGAGACCGGCACTCCACTGTCGAGCCCCAGTCACTAGACTAGTCTGGCCCAGGCCCCAAAGAGCGCTCCAGTTTCTGTGCCGACACGAGACCACAGGTACTCGTGTACGTACCAAGGACCGGCAATCGCATGGACGAGTGTCATGCCCCAAGCCAGCCGTAAGATCGCCAAGCCCCAGCTTCTCTGGCTCGCGAATCGAAGCGTTCGCGCAGGTTCTCCTCCCCAGCTTAGTCTAGTCTATGTCTAGTAGATGTTGCGGGGTCGGTCCTCACTACGTAGTACTGTAATTAAGCCACGGCGAACGCAAACATTTGGAAAACCCTCCGTGCTCCAGTACCTAGTCTACGTTAGTGGCTTCAGCGGAGAATGGCTAGAACCTTGGGTCGTCGTCTAGCGGCTCTAGCACGCTTCAGCGCACACATGGCCTCCCATGTCCTACAAGCGCGCCAATCAGAGCCCGCAGGCAAAGCTGGGGATGACATCAAATTGAGCCATCGGTATGCAAAGAATCTTGTGATTCCATCCCTTGGTTCCCTACGCCCCAAATTTGGCGGCGCATACCTTTCATTGACGCTGATTCAGGAGCCATGTGACGGTTCGGGCATTGACGACCTGTGCTTAGCCATCTATTTATTTATCTGTTTAGGCCACTTTCAGGATTTCAGTCTCTCGGAGCTATCGAAGCTTCTGGCTGCGAGATCAAATGAGCGATGACAGATACATTCGACAAGCCTCGGCTTACGATCGTGACTCGACTCGGACTCACAACTGAGTCTGCATGAGACCAGGGCCAATACAGTTAACGGCCTTCCGTGCCCCACACACGGGGTGCCGCTGCACATTACTCATGCTTCTCGGTGCGTTCGCACGCATCGCTCGCTCTGCCATCCAAACAATACCGGCACCGCCATCATCCGTGCGGACGCACGCTCCTCGTTTTTCTTGTTTCACCCATGCAGGTCTTGCTGACTCGGTCAGACAACCATGCTGGAAAACCTGGGGAAAGTGGGGATCCCCAGCTCCGTCTGTTTCTGTGGTTGCGGGCGGCAGGTGTCAACTGTCAAGCACGGTCTAGATTTCTTGGTACGCATTGTGATGATGTCAAGTGGTTACCGAGAACGAAGTACCTATGAGATGCTTGGTTCTCCTCGTCGAGGGCCCTGGTGAGGGTGGTCTACATATAGTCTTGCTTCTATAGACGTCAGCTGTTCATCCATGTCCACTTTCGTTCATTTTGACCAAGCATAGTCTCGTTCATGCGCTGAACCAAAAAAAAAGTCATGACCGATGATCTGATCCACGCTGTGGCCACAAAGCAAAAGGCCGTCAAGTACCGACACAAGTACTACCATGTGGCAGGGACCAATTGCATGTATGTATGTAGGTACGTTATCGTAGGTACGTAATGACATGATGATGCCACGGTCCCGGGTAGTCGGATGCGACCATCTCCAGACCGGAACTATCAAGTGAAGGGCTCTCGTCTTCCTCAAGGCAGAGAGAGCCTTGCCAAACACAAGTCTGTCGACTGCTTTCGGCGCAACATGCTCGCAGCCTCGCAGGCGAGTGAGTAGAACTGTGCGAGCTGTACGGAGTACTAATGACTGCGTAAGCGCAGCGCTACCCGAATCCTGACTTGTCCGGGTAATTAAAATACAAGAAGCAATACAATAGTTAATAGAAATTATAATTTGACGAATCAGGAGGGAAGAAGCCAGTCCAGTCGACTCTGAGCGACACCAACAGCGCGTAATTAAAAGCTGTGAGCCGGACAACATGTTGGTCCAAGTCCTGAGCCAATAGACTAGTTTTAGCAATTATTTTGAGATGGTGATGGGCAATGAGCGTCTAGTCGTCCCACCCACGCAATAGAGCCTGATGTGGGCGGCGACCGGACCGGACTCAGGCTGGGCACGGGTGCCCCAATCTCCATTCGCTGCGTCTGTTGGCGTCCAGATGTCCTGGACCGCTGTTGGTCTTTCTCCCTTGAGTCCCATGCCTCACCAGCTTTTTGCGCCACCCACCTCACCTGCCTCGAGTTGCGACCAACGCCTGGCCTTGTCAGCATCCAGGTGTTTGGGGGCACACTCAGCTGTGTACTCGGTCGATGTATGCAGTTCCTTTGCAACCACTCGCTCGAAGAGTGCCTTCGGACTTTGTTCATAGATCGACGACGGCGCATTCCATCTTGTGGTCTCGAGCGACATAGCATCCCTTGCTTGTCTGTCTGAAGTTCCGTACGCCCAACCCACCCCACACACGCCGTCGCTGCACCGTACCACCAGAGGTACCGACCGACCTTGCCTTGCCTCCCGTAAACAACTTAATTACTCCAAACTTGACTCGCGGAAAATCCGAGGCCATGATCAAGTCATGGCCACATCGAAACTACATACAGACAAGTCCGACAACCTCAGCCCCAGCGCGCCGCCCCCGCCGAAACAAATCCGCTTCGTCAACACCCAGGGCGAGCCGGCCAACAAGCGCAGGCGCATCAATGCCGCCTGCCGCACCTGCCACCGCCGCAAGACGAGATGCCTTGGCGAACGACCGACCTGCTCGACATGCGAAAAGTCCGGACACAAATGCCAGGGCTATCCAGAAGAGGGCAAGGCCCCCGATTTCAAGGGCGATCTGAGCGATGAAGACGCAGAAGAAGGCGGCAAGGCCGATGTCAAGGTTGTGAAGAAGGCCAAGGGCGCGAACGCCACCAGGGCAGCCGCCTCGACCACGACGCCCGCGACGACGGCCAAGAGCAGCAGGTCATCGACAGCAGCATCAGCCTCCAGAACCAGCAAGAAACCAGCTGCTGCAATGCCAGCCCCGGTTCCAAGCGCGACCGACGCGTCCGACGCCAACACGAAACCTGACCGTCCGACGACCACCCATCGTGTCAACGTCAACGCCAATGTCAACAGCAACGGGCTCACTTCTCCAGCTCCAAAGGGGTTGGCGAGTCCCAATAACACGGGACGAGCCCAGACTTTCCTGTCGCACACGCCAGACCCCGACTCGCCCACCATGCGGCGCAATTCACAGGCCAACAGCCATCGCGTGCCGTACTTTCGCTACTTTGGTCCTACAGCCATCGTACCCGGGTTCAAGCAGATGGTGGTCTCCGTCAAGGACCGGCGTCGCTCTACAAACGGATCGCTTTCCATCAGCTCTCCCTTATCGCAACCTAGCGGCATCGTGGGAAGCGCCGCCGCCGACAGCGATGTCATCGTCGAGGACCCGCCAGTTTACGACCCCAAAGACCCAGTCCCCGTGCACGCCCTCATACTCAACCTGACCAAGCTCTTTTTTGTCCATCTCGGATGCAATTATCCATTCCTTAAACAAAGCAAGTTCCTCAACCTGGTCAAGGAAAAGAGGGCCGAGCCCATCCTCGTGGACGCAGTGTGTGCCTTGGCTGCCAGATTCTCAGATTCACACATCTTGACGGGCGGGAATAACAAGATGCCCCGGACTGAGAGAGGACACGTCTTTGCTCAGCGGGCCAAGCAAGCCACCGTGGACACCTTTCCTTGTCCGACGGTCGCGGCCGTGCAGGCTTGTCTGCTCATGGCCTACGAGGGGTTCGGCGCGAACCAGGATAGCGCGCTATGGATGTATCTCGGGCTGGCCATCCGGATGGCTGTGGATCTGGGCCTGCAGAAACGGATAGGAATACTCTACCAAGGCGAGAATGACCCGTGGAACGTGCAGCGGAGGGCTACCGAGTCGGCAAGCCCAGAGCTCACCATGGCGCAACCTGATACGCCGTCGCACGAGGAGCAGCGAGAGCTGGAACAGGAGCGCATCGACACATTTTGGTCCGTCTTCTTTCTGGACCGAGTCATCTCCTCCGGCACGGGGCGGCCCGTCACTCTGCGGGACGAAGACTTCGAGCTCGCCTTCCCCAAGCTGAAACTACATCCCAATGTGCGGTGGCCCAGTCCGTTTCCGGCGTTGATTGAGATCGTTCATCTCTACGGCCGGGTGTCTGACGTCTTGAACAACATCCACGACGCGTCCGATCTGACGCAGGACAAGTGGCAGAAGCTCATGGCCATGGAGAGCCGGCTCACCAAGGTGTACAAGGGATGGGATGCGCGGCTGCAGTTCAACGTGGGCAACTTCAAGGCATATCTGGGCATCGGGCAAGGCACGACGTTCATCCTGCTGCATTTCTGGTTCCACGCCCTGTTCATCATACTACATCAGCCGACCCTGCTCACGCCCTTTGGCGAACTGCGGAGCGAGCTGCAGCTTCTGCGTGATAGCCGCGAGCTCAGCATGAGCAGCGCCAAGACGATCTGCGACATTTTATCCTTTGCCGACTTGATCGACCCTAAGAGCTTCATCGGGAACCCATTCACGAGCCAACCCATGTACATAGCCGCCTGCGCGTTTCTCATGGAGTCGAGTGCCACCGCATCACAAGCACCCTCGCCCGTGCGGGAATCATCACCGCCTGAGCCTGCGCAGGCGCCGCCGTCGGGCAAAACGCAACGAGAGCACAGCCACGACAATGGCAAAAAGTCGAGACATTCCCTTCTGGCGTCGGCAGCGAACCAGAATTACCAGCGATGCTACCAGTCCCTCGAGAATCTGCATACGTACTGGGGCGGTGTCAAGTATATTCTCACGGCGCTCGACCAGAAAGCCAAGGGGATATGGGATTGCGAGACCTACACCACAGAGGAGTTTGAGAGCACGAAGCCGAAGCAAGGGGGCTTTGAGGTTGGGCAACTCCCTTTCGAAGACCATTCCTCCCCCAGTAGGACGGGCCCGCCCATTGGGTGGGCGCTGGCTGGCACGGCCAACTCGCCCAACTCAAGCTTGACGCTGATGTATCAGAACACACATTCGCACGCGAGCGCGTTGGAAGATGGGCGTTCCGGGGCCATGTATCCGCCCGCCATACCTCATAACACAACGTCCGCGGTACGGTCATCGCCTCGAAATCACCCTTCGTCCCTGCGACAGTCGAATTTGAATACCCTTTTAGAGGCCGCGCATGATACCGCATACATTGGGCCGAATCAACCGTCCAGCTCCTTTGAGTACGGTGCCTCACCCTCCGTGGCCGATGTGGCCGCCCGCCAAGGGTATTACCAGGACGCCGCGACTCATACTAGTCATAATCACGGCAGCAGCGGCAGCAGCAGCACCAATAACAACAATGTGTACTGGGGTGGAACATCGGGAAACATGGACGCCATCACCTTTAACAGCCAGGACATTGACATTGGCGCCCTGGGCCTGCAGCAGCCCGATCTCATGGGGGGTTGGCTGGACTATATCCCCGGGGATGTGCTCGGTCTATTCGACAACCAGGATATGGAGCATGGACCCGCTCCCTGAAGCTTTGATGTTTAACGAGTTTGTCTGTGTCGCACTGCATGGCGTTTAGGACGGTAAAAAGATACACAAGCCAGGGGGCACGGAATGCTTTCTTGGAAAGGTAACGGCGTATCAAATAGACCGGCATGACGGAGTTGGGACTACACATATATGAACCAGCACTCATAATCAAAGACATGGCTTGAAATTGCCGACTTTTTCGGACTTTCTTCCTACTCTCTTCACTGCTGCTGCATACTTCGCCCCATCTGCCTCGAGTGCTGTAGCATGACGGCGTCGGCCACGGTCAACGCAGCCATGGCCTCGACGATGGGCACGGCCCTGGGCACGACGCACGGGTCGTGTCGCCCCTTGGCGGCCAGAACACCCTCGCCCGTCCCGTCGTACTTGGCCGTGGTCTGGTCTTGCGAGATGGTAGCCGGGGGCTTGAAGGCGACGCGGAAGACGATGGGCATGCCGTTCGAGATGCCGCCCTGGATACCGCCCGAGTGGTTCGTCCTGGTCTTGAGCTTGGACTTGGGCAGGCCACCGGTCAGCCGCGACGTCTCCTCGGCCGAGAGCGTGTCGGGGACGAAGAAGGGGTCGTTGTGGACGGAGCCTTTCATGGCGGCGCCGGCGAAGCCCGAGCCAATCTCGAAGCCCTTGACGGCGGGGATGGACATGATGGCGTGGGCGAGGGTGGCCTCGAGCTTGTCGAAGCAGGGCTCGCCCAGGCCGCTGGGGGCGTTGCGGATGATGCAGGTGACGGTGCCGCCGGTCGAGTCGTGGGCGTCGCGCAGCTCGGCGACGTGGTCCTCCATCTTGCGGCAAATGTCCGGGTGGGGGCAGCGGACGGGGAGGAACTCGTCGACGCGGTCGCGGGTCAGGGTGGGCTCGAGGGCGAGGAAGGAGGGATCGGAGGAGAGGGCGTCGGCGGGGGAGTCAAAGAGGTTGATGGGGCCGACGGACGAGACAAAGGCGACAATCTCGACGCCGTAGGTCTGGCGGAGCCACTTCTCGGCCACGGTGCCGGCGGCGACGCGGGCAATGGTCTCGCGGGCGGAGCTGCGGCCGCCGCCCGAGCTGGCCTTGATGCCGTACTTTTCGAGGTAGGTCCAGTCGGCGTGGCTGGGGCGGGGGAAGAGGTCGATCGTCTTGTCGCCGTAGTCCTTGGGGCGCTGGTCCTCATTGGGCACGGTAAGGAGGATCGGGGTGCCAAGGGTGCGGCCATGCTCGGTGCCCGAGTGGATGGTCACGCGATCCTTCTCATCGCGGGGCGTCGTGATGCTCGACTGGCCGGGGCGGCGGCGGTTGAGCTGGGGCTGGATGTCCTCCTCGACGAGGGGCAGATTGGGCGGGCAGTTTTCGATGATGACCGACACGGATTTTCCGTGGGACTCGCCGGCCCTGGTGTGGTCAGCGATCAATGGATTGAGATTCAGACAGTGTAGAGCTCACGTGGTGACCTTGAAGATGTGGCCAAAGGACGACATGGTGGCGATTGGCGTGTAGATGACTGTTGCAAAGGTGAGGAAATAGATGATGCCGATGTCGCGCGAGAATTTTGGTGGGGGAGGGGCACCACTTGGTGTACGGCACTTACTCCTTCAGGTAGGGAACTTGCAGGGTAAAGATATAGCCATGAGCATCTTGGAGACTATCTGCTGACTATACGCAGTACGTACATGATACTTATCCTGGTGTTACTGTGTGAGTACGCTCAGCATGGTCGTTGATTGGGACGACCAGCCATAATTGATCCTTCTTCGCCGTCACAGCGTGCTTGGTCCGGTAAAGACTTCGACGCAGGGTCCGCGTTTCGGCGGGCAGGAAATGCAGACAGCGACCACGTAGCCTACCATAGGTAATTAGTGTCAACGTAGTCGACTCAGCTGTGTTAAACAAGCAATAAATGTGCACTCATACGAAATATCAGAAACAATTGATCTCAAGTTTGATTGACATCCAGAGTGAAGCCTCTCAGCATGACAATAAGATGCTTGATGTGGCTGTGCACTTGATATGTGGCTGAGCGAACTGTGGCGGACGATGCAAGGCTGAGACTCAAATTTCCGATTCATATTCTCAAGATCAAAGACAACTCGGTGTATTATCTATCCTACTTCGCCAGAGAAACCGTCTTTCGTTAGCGTTTTGTTTTATCTGTACTCATAATTGTAATGATGTTTGCGTTTCCTGCTGGTGCCTCTCGCACTCTTCGCTATACTGGCCTCTCTATCAAGCGCACCATCTTCACCTCATCAACACCATCTTCGCCCTCAAGCAAAGTGCAGATATACACTCTCTTGTCCCCATCTGCAACGTACAACCTATCTGTGGAGAACTATCTCATGAAGGCGACGCCTCCCGACTCAACCATTCTGATCCTCTTCATCAATCGACCCAGCATCGTCATTGGCCGGAATCAGAATCCCTGGCTGGAGACCAACCTCAACGAGTTGCATCAGGCCCCAAGTCATGTCCAGCTGGTCAGAAGACGGAGTGGAGGCGGTGCCGTATTTCACGACCAAGGCAACGTGAATTGGAGCGTCATCCACCCACCCAAGCACTTTGACCGGAACAAACACGCGGAGATGGTGGTGCGGGCGTTGCACTCCCTGGGGAAGATATCGGCTCGGGTCAACGAGCGACATGATATTGTTATTGATGCACCCCACCACAGCCAGAACAAGACATTCAAGATCTCCGGGAGCGCCTACAAGCTCACGCGCCTGCGCGCCATCCATCACGGGACCTGCCTGGTCAACTCTCCTCACCTCGCACGGATAGGACCTTTTCTGCGTTCACCAGCGGAAAAGTACATTCAAGCACTTGGATCTGCCAGCGTGAGGAGCCCAATCACCAATGTCGATGTCTCCATCGAGCCATTCCTCGCGGCGGTCAAAGATGAGTTTACCAAGATGTACGGTCTGCCCGATGTCGCGTTCACGGACCGAGCCGAAGAAGGCATGGCTGTGGCAGATGTACAGAAATCTTGGGAAGAGCTAGAGTCAACTGAATGGACCTTTGGTCAGACGCCCAAGTTCACTTTCTCGACACATCCCACAGAGAACGACACTCGGCCCAGGGATGGCGTGCCAGGCAAGACGAAGATATGGTTCATGGCGAATAAGGGCGTCATCGACCAGTTTCAGATAGATGACGTGGAGCAAGCAGCGTTCAAGGGTATCAGGCTCTACGAACCCTCGCGTTCTTCGTGGGCAGAGAGGCTTCGCCAGACTGGCCTAGACGCGCGAGAGGCGCAGGTCATGGGCGACTGGCTGAAGGGCATGTTGGGAGGTGGCGTCTTTGAGAGGCTGAGCCCACCAAAATACGAACATTCGCCTTGATCTGACAGAGAGCAGGACACAAGGAAATCAACGAGCTCGAGCCACTAGTTTTCTAGTTCAGCTGATCATTATCGCTACTTGGCTGCGCGGACAGTACGTCTTGAGTGAGGCATAGAAGGGTGGCTTAGGCCTGTGCACAGTGCGGTGCAACCTGGTCTCACTTGAGGTGTGCCATTTGAGACAAAGCCCAATTTCGATGATTGCAGGCAGCCACTTGATAGGTTAGCCTTTCCTGTGGGAGGTGCGTCAAAGGAGAGGCTGAGCTGAGCGTCCCTGAACAAGGAATGGGTGCATGTCCCTTTGGCACTCGCTCAGAGCTGATGTCGATGATCAATTGACTTGTGGTCGTCCACTTGTGAAATTACCATTTGGGCGAGTGCGACGAAGCTCTCCAACGCTACAACAGGTGTCAGTATGACTGGATGTTGTGGCTAGATATGCAATGGTCATGTTGAATACCGTTGCGATCCATGGATATCTTGGTTCCGTAAGGACCAACCAGTCTGTCTTGGAAATATTCTTCAAGTTGAGAATTGCCGACACTGTCGACCGGTCTCTTCTTCGGGCGACGCGGTTGCCAACATCTCTTCAATACGTGTGCCAACTTCTCCAGCTCTTAATTACCCCAAAGATCGCTTTTCCCCTCGTCGAATCAGATGTCTAGCCTTAGCACAGTCCCCCGGAAGCAACCGATCCTGAACAGAGCCACTGGCCAAGTCCTTGCACTTTTTTTTGCCCATCAAGCCACCCTAGACCATGTCTCCAAATTGTCAGACGCTGGGATTTTTGCGGGCCGAAAGCCAGAGCGCTATCTGCGATAAGTCAATGGTGAAGCACGGTATCCTCGAGCCACGCAACCACAAGCTCCATGACTTCAGAGGCAGTAGTTAACCCATACTCGCGTTGCGTACGTAGTACACACACGAATCAAACCCTACCAAGCGCGTTTCCCAGGCAGGTTCACACAGATTCAGAAAGGCCTTTCAAATCCATTCTCTTGCCTTTATGGGAATCTTCCTAGCATAAGGGCGACGTGTACCGCATTACCCCCTTACACAATGGAAAGAGTGCACTTGCGCTTCAACAAGTTACTCGCCTGCGCCGCAAACATAGTGACACAGTTCATGAGGAGAATGAATCCTATGCAAAGGTACTGTACACCAAGGCAATGTTTTATCCTAAGAAGCCATCGTGGTGCCCGCTACTATAAGGTCCAAGGAGCTACTCGTTAGGACTCTTGGGTCCGAGCTGTATGACTACTCAGGTTTGTATCAAGCCGCAGTCGGCACACGCGCGCTCGACATTGTCTTATTAATATAGTTTCGAGGGGTTGAACCACCGAGATAAGCTACTAGGCTAGTTACCACGGCCTGTGGTGACTGCCACCCGAAGGCCACTGACATTTGGATAGCGCTGGCGGTAGTGGCGGACTACCTGGTACGCTTGTGCAAAAGATAACCACGGGAATGCAAATAAACCGCGAGGGCTTGCGGTAGATTGCGACACGCTCGCGTGCTGACTTGCATGGCTAAGGAGCCTCTGCGATATCGTGCCTTTTCGACAAATTTAACTTCGGTGCTAGTCCAATAGATTGCCAGAGCACAAGACAGAACAACGCCAGTATAAAAACGCCATAGCGCGAGCCAGGCAGAAAACAGCGAGAATTTGAAAACGCTATCTTGGATTTCAGTTTCCTGTATCTCATCGCTCATCAAATGTTGTACGTGCCTTGGGTTTTGAGATGGCGACCCAACTCCTGAAGTTCCGATGGGGATACGTACTCCGTAATTTCGCTACGCGTCGACAGAACAGGCTGCGGAGGAGCCCCAGAACTGTGCAGCTGCAGTGGAATCCACTAATCCAATCAGAGAAGCTGCCGTGGCACATAGTACCACAGCTTGACCCGCCACCTTCCGTCCATCAGCCCCGGCGACTGGACTGGACTGGACTTTGATAATTGACAATGGCTTATCGGCCATTGTTCGATAATGCCGCAGCATGAGTGCCCAGGGCTTGATGGTTGGGAACCTCAGTTCCGCTTAAAAGCCCTTTTGTGAGCGGTTCAACAATATGCACGACACGAATTAGTTGCCCTTCCGACGACAAATGTCTCATGCAGCGAGCAGACGTTCATCATGATCGGTCTAATTATTTTACTATCCGTACACGCAGATAGCTGCAAGAGTTCACACTGTTGGAAGATCCACTCCAATGCAGCGACTGTCAACGTCAAGACGAATCATGCACACGATTGGCTTTGGAGATCTGCAGCGGAGCCCAAACACAGCGTCCGCACTGTCCCATCGCTCGCCTGGGCCTTCAACCCACAGCTGGGCTGCCGAGCCAAGCCAGCCAAGCGCCTGGCGCCAAGACACCGTCCACCATCACTTGTCCGTTGCGTCGCAATGACGCTATCGCTGCTGCACTGCACAGACATGGTCCAGTCGAGACTTTACCGCGATGCCTTGCAAGCATCGTCGACACATTAGCTGATGTGGGCGAGCGGATATCATGCACCTCGATTGAGCCCAAGGCGTTAATAATTGTCGGGCAGCTGTTCAAAGATAGTGTAGGTCTCATTGGCAGTCGTCCCGCAGATGCTGGGGTGAGAGGCAGGTACCGCTGCCGAGCTTAGACCTGTTCGCCAGTTTCACTCGCTCATTGGACAGATGACGGTGCAGCATCTACCTGCGGAAATCGCTCTTCGCCCGCTAGCTAATTACGTCGCTCCAGTGGCCGTCCCGCCGCCGCCCGCCTGTTCGCCTCCAGTCTGCGGCTGGTCTTCCCACCACCACCCAGTGCCCACCACCACCATCCATCGTCCGACTTGTATCACGCACGATTCAACCACCTCCCATCGCCGATACCCCGTCCCTCGTCTCCAGACAAACAGCTCGTCGTCGCATCTTCCACTCAACATCCTCCCCCGTTCTCACCAACACAGAAGAACCTCATGATGGCCGCCTGAACACCCCATCGCCCCGCCTGGCTGGCTTTTGACAAAACGCCGTTGGTTTGTCGCGTTATCGTCACTTGCAGCATGTCGAACCACGACGCAACACTCTCTACCATAGATTCGCAGTTGCGCCTCCAGCCTCTCCAACCATGGAACCGCCCCAGCACCATCGGCGAGCCTCACCGCCACCGGCCTCATCGCCCGCAAACTCCACCACCACGATGCAGCAGCCAAAGCCCAACAATCCTGCCCCGCATAACCGCCCACTCTTCGCACACATTCCACCCTCATCTATGCTACCCTCGCGGACAAACCACAGCACGCCCATCACATCGCCGGGCTTGTTCAGCCCTACACTGACCAGGCACAATACACAGCCGCCGACGTCGTGGTCCGAATCGAATTCGCCTGGTCCGGGTGCCGACCCCATCGCTCCTTATCTGCATCCGCTGCAGACCTACAAAGTGAGAGAGTAAGTTTGGGCGCCTTTGTGTAAAATAACATGGGCTGACCAAGAAAGAACGACCAAAGCGCTCATCGAATCCGACAACATCACCGGCCGCAAGCTCATTAATCAATATGAGGTCATCGAAGAGATCGGCCGTGGCATGCACGGCAAAGTCAAGTTGGCACGCAACATCGAAACGGGCGATAATGTTGCGATTAAGATCATCCCGCGCTTCTCTAAGAAACGTCGTCTCGGTAAAGTCACCGCCATGTCGCCGCAGGACAAGACCAAGAAAGAGATTGCCATTCTCAAGAAAATCCGACACCCCAACGTCGTCGCCCTTCTTGAGGTCATTGACGATCCCGAGCTGAAGAAGATTTACATGGTCCTCGAGCACGCCGAGCTCGGAGAAGTCGTTTGGAGAAAAAAGGGACTGCCTCACATCTGCCAATATGAGCGTCGGCGCGCAGAGAGGGAGGCTCGCGGCGACACCCGCACCGTCGAGGAGGAGAGATACGATCAGATTCTGGAGCAGCGGCAGATACTCAAAGAGTACAAGCGCGCACGAATGGCTCAGCACTACAGTGGACCGACCGATTACTGGAGCAACGAGTATGGTGCCGCGGACGAACCAAGCAGCAGCTTTGGCCAGTCTTCGCGCATCATGTCCCGTGAAGACTTCGCTGTCAGCGATGGCCCTCCGTCCCGGCCTGGGTCTCGCCAACCTTCAAGAGGCCCGTCACGTTCCCACTCTCTTGCCTCTGTCGCTCGACCCCCCTCCGAACTAGACGAGGAAGTTGACTGGGAAGAGAACATGGAGACCCCCGGACCGATTCGGTCCAACCCCAATTCTCATACGGCTCTCGATGGCATGATGTACGTGCCACAGCTTGAGGAGCATCACTTTCGTGGTCGTTCACCGAGCATGGCCGACTCCATCATCTCCCACATGTCGTCAGTCGACATGTTCCAACCCACGCATGATGCCTTTGCCGACGATTTCTCCTATGTTCCTTGTTTCACCATGGATCTAGCACGCTCAGCGTTCCGTGACACGCTCCTGGGCCTTGAGTATTTGCACTACCAAGGCGTTGTGCACCGCGACATCAAGCCAGCGAATCTGCTCTGGAGCAAGGACCATCGTGTCAAGATTTCAGACTTTGGTGTCTCCTACTTTGGTCGACCAATCCGAGATGGCGAGTTGGATGAGCCAGTGTCCGAGTCGGAGGCTAAAGACTTTGACGATGATGTCGAACTGTCAAAGACTGTCGGCACGCCGGCCTTCTTTGCGCCCGAGCTGTGTTACACTGACGAGGGCAGAGATCATCAGCCTAAGGTCTCGGAGCAGATTGATGTCTGGTCACTTGGCGTCACACTGTATTGCTTGATCTTCGCTCGCATCCCCTTCCTCGCCGAGGATGAGTTTCAAATGTTTCGCAAAATCGCCACAGAGGAGGTGTACATACCTCATCGCAGACTGAAGCCCGTCGACCCGTCAACGTCACCCGTTGGAACTTCGCTGTACAAGAGACACAACGTCCACCCCTATCGCAACGACAACGACCTGGAGTATGAGCAAGTCGATCCCCTCTTATGGGACCTTCTCCGCCGCATGCTCACAAAGAATCCCGAACAGCGTATCAAGCTGAGAGACATCAAACGGCACCAGTGGGTGATGCAGGGCATTGAGAACCCTGTGGGATGGCTCGACGACACTGATCCGGGTCGTCCCTCGTCAGGCCGAAAGATTGAGATCAACGACCAGGATGTGTCGGACGCCGTTGTCCCTCTCACCTTCCTGGAGCGATTGTCACGCAAGGCTGGTAACATTGGCAAGGCTGTGACCAAAGCCATCCACCCGTTGGTCGATCGCAGTGACAGCAAGTCACGTCGTCGAGCCAACAGTAGCGTTGCCAGCTCTGCCGGGGATAGCATGGTGAACGGACCGCCCTCGCAGCATCCCGGTTCAGACCGTCGCCGAAGTGTGCTGCCCGACGACTATTTTTTAGGCGCCGCCGCAAGGGAGCTCTATCCTGGCGCAGAGCCCGTTGATTACGATCCGATGGCTACTGTGCTGCCTCCCCTGGAAAAGGCAAACGCTATGCATGCGGTCTCCGCAGCCCTTCAGGACACACCCCGGACGATGCTACGACATGCACGGTCACTTAGCAAACCAAACGAACAGGTCAAAGACCGGCGCTCAAGGAACTTAGAGCCTCACACCACTCCCTCGACACCACTGCGCGGCAGCGGAGGGCTCGATGAAGATTCTGACTATCTGGCAGGGGAGCTACGCTGGCCTCGCACTCTCAACATCGAAGACGAGGATAATTCCCGGTCTCGCTCTGTTGACAGGGGTCTCTTTGGAGCTGCTGACAAACGTGGCTCCGCGCAAGTCGGTGTGTCGCAAGCAGTTGCGTCTGGCGATATCCAGCGTCCGGCTGTCCACGGCCATCCGCGACAGATGCGCTCTGTGGACCTTGGCAAAGCGCGCAACCGCCTCAGTCTTGCGTCGCCTCTGTCGTCTGCCATGTACACCGATGAGATCAGTGAGCCGAATCTGAACAGTGAGCCCGCAAAGTCGCCCAGCAAACCACCACTACAGCGCAAGCACACGAACTCGAATCCTGAATCCTTTGTGAACTCGCAAGGGTTCTTCCATCTGGGACAGGAGGACGATATGCAGCAGTCCACGGGTACGCTGAAGCACATTGACCCCGCAAGCGTACCGCACACGCCCTCGCCAGACAGCGGTGGCTGGGATCATCATCATTCTGCCGTGGGGGGCGACATGACCAAGGACACGAAGTCATCCAGCACAGACTCCATGGATTGCGTGGGGACCCCGTGCACCGTGCTCAGCGAAGTGGCGGGCCCGGTTTCGGAACCACCCGCACACCAGAAGCGCCATTCCGAGCACTTTCAGTCGGACCCGTCCTTGCCAGCCTTGCTCAGCGGCGCGAGCTCCGTGTCGGCGGACATGGAGGCAGAGCTGCTCGGTCGGCCGGGGGTTGTCAGCAACAGACCATCTCTATTGGAGACAACCGACTCCATGACACCGCCTCTAGAGGGGAAAGAAGGTGATGAGCTTGCTGTGAGTCACGTATTTGGGCATCCACCCGCCATGGCCAGTGGCTCTCTGACGCTCCGTCTTGACCCGGCGGATGACGAGAGTCACCACGACGATTACGATCATGAACGAGATGACGACGGCAGTGGGAGCGACGACGAGATCCTTCTCATGGCGTCACGGAAGAAGCAAGCCCCTGCCTCCACTAGTACGGTATCGCGCGGGCTGCCTGCGGAGCCGAAACGGCGCGATACCAACATCAGCACGACGAGCGTTGAGACGGCGCGTCCGCCGCCCACGACGAATGACGAGCACGCAGCAGACGGTGCATGAGTGTTCAGAGGGAGGATGATACACGATCGCATGACGAGTTCAAGGAAACACATACACCTCTCCACTGCACCGAAAATTTACTGCACAATGTATATAATATCTAGACCTCGGCGAAGGTCCATATGGGAGGTGATCTGCTTTTCCGATGCTTCTGGAGTCGTACGCCCGCATAGCATGGACGTTTGGAAGTTGTGGGGGGTGCTTTATCTGGTAGATGGTGTCTGTCTAGCGTGGAGAGGCATTTTGTATCCGATTTTGTTTTCTTTTTGCACAAGCACGAGCAGCACGGTGTGTAATGGAGCAGCGGTGGGAGAGGGGAAGGATTTCCGACTTCGCATAGCAACATGAAGACGAATTGACAGGCATTTTGCATTGTCACTGTTGTTCCATTGATGTCTACCTTGACTTATCCCTTGACGAGCGAGGCGACGTCCTTCCACGCCCATATGACTCGGTCCTTGGCCACGACGTAGCCCTTGGCCCCACCAATCCCAATGATAAAGGCAATCAGAACAACGATGGCATTGAGGGCCATGTTCAAGAGCGCGGACGCAACCGGCTTCCCCTTTTCCATGTCGGCGATGATGCCATCGAGCGTCTCGGCCATGCTGTCCCTGGAGAAGACCTCGCGCACGCGGTTCAGGCCCTGCTCGCCCATGGTCCTGAGCAGGCCGTCGTTTTGACCGTCGAGGGCGGTGGCCATGACGTCCGTCCAGGCGGCCACGTCGGTCGTGGGGCGCAGCCAGCCCGTCTTGCCGTCCACCACGGACTCGCGCGGTCCGCCGGTCGTGGCGGCCAGGACGGGGAGTTTGGCCTTCATGGCTTCGAGGGGGACGATGCCAAAGTGCTCGCCGGCGGGGGTGTAGAGGAGCAGCCTGGCGTGGCGCAGCAGGGACGTCTTGGTGTCGGAGGGCACGGAGGGGAGGAAGAGGACGGGGGCGTCGTCGGCGGGGGTCGCCTGCGCGAGGGAGTCCGTGGCGGTGACGGTGGTGTGGCCGAGCGAGAGGCTGTCGCAGAGGGAGCGTAGCTCGGATAAGTACTGTACATTCTCGTCGATTCGAGGGTCGTAGCCGCCGGCGAGGACGAGGCGGACGTTTTTGCGCTGGGCCAGCCCGGCAAAGGCCTTTATGGCGAGGGCAATGTCCTTTTTGCGCTCGAAGCGGTTGATGCTCAGCAGGAGCTTTTCGCCGTCGAGGGCATTGCGCACCGCCTTGTTGCTTGTGGAGGAGGAGGAGGAGGAGGAGGCCGCAGACAGGTCGACGCAGGGGTAGACGGTGCGCAGTGTCGTGCTGGCGGCGAGCGTGGGCCATGTCTGCGCGACAATGGACTTTGTGAACTCGGAGTTGACGGCGGTGCTGGCGGCGAACTGCATGGTCCATTCCTCGAGCTTGTCGAAGGGGACGCGGTACAGGCGCTTGAGGGCACTGGTGTCGCGGCCGGAGGCGAGGAGGAGGTCGGGGAAGTGGCAGTAGAAGAGGATGGGGGCGGCGGGGCAGAGGTAGGTGAGCAGGGGGAGGCCGGCGGAGAGCTGGTCGACGATGATAGCGCGGGGTGCGAGGCGGAGGAGCTCGCCGGTCAGGGCGATCTGGAGGAGGAGCTGGATGTGGCGGAGGATGGCGCAGAGGATGATGAGGCGGGAGAAGACGGACATGGGGATGAGGCGGGAGGCGCGCACGCGGACGTCGAGGGTGCCATCGCGACACTCGTCGAAGCAGTGGCCTGGGTCGCAGTGGTTGGTGAAGATGACGACCTTGTGGCCTCGCGCCTGCAGGCCGACGGCGGCGTCGACGATGAGACGCTCTGCGCCGCCGATGCCTAGATCCGGGTGGAAGAAGACAACGGTGCCCTGTTCGTGGTTCGAGGCGGAGACAGCCGCCTGGGCTGGAGCTGGGACTCGGGTGAGGGTAGCGGATGGATTGGATGCCCGCCCCCGGGGCTGCTTGCGGGCCATGATGGCTGGCGGTGGTGGGGGGAAAGGGCTGCGAAGGAGTGAGGAGGGTGAGGATGGTGGAGGAACGTTTCTGTTGATGTTGGAGATTGGAGTGTGGTGTGGGGGCTGCGCATGCAGTCCCTGCAGGGATTAGGAGGTCCTCAGCTTTCCATCAGGTAAGGAAGGTAATTAGGTACTTTCGGCTTACCGTATGCGGGGCGAAGGATGGGCTGGAGCTGATACGCAAGGCGAAACTCTCATCACTCTATGTAGCTCTCGAGGAACAGTTGTTCGTTTGTTGAATTTTTGATATGGAGAAGAGGTCATTGTCGTCTCAACGATGCATCTGATCATGCGGCTGCATGTCTTTATCACCTCACCTCAGCCGTGAAGCGACGAGAGGGTACTGTAGGGCATAGGGTAGCCTATTTTCAGCTACTCCTCACCCACCGAGAGCGAAGCGCATCTTACTTTATCATCTTCAACTTCACTTCACTCCACCTTGACTGATCGTGCATCCTGATCTCCGCCTTCACCATGGCGACACAACTCATCCATCAGTCCTCCACATCGCACGTCGCACAGTCGTCACCGCATCCGTACTGCTGGCACCCATAGCAGTCGTCTTGGCAGCCACCCTCGCCCTTGTTGGCGACGACGCCCAGGTATGACGATGCGTCCTCGCTCGGGTCGCAGTCCTTGGGTTCGCAGAAGCATTGCTCCTCGCTCGTAGGGCCTGACTTGTCAGTACCAGCGCAGCAGCAGCCGTTGTCATCGTCATCATCTGGGTCGTCTGGGTCGTTGGGGTCGCCGCCACCACCACCGCCGGAACAGAAGCCTATGCAGGGGATCTTGATTGGGGGCGGAGATTCGATGCCGGGAGTATCGCAGAGTAGGTTACAGACGTCGCCGCATCCCGACTCACAGGTTGGCTTGGGCCTGCCGGAGCGAGCTGGGTGGGACGATTCGGCGAGCGTTGGGTCGGGTGCCTCCTCGAGTGCCGTGCGGCTCGATGCTGGTGTAGAACCAGATGACGGTGTTGTCGTCGTCGTTATCGTCCGTCTGCGTCCACGGAATGTTGGAGAAGTGGATGATGCTGGTCGTGAGGGCCGGCACGGTGATGACTACCGTCGTCGTGATGGTCGTGTAGACCGCGTTGCCGTCCTCTGTCGAGACGGGCCAGACCTTCTGCACACCCTCCGTCATGGGCGGCAGGGAGATGGTGGTGAAGGACTCGAGCACGAGGGGCGGCAGCACAAAGGTATGGGGCGGGAAACACTGCATCGGCTGGTCTGGGTTCTCATGGATAGACGCGTTGATTTAGACGTAGTTGTAGTCTCCGCCCTGATCACGATGGCCAGGACGGCGCGTCGCATGCTATATTGGTACAGCAACGACCGCGCCGTGGCGGCGACGCTAGGGACCTTTCTGGGGGTGGGCACGACAGAGAAGGGCGGGCAATTCGCCCCGAATGACCCGGCCCAGCTGCAGAACTTCCAAGGTATGGCGGGAGAATCCTAGGATATAAGGGGCACGTGCTGACAAGTCCGTGCAGACTGGCTGGTGGATGTGGTGACCTTTGCCGAGGGTGGCTTCGCGTCCTTTGGCTACAGTGAGGCCTGGCTGATGAAGGGCGACAGCCTCCAGCAGCGCAAGACGCTCGACGACTGGGTCCAGACATGTCCGTCACGCCGGGCGCGCTTGTCGAGAGGCACTTTTCCCGCCGCACGATCCTGCTGCACGAGATGATGCACGCTGTCCGGCAGGGCAAGTCGCCCAATCTCGCCAGTGAGTGTGCTTATCCATAAAAGGAAGAGAGAGAGGGAGAGGTCGTGCTGACTGAAGACCAAGACAATTCGAACGAGTGCTCTCGAATGAGGACGATGGGGGCTTTCTGCGGTGAGCCCGGCCTGCGTGACGGCCATGGTCGTGGCCATGAACTTTCTGGGCCGGGGCTTGACGGCGGGCCAGGATCCGTGGTCGTTCTGGACGGGCAGTGCGATGACGCCGAGCGACGCGAACGAGTGGTTCCAGAAGAAGAAGAAGTCTTGAGGTGCTGGGCGAGCAAAGGCGCACTTGGCTGTCCGTCCATCACTAGGTAGGCAGGACACGTGGATGGTTCGGAGTGAGACGTGGTGCTGTCAACGACTACTAGCGGTATTGATATATCCATCCATGAACGCGACTCGATGGAACACGATGTCAAACTTGTGCAGATGATGATGTGAACCCTGATTGATGATGTGATCAAGTAAAGTAGGTATCTCAACGCCGTGCCGAGGCATCGCCACATCTTCCCCACGGGCGAGTCGGGAGACAGTCGTGAGACATGTGTAATCAGTCGCACCTCACATCACAAATTGTCTACCACACTCCTCCTCTTCACCTCTTCACTCACCCTCGCCTCGCCTCACCTCACCTCGCCTCCCCTCGCCTCACTAGAATGTCTCTCTTCACCATCCCCATACCCGCGCTGGGCACCGCGTATCCCGGCGGCGCAATCACATGCACGACACCCGCGCCCAAGGTCTACCTGCTCACCTTCGTGTCGCCCCCCGACAACCGCCTCACGACGCCCGTCCTCAAGGCGCTCCTCTCCGCTCTCGACGTCCTCGAGTTTGGCGGCCACGCGCCCGGCGTCGTCGTCACCACGAGCGGCATCCAAAAGTTCTACTCCAACGGCCTGGATCTCGCCCACGCCGCCGAGACCGACGGCTACTGGCCTCTGCTCTACGCCGTCTGGGCGCGTTTCCTCACCTACCCCATGCCCACCGTCGCCTGGATGAACGGCCACGCCTTTGCCGGCGGCCTCATGCTCGCCACGAGCCACGACTACCGCCTCGCGCCCTCGCCGCGTGGCTTCCTCTGCCTCAACGAGCTGCTCTTTGGCGCGCCCCTCAAGCCCGCCATGGCCGCCATCTTCCGCCACAAGCTCCCGTCGGCCACGTACCGGACTCTCGTGCTCGAGGCGAAGCGCTTCAACGCCGACGAGGCCCTGGCCGCGGGCATCGTCGACGGCGTCGCGACGGGGCTAGATGACGTGCTGGGCTTCATTGCGCAGAGGGAGTTGGCGGAGAAGCCCAAATCGGGTGTCTACGGCATCCTCAAGGGCGAGATGTACAAGGATCTCCTGCAGATGCTCTCGGGACCGGGCCTGGAGGCGGAGGAGGCGCGGTTCGACGCCGACCAGGCCCGCAACGCGGAGAGGAGGGAGTTTGGCAGGGTCTGGTATGAGCAGTGGGAGAAGGAGGACAAGGCAAAGCTGTAGTCTGTACTGAATAACTCGAATTCACATGGGGTATCATGGTATCCTAACCCACTACTCCTACACTAAGAAATGTATCACCACGACTACATACAATGCATAGCTCAGCCCTCCATGGGTCGCGGCGCCTGGACGCTGAGCTCGCTCCGCTCCGCCAGACTCTCCCTCTCGGCGTCGAGGACAGCCCTCCTCTTGGCCTCAATGTCCTCCCTCTTGACCACCCGTCGGAGACCCTCGCTCGCCTGCAGCAGGCCGTCGATGCTGATGGCGTGCTCCGTCATGTGGTGCCCAATGTACGTGTACGCCGCCGCCGCCGTCTGGCACTGGACCAAATTGCCCTCGTTGAGCTTGAGCAGCGCCAGCGCCACCTGGAAGAGGAACGTGCTGCCGTCCTGCGTGCACAGCACCACGTCCCACACCCGGAACAGCGCCTCGGCGCAGAGGCAGTCGGTGAAGACGGACAGGAACCACTGAAAGGTCATCGTCTCGAGCTCCACCCCCAGGGAATCGAGGTGCGCCGACAGACGCGGCAGCACCACGCCCACGTACTGCCGCAGCACCTGCTGGTCCGCCCGCGACGACGCGAGCGACTGGTCGTAGTACCCCGGCGGCAGGATGTTCTCCACAATCGTCGCCAGCACCCAGAACGCGTCCTCGGCCGACGGCATCACCAGCAGCAGGTTCGCCGTGATCAGGTTCATCCCCTGGCAGTAGCCCACGTGCTTGTTGCGCCGCGCGTATGCCACCAGCACCTCCTTGAGCTTCGGCACACCCGGCCCGACCCGGAAGAAGATGTTGTCCGTCAGCGTCCGGTAAATATCCATGCCAATCTGGCTCACCACCGTCGGGTCATCACCCGACCGGTCCTGCGCCACCAGATCCTCATAGTACCCCGGGATCCGCAGCGCCGTCGCCCCGGAGCACTCGGACCAGATCTTGGGCCGGTACGCCACCGGTATGCCCCCCAGCACGAGGCCCTTGAACTCGTTCCACTTGTTGCGCCCAATCTTGCCCTTGTTGCCAAGGTCCGAGATGCCAATCATCTCCCCGTCCGCCACGCGCGTCTCCGGGAGGATCACCGCGGGGCGCTCGTACCGCGCCTCGGCGGCCGCCTGCGCGGCCGCCACGGCAGCGGCGCCCTCCCGCCTGCGCTCCGCCCGCACCTTGCGCAGAAAGTCGTTCCACAGCGGCGTCTTCTTCTGCTGCGTCGCGTCGTGCAGGTCGTTGAGCTGCTGCAGCAGGTGCCGCACAGGTTCGCGGTCCTCCTTGAGCTCGTCCTGGCCCGCGTCGCTCGTCTCGGGCGGCGGCGGCAGCGTCACCTGGCTGCTGACCGCCACCGTCGTGTTGGCCGACGGCAGCAGGCCATGGTCCGTCGGCGTGATGGACGGGGACCGTGTCGTGTCCGCCTGCGACTCGTTGGGCGTCTCGGGGGCTTCCAGCACTTCCAGGTTCGGCGCGCCCACGCTCGGGGTGTGACTGAGCAGCTCCGTGGGGAATGTCGCGATCTTGAGGTAATCCTGCCACCGTTTCGAGCGAGCCTCGGTGGCCTTGTCCTTGTCCTTGTCCTCCGCACTCACCGGGCTGGCCGGTGCCCCCTCGCTCGAGACGCTTCCCTTGGGGCTGGGCAGGCCTTCGTCCAGCATGTTGGGCGATATGCCGTTTCGTCCGCTGAGAAGCATCTCCGTGCGACTGTCTGCGCGCGTGTGTCGCGCTGCCTCTCGCTGCCGCTTCTTCCGCCGTTGATCGTAGATGAAGCCAAACCGATCGGTCGGCACGTCTTTGCTGCCATATAGGTTGTACAGCGTCGCCAGGGCTGGTGGCTGTGATTCCGGCGGGAGGATGGCGTCCATCTCAACCGGCCCGTAGCTTTCCTGTCGCGCAGCATCGGGCGGACTGTTGACCATTGTCTCCCACATCTCCTGAGCCGGGGTTTTGGTCGTGGCTTGCGGCTGCGCTGACGGCACAGGTGTCGAGCGTCGCATCGCCATCAGCGCCTTGGGCCCTCCGGCCACAGAAGAGGATCGGTGGGAGGGCGATGGGCGTGCCGTGGCCGCCACCGGCCGCGTCGATGCCTCTCTGGTATCTGCGCTGACCGCTCTCCCTCTTGTCTCTGCTTCACGACCACTGATGGCGCCGCCAGCGACGAGCCTCAGGGCAAGGCTAGCCAGCGACCCGGACGCCTTCCGGTCCGGTAGATTGGCTGAATGTGTACTGGACGGCCGTGACGTCGTGCTCGAGGTGGCATGGGCCGTAGGTGGCGTGAACAAGTCGTCGGCAAGGCCGGGCCTTCGATCCAGACTCGACGACGACCGGATGCCCCCCACCGTCTGCGATCCCTCGCTCGGCAGGATGCTGCTGCTGTTCCCTCGACTCTTCTTGGCTGTATTCGTGCCCCACAGGAAATCTTTCCATCCCTTGGCCGTCCCCCGGCTATCCTTTCTGTCGTTCGATGCTCGGATGGTAGAATCACCACCAGCCAGCCGCGTCTCTCGATGCGCATCCGTCGTCATGGTATCGTGCATGGCATCGCTCATCATGCTGCTGAGGCCGCTATCCACCCTGCTCCTTGGTGTATCGTCATGCCTGGCATTGTCCTCCATCACGCGCAGTCTCGTCTCCAACTCGAGGTTGGACAGCCCGCATTCTCGGATGATGCGTCGCAGTGCCTTTTCGCGGTCGTCGGCACGTCGCCGCAGCGCGGTGATTTGCGCGTCGCGTTGGGCCAGGTCCTCGGCAATCTGACGCACAAGACTGACCGCCCCTTGTCGCGCAATGAGCCGCTCAATGAGTCCATCGTCGGCCCGGTGCAGGGCACCCGGTACCCTTGTCACCGGCTCCTCCTCGAAGAGATCTCTTCGTCTCGAAGTGCTCGACAGACCTCCCGTCAAGCTGTCCACGATACTTTCGCTCCTCGCGCCTCGATTCTCCTGCGTCGCCGTCTTGACCCTCTCTTCTTCTTCCTGTTCCCGCGCCCCCTCCTGGTCGTTTCGTGCATCGAAGCTGTCTGTGCTGTGATCCTTGAACGTACTGTAGACCGACAGCGCGGGCGTCGACCCTTGGAAGCGGCTGGCACCCGGCGACTCGGGCGAGAAGCTCGGGAAGCTTGTCAGGGACTTGTCGCTGGGTGCTATGCTGCTCGCCGAGGACGACGGCTGCCGTGACGTGAGGCGCGCGCGGCTGATCTGGCGCCCTTGACGGACGGTCGCGGACCGGTGGGAGCGAAGGGACGTCGTGCTGTGGGTCGAGGTTGATCGCTCGAGCTGCCCGAGGGGGTCCATGGCAGCTGTTCCCGACCGTCTCGTGGCACAGCGTTGCGGCGGACGCAGCGATAGCGTGATGGTCGGATAATTAATTAAATTGAAGTACGGTAGCTGGCGAGCTGCTGGACTGGACTGGACTGGACTGGGCTGGACTCTGAAGGGCGGAGCTGGTTTTGTGGCTGAAGCTTCGAGTCGTCGATGACGGACACGCTGTGGCGTACAGTGTGGCGCTACGCAGCCCACCGCACCTTTTGCTCCGGAGAGGTAGGTACGTCCTTGAGGTACGCACCCTGAGAGCTGAGGATCGCAGTGCTCCACGACGTACTATCAGTAGGTACTCTGTAGTGTTTGTCCAAACCAAACGGAAGAAATCGCGTGCTTGGGCACATGTACGAAAAGTACAAAACCATCACGGGAGCGCCAACGTAGCGCGTGAACGAAGCTAGGAAGCTAACTGCAACGGCCAATGATCGCACGGTGAGGGAGGGAGGGAGGGAGAGAGGGAGGGAGGCAGCTACAAGTGTCCATTCCAACCTATGAGGCTGGATGAAGGCCTGGAATGAGGTTGATTGAAAATTCAAAATTAGCAGAAACGCCATGCTGTAGAGCTCATGTATGTATAACTCCCTCGAAAGATCACGCTTGCCGTCCTTGACCCAGCCCTTCAACGCCACTTTACCAAATGCCTAATCCATTCCACCTTCGTATGTCACACATTATTCCTCCTCGCCCCCAAGTAGGGGCACAATGTCAGCCTCCGTAAGCTTGCGCAATATGTCGTCCTGTGCCAGTGCCTTCTTGGTGGACATTTCCAGGCCGTCCAGCATTCTGAGCTTCTTGCACCTAGCAGCAAACGCAATATGGTGCACTCTCCGCCTCATCTTCATCTCCATAATCAAACGACCTGCAAATGCAGCGTCCTTCTGTGCATCGGCCTCGGGCAAGACAAACGGGTCGTGCCGGCCTTCCGAGGAGAGCGAGCACAGTGGCACATAGAATCCCTGGGTGAAAGGGTTGTCTCGGGTGTCCACGTGCGTCAGGTGCGGGAACATGGAGACCAGCTCTTCCATAACTCTGGCATCCTTGATCTGATTCCCTGCCACCAGTAGCTTCTTCAATCTCGGAATGAAGGCGAGGCACTGAATGTCGGGGATCGAGTTGAAGTTGAGATTCACGCTCCTCAGATTCGGCATCAGCTGGCCCAGGTTGCCGGGCAGGAACTGCAGCCCGCAGCTAGCCAGCTCCAAGAGCTGAAGGTTGAGCATGTCCACCCGCGGCGCAAAGGCACCTATAAAGTTGCCAGACAGGTAGAGCTTCCGTACTTCGTTGGCAGCGGTCAAGAAACTCATGTCGATTGGCTGCTCCCCTTGCTGTTCCCGGAGCGAGAGGCTGTCCAGTCTCCGCGTGACGTCGCAGCCCCGAACATCACCGAACCGGTTGCTATCGGCATGGAAAAGTGTGAGATTCGGCACGTTCGTCAAGTCAATGGACGCGACCTGGTTGTGACTGATGTCTAGATGCTTCAGGCCCGGGACGACACTCTTGAACTCCAACTGGCGCAGGCAGTTCCTGGCAAGCTTGACATGAGCTAAAGCAGGGGCCCAATGCAAGTTGCGCGCCCACATGATGCTGTTCCCTTCGAGGTCGACCTCGGTGACCCGTGCGAGCTGGCACCGCGCAAAATCGGCCTCCTCAATCTCGTTGTCCCGAGCGCGAAGAGACAGCAAGCCTGCGTGTTTATCGAGGTCGTTGATGCTCTTGAGGTGATTCTTGTCGGCTTTGATGCTGCGCAGGTGATGCAGATTGCGGAGTCCAGACAGGCTTCGGAGATCATTTTGGGAGCAGTCAACATACTGCAGGTTGGGTAGATGATCCCAGCTCGTCAGTTCCGTGAGCCGGTTGCCGCAGACCTTGAGCTCCCTCACCGTGGCCGGGATCCCGGCAAGGTTCGAGAGGGCATTCTGGGAAACGTCGAGCTTCACGAGCCTGGGGCAGAATTCATCCAGCTGGTGTATACTTGCGATATCCATGCCGCTCAGGTCTAGCTCGGTCAGCTCCTCCCAGTACGACTCTTGCGGCTCGGCTTGTGCAAGCTTCTCTACAAGTGTCCTGAGGCTGATTGACATGGTCGGCTGCGCGTCATTGCCCGTCTTGAAATGCCGGTCGCCCATCACATAGCTGACCTCGAATCCGAACGACTGGTCATTCTTATGATGGAAGGTAAAGTCGGATAGAGGACTCAGCGAGAGTTTGCCAACGTTGCTTCCAATGATCGCCTCGTCCTCTCGCCGGAGGGACAATGCGTTGTGGCGCACCCTGTCGAGGCCGCTCCCATGGATAGGCGTTTGGTTCAGGACAAGGCTGACGTTGGCATGAGCACCGTCAGGCGTAGGATAATGATGGCTGACGAGACTCTGCTCCGCGACGAGGCTAAGCTGCTGATTCGAAAGTCGGACTTCCGATTGGTGATGAGGAAGTTCCACGGTGCTATCTTCGTCCTGCTCATCGATTCGTGACGCTGGCCGGAAGGTAACCTTGGGCCGTGCTGGCGTAGAGCTGTCGGGTGCTCGAAGCTGCCCCATGTTTGCAACGGTGCTTTCCTTACGTGGCGAGGCCAGATTGAGATGGTCCAGCTCGCGCACTGCGTCCACTGACAGGTCGGGAATACTGGCAAACGGATCGTCCTCGCTATCGCTTTGTGGTACTGGAGCGCATGTCTCTTGAACAAAGCCCTTCTCCTTGACCCACACATTATTCCCCTTGTCCAGACGCATACTTCCAACTCGGTCACCTATGAGGTGCGAGACGCTTTCAGGCACAATGGTTCTCCTGGTGTCAGAACCGCGCGAGGAGCCTGTTCGATAAGAGCCGTTGCTGTGGAGGTCGAATCCAAACGAGTTGTACGACTGCGCCGAGTAGCGAGTATTGGGGTTGGTCGAGATACGCACATTTGGTATGTCGCTCACGATCGCATCCGCGAATGATGGCACCATTGGTAGACGATATGCTCCGTAACTGTCTTGCTCATTGCCAGATCCCTGGCTCCGCGGACTCAGCAGCTCGCGTGAACCAGGGGAGGATGGCTCGTTCGATACGAGCTCATCCATGTCACTAGTCGCCTCCTTGTAGCGTCTCAACCGGGCGGCGATTTCAGGTGTTTGTTCAGCAAAGACATTGCGCCGCGATGGCAGTGGTTCACCTCGACTGGGCGGGCGGGAGAATGGCTCTCGTTCCGACTCTGAGCCCGACTCATAAGCCACACTCTCGTCGCCATGAACTTGGTTTCTAATGGCAGCCATGATCCTTGTGGCTTCATCGAGGAAGTCCTGCGTTCTCTCCTGATGCGTCCGTCTCCTCTTGGGAGTGGACACCTTTTCAGGAGATGTGCGCGGTCGTTTACCCCCAAACTCCACATTGGATTGACTTGACAGCGTCCCGGCACGCTCTCGCCGACGTCGAACGAAGATCCCTGATCCTTCGCTTGATGATGAGCCTGGTCGCGTGAGATGCACCTGTTTCCGCATGTACCCGTGTGATAAACCATCGTCGGTCGGCTTGTGGGCTGAGGACTGCTGGTCTAGCATAGGGGATCGGAGCGAGGTCGTGAACTTGTAGCCGTCCAGCTTACCCGACCCAAAGTCCTCGGGACTCGAGCTGTCGCGCATCTGTGACTGTTTTGCCGGGGTCCGGATGTGAGCCGGCCGTTTCACTGGTTCGATCCCCTCCTCAACCTCGGACGGTTCGTGAGCAGAAGATGTATACGGTGTCCCCTCCTCAAATTGACTGATACGTCGGAGTAACGTCTTGTTGGTATAGGTGTCGTAAGGCCCAAAAAGCTTCAAAGGGCTACCGGGCGCCCTATAGTGAAGCGGACTGAGACCGTGTGACACATCGACGGCTTGGTGCTGTTCACGGTTATCAGTGTCGGACAGCTCTTCGTGCTGGGGAGACATTGTGTGTTCGCCTTGGCCCAGTTGACCCCCCTCATTGTAAGACACAGAATCACGGGGCTGAAGTGAGCCCGAATCTTCGGTTTGCGGCTGATCCCCGTAGGACGCCCCGCTGTCGAATGTGAAGCTGTCACCGTTGTTTTCCATCTCTGGCTGTTGTCGACTTTTGCAGGACATGGTGAACCTGCTCAGCGGTGTCGAGTTCATGATAATGTTGGAATCGTTGGGGTCAAAGTGCGAGGATTGATTATCGAATTGTAGAGATTGGTTAGGAGCTGACGTTGTGCCTTGGTCAGTGTTGGCAGAGGACCGGGCGGCGCCGAGCTCAGAGACATCTTCAGCGATGGTCACCTCGCGCTGTGTGAGTTCTGCGCCGTCGTGGTGTTTGAGAATGCCTGCGGAAGAATCCCTGGCAAATCTCCGATTCTCCTTGTACAGGGCGCTGTCCTGATTGAGGCGGAGTCTTTCCAACCTTTGTGTGAGGTCATGATGCCCCAGTGTCTGCAAGGAACTGGCCAAGCGCCGAGGTGGGTGGCTGGGCCTAGATGTGTATCTAGATTTAGACCCAGGTAGGACACGAGGAGTGAATTGCAATTGACCTGTTGCGTCCTTCTCCACGCCCAATTTTATCTCGCTGAAGCTCTCATTGCTGTCGTTGTGGCCACTATTATTGGCACGCATGTTCCTGCCAGCAGATGATGCAGTGAAGCAGCTCGCGTCCCTGTAAATCCTGACCTCGGGCACCATGGCCTTTGTACGTCCTGCCGCGAGGCTCAAGGACGGTGAGTGTGTATTCTCGTGGTAGGAACTACTAGGGCACGAAGCATTCTGTCGCTTCGGTCGTCGAGGACTGGGACTTGGCGAAGCGAGGCGGTCAAAATCGGGGCTTTCGCATTCCTCCTGCTCCATCTTGAAAACTTCCTCTGCGAGATCATAGCTGGCTCGACGATTTTCATAAGTGGCGGGACTTGTCTCTGGTTCCACAGCGGCTGGGCTCATTGCAATGTTCTCGTCGTTGTCCGCAAAGTCAGCAGGAGGGGGGTTGAACATGTCCTGCAAGCCGTTGGCTGCAGATGAGAACAGATCACGCTGCTCGCCATATTGCAAGCCACCCAGGACCAAGCGACGCTTCCACTCCGGTGTTTGGTTTGACGCTGCGGCAACACGCTCCTCCCCAAGGCCTGGATGGCGGACCACTGATCCATCGGAGGCCGAAGAGTCGCGGCGACTGCCTCTTCTCACGCTGCCGCCAAAGCTCCTCTGGCTCCCTCGAGAAGAGAATGTAGGTGACTTGTTGTTCATCATGAGTATACTGCTGCGCCTGTTCGAGTCATTGGCGCTCTCTTCTCTGAGCACGTGATTGTCAGAGTTGAAGTCGGCCACAGCAGTGTCCTTGGTCTTGTTCGCATTGGAGAATCGGACGGAACCCGCTGCCTTGTCCTGCTGAGGGCTCCTTAAGCTGTGTCGCGACTCGAGCTTTGTGCGTCCAGAGACCCCCAGCGGCGCATCGCGGCCATCTCTGGTTGGGCTATCGATGTTTTCGTGATCGGATGGCAGTTCTCCGTTGGAAAGAGGCGACGAAGGCCAATCCTCGTCAAGGGACTCGAGCCAAGCAGCATGCGAGGCACTGGGAAGTGTTGCTATCATGTCGACTGCGTGTTTTCGGGTTTGACGCCTTGGTGAATGGGGCGCTTTGGCTCGCCGGCGTGCTCGTGCGACGCGGTGCTCTGGTAAAGGATTGGACGCGACTGCCCTCTCAGCTAGGGATGTATGTTATGAGGTCGAATCAGAATCCCATCAGAAAGGGAACGACGGACGAGTCAGGTCGCTCGCGGCGCGCGAAGTTGGCTCGTAGACTGTCGGCTCATATGGTGATCGCAGTGCAGTCGCTGCTATACATTATGCTGCTCCTGGGGCTGCGTAGTGAGATAGTCACGGATAATGTCGGACAATATGCAGTCAATCCTTTAGGACCAAAAGATACTTGTGGCTGGGAGTTGATTCAGGTGGAGGGATGTCTTTAATGTGGCAACAGATTTTGTTGACAACGATCGTGGTGACGCGACAAATGCGCCTGTATTGACGTGGATCATTGTGCGCTGCGGCAATCCTGGCGGGGCTTCCCTGGCACTGCGCCAAAACAAATGCAAAACAGATCGGCGCGTCGTCCTGCCAACCGGAATAGTGGGGTGCCGCAATCGCAAGGTACGTAGTTACTGTCGGAGGTCCTAGGCTACCCTGCACGCCAGCAAGCTCGAGCTGTATCATCGCTCTCAAGTTCACTATTCCGGGTTGAGAGGCCGGGCTTTCCAAGCAATGACAAGTACTCGCAATGGTCCTCGAGGAGTCCCGTTGGGTTTTGTTGACGGTCTATACGTACCTTGATGGTACCGATTCTACTCAAGTCGGTTTGGTTCCTTTCTCCACAACCTCTTGTTCCGCTTGAATAACCGACGACGAACGCCAAAATCCTGTTCATCCGAGAGCATCTATGGAATTTTACCTAACACACGTATTTCCAGCTAGTCGATGAACGGCAAATACTAGCGTATTCGAGTATCGTCTTTGTGTCAGGTAAAACCTTAGGATTACAGAGTACTTTGTGACGAGCTGTCGGTGCAGCTAATAGTTCCCAATGGACGAAAAAAAGCTAAAAAGCAATCCCCAACAATCGAGGCTTGCTTAACAATTGGTTCATGTCGCTATCGCTCTCGGCATGTTAATGTCTGCCGTTGTTTCGTTGAATTGAAAGCAACAGTGTAGCCATGAGCCATGATGCTGAACGGCCACTGGACAGATTCTGCATCTCCAGACCCCCGGTCACTGGACCACTAAGACCCCGCAAACCGGCCTTGTGGACGCTGATGTGGCTGTTGTGCAACAATGACAGTACCACCGGCACGTTCTTACGTACTGTACAGCAAACATCGCCAGCCTCCAGGGCACTCCCAGTGATCGGGACTACTCCGTAGTTGCTCCTCCACATGCAAGGGCCGAGTCTAGTTGCTGCTAAGACATTTGGTGCTCGCGACCGCAAGTACCTTAGCAGACGCACAGACCGCCTCCCTCACCGAGTGCTGCATGAGCCAGTGATCAAAGTTGATCGTTGCATTTGCTAGCTGGGGGGAGATCCCACCTTGCCAACTTTCCTTCATCTTCCTCCACGCACGCACCTCCAAAATACTGCCCACCTGCATCTCCCCACGAATCAATCCAAGCTGGTCTCCCACGCACACTTCAGTCCAGACTATCTACCAGATGTGCTGCTCACCTCATGTCCAGCTCGAATCACGTTCCTGAAAATGACGCACACGCTGTATCGTTGACCCGCGCACGTTCCGTTGATAGTGCCACTGCGTCCGAGGGTACAGATAGTGATGCTCCATTGGCGGACCAGTACGCCGCACCATGCCCACGTCTTGGTGCCCCTGAGGATCTACCACCCCACGACTCCGATTCTGCATCAGAACCTGTATCCTTGCATGCAAAGAACGATAAGACTGTCCGTCCTGTCGCTGCGTCTCGGCCCTCCGGTCCGTCGCTACTAGCTCAGGCCCTGGCCACCGCCCGCGGGATACCCAAACCACAACCACAACCCTCGCACCCTGTAGAGAACGGGGGAGCAGGAAGCGCAGACGTTTCGAAGCATAGTGCCGACATAGCGAGAACTCACCCCACCAACGGCTCGACCGATAAGCCCAGCGACGCACGCGCATCGCAACATGGCGATAAGGACAATCCCAAACCCCGCCCTTCCCAAATAACGCCTGCCTTGACCATGGCGACACAGACCGCAGCGCCTGCGACGGTGATCATTCCTGGTCGTGATGCTGCGAGTGTACCCTCAACCATGGGTCTCCCGGCAATGTTGTCGGGCTCAGAGTTCACTGACATGCTGTCGGAGACGCGCAGAGCCGTTGACCAGGGCCGTCGCAGATCCTCGACATCTCTCGACGTCGATCGCAAAGGTTCTGTCCTGGATCGGACGTCCATGTTCCCACAGCCAACAAGCGCGGACACATCTAAGACACCGACTAGGACCAGCTACTTGACAAGCGATCATGTGGCACCTCGGCCGCCGGTTTCCGAACACCGACATACGGTTGGCCCGGAGAAGACAGAAAAGATATGGTCCATCGGGACCGGTGAGGACTCGGAAGAGGGCGGATTGGTCGAGAAATCGGTCGCTGAGGCGATGGCGGGCGTGGAGCACAACGCGCGCAGCAGAAAGGCTAGCTACAGCCTTCGATTTTTCAAGGAAGGTCTGCCGCCAGGTGATAAGGTTCGCCGCCGCGATACCAAGAGCAGCACCAGGGAGAAGCTAGCTTCCACCTCAGAGGAGAGCCCACAGAAACAGCAACCATCTCGATCGCCTTGCGAACATCACCGTCCACCACAAACGCCACTCAATCTCGAGGAGCCGCCCCTATCCAGCTCGGTCTCGATGCCCCAAACGGCAGCGTCATCCAGCTTGACAGACTATTTCAGTCTTGGTTCTCAACAGCCAACTGTGGGCGAAGACAACGAGACTGCAGCGTCTACAGACCGGCCACAAGCAAAGCGACACCCGACTGAAGAGGGAACATTGGAAAAGGCTCCTTCATCGTTGGCCGGGGAGAGGATTCCGGAACATACTGCTGATTCGGAAACCTGTCATCAGGAAGAATCGGATCGGGATCCAGATGCAGATGAATCTGGTGAAGAGAAGATTTCCTCTGCTGTTTTCGTACCGCACCATGACAAGCCTCGTCCTAGCGATGTTGACAGCTCCAAAGGGGTCTATTCAAAGCCAAGATCGTTGTCTCAAGACGAGACAAATCCCTGGTTGGTGAAAGCCGATGAACCGGAGCCAGAGCTTGTTGATAAGGATGAGGTGTCGAGCCATATCTCAAAATATCGCTCCCGTGAGAGTCTTGTGGCTAACCGCGACGATATCTCATCGGTTCTGTCCGAGGATGTAGCTGTTGAAGGCGATCACGAAATGTCCAATCAGCTGGCGCAAGCTTTCGCTCGGACCGGACTCGTTCAGCAGGATGATACCAACAATCGTCCTTCCCATTCCCCGCAGCCACTCGAAGCCATCGAACTGATTCCTTACAAACACCAAGTTGGAGGGCACACTACACTGTGGCGCTTTTCGCGTAGAGCTGTATGCAAGCAATTAAACAATCGCGAGAATGAGTTCTACGAAATCATCGAGCGTTACCATCGTGACCTCTTACCCTTCCTGCCTCGGTATGCTACGTACTGCAAATTTTTATTCTATGTTGCTGACGTTGGCCCAGGTATATCGGCGTGTTGAACGTGACGCTTCAGAAGCAACCACGACGCAGGAGCACATCTAAAAAGGAAGAAGCCTCTGCCGCTGAGCGCAAGAAAGCCAAAGAGACCATCAACGAGGATGAGACTTCACAAGCCAAGGCTCCGACTGAAGAAGGCAAACCGCCAGGTAGGACGGCGCGAGTTGTCAGCCACTCGATGGGCCGTAGCAGCAGCATGCAGATACCGACAGTGTCATTCGACAACAATCGGCATATTCTTCCTCGCAACCTCCTGCAACCTGAAGTGACCGGCGAAGCATATCGTCGACGCAGCATCTCCACAACGAGGGCTGCAAGCGCGGCCCCTGAACTCACGCTGGATGCCCCCACGACTCGGCCGCACATGGACGAGCGCCCGAACAGCTGGGGCGCGACGACTGTCAACAAGCGGTTGCGGAACGAAGTATTCAATGACGCCTTTCTGAAAGAACCTGTTGAGGTGCACAGGCACAGACCACCGCACCAACGGTCCATTCCTCGCACAACTTTGCAGCGGCTACTTCGGTCGAGTAATTCCGATCCCAATCTGGCACAAGAAAGAACGACATCACCTGCTCCCCAAGCCGAGCAGCTAACAGGACACAATGGTACCCATCACAACGGTCTGCACACGCCGCAAACACCGCCTAGCCTGCACGGATACACGCACAGCGATCTCGGGCCCCGCCATGATCTCTTCGCCGATGGATACAGCGCGGATGGTGTCGAGGTGAAAGATTTGAGCGGGACTAGTGCGCCGGAGTCTGAAGCCTTCAAATGCAGCCCCTTGGCAGTGAAACGGAAACGCAGATATTCGGCGGGAGGGTTGAGACGGAAGCCGCAAGATGTACAGGAATCTCGGGGCAACCTGAAGTACTTTGAAGAAGCCGATGACGCGGGGCACAAGCTCGACGGGGAGGGCATGACTTGGAAAGATTTGCAGAAATCGAATGAAGCGACAGGCCACGTCATCGCCACCATCGAGCAGATTGCCGAGTCCGGGACAGTGGAAGAAAGCTCGGGACTTGACGACATGACAGCCTCAGAGGAAGTCATTGAGAGAGTCCCGAGGCCGGTCAACCCCAAGGAAGCAAAGTGTCAACGTGATCGAGTGGAATACTTCCTGTTACTAGAAGACCTCACGGCTGGTATGAAGCGTCCGTGCATGATGGATCTCAAAATGGGCACACGGCAATACGGTGTCGATGCTTCACCAAAGAAGCAACAATCCCAACGGGAAAAATGCCGCACTACGACGTCAGGAGAACTGGGTGTACGGATATGTGGTCTTCAAGTGTGGAACGCGCAAACCGAATCCTACGACTTTCAAGACAAGTACTTTGGGCGTCGCCTCGAGGTTGGCGATGAGTTCCAGGCTGCGCTTCAGAAGTTCCTATACAATGGTGTCGACCTGCACAGTGTGCTGAGACACATTCCAGTGGTTCTGAAGAAGCTGGCGCGCCTGGAGCAAGTCGTCAAAGGCATCCGGGGTTACCGGTTCTACGCGGCTAGTTTGCTAATGTTTTACGACGGGGATGTCGCCTCGGACGATGCGACGGATAACGACACGGCCAACGACTCTATGACCGATGCGGCGACGGATACGGAGGAGACGTCGCGACACAAGAAGAGAAACAAGCGGGAGATTGATTTCAAGGTTGCAGACTTTGCCAACAGCCTGACGCCCTTTGATCAAGCCAAGGAGATGAAGTGCCCACCGAGGAACCCAAATGAACCGGATGTGGGATTTTTGAAAGGACTCAGGACTTTGAGGATTTATTTTCTACGTATTCAGCGTGACGTACGGGCAGAGCTCGGGCTGGGCCTGCTGCGGAGGACCGATTCTAGCTTGCCCGAGAGTGCGGTCACACTGGACGACGACTTTGACGACGGACTTGCCAGCGACTAAGCACTCATCGAAAACAATGTTTCTCGTACCGGCGAATAGCGGCAGGTAGTCCGCCATGACCATGTTTTATTGGATGGAGTCTGGCTTTTCTCAAGGGATCGGCACGAGATCAAACGGATGGACGGGAAGTACGGGCAACATTCGGGATCTGGAGTTATATGGCGCTGGCGCAAGCATACAGCTGTGCTGGATCAGTATGGCAATGTCCTCATACCCGGTGACTGGCGTTCAGGAAAAGAGGATTGTTTCATGCAAATTTTACGAGTTTGAACACTATCTAGATAATTAGAACCCTAAGCGTATCGTCTGCCACAATTTCGACCAATACCCAAGTGTAATATCCTCATTATTGCACAAGCAATGTCAAACTCGACGTCTGATCCCGCTAAAGGAAGTGAGCTTGTGCATGGTGCCGAGGTGAGCTCAAGGTGATAAGCCCTGTCCCATATTCGAGACCAGCTTCACCTGTACTTGGTTAGTTACTCCGAACCTAGCTTTCACTTCTACAAGCAGCGTCTTTTGCATCGTGCTGATGGCTCATTCTCGCGAGAAAAGCAGCTCCATCGAGAGTTGGAGGCATCTCGTGCCTTCTGAGCACGAGCGAACAGATCCGTTTAGCGAGCTTGAAACCCTCCGACCGGCCACAAGACTTGTAGGGCGACACGCATCGACAGAAATTGCCGCTGACTGACGACTACAGACATACTCCCGCGACTTCAGCAGCGGGGACCATGAGCATAGCCAACATGCCACCATTGCCTCGTTTCATCAAGATACCTCATCCATACAGAGTCGCCCCCCCTCTCGCATCTCCACGACCATCCGCCAAGCAGTGACCCCCGTCTTTGGGAAGGTTGCCGTCAAGCGCGCGGCGACTGTCCTGGGCACCATACGCGAACATGGCGAGCACGGCACGCGTAAACGAGACATGCTCAGGGGGCTTCTCCGGGGAAACAAGCGAAAGAGAAGTGAGAGTCCCGACGAAGAAGTGCTGAGTGGGCAGTTCACAAAAGGGTTGTCTCTTGCGCAAGATGGCCAGCGAAGGAGAATGAATGTGTTGTTTGTCGGCGGGAAGGCGGTTGGCCAAACGAGCCTATTGTTGTGAGTTGGACATTCTCTCCCTCAATCGATCTGTCCTCAGGCCAAGTCGGATGCTAAAAGTTGACAGCCGAGCGCGCTATGGCTATTTTCCAGATGTATGTTGATTCTCAAGTCGTTGCCGGTGACTGCTGACATGGACAAACTGTAGGCCATTGCCATCACACGGACTTGCTACGAAGTCTACGCAGCTGGCAGAGAATACTATGACAGACCTGTCACGTTGGAGATGTAGGATACCTCTGGCGCACCGGATCTGAGCACTGTGCGACGGTTGAGCTACATGGCTTGGGACGCGGTCGTTCTGTGCTTTGACGTGGCAGACAAGATTGGACTGTACAGTATCGTCAGATGGGTAAGTTCAGAATGTCCCTTTTATGCAGCAGGTCTCGAGACTGATCCGAATGTTCCTGTCCAGTGGCGGTGTGCCGTGCACGAGGGCTTCGCCTCCTCAAGCCGATACCCTCCGCTGCTGCATCTTGTGGGGATGAAATGCGACAAGCGCAGCGTCGAGGAGGGCTTGTCTGATACTCGCACGGCGAATCTGGCCGCCTTTCCCACGTGTTGCGTTGAGGTGGAAGAGGCAACATGGCAAGCTCGACGGATCGGGGCAGATCGCTACCTCGAGTGCTCGGCACTGACAGGAGAGGGTGTGAAGAGTGTCGTGGATGAGCTCGGTCGAGAAGTGGTGAGAAGAGACCGCGAGCGAAATGAGACAGATGGCCTCGTTGTGACGAAGAAGAGGAGGCCGTAAGGCCTATGTATTCCTACTCCGTAGTACGTAGGTGTGAGTGACTAAAATTGTGGGTGTATAACTCACAGGCGGGGCGCCAAGAAGCAACTATTCAGACCTCTTAAATACCTACATCTTCATAAAAGTGCGTAGCGACGGCTCTTGAGTTCACTTCCAGAGGATGCCTCCATATGCGCGCCTGTGCTTCAAGGAATGAGAAATAGCTCAGATCTTCAGCACTCTGCTCTTCAACCACGTTTACCCGATCAATTGGGAATGCGGACCTGCGCTGCTCTGTCGGCTTCACACATTCAAATGGGATAATAGCTCTCCGATTATGTCAATTGCGATCGACCGATCAATCTAGGACCGACCATCTCTGCGGACAAAGCACCAAACGCACCCGAAGCCGGTTATCTCTGAAAAGGACAATGATGAAATCTCGACGCGGCCTCTTGCTGGCCACAATCGGGCTTGGAGTTGCAGCCGTATCAGTTCAGCTCACCACATCGAAGCACGTCCATGTATCTCATGTGCTGCTCCAGGTTCTGGTCATTCTCGTGGTAGCTGCACCTGTGGTGAGAACGCCTGCAAACCCAGGGCTGGATGTGGCTGACACCACCAGATTCGCCATTTTGCTGTGTCCCGCCAAAGGGCACGCACGACCATTGAATGGAAGCCAGCAGCTCATCAGCGCGTCGGCGATGAGTACTATCTTTTCGTGCTTGGCTCCGGTGGTCATACCAAGGAGATGCTCATGATGATGGACGACGGACAAACCAACCTTGCCAGAACACACAGGCGGTACATGGTCTCTCGTGGCGATGACATGTCACTGCATCACTTGGAAGAGTTTGAGAGTCGCGTGAGGCTCGAGTACGACGCTGCAGAGACGGGCACATATGATGTTCGCACCGTGACCAGAGCACGCAGGGTGCACCAGCCCCTTGCCACGACTCCCTTCTCTGCATTGGTGAGCCTATGCAATATCATTTTTGAAGTCTTGCTTTCGTCCCCATCAGCAGGAACGCAGAAATACCCGACAATCATCTTTTCAAACGGCCCGGCAAATGGCCTCTTTGTGGCTCTGGCGGTCCATTTCTTGAAGATGGCCTACGCCATTCCCGAGGGCAAATGCGCCTTTGTGTACATCGAGTCGTGGGCGAGAATATCAACGCTCAGTTTGACGGGGAAACTGTTGCATTATACAGGAATGGCCGATGGATTCGCGGTGCAACACGAGCCGGTCGCGCTGCGCTATGGGGTGACCAACGTCGGTCCTTTGGTGTTCAACTGCCGCCGCGAAGTGTAGCGGCCTTCTTTTATACATGATTATCATACAAGCCCTGTACAGTATCCGTCTACGCGCCTTGAGGCAGCTGCGCTGGGGTGTCCACAGCAGCATCCACCTCCACCTCTGGCGCTCCACGATCGTCCGCGTCTTCCATCCCGTTGTCCTCCAACATGTCGTCCTTTGAACTCGCCCTGAGCTCGGCCTGCTTGGCAGCCCAGACCTTCCAGTTCTCAAACTCGTTGTTTTCCAGCTTCATGGCAATGTCTCTCCTGTCAAGACCAAAGTAGGCACCGACGTGCCGCGCTTCCTCGAGGGTAACACGGCGCGCAATCTCTTCCTCTTGGCGCAGACGGTAGAATTCCCGCCTCGTCACATCGTAGGCCTTTTCCTGCGTCATCCCTTCCACATCCATTCGATATAGCATTCGCTGAACGACAGACTCTCCCGAGAGAGGAATACCAGGCTGCCGTAAGCCTTTGCTCCAATCCGTCTTTTGATAGTCCTTGCCGTCCAACTCAACGATCATCCTCGGCCGTGCTAGCTCCCATGGGTGGTCCTTGTAGAACAGCCTTCGTAGCGCGTCCTCGGGATACACAATCTCTTGGGGTTTGTAGTATTGCTTATTGCTCGTACTGTCGACCACATGGCGGGGTCGGACTGTGCGGACAAGTGTCTCGGACGGAGGTGTCGAGCGAAGGACATCGTACCAGGGAGGTCGGGCTGCGCCCTTGTCGGTGCTGAGCAGGTTGGTTTTCAGCAGGTCGTTCTTTGCGCGCCAGACATTGGCTGGGCGGAGTTGACGGGCGCCCATAGCCCCGGTTTTTGAATTGATCGAGGAAGGATGTAGGGCAGGATCAGCGTAGGCGCGCAGTTCGCGTCGTTGAGTGTTGCGGCGAACCAAGAACTCCAAGGCCTGGATGGAAATTTGGCGTTGAAGGGACTTGGCGGATCGGATTGGAGCATGGTGGTCTTTCTGTGGGCCAGGCGCGGTCCGACACGACGACCACGCAGGGTAGGCATATCCGCGCACAGTGATTAAGCACGCGCCAAACCTCACCAAGAAATTTCCCTACTCACCAGCTCTCTCCAAATCGTCACTCGCCAGTGCGAAGCCAAGCTCAAGAACAGCACGCCTGCCGCCAATCCCGAGACGGCCTTGCAGAAGATGACCAAAGACTCATGAAAGTCTCCGGTCGAGTGGATGGCACCGTCTGCAGCGCCGTGTTGTCCAGAAACCGCTCGGCCGCCGCCAACGCCGTTGCGAGCTTGACTGGCGAAAGAATATCGTCCTCGAGCATCGACCGACGCCTATTCTGCACAGCGCACGGTGCCAGTGTGTCCAAGCAAGCATGCCAAGGGAGCGCAAAGCCTGGGCCGAACTTCTTCTGCTCGAAAACTGCCAAATGGTTGCACTCGACTTTCATTCCCTACGACAGCGTTCAGACCTCGTCCCAGCAGCGGAAACGAAAACCGTACAGCACTGCTGCTGCCTCGCAAACCACCACACCCGCCCCTTACAATGCCGCATACCTCCCAGTGCGCGACAAAGCCGTACTCCAGTCGTATGTCCCCTCCGAAAACACAGGCACCGTCGACCAATACTTTGACTACTATCGCGATCCCTACCGCCGAGGCTACGCTCAGCCTGATGGACCCAAGTTACGCATCTCCGAGTCGAAGCACGATGTATCCTATCCCGGGAGAGAGGACATCTGCAGCCCCTCTGAGGGCACCGCGACAAAGTTGGAACATCTCTGCAAGGCTATCCGCCTCCAGATGCGCCACCCCAGCCGCAACACACACGCCGCCATACACAAAGCCTACCGTCAGCTCCCGGAGCCGCGAATGCTGAACTTCACCGGCCAATGGCGGGCGCGTCTCCTCAAAGTCATGGGCACGCCACGCAGGCGCGACATGGAGTCCATGCTCCGCTATTTTGGGCTCATAGCCGATATCAAGTCTGCCGGCCTGACCCTCCGCCGCTCGCAATGGAACTATGCCCTTTCGTTTGCGACAAAGTACACGTCGAAAGCTGGAAAGAGAGAGATGGACAGTGCGCTGAGGATGTGGAGGGAGATGGAGCGCGACGCCCAGATACCAGGCAATGAGGTCACGTTCAACATACTCTTTGACGTGGCTGCCAAGGCGGGCAACTTCCTTCTGGCTGAGATGGTCTATGCCGAGATGGACAAGCGAGGCTTGGAGTTCAACAGGTATCACCATGTCAGCCTCATATTCTACTTTGGCCTCAAGCTCGACTCCTACGGCATTAGAGCAGCCTACAAAGACATGGTGGAGTCGGGGGAAATGGTCGACACAGTCGCGCTGAATGCAGTCATTTCAGGTCTGCTCCGCTCTGGCGAAGAGACGGCAGCAGAGGAGACATACCAGAGGATGAAGAGCGGTAACACACCCGCCGCCTCCGAAATGCCACCTCGAGACTACATGATGGACAAGGTCGTCACCAAGGTCCTGATGATGTTCTCCAAGTTGGGCAAGCACCACCCCCCGCTACGCAAGTCGTTGCAGACGAATGTGCAGTTGGCGCCGAATCTCCGAACATATCGGCTCTTTGTCGAGCATTACGCCATCAAAGTGGGTGATTTGCGGAAAGTGGCGCAGTTTCTCGACGAGATGAAGTTTCTCAAGATCCCGATACACCCCACAGTGTTCCTGGCCTTGTTCAAGGGATTCTTCGTTCACGGTGGCTTTGAGGGGTCGGATTGGAGCGAGAAGCGTCTCCACAACGTCCTGTCTGCTCTGTACACGGCCAGCGACGACAATGCACGGAGCTTCAGAATAGAGCAGTGGCTGGTGATATGGGCTCTCCGCGCGGTGAAGAAATGCTGTTCGAATGCCGAAGCAGTGGAGATGACCTACGCTGAGCTCGAGTCGCGTTGGGCGGTGCCCCCGGAGCGCATCACTTTCATGCAGTCCTTTGCGGAGAGCGTTGTGGAAGGGCGAGACCTGCAGTCTCAGGACGCAGAAGTTGAGAGCAGTCTCCACAGAGGATTCCACCGCCAAAGCCCGGAGTTGTCTGAATAGCCATGTGGCGGGGGCGTGTATATGTTGCGAACAAGCGTGCTTTGCGTGTATCGATAGGACTATTGTAGCACCCTGTGTAAACATACCCTCTGTATATATGCTTTTGAGAATACACGTCATTATGATATTCGAGAATGATGGAGATATTTTGAGCACGAGGTTCGAGGCACAAATGAAATTGTAAAGGCAGCTGCCCTAGTCTATTTGCTTGGAGTACATGTCCATATCCTATAGTCTTTGTGGCCGACTCGTCGCTTAAGCCTTGTAGCTCTGGTAGACTGCGAACTCGTTAGCAATTTCTCCTTGCTGATAGTGAAACATCAAGCAGAGCGAGTCTGAACTCCCGAACATGGAAGCGAAGCCGTGCGAGAGACCTCGAGATCCTAGGGAAGTGCATGCAGACAGACGTACCGGCAATGCCGAACGGGGCGAAGAAGCCAGTGGCCATGAACGACCAGTATCCCAGACCAAACCACTTGCTCTTGGGGTTGAAGGGGATGTTAGTGTAGGGGCCCTCGGGATAGTGGTAGGGCGAGGACATGCGGGCGCGCGTGGCGTGGAAGCCGCGGCGGGATACGAGGGATGTAGTCGTCTTGGTGGCGGCGCGAGAGAGCATCTGGTATTGGTTAGTCAATGCGTCGAGAAACTAATTTGAAAGTTGCGTAGAGTCGCTGAACATACCTTGACGGTTGTGAGATTGGTGCTGGTGGTGATTTGACAGCTGGGGACCGAAGTTTGGAGTAGTGATGGCCTCAGCCGATTTCTCGGGTGAAGTCGAACGGCAGGACTGCCACGTGACCTACATCGAGCCGAGCGCTGCTTAGTAAGATTAACTCCTACGGACGAGGCTGGCTGCGACGTCGGATAATTGGAGTATAGAGCACTGACCGCTTTAGTCGAAGCACTGGAGCTGCAGTAACTTTTTTTTTCTGCCGCTGTGCGTCTGCAAAGCAGCCCACTTGTTGCTGGCTGGCTCTGGATTCTTAGCATCGTGATCGCTCTACATATCCTTCCCGATCGGCCACCAGAGCCGCCATTGCTGTACACAACTTCCATGTGTACTGTGCCCATGCGACGCGCGTGAAGTTATTTGGCAAGACGAACCCTTTCACGCTCTCAAAAAGCCGAAAGCGCACTCAACAAAACCTCTACCAAGCCACCGTGCCGACGTTGCGATGGACGAGCTGTTCGACGTTTTCGAGGGCAAAGCCGATGCCAACAGCGCAAGCGAAGATGAATCACCCAATCCTTCCAACCATCGCAACCGCGGCGGCAGTAAGAAGCGGAAAATGGACGAAGCAATGAACTCTACTGTCGAAAAGACCAAGGCCAATCCAACAAAGGGTGGCACAGCGACCGACACAGAAATGGCGGATGGGACAGAAGCCGACGAGGAGGATGAAGACGACGACGATCAAGAGGATTCGTCGCAAGACGCCGGGGAGGACGAAGAAGACGGCGCAGATAGCCAGCAGGATAAGAAGCGGCGCAAAAAGGAAGATGCGCAGGGGCCAGTGTTGACGGACACTTTCAATACCGCGCAGTCTCGAGAGGTCGCAGGTGCGGCCACGCTGCTGGCCCAGGACTCGTCTCTGGTACTATCACACAATATCCAGCATCAAGTGGCGTTGCCGCCTGACCTGGACTACGAATACGTCCCACTGTCTGAGCACAAGAGCCCCGAGGAGCCAGCGCGCACGTGGAACTTCAAGTTGGATCCGTTCCAGAGCTTGTCTGTTGCATCGATAGAACGAGACGAAAGTGTCCTCGTATCCGCGCACACGTCTGCTGGTAAAACCGTGGTGGCGGAATACGCCGTGGCCCAGTGCCTCAAGCGCAACCAGCGAGTCATCTACACCAGCCCCATCAAAGCGCTGAGCAACCAGAAATACCGCGACTTTGAGGCAATCTTTGGCGATGTGGGCCTGATGACTGGTGACGTGACCATCAACCCCACAGCATCCTGCCTTGTTATGACCACGGAGATTCTACGCTCCATGCTGTACCGTGGCTCTGAGATCATGCGCGAGGTCGCCTGGGTGGTGTTTGATGAGATCCACTATATGCGCGACAAGACGCGTGGTGTTGTCTGGGAGGAAACGATCATTATGCTGCCCGACAAGGTGCGGTACGTGTTCCTGTCAGCGACGATTCCCAACGCCTTCCAGTTCGCCGAATGGATCGCCAAGATACACCACCAAGCTTGCCATGTCGTCTACACGGATTTCCGACCGACACCACTCCAGAATTACTTCTTTCCAATGGGTGGTGCGGGCGCAAGAATGGTTGTTGACGAAAAGGGCAACTTCAACGAGAGCAATTTCAACACAGTCATGAAAGAGGTTGAGGAGAAGAAGGGCGCTGAATCGAACGATGCCAACGCAAAATTGAAGGGCAAGGGCAAGAACAAGAAGACAAGCAAAGGCGGTAAAGACGACGGTACGGACATCAATCGCCTCATTAAGATGACCATCCGGAAAGAGATGAATCCTGTCATTGTGTTCAACTTCAGCAAGCGCGAGTGTGAGGATCTCGCGCTCAAGGTGTCCAAGATGGGCTTCAACGACGACTCGGAAAAGGGCATGGTACGCAAGGTGTTCAGCAGCGCCATTGACAGCTTGTCCGAGCAGGATCGCGAGCTGCCACAAATCTCGAACCTCTTGCCACTGCTGGAGCGTGGTATCGGCGTGCACCACTCCGGACTCCTCCCCATCCTCAAAGAGACCATTGAGATTCTCTTCCAGGAGTCACTGATCAAGGTCCTGTTCGCCACCGAGACCTTTTCCATCGGACTCAACATGCCGGCCAAGACCGTCGTATTCTCTCAAGTCACCAAGTGGGACGGCGTTAAGCGCAGGCCGATTACTTGTTCCGAGTATATCCAAATGGCAGGTCGTGCAGGTCGTCGTGGTCTCGACGCTCGTGGTTTGGTCATCATGATGATCGGCGACAAGCTCGAGCCCGATACTGCCAAGGAGATTGTGACAGGGCAACAGGACCGATTGAACTCCGCATTCTACCTGGGGTACAATATGATTCTCAACCTCCTTCGTATCGAGGCTATCTCGCCCGAGTACATGCTCGAGCGGTGTTTCCACCAGTTCCAGAACGCTGCGAGCGTACCGTCCTTGGAAAAGGAACTCATGGCGCTGCAGCAGGAGAGAGATGGGCTGGTGATCCCAGATGAGACGACCATCAAGGACTACTACCAAATCCGCAACCAGTTGAATCAATTCACCGAGGACATGCGGCACGTCATCCAACATCCCCATCATTGTATGGATTTCTTGCAGCCCGGTCGCCTCGTCAAAATCTACAACCCCAAAACATCAACCGAGGGAGTATTGGGCGGCGTGGACTTTGGCTGGGGCGTCGTGGTGAACACTACGGAACGCAAAGATCCAAAGATGGGCGAACCTGCCTACCCGCCTCAGGAGAGCCGCATCGTTGACGTGCTTTTGGGTGTGTCGAAAAGCAGCTCACCGGTCTCTGAGGGTGAGCAGCCGGGCCCAGATGGTCTGCCCGTCAACCTGCTGCCCAGCGCGAACGACGACGACGTCAGGTACGAGGTGGTGCCCTGCCTGCTCACCTGCCTTCAGTCCATCGGTCAGATTCGCATCTTCATGCCCAAGGATGGTCTGCGCTCCAACGCCAACAAGGAGGAGGTGCGCAAGTCGCTGTTGGAGGTTCGGCGCCGGTTCGAAGGCGACGGCGTCCCGACCCTCGATCCGCTCGAGAACATGGAGATTGTGGACGAGTCCTTCCGCAAGCTCCTGCGCAAGATCGAGGTCCTCGAGTCGCGTCTCTTGGCCAACCCACTGCATCTGTCTCCCGCCCTGCCATCGCTGTGGGACCAGTATAGTGAAAAGGTCGCCCTTTCGGACAAGATCAAGGAGAAGAAGAAGGCCATTGTCAAGGCCCACAGCATTGCCCAAATGGACGAGCTCAAGTCCCGAAAACGCGTCCTTCGCCGACTTGGCTTCATCAACGATGCGGAAGTTGTTCAGCTCAAGGCCCGAGTTGCCTGTGAGATTTCATCTACCGAGGGCCACGAGCTTCTGCTCTCCGAGCTCCTGTTCGACCGCTTCTTCAACGAGCTCACCCCGGAGCACTGCGCCGCCGTCCTGAGCTGCTTCATCTTCGACGAGAAGCTCGAGACAGCCTCCCTCAAGGAGGAGCTGCAGAAGCCCTACCGGGAGATACAGGCCAAAGCCCGTCTGGTGGCCAAGGTCAGCCAGGAGTGCAAGCTGGACGTCAACGAGGAGGACTACGCTGCGAGTCTCAAGTGGCAGCTCATGGAGACCGTGAATGCGTGGGCTCAAGGCCGGCCGTTCGCCGAGATCTGGTAAGTGCTGTTCATACGCATCGTCTAACCCAACATGTAGCTGACAATGTCTAGTAAAATGGCCAACGTGTACGAGGGGTCACTGATCCGCCTGTTCCGTCGCCTTGAAGAATTGCTTCGCCAGATGGGCGAGGCCGCCAAGGTGATGGGCAACGATGACCTGACCAAGAAGTTCGAGGAGAGCTTGAACAAGGTTCGGAGGGACATTGTCGCCGCGCAGAGTCTGTATCTTTAACAGCGTGTATTTCATGGATGGCCACTCGTGCGTTTGTCATTGCCGGCGTTGGGATGGATCAGGCTGATATGGCCACTGATATATAACACGAAATCTGACTGGGAATATCCAGACATGACCACACTGCGGAACTAACTACGCGCCGAACAGGGTGTCTCGATGATTGCACAACATTAGATTATTGTGTCTTGTCTCTTTATTGAGTGCCTAGTTCACGGCCGTTTGTCAATACGTGTCGGCCGAGAGCATCATGATGAAGCCCGTCAGCAATCCCAGCATAGCGCCGGCGACGACAAAGGCCGCCCATCTCTCGGGCCATATATCTTGTTGTCTGACAGCCCAGGCGACGCATCCAAGCGGCCAGAAGAAGCCCATGGCCATGGCCACCCAGTGCCCCTCGCTGAGCCCATGGTCGTCAGCCACCTGCAAATTGGCTGGATCACTGGCATTCGAGTCGATCCAGGCATCTTCCATTGTGCGGAGCGAATCGGGGCTTGGAGGCGACGACCGCGATACATGGTTGAGGGACTGAAATTGCGTACGCAGCGTGGCGACCTCGGATGTCGTAAAACCTTGGCTTAGGAAGCGGTCGAAACCACGAGGGCGTGGCCGCGTGGAGGGAACTGGTGTGGAACGACTCGTCGCTGTCGCAACGGGCGGCTTGTCTGCACCTCGAGCTTCTGCCTCGAGTTCCTCCGGGGTGAGGGCATCTCCCAAACCACAGCTGATGTATGTCCTGTGCACAGGTTCGCCGACCTTCCGCTTGCCCTTTGGATCATGGTCGCGCTGGGTGTCTTCGCTGTCGGGCACGGAGGTGGGTGTGATACAGGAGCTCAGAGCGGCCGTGTCGGGTAGCAGGCGGCCTTGGTGTATGAGGCGAAGGCGGGATTGCGTGTTGAGGCGCTCACGCAAGATACGCTTCAGAGACAATGGCGTCGCATTGTGCGGTTCAGGAACGTCGAGATCAAGATCGGGATGTGACGTTGAGAAACGAACAGTCAATCGTAGAGGGCTAGTCATCGAAGCTACATCTTTGGACTTGAATGAGTTCTGTGGAGGTACGCGTAGCTTGCGAGAGAACGAGGTCTGATTTGAAGCGATCAAGCTGTTTAGCAGAAGTTGTAGGTCTTGCCTTCAAGTCAACAAGTCGCAAGTGAAGGTGGGAGCTGTTGGTACCTGTGCGCAGCAGTGCCTCACCGCCCGCCCTGCGACCGTCATCGCCTGGCAGAATCCCCCGACTATCAACATTTCTACTGCGCCCCATCTCCTACCGTGGATATCTAAATTGTAGCCAAAAGGCACAAATGCAAGCATGATACTACGGAGGTCCCACTTGCTGAAATGCTTCTACTGCGGGAAGCAATCAGACTTCCGCTTTGATGGCACGCAACATCACTTTACGTGCAAACACTGTGATGCGCCAAACCATCTGGACAAGGTAGCAAACATACTTACATAGAAGTGCCTCCTTGCATGTGCGCAGGCTGACAACGAGCCAGAATGGGCAGATCACCGACCCCCCGACCGCTATCGAGGACGACAGCGCGTACACAAGCACTGTCTTTACCTCTACCTCACCGATGAGTGACAAATCCTCCGCAGACATCTTCTGCGCCACGTGCCAGAAGAACCAGCATCTCTTCGTCACATCGCTGGCCCAGTACACGTCGAGCGATCCTTCAAACGACAGCGACTTTGGACTAGACAAGGAGTATTATCGATTTCGCAGGGGACTCGAGAAACGCTATCCGCAGGTGTGCGAATCTTGTGCGAAGAATGTCGAACGGAAGATTAGGAACGCCGAGTACACAGCCAAGACTGACCACCTCAGGAAGATGACGGAGAAGGGCCGGCAGGTCAGAACAATCTACGCACAGAGAACGTGGTTAGACTATATCGATGCGCTGGGTCGTTGGCTTTGGCGGGTAGGCCTAGGCTCGCAGGTATTTTGGCACCTCTTGGGGTCATTGGAACTCCTGGCGCAGAGTCCTGATGGAATGTCGAATCCAGACGGGGACGGTTGGCTCAAACATGGTGCCAGTGCTGTTGTCGAGCAAGTGCGAGACCCCCTCGGCAACGGCGTGCTTCTTCAAGCCAGCTTAGCCACCAGCCTTGCGTCCGCATGGTGGAATCCCAAGTTTGTCCAAGTGAGTCGGGGCTTCACGAGACAACTGTCAGGACTTGGCCACTGGTACTTTTTCCAAGCTCTCATATGCGGCATGCGATTTGTGCTGCCGCTCTCGGACGTCAGCTCGCAAAACCGCAGTGCCCAGCTCTGCATACACCTCGCGCTGGCCAGCTTGACGATATTTTTCAGCATTCTGGCTCCAAGGTGCATAAGAACAGATATGACACCAATCTTTGGACAGCATAAGCCGCCCCTGGCACCGACTAGTCAACCAACGTGGGTCGAACATGAGGGACGCGAGGCCAGCCAATCCTTCGCCGAGACACTAGGCGCAGCTCTCGAGGAGACACCCAGAAGCGCTTTACCTCCGGACGTGGACATGTCTGCCATTCGCGAGTCATCTCCCTTCGCAGCGAGCCCATCACGGCGGGGGTTGGTAGATGAATTTCAGGACGAAGATGCAATGGAATGGACACCAACAAACGCACAAGCCTTACCGAGAGCCCTGAGGGAGTCCCCTCGTGGCAATCAGCCTGCTTTCGGCGCCGCTCCAACGCAAGAGGGGAGTCGCCCATTCTACTTCAAAGTGCCTGAGGCGCCATCATGCCCCGCCAAAAAGGCGCGCCTTCCTGCTCACCAGCCTGTCATTTGGGGCTCCAGCGGTGGAAATGAGTGGACGCAGAACAAGGGCGTCGAGGCGACTTCAAGGGCAAGTCCAATGGTCAGCACGGCCGAGCAACAATACACCCAGACGAAAACGAATCGAACAAATGTAGACTTTGCGAATCCGAGATGGCATGCGCCGAGGCAAGGCGACGCGGAGGATGGCGAGCTGGCGGATCTTCTTGTTAAAGGCTTCAGCCTTGAGCCGGGGAAGAAAGGCGCAGGAACTAGTACGAGGTCATGGCTCGGATTTTGAGTTGATTGTAGCAGGGACGGATTGATGTATCACAAAGGGGTCCCTGATCGGTCAATATCGGCTTGACGACCTGGTTTTATAGCATGAGAGCGCGGTGTTCAGAGACGATGCATATATTTTGGGAAGACCTGGTATAGCTAAGAGCTGGTTCAATAGATTTATTGTCAGATGGCTGATGAAATAACGCACTTCCACTGCTCCAAAACTGTATTATCCCCACGTGGAGGAACTGAACGTCACCAACGGAGAATATTTGGAACGAGCACTGTTTGCAACCGTGTGTTTCTGAGAGCCAAGGGCACACACGTACGCGAAGCAGGATTTTCCTTGGAAAAAAAAAAAAAAAAAGAAACCGCTGAACGGCTGGCGGATCTCTCCCGCCGGGAATTGAACCCGGGTCTCAAGCGTGACAAGCTTGCATACTGACCACTATACTACGGAAGATGAGCGGTTGTGAACAACCGTTGTAGTGAGGCGCTGTGAAAAATACTCTAGTTTCACTTTATATATAGCCAAATAAAATTTTCCCATTTTCAGCACAAATTCACCACATTGCTCGAGCACTCTGCGCATGAACCAGTTAACAAGAAACAAGGCATCATCATTACGAAACGAGACCAGAAGGGAGAATCACAAGTGTCATCTCCGCCCTCCCGTGAATGACATTAACCAATGTATCTGTACATGTAAATGCTCAGGCGCCGCTAGCAGATATGCACGCCTCTCCACCGTTCGCATCTTTGTAAGTACTATGAAACAGGCCGGATGCAGCCTCCAGAATTTCTACCGTGCGTGACAACCAAGCTCGCTCATGTCATCTCGGACAGTGAAAAGTAGGTAGGTAGGAAGGCAGCCAACGTTACCTCGCAAACACCTTGATCACGCCGTCACCTCCTCCGCTCACAACCCACTTTCCATCCTGGCTCCAGACCACAGAGCAGACACCTTCGCCTCGCATAAGCCGGTGCGCCGTCATTTCCTGTATACAAGTGCGCTTCTCGAGGTTCCAGAAGCGAAGCGACGCGTCGTGACCGCCAGAGACAAGCTCAAGGCCGTCCGGGGACAGCGAAAGGGAGGATATCGCGTCGGGGTGGGCTAGCATGTTGTAGGTACATTGACCTGCGAGCAAAGGTTAGCTGAGTATATTCCTGAATCGCACACGGTGCGTACCACTGTTCGCATCGAAGAACCGGACGAAACGGTCTTCGTGGCCGGTAATGATCGTGCCCTCGACGCCAGAGCGGCCCCCTCCGGTGGGACCACCCGCGTTGTTGTCATCGTCAGACATGCCGCTATGTGCCTGGTCCAATCCAACAGTTGTAGCGACAATAGTGTTGACGCCAGTACGCTTAGACCCATCATATGTCTCCATGCTGTCCATATAGCCCAATTGCTCACCTGTCCTTGTGTCGTAAACCATGACGGCAGCATCCGAGTAGGACACGATGAATGACTCGGCAGAGTTTCCTAGCGGTGAGATTGCTGTGGGACTGGCCGTGGACCCGTCGGGACGGACAATGTTGTGAATCAGCGTGTGGTTAAAGGGCGAATTGGATGCCATGGTAGGCTGCGGTGTGCTGGAGAAGCCGCTTCCTGAGCTCATTGAGTTTCCACGGACGCGCCCGCCACGACCACTGACACCCCGATTCGCGCCAGGCTGCGGGGAGCCAAGTTGAGGAGGGCCCGTCACGGACCATAGTCGCACGGAGCCGTCAGCCGCACCGGATACCAGCAGCATGCGGTCGGCCGACCCATGAGGACTCGAGGCGCCAAACACAGAACCAAGCGTGGCTGGCAAGACGCACAGAGCCCAGACTGCGTCCGTGTGGCCCTCCAGCGTCGCCTTGGGGTCCACCCGTCCTCGCTCCCAGACGCGGATCGTCGCATCTTGCCCACCGGAGAAGATCCAGCCATCACCTTGTGCGCGACCGCCCGCTGTGAAGTTGGGAGCGGGAGACCACGACGCCAGGCAAAGAACAGCACCTGAATGGCCACGGTGGGTAAAATTGGCCGTCACATCGAGATCAGACGCGGAATTCCAAGAACCATGTCCGTCAAGTCGTGGGATGTGGAAGCGTTTGATCATGCTGTCATCGCCTGCCGTGCAGATCTCTGGCTCGCCAGGACTGCCGCCACCAGAGAATATGACAGTCCGAACGGCATTTAGGTGACCACGAAGACCGTACCGCAGCTTGAAGTTGCCAGTTTCAGCCTTTTGGGACATGTTTGATTCGTGCCCAGCACTGAGCCGTCGCGACATGGAGCTCTTGCGCCTGTGTTGGCCAGGAGCCTTGTTGGGAGATTTGGGCGGATTCTCAGCGTTCGGGAAGACATCTGTGTCAGGTCGAGTGGACGGTATTTGAGTGCTGCCAGGTTCGGGAAACGTGCCCTCTGGAAATTCCCAGCCCTCAATGTCAGCCGAATGTTTGATATTGCGCTTGTCTTTGTCCTCTGGCGCCTGCGTAGCTGAGCCAGTGTCTGCATGTTCATCCACCGCGCGTGTGGTGACAGAAACCGGGCCGTTCCAATCGTTTTGGGTGCTGGACTCGACGTTGTAGACGGGGGCGGGCTGGTTGTCGTTCCCGGAGCGCGTCATGGGCTGCGCTTGAGCATCGTTTCTTGAAGCAAAGGCGTTCGGGTTCTGCTTGGAGGCAGCGTTTGTACCGTGGTTCACAGCTTGCTGCTGCTGCAATTGCTGTTGGGTTTGCTGTCGCTCTACATCTTTCATGTAGTTCTGGGGCCGTTGATGCGCAGGATACTGCCGTTCCATGGGCTGGCCACCGGGGACAGACCCGAAATCTACCTCGCGCAGATCCTCAATAATCGGAAGCTGTGGTGACTCACGAGGCGGCTGTGGGTTCGCGGGCGTGATCATAAGGTACATGAATTCGTTTTGGCATTGGTCGAGGAAATTCTTGAGGTCCTGGCGTTGGCCCTCGTCGTCGGGTCGATCCAGTTCAACATCCTCAACACCGGGGATGACATGGGTTTCGGCAGTGGCTGCACTCTTATCAATAGAGCTCACTTTTGGAATTCGAGGGATCAACACGTACATTTGAGCTTAGCCTCAATCTGGGCAGCGCGATCGTTCTTTGCCGCAGCATCGGCGTGGGCAGCATCCTCGCCCTTGATCTGTGCCGTCTGTTCCTTCACCTTGCGTTCGAGTATGTGCACATATTTGCGCAGGGCCTTCTGGGTGGCGTCTGCTCGGCGCGCCTGACCCTCGAGATGTGCGATCCGCCCTCTCATCTCCTGCCTCTCAATCTCCCAGGCATTGCGGTCGCGCTCGTGACGGTGCCATTCTGTCTGCAAGAACCGCATGACGCCTTGCAGGGTGTACTCCGTGGCCGGGGGCTGGTTATGCCCGTGGCCGACCATCTGTGACCCCATTCCGTCCATGGCGCCCACACCGTTGCCAGTGATCGGGACCATTGCGATGCCTTTCAAACAAATGCACAATCACGCGGCGTCATACCCCGTCGATGGCTTGCGCAGAGGAATAGAGAAATTGATGATTGGAGAAGAGCGATCGTAGACGCGCGAGGTTTGTCGCGTTTCTCGTGTGGTCGCGGGCGATACCCCAGATCAAAGCTGGAATTCGTGGTCGCGAGACGGGTGCAGCTTGATGGCTAAAGGCGATAGCTGCTGGGGACGGGGTAAATGATCGACTCGGCCGGACTAAACAATCGGGATGCGTGCAATTCTCTGGTCACAATGTTGAGGTCATAGTCGTTAAGTTAGGGGTCGTCAAAGAAGCTTCGTTCGCAATCAATATCACGCTTAGGTTGACAACGTTGATCCCGCGAATAGTGCAACTCCTGGAAACCGCAGCAGGTTGCTCCGATGTTTTGCCAGGTTGTCTATAGACACCTACCCTGAACAATGAGTCCCGCAATGCACATAGCACTTCATTCTTGAAAGTGATCCCTGGGTTTGATTGCATCCTGGATACTTTAAACGAGAAATTTTTTCTTGAAGTTTGGTGTTAGTCACACGGGAATCGCAAGCCGCCGGCGTATGTCTTGTCTGGGTTTTCACAAATCACGGCGCAAAAAGGTCTCAACACGAGGGACAAAATCCAACCCGCGACCTTCATGTTAAGAGCTTCCTCTCGGCACAGACAAAACTTTCGTCCTGCACTATATCTAGGGAACACGCAACGGCATTTCGTGCCCAAGTTCCGAGTATGACAATTACTAGGTGCCACAAGGCCGCAGTCCCAGTCAGGCACACGTCAGTGTCGTGTCACGCGACACCTGACATGCACCTCACTACGTGATCCGCGATTCGTGGTCACATCAACACCCCTTATCTCGTCCGTGTGCTTGGTCGCGATGACCGGATCAAGCTACCACGCGTCAGTGGCAATCCTGAACAGTTCAACTCGACTGAAAATAGCACGAAAACCCTTGAGCGATATTTGAGCGCAGCTGCTGCACGTTGGTCATTCCAGAATCGGATTGCAACTGCGTACATCAAGACATTTTGAACGAGCCAACCGCGTGAATAAAAAACCACGATCATTTCTCCCCAGAACAAAGTGGATGAAGTGGAGGAAAAAGCCCAAAGCAAGCACAGGTGGGATTCATAAAACCGAGCACCACTTGCCACGATCTCACGAGGCCTCTTCTATTGTTTTCGGCTTTTTCGCCACTTCTAATGCCTTCGCATCTTGACTTTGGCGGGACAGAGCAATTGAGAGAGAAAGTGTGCTCGGATCGGAAATTCGCCTGTTCCGTCACGAAGAACACATGCGCTACTCACTATTTCAGCTTCCTGTTGATTTCGTTTCGGCGCTGCATGTCAAATCAACTCTCCTAGATTCGTCGTGCGGCTTTGAAGTTGTGCCTCAAGAAGAACAGATTGTTGCCAGAATTTGATTGCATTGATGACCTGTCCCGGTATCAGGGACGGTCGCTCTTCTCTTCATTTGTGGCTTCTTCGGACGAACCCATAGTCACGCAAGATCAACTCCTCAAGAAGTACACAATTGTGGTCATTCTGAGCTTGCGCTGCGTTGCTTGTGCCTCAGCATCGCAAGCCCGACCAAGTCGACATGGAGGACCCTTTATGGTCTCGTCTCGCCGTGACCGAGCGAAACATCATTTCATCCACATAGTTGCCCTGGTTACACACTTCTATGGCAGCTCTCTTGGTCAGTGCTAATTAAAGTACACGCACACTCGTGCTGAAGGTCCAGATTCCGCCAGAGCGAGATCTGCGACGTCAGTGAGATTATTCCGCAGGATGGCGTTCTTTTTGCTGGAGATTGACTTTGCAAATGCGGCCCGCAGGGAGACAAGGTGGGTGCCAGAAGGAGTCCTTCACATGTGACATTTCCCCGAGTAAGGTTGGCGCAGTAGTTTTGCTCGATCGCTGCCACGTTGCCCGATTTTGAGGACTGCTAAGACTGTCGAAAGAAAGCTCCTTTAGATCAACGTGCCCTGGCCACAGTATGTTGCGTAAACCTTACTTTAAAGCTCATCATCAACCTTGAAGTTACCCGGGTTGTGCTGTCATGCTCGTGGGCTAGCGTGCAGCATGATAGCCACTGTCAAGATGGACGCAGACACTGTTTGCCTGTCTGACGTAAGGTTGCAATGAAAGGTGTCAACGAGTCCAGGAGAGATCCTGGATCCAGATTCTAGACCCTGCAACACTATAGTGGACCACAGTGCTACGCCAAAGGCTGTCAACGACGGTAACAACTGCCAAGCGAGGGTAAACGTGGAGGGGAGCCATCGCCATGTGTCGACATCGTACAGACACACGCTACTTATTCATAGTTTATACGTACCCAGAACTCACATGCTGTGAACTGGTGCATTGCATGGATTTCATGCGAGGAACTAAGCTATACATCAAACAGAAACAACTATCTGAACTTCTAGGTGAGGACGAGAAGGCAAAAGGTGCACACGCACAAGTTCACAAGGCGCCAGATGCCCCGGAAACATGCAGTAACAAAGATGTCGGAAAGTCATGCTCTATCTATACAGCTGGACTTCTAATACAGTCTAGCCGGATGGGGTGTTGGTGCATCGGCCGGATTGCGGGTTGACATTCCTCAGACAAAGCTTCATTGACAGCTTTCAAAGTTTAACGCGGAGCTTTTAACCACATTCAGGGTCCACAGCAAGGCTGGCACAGACAGGACTATTTAGCTTTTTGCATTGAATTGGCTCGTCAAGCTCAGCATACTCACATGCCCAGGAGGTCCAGCTCCTCAACTTCAGGACACAGTCAACTGCGATGCATACAAATGAAAGTGCAGCATCCTAGGGACAGAACGGATTGATCAAGGCCTTCGCTGTGTGATAAATTGAAAACGGAGAGCGCTGCTGTGCCGAGAAGCGAGCTGTGAGTCCCACTTACCCCTTCAATTCCTGCAACGCTATGCCATATTCAGGATGTCGGAGACACCAGCACTTACAAGGCTTGACTGTGGCTGGCCCGGCTTAGGCTTGCTGAGGGCCTGCGGCAGGATGTGTATAAGTCGGCTGATTAAGGTTCACGAGGGTGCCGTTGTAACTTTAAGTTTTCGCGGGCACAAACTCAATCTCTTATAAGGACTGGACCCAGCCAGGGGATACAATTGATCTTGGGCAAGCGCATCTTGACATGGAATTGGATCTGGAGTATGTTGCCCTCTGCACATGTACTCTCCGCCTCACGTCGCCACTGCGAAGGGACAACAATGGCAGGCACATTGTATGCGTGGTCGATATAGATTGATGGAGGAGTAGTTCTCGTCTCATTACATGTGACAATGTGGGCTGGGGACACTCGATTGTCGTTAGGATCTCGGTACAGAAAGAGAAAGAAACGAGACACCTCTAAATGCACTCTTCTTCCCCACCGGATGAACCTTACGGTATGTTCGAACGGAAAGCTGGGAGTGGGTAGATATTTCCTATCAAATGGTCAGACGGGTTGAGCTTGTCATGACTGAGGACCGAGCAAGACGAGCAAGACGAGCTTGAGGGGCCGGTGGCCTGTAGTAAGCGCTGAGTGTGATCTGTTTCCATGAGAAGGGCTGAAACGCTGAATCTCTGACTGGTTCAAGGTCACAGCACCGCAACAGGTGGCCGATTCTCGAGTGGTCTCGATTTCTCGAGAATCGAATCGGCTTCCAAGGACTGTGCAGGGTGGCACTAGACGAATATACCAAGATGGCTTTCAAGCCACTGGGCGGGGCCCAGACGGTGACAATGGACGCGGATGAGGATATAAGCAAATCTCCAGACGCTATTGCCTGGCCAACAGAATTTCAGCATTGGACCTTTCCGGGTACACAGGTAAAGTAGTAACTTTGCACGCCGCGGATTATACTTTGGGTTCCGTTCCAGACCTCTTCAGCTGACTGCCCCGAAGCAAACTTGTCCGGGAGGATGCGAAGGGGACAATCCCATACCGATCTTCTTTCGCTGTGCAGCTTTGCGCTAATACATCATAGATTTCTGCAACCGGTCGAACAGAAGCATGCTGCCTGGTGGTTGTCACACGGGGAGAAGGGAGGGTAGGGTGCGAGCTGAGATCTATAAGTTCAGAAGCACCCAACCGTCGATGTAGATGGGAAGCCAATCAGTTCCCAGTCGATTTATTTCAATAATTCACATTCACGATGAAGAGCTTCAATCTCCCCCCGGAGGCCCCATTTGGCGGGATGCCATCATGGACTCGCCATATTATCGTCACGACCTTTGGCGAGTTCTGTGGAACCTTTTTGTTTCTCTTCCTCTCCTTCTGTGGAGCACAGACAGCGTTGGACACAAATGATCCTTTGGATCCTGAAGCACCACTCCTCCCATACAGTCTCATGTACATTTCTGCCTCCTTCGGCGTATCCCTAGCCCTCACAGTATGGGTGTTCTTCCGGGCCACGGGAGGAATGTTCAATCCCGCTGTGAGTATCTGTCTCGAATCCGTGAAACTATCTCGTGCTGAACGGCCAAGGTCACTTGGGCACTGATGCTAGCTAGAGTGGTGAAGCCAATAGCCGGTCTTGCCATCATTGCCACACAGCTCGTGGCAGCAATCGCGGCATCCGCCGTGGTCTCAGCCATCCTTCCGGGTCCCTTTTCTGTGGGAAACAAGCTGGACATCGGAACGAGCATCGCTCAGGGTCTTTTCCTCGAGATGTTCATCACTACACCGCTTGTGCTGGCGGTGCTCTTCCTTGCCGTCGAGAAGCATCATGGCACCTATCTCGCACCTGTGGCAATCGGTCTGGCAGCTTTCATCGCGCACATTGTAGGGACTCGCTACACAGGGACCTCAATCAACCCAGCGCGCTCCTTTGGCCCAGCTGTCATCACCAGCTTCCCAAGCTACCACTGGATCTTCTGGCTGGGCCCTATACTCGGGTCAACTCTCGCCTTTGCGGTGTATGAGATACTCAAATGGTGCCGCTATGAGTACGCCAACCCAGGACAAGACGCTATTGATCTCGAGGAGGCTGCGAGGGCACTTGAAGCTGCCAAGCTTGCTCACCAGACCTCGGGAACTGCGAGCCATGCTTCCCGGGCATCCCCACAAAACGAGCACCAGTGATGAAGGCTAGGTACGGCATTGGTGATTATTGCACTGTAAGTTTATGACCCGGATATCACAAGCACCGATGCTAACCTATTCCATCAGGTGGGCTTGAAGTGCCCCTTGACAGGTGCTTTCAACAACAGCCATTAGCACCCGTAACGTCGTGGACGAGGCCAGGAGGACCGTCTAATGAGTCGCCGCGCCCTTGAGTCGAACGGTGATCATGCCGTTGACATTTGTCATGCCAGCTTTGATTCTCCAAGAGAGTAGAGGTCAAAATTTATTGTAGGACTTTCCAGAGATAGTGTTCTTACTTGTAATTCACATACAGTATGAGTCAAGGTCAATGCCAGTCTGCCTCCATTCTTAATGGAGTTCACATTGAGGGCGTGGACTTGCTTAAACTATGCCAATAATGTGGTGAGACCTGTAGCAATGAAGCTTGGAGCAGACTGACATGTCCGCCGTGGTGGATAGGAAAAAGGTGAACACCGACAATTTTCACAAAGGGCAAACCCAAAGGCTTTCTTAGATAGAAAAAGTCCCGAAACTCAGACGACCTGTCTACACCGGCAATTCGACCTTCCTAAACGGGGGCATTCTGGTTCTCAACCCGCTTGATGTTGATGCAGGGCGGCGGAGATGTTGCCGAATCTACGTGCTATCAATCGCTTTCACTCCAGTGGGCCGGCATATGCATGTCATGTCATGGGCCTCAGACAAGACCATATGACAGCCCCTGCATTTGAAACCCCGCATTCTTCAGACGGACTGCCGGATTGAGGCTTGACCATTGAACGGATCTAGCCGTGGAATCTCGGATGATAGGAAGAACTATGATCGAACCGACTTGAGTCTTTCCTGGTTCTCAGCACTTTCACCACTATATGAATATGTTCTGCCTTCAATTGCTATCAAGGGCAACCGTCTCAAGGCCCGATGAGGTCCGATCCCCTGCGCCTTCACACCTGTAGTTCCAAGATCCCGTGTCTTTATGTTACATGTACAAGAGGCTCAGTCTTGCTTGGAGCTGAAGCAAACCCTGCTCTTCCAAGCCCACGCTCTCTCCGACAAGCTTTGTCGTCGGCCCGTATCTAATGCATCGGACACAGGTGACACGCAAAATGACAGGGTATCTCACTAACTCTCCGCCATCTTCGTATTTAAGTTGCCACATCAACCCCACCTTCACGGACACGCTGCAGCCGAAGCGGCACATTATTGGGCATGAAACAATAGCCCCAACTCCTGCTACCTCTTGATTTTCAACCCCTGTCGGCTGATGGGAAGAAACCCAAACTGGGTGGCTTCACTGTCTGAACTGCCATATTGGGCCACGTGTAGTAGAGTATTTGCTGTCAACTCATCGCTATCGCCCTGTTTTCTGCACGTCGAATCAGGCTGAACGCAGTCTCATGCAATAAGAGTACTTGTATACCATCATACAGCCAAGACCGCGCTTCCTCGCAAAGGCTCCTGCCAAATGTAGTTCACCGATCGTGGAGTATCGCACTGACATCGAACCCCCAGCATTATCACAGCCTCCTCGCGTGACTGAATCTCTGCACTCGATTCGTCCCAGTCACCATGAAGCTGCTGGCAATGCCGAACCAGATCTCCTTCTACTCATAGACGCTGTAAGGGATAGACGTACATGTGACAGCTGGATGATGGTCGGGAACGTCCGATCCAGTTTGAATCGCGCTATCAAAGCTATGTTCCCATTTCGGTATTGCTACTAAAGCAGCCGGACTTGCGGCGTTGGGCTGTTTTCCGAGGGGGTGAGCTTGCATGAAGTGCTGCAGCATGTCCCCTAATGAGATGGCCTTTGCAGCAGACGCAGACTTGTTACAGTCGGCAATTATGCGGGTGCCCCTGGCTGTCTGTGTAGATACGTACCTCATATGCAAGGAGGACACCATATGAATGGCAAGATTTGTCTAACCCTTGGCGTGCAGCACTGCGGCTGCCGATACTTTGGATTGGCCGTGGCGAAGAAGATATCAATGAGCACGAAAGTATCCGCACGAATGGTTTTTACCGAACGGGCGGAAGATGTATGCTCGATATCCCCGCCGGTAGATGTTTCAAGGAGGAGCGGAACGTGGCACGACCCTCGGAGAAATTCCAGGGCTGGTTTACATATCAGGTACTTTCCTGCCATGCGTCAATGTAGACTGATCTTCATCTCCAAGAATTCCCCGGTTTGAAGTTAGATTAGCTTCATAATGGTTCCATTTTGGATGCATCTGCTCTTCGTGACGACACTGCCCACGGCTCTTTGCCAAAGGACACCGGATGTCACAGCGGTCTTGGAAGAATATCCCATTTGCGCTGTATGTAAGACCCTTCGAAAGACGCGAACCTTGACTGACCTGCTTCAAAAGCGAGGTTGTGTTGTTGATGCATTCTTCGCGGGCATATGTGGGCCAACAGACTGGCTGTGTATTTGCACAAACCAGGATTTCCAAGGGCTGGCCATGTCTTGCGTCGCAGGATCATGCACCATCCCGGAAGCCCTGAGTATGGCTCTTTATGTCCTCTGTTCGAAAACTACTGACGAGAAAGACGCCCAGAACATCACAGCAACCAATTGCTTCGCTCCTGTCCGGGACACTTCCTATCAGCACGTGGTTCTGACTATCGCCATGGTCATAATGTCCACCGCGTTCCTCTCTATTCGATTCTTCAACAAGCTTTTTCTACGAACTGGATTTGGACTTGACGACTACCTTATACTAGCTAGCTTTCTGGTCACTATTCCCTCTGCCTATATCACGCTTGCTGGTACAACGAAGCACGGTCTCGGGAGAGACATCTGGACAGTCTCCCATGAGAACATCAACACCATGCTGAAGTATTTCTATAGCTCGGTGAGCCTTTACTTCTTAGAGGCCGGTCTCATCAAGCTGAGCTTCATCGCCTTCTACTTGCGCATCTTCCCGCGAAAGCAAACGCAGCATCTCTTATGGGGCACTTTTTGGTTCACAGCCATTTGGACTCTGGTCTATATCATCGTCGCCATCTTTCAATGTCGACCTATACGCTACTTTTGGCTGCAATGGGACGGCTTGCATGAAGGCAAGTGCATAAATGGCAACAGGCTCGCATGGTCCCACGCAGCGATCAACATTACGCTTGATCTGTGGATGCTCGCCATCCCCCTATGGGAGTTGCGATCCTTGCAGCTACATTGGAAGAAGAAGGTCGGCGTGGCGATCATGTTTTGTGTTGGAACTTTGTAAGTGTCCTAACTACTGTCAATGGCCCTTTCCTAATGAATCCGAACAGTGTCACTGTCGTGAGCATCATGCGATTGAAGAGTCTTGTGCATTTTGCTGCCACGATCAACGCCACTTGGGAGATCCACGGTGTTTCCTTTTGGTCGACTATTGAAGTTTGTGTTGGCATTGCGTGCGCTTGCCTACCGAGTGTGCGTCTGCTCCTCGTCAAAGTCTTTCCTGTGCTTTCTGGCACGAGGCGTGTCACGGCGTATTACGAGGACCAAAGCGGTGGAAGCGCTAAAAATGGTCGGGGAAGCAGGGGCCTTGCCATCGTCATCGCAGATCAAGAGAGACTCAGGAGCATTCCATCCTCGGCGAGCTCAGCTGGGAGATCGTGGGTAGATTCCAAAAGGGGCGTTGTTTACCACCCGAAATCCACCGTCCAGTACAGTGAGAATGATGAGGTGAGCTTGGTACCAATGGTCCATTTGGACAGCAATGGGAGACGAAGGTGTTAGTAAAGGAGCATAAAAGTGGAAGATGAACGGTTATATGAAGCCCTCAGTCACGTAAACGACTTCAACTCTTGAGTAAATCCTGGACACATATACAAAAGGTGCGTCTTTTGAAGACGCTGCTCCCTCCTTCCGTCGTCCAATGATCAAAAAGACACGCCATGGACGCCTCGAGTTCTCCTCGCGTCTGCTCCAATTGACAGAGAGAGGGGGACATCGTCATGTGGATGATACAAGTGCTTTATTGGGGCGTTCTACAAGGTGAAGAAGGACTGATGGCTCATGGCGAATCAATGTTCGAGACACTCAGACAAATGCTGGTAAGAGTTACAATGACATTGGAATTCGACAAAACTTAATACCTCCTTTGCAATTTGAGTAACGGGGGCTCCATCGACAATGATCTGAGACTCTGGACACGACCGTATTTTGAGCGATTGAATGAAAAAAAGCGCATCTTGCTCCCCGGAATAGTTTAAGAATCCTCCTTGATAATGAGAGCAGGTTCATACTGGCTGACAGGCGTGTCATCTGTCGTTCCATTCCAACAGTACCGGTCAAAGCACTGGCTGCAGTCTCGAGGCGGATCTTCCCCTGCCTTCCACCAGCTTCGACTCATGATGGCACAAGCGACACACGTGGGCCACTCAGCGTCAATGGTCCCGTTCCCTTGGTTTGCACCGTTGAAGCCATTGAGAATGATCGCGTCGCGCTCATTCTCTGAGTAGACAAGATCAAAGGTTGATACGTTGCTATACGTCGTATACGGAGCATTCGGGATATAGAAGATGAGGGGCGGAACAGTTTGATTATTAGTGAGGGTGAAATTGGTGGCATTGCAGCCAAAGAGCGTAGGGCGCCGGTTGAGGCCCAGGTTGATGAAGGTCTCTGCGGAAGGCACCGGAGGAAACAAGGTGTTGTTCCCAATGTCCGACATTGACCGGCTGTACGATGCCCGCATGGAGGTCCCATTGGGCCAGTTCGTCTCAGTATCAGCAGAGGAGTCAATGGCGAATATGATATCGACGGCCCGCACTGGTTGGATCAATGGATGCAGCGGTATGTTCTGACCATCCTCGCCACCGTCGACAAGAGCCAGCTGGTCCTCGTCGGCATTTGAGTTATTCTTAGTCGGGTTCCATTCAAAGAAAGGATTAGGCTCGTAGTTTGCAATGTCATTCTCCTGTTCGTTGAAGTTTTGGAGAAGCTCTTCGATCGCGTTGGCCACGAATGATGCGATAAAGCTTTCATTCCCAGCGCTTCTAAAATTGGCGAGCAGAGCCACGTTGAAAAGAGAAGAAGATGTGCCCATCACGAAACCTAGCTGATCAAATCCCCGAACGCAGTCCCCTCTGGAAGATATGGTGCCATTGGTGAAGTTGGAGGCAAGCCATTCAAGGGGCACAAATCCGTACGTGGTGGGATCCCATGATCCAAGCTCAAAGGGATTGAACTCGTATATAGTCGCATTCGGGGCTGCGACAATCTCGCCAGTCCTCCTGCCATCTGCAATGAGTATCGGGTAAGGCGTTGAGCCATTCTCGAAGTTGGAGGTGTTCGCAATGGAGGAAAAGGTATATGCTTCCCCTCCGTCCGGCGTTCCAATAAGCTGGTAGGATAGTGCACGACCCCAATAGTCCGTAATCGAGGTCTCCCAACCGTCTGCTTTGCTGTCGACCGCTTCCAGCATATCTTTCCAGTAGCTGACCGTATTCAGGATTCCGATGCCACCTTTCTCCGGTCCCCTGAAGATGGATCGATCAAATTCCCAAAGGCCTGTACCTTTTCGCCCTTGCTGAAGGGAGTGTATGGTAGAAAAGTTGTTGGCGAAAATGGATCCGAGTAGCCACCCGCCCCCGGACAAACCTGCGAGGTAAGTTGTGGACTGTAGCAGGCCACCGACACTTGAGTTTTCATTGTCGCGAGAGTCAGCAGCAGAGATGAAGCCAGCCCCATTCATGAGAGCTCGATAACCACCACCAGAGACTGCAATGCCAATGTTTGGGATGGCGGTGAAGTTATCCCCAGCCTGACGAAAGAACGATGTAACATTGAAATCGGTGATGTTGGACTTCTCAAGAAACCGACGCATTGGTGCTACGGTTTTATTTCGGCGAAGGGATAGCCATTGTGCCTCGTCATCGGAGAGGTTGTTGGCAAGACGGACTGTTGGTCTCGCCCTGGGACAGTCAACCACCTCTGGTGCATACCCGCCGCTCGGGGAGTTTGGGAGAGCACGTTCGACCAACAGCCCCTGCATAGACTGACTAACCTGGATGACCAGGGAGCTGAAGAGCAAACAGAGAAGGGCAATTGGCATCATTGCGGGAAAGATGAGAATTTGCCCCTGTTGTGGAGGACAAGCACGTCTAGCAAGGATGGTTTGGACGTCTCGGACTGCAGCATGAGCCGCTCCCGTGACCTTGTACACATTTCTAAGGACCCGGAACCCGCGGATGTGTGACGACAGAGTATGAGAGCATGACGAAGGCATGGGGCTCAGGTTTGGCTAAACCTTACGGTCGGCCGTAGCCGGCAAAGGCTGCCGAAATCAAGAATGCAAATCTTCATCAGGTGAGAGCTGGGCCTTGTCCCATCTACTTCGGCATGGAGGAGTGACCATGCGAGCGGTACAAGCGACACAAGAAGTCGAGAAACACCGACTCCGCTATTGCTTACTTGCTCTTGACAGAATATATCGTGGTAGTGAAACGTGACGAAACATTCTCTCAATTAAAAAAGAAGGGCTTCCGGTCTTTCCGTATTGAATGCATTGCCTCGCACTTGTGGTGCCGTTTACGATGAATGCAGGTAAACAAACATCCACGGCAGCGCAAGTGTTGAAGAGGAGGAAGAGCTGCAGGAGCATTGGGTCCAATTCCACTCTGCTAGACGGCAGGTACCTATAGGGCACTATGACGACACCTTCCTTCTACCCCACCTTACCCTGCACGGAATTGGGTCCTGGACTCCTGGCACTCGCTCACATTCCTCATTCCGCTGCGGATGAAATTGATCTTCGCAACAACCAAGCAATCCAACAACCAAGGCATCATAGCACACTTCTTCTGAACGCAAACATGTCTGGACGCATCCCAACATCGAGCTCGGTCATCGAGTCGGCCGTCATTGAGGCGCCTTTCAGCAACGTTTGGCACTTGCTCAAGCTTCAGGACTTTGCCAAATTTTACAATGCTTTGGACAAGAGCGAGTGGGTCAAGGGCGCATCGCCAGACACTGACATTGTCAAATGGAGCTTCAAGGATGGAACCGTCCTCGAGGTGAAGCAGGAGGAGCACTCTGTATGGCCATTCACTCTGCGAACCCGCCAACCTGGCACTGACTTTTGCACAGACAATCGACCACTACATCACTTACAGTGTCATTTCGTCCCAGCCCGCCATTAGCTACTCATCGGTCGTCAGCACAGTCAGGGCCTATCCCATTACTTCCGGCAGCCAGGCGGGCCACACCTTTGTCACCTGGAGCGGCAACTTCTCAAGTGACGCCGATGCTGGTAGGTTCACATGTCCCTTACACGATCTGCCACTCACAATACAATCAAAGGTGTCATTGAGGATGCTAAATTCAAGCGGCGCGAAGCCCTTGCGGATCTCGCCAAGGCCGTCTCGAAGAAGTAAGGTAACGCGGGAATGCAAAGACCGTGTCTCGCAAACCGTCCTACTCGAGAACACGCGCGTACAGGTATTGCGAATGAGCATGCTCGTCTTTTAAGGCTCCCATGCCTTCAGCTAATAGTTGAGTCATTATCAATTCACGAAACTAATTTCAACCGCTTCCAGAAAGCATGACCTGCAATGATATGCTGCATTGTTACGCGTGATAGTGCTGTCCCTTGGCGACGTCTTGCGAGATGCAGTGCTACGGTCACCATTCTATTTCTTTTCTTTGCTGCGGACCTTGTTTGGTAAACCTCGTCGTCTCCCTCGAATGAACAACCCCCTCGTTGGAAGCACAACCATTGCCAACGACAATCGCCAGGTTGCTCACCGCGAATTGTCCGACGGACTCGGTCGCGCCCTTCTCCGCCACTTGGGCTTTCGCCTGTGGACTTCGTACATTAGGGCGTGAAGCCACATTGGGAGTCATGGAAACGAGACTGACGGCAGCATGCACGACACCTATCTTCTCAAAACTTACACATGGATCTATCGCAGTGTTCAATGCGAGGGCTCCGGAGCCTGCAAAGGACCTGGATGTGGGCCTACAGATCCCAGACGAGCTGCAAGTAATACGAGCCATGGTCGCCAGAACCATGGTGACCGGTCGCGAAGATACAGTGCGTGGTCGTTAGTTATCTGTCCCTGCAGTAATGTGGCACTGGCTCCGATAAACGGACTGAGGATGAGGAGAAGTTGGCTGCTCTGTGAATTGACGCTGTGGATCGACCCACGATATCCTCCGGCAGTAAGCGCCGAAGCGCAGTCATGCAGCTCTACCAACCTGTCTATTACGAGCTGCGACTGGACATCTCAAATAAAAATTCTTGTTCAATTCTTCTCGCCTTCTACCTTTCCGTGTACCAAATACCCTCGACATGTCTCAAAAGGTCTTCATCGTTACCGGCGCCAGCAAGGGATTGGGCGCAGCCATTACCCAGCGACTGCTCGTCCAATCTCACAAGGTTGTCGTTGTCGCAAGATCTGAAGAGCCATTGAAGGCACTCAAAAGATCATACCCTGACCAGGTGGAGTACGTCGCAGGCGATATGACATATACAACGGTATCAAATATATCATTCCCATTTCACCAAACGACGGGAATATGTTGACTGAAACTCGATAGATTGCTGGCAGAATCGTCGACGCTGCGGTCAAGGCCTTCGGCCAGGTTGATGGCCTCATTATCAACCACAGCGTACTTTCTCCTCAGAGACTTGCAGATGTCCCGCTTGATCAATTCCGACACATTTACGACATCAACGTTTTCAGCCAACTTGCAATTGTAAGGCACCTTGAAGGCTTTTGTGGGATCGTGGAAAGGGCTGACGCCTAAAAGGCACAAGCAGCCCTCGCCGAGATAAGAAAGAGCAAAGGGACCATCCTTTCGGTATCGTCTGGCGCTGTGAACATGTCCTTTGCCGCGTGGGGATCCTACGCTTCTTCCAAGTCAGCCGTCAATGCCCTCTCTGCTCATCTTGCGGTCGAGGAGCCAGACATCACCACCATTGCCATTGACCCAGGCCTGATGGACACCGACATGCAAGCTACGATCCGCTCTGAAGGCAAAACCAGCATGAGCCAATCTCAGCACGACATGTTTGTCGGATTCCTTGATCAAGGCGCTCTTATGAAGCCAGAGCAGCCAGGCAATGTGATCGCCGCGTTCGTGGCTGAGCCTTCAAAGGAGCTCAGTGGCAGGTTCTTGTCGTAAGTACCGCCGAATCCTGAGTGATGGCCAGATAATGACTATAGCGCAGCTGGAATGCGGGAGATCTGGCCAAGTACCAGTAAAGGCGTCGCACACACAGCTCCCAGACTGGCCGATCTGCTTTCTGAGGCTCTTTGTCAGCAACCGCTGCCCATGCGGCATCGCCCCTACGACAGCTTGCGAGAAGAAGAGTGCACATACACAGTGGCTCAAGGGGCGCTCGTTTATGTGCGAGACATACTTTGGCAATTGTCTTGCCGCTGGCGCCTCTGTCGTGGCAGGGGCGAGCATTGCGCAAGACATGCAAGCTTCCGAGTGGGCTTTTTGCATGCCGGTCACTTTGCAGAAAAAGCACACAATCAATCGAGGTTCAATCAAGATCTTTGACATGTAGAGTATTTGTCATAAAAATATGGCAAGGAGTGACGAATTGTTGAGATCTCGTGACGTTGAATAGTTGTGGAAGGAGCAGCGAGTACGGCAATTCCAGGATATCGTGATAAAGTGTAAGCGAACATCCAAGTACAAGGATGCTTTAGAGAGTTACAGTCTACACTGTCATTCTGATCACTGTTGAATCAAGGACTATCGTGGACAAATACCCTGGCGGCCGTTGCCGTCAAGCTCAACGTGACAATTGTTGATACCCCGGGTAGGCAAGACGCAACCCCCTTCGGGCCAAGATCGCGTGCCGCGTCACGACTCACTGCGCCACGCGCGCAAGTGCGCTAAGAATCTTGCATGTTGGAAGTTTTGAATGACCGCCGCTTGCAGGTACAGGAACCGCCCTTCCAATTGCCGCGCGGGACCAGAAGCTGGGGGAAGCTGCATCCTGCGTGTCGGCGAGATATCTGATTACCTTACCATGAAAAAGGCTGAGCAAGATCAAACCTCCGACAAGGAGGGCAAGTTCGACAAGTGGGGAAGGTCTTTGTACGTATGAACATGTCCGTCTTTGATGACACGACTGAGCCTTTCACCGCGCGCAACGAATGAGGTGCTTGGCTAATCGACGCATCAAGACAAAAGCAGTTTGGAAAGGGAGAAATTGCGCTGAAACATGCCATCGGCCTTGGCCGCCAGCCGAATGTTGTTCCCGTCACATCCCCAGTCATCGACGGACCGCCCCGCCCCGTCGAAGTTGGGTGGCATCCTGTCGCGGGCCCTGCTGGGAAATGGTTTGCTGAAGACACGAGTCTGGGCAAGATTATCACGCAGAAGGTCAATGAGTACCCAGATCCCACGCAGCACTGGGCCGTGCTCGTGGGTGACTATGCCCATCAGCTGTGGATGGTGAGTATCACGCTCGACTCCGGGCACCGTCTTGCAGGCAGCACGTTGCTAATCTGGCACAACGGTATCTAGGACGAAAACTTTCATGTGATATATATCAATGAAGAGTTCAAGCGCGATGAATGGAGAACATTCAGAGTTGGGGACACGCGCTTCAACGATGACGCAATCCGTCGAACTGGTATGCGTTGAAGCCAAAAGATGGCCTTTTGAAATGTAGCCATGAATTCCTAACCGAAACAAAGCCGAAATGGTTATAGAGAGTATCAGAGAGGCTCAGCCAGCATATAACGTCATTACCAACAATTGCCAGACATATGCATTGCAGCTTCTCGACGCCATCGATGTCAGCGTGGAGAAAGAATTCGGTACTACGCGCGCCGTATTCGAGAGGATGTTTGGCCGCGGTAAGGTTATAGATCTATTCTCCGACACGGAGGCACCCCCGACGCATGAGAGACCTGTCACGCCTGCGAAATTGGCACGCTCAGACACGATATCAATGGCCCAACAGGTGATGAACGACAACACGGACCAATTGGGCGTCGACGGGGAGTTGAAGCAGAGCAACAGGCAGAAAAGCAGGAACAGAGAAGCATCTACTACACCGCCGGATGGGTCAAAGGAGACAAAAAAGCCCAAACGCAAGATGTTTTCCTTCTTCAAACGAAGTTAATATACACGAGATGCGGCTGCGAAAAAATCCAAATGCTCGGCGTGTGAGGCTGTAGATCCCCCATTTGCCACGCACGACGTCAAGAACACCTGGACCTCCCATCCTTCTTGGTCTTCCAAATGGCGCAATTGCCGAGTCGAATGAGCTCCACCATGAAATCACACATGGTCTGCGCGTAGTCAATATCGTCTGCGGAAAGATTGCCCAGTGGTATGCTGCGGATGACTCCCACGGCCATTGTGAGATGTTCAAGATCGGAGTCGGCTCGTTCTCCCAACGGATGGATGAGGATGTTGACGAACAAGGACATGGCGGCTATGGGCGCATAAAAGGCGATGTGCCTAGAGACAGGTCAGTCGCGTGGTATCAGCGTGTTCAAATCGCCTCACCAGAAAGCTTCTTCTCCCAATCTGTTGATTGGTTCTTTCAAAAAGATGATCGTTGAGCGTCCAGCTTCCAAAGTAAGTTCACTACTCGAATGAGCTACGCTATGCAAGTCTTCTGGCATTTTTGCCCGCTCGACTAGAGCAGCGCCACATCTCCGCACCGTCGCATGTATCAAGGTCAAAGTATACCGATACTCTAACTGAAGATTTATATGTTGGAGAGTCCCGGAAGGGCTGGCGTCAGCTGTAACGGCAGCTGGTTCGAGCGGGTGGGCAAGCGTGGGCCTCATATCTGGAGGGACAGACAGACGCCAACTCTCGAGTTCGTCGTCCAGGTGGCGGAGCTGGAGCAAATGTTGAGTGTCCGGGATGCCAAAGGCTCCGGGGGCGTAGAGGAAGCGATAGACTTGTTCCTTGAAGATACTGAGTCGAAGCTCATGAATGCTAGTAATGTGTTGCCCTGAACTAGTTTGGTCGTCCCTCTGTGGCAGCGTCATGTCACAATAATCACCCACGAGAAGAGGCGGCTTTCCAGAGCGTAGTGCGATGTCCTTGTCGAGCGCATAGCACACCCAAAATAGAGCTCTGGTATGGCGGCGGGCGCGATCGGCTAGGAGGTCCTCGGCAGACATGGCCATGCTCGGTGGAGGGAGATTTCCTCCCAATTCACAGACCATACGACAGGGCAGAGAATGTAACATGCTGGCCATCTTCCAATATCCCCTCGATATTCGGAACATTTGCTGCGATGAGTGTGAGTTTTCACCGTAGGGCTGACAAACTAGGCTGTGCTCACCAGCATTAGATGTGCCTGCAGGCTTTCAAGGCTTGGTCTTTTTGCGACAAGCGCCAAAGCTGCCTCTGCTTTGCAAGCAGACGTCTGCCCCTTCTCAATGGCGGGATCGTCTCTGATTGCTGTGGGTCGAGCTGTGACAGAAATCAAGGCCCAAACACATGCTTGGCTAGAGATTCTTGCTTCCATAGAAGATTTATCGCAGTCGAGGGTGTGCGCCAAGCGTACAGTGTCCATGAACAAGACTGGATCAACGACATTGAAAATGAATCGAGATCTTGATTTGAGGAAAAGGTCAAGAGCCACGTGTGTTATTCGCACGTCTGGGAGGCTGCTAATAGATCTTTGGCAGATTTCGGAAGATGGCCTTGCTGTGTTGGATAGAACGACGTCTGATTTCAAGGTGAGGAGGTAAAGTTTGGGCAGCGCACCAGGTTGACCCGTTCTTGAAGATATCCATCTCTGTCCAGTTTCCGACACAATCGGGATGCCACTAAAGTACCAGTTCACTCCAGTGTACTTTTCATCAACGTCGAAAGAGCCCAAACTGGTGTTAGAAAAAAACAAGCTGGTGTTCGGGGAGATGGCAGCAGTTGACGGCAGGTCTAATTCCTGCGATTGTTCAGGGGCGGACGGCGCGGCAAGACCGACAAGAGGCTCGCTGTGTCCGGCTGGAAGAGGACAAGAGCTGGTTTCTATGGCTTCTGGTGATGATTGATTTGCATGATGTTGATCCTGCGAAGATCTTTGCGCGAGCTGTTCCTCAAGGTGACTAATTCGGCGCAACAACGCGTGTGCATCTTCACCTGAGATGCTAATTGCAGGACGTTAGCTCATCATCACCGTGGCTGAGCACGCGGCATAACTCACGCGGACTTCCTCTTCTTCTCACTGAAGAAAGTGCAAGGGACGTCGCGATGCTTGCACCACTCGCAAGGCGCATTTGGAACAGGAATCGTGCATTGGGTCTAGATAGTAGAATAACATGAGCATTAGTGCATTTGTTGCCAATCCGATCCAAACGCGAAATTATACCTTTCGCTTGTAACAGACATCGCACGCCCGCCGGGAAGGCATCACAGGACGTGGTGACCGCACATATGCGTGGTCATGCGTACATGCTCATGCGGTCGGATATTCGGCGTCCGTGGAAAGAACATGCGAGTTGATCGTGCGAGAGGGCGCAAACAATGGGACGAGGGGTGAGGAAATGGAAGACGCTAACGTCGGCAGGCGAGACCCATGCAGCTAGAGTGGAGTTCGACGGAGAGCGGACGCCGCTTACATAAGACCCCCAAAGCCTCTCTATTGGTCAATTGTACAATTGTACAATTGTACTCTGTACGGAGTACGGACTCTCTCTTCGTGATGAAGCCATGACAAGACTACGCTTCCATGAGCCTTTGAGGCGTTCGCCAAAGCTGAGGGAGAGAGCCGGCATCGACTATGTGGAAAATGCCGCACCACGGCGCATCACGGGCTAGATTACGAACACTACACTCATTCTACTCCCGCGCAAACTTCAACATCCACACGTCACCCAGCCTCTCATTGTCTTCGCTGAGCCCGCCATGAACAATGAGTGTGGGGGCCTCGCCGTCATTCTGGGAGATATCGGCGTCGAACCACCCGCGAGGTGCAGGTGCCGCCTCGCCGGCGATTGAAGGCTCGATCTTCTGCCAGGTGGCCCCCTCAATGTCCCAGGCCCACACGTCGCCCAGCATCTTGCCCGCGCCTGCATGACCAAGAGAGCTCGGATTACGCTCGCCGAACAAGGAGATGAGGTACTTGGACTCGACTGCCAGCAGTGCCGCGACACTCCTTGGTTCAGGGCCTTGGGCATTGTCTGCAGTGTAATTGATCGCAGCCCACTTGTTTTGACCAACATCCAGGATATCGAGAGCACCGCCCTGCTCGGTCTTGCCATCAAATCCTCCTACACGATAGATTTTGCCTCCGACATGGGCGATTGAAGTGCCACCTCTCGTAGGCTCCGGGGCCGAAGCCAGCTCGCGCCAGCTCTTTTCCTGAACATCAAACGCCCACATGTCCGAGAGCCTGCCCGTCTCAGGACACCCAGCATGAACGTAGATCGTTCTGTTGCCGTCTGATGTGATCGCATGGTAGCTCCTACCAACGGGAAAGGGAGCCTGGGAATCCGTCGGCTTGATAAGCTGCCAGGTGTTTTCTGTCGTGCCATATTCCCACAATGCCCCGTCCTCTTCGACAGGGTGCATCTCAATGCCTCCGCGGCCTGAGAAGAGGTAGATTTTGTGTCCGATGGTGGCGCTTGGGCTGCCGACGCGAGGGCAAGGTGCAGTGCCTGAACCGGCTTCCACCGTCTTCAGCGCCGGCTGCTTGACGCCCAAGATGTCGAACAAGTTGTCAACAGGCTTTCTTGGTGCCAACTCGCCACCAAAAACGTAGATCTTAGGGCCGACAACAGAGACCGCCTGCGAGGATCGACGAAGGCGATCTGCTGAAGCCAGCTGCGTCCACTGTGCGTTCGTGATGGCCATGATTGCTTGCGATTGCGGGAAGCAGGAATTCAAAGACAGAAGTGAATGGACTAATGAAAAAAAAAAAAAAAAAGATAACTGAAGAGGCTATCTACACCGTAATAAATACCTGGTAGCCACAAAGTCCACGGAGGCCGACTTCCGCTTACACAACCGAGACTACTGTCATCATCACGAACTCAACGAGCCTAGCTTCGGAAGCGACCTCTGAGTGGTTTCAGGCCAGCGAACATTCACCAATGGGTCAGTGGCACCGGGATCGGCAACTTGCAGTTTCTTTTCCAACTCCAGTCCAAGGTAGCCATGGCACCGTGTTTTTCCACACACCGCTTACGTGCAGATACTCGGTTGGATATTCGTACTAACGACGCACTGCGTGGCAAAAGGGAATGGGACTCTAACCGACGACTTGTTGCCTCAGCGTTGCTTCGTTTTGCAACAGAAACAGTCTCCTCTAGCTTTGGTGCTTCTGCAGGTCGAATCCTTTGCCTGCGAGCTCAAACCCCGCAAGCTGAACAGACTCGCAACAGACCAAACGAGATCAACAGGGCTGAACTGACATCCGTCAATGAAACCCAACAGAAGGCGCAGATTTTCCTCCTCACGTACTCAGCCACAGCAGGTCATTTCTCACTTACAGGTTCACTTTCTCGACATTGGCCCTTTGCTCCAGCATCAGGGGCACAGGTTCACAGCGCCTCGAAAAGGTCTAGCCAGAAGCAGACCCTTGCAACAAAGCACGGGCTCATGCCTTTTACAATGACAAATCTCACAACACAAAGTCCCATGTCGATTCTACCAATTACTCGAGGAGCAACCCAGCTGCTTTCGCGTTTCCGCACAAGGCGGTGACCGGTTCAAATGTTGGCGCCCCCACTGTCTACTGACGTAGTAGCACCCTCCCGTTATCGAGCCGTCAAGCAATGCATTATCCACTGAACTTGAGTCGCTGCTTCTCCTGGGTCTGCTGGGTCTGACTGTAGCTTGAAGGAGGAAAGGAGGCATCTTCTCCGACACGACACTATTTGGGTTCTCGGATTTTGTGCCGTTTGTGTCCAGCAAAAACGATGAGAATTCGTCTTCGACTGTTCCTTGGAAGATCACTGAATGTAAATTTGTTTTGAGGAGTCGCTGATCAAGTTGAACAATACCACCCTGCGTGGAGAGAAAGAAAGATGGGAAGATACTGTCCGACCCTGGCTACGAGCAGTTCATGGAGCAAGAGCACGAAGAGCACGAAAAGCACGAAGACAGTGTCGCATCCTTTCGGTGCGCGATTTGGAACCGTCTTCTGTCCACTAATGGGTTCACTTGCGCTGAATGGTCGAGTGTATCTAGTCAATAGCTCACTTGCTCGTCTAATCTTAATAATTTGATGTATCTGGCCAATGGAGATGGCTTAGGCTTCCCAAATGTGCAAGTCCTCGGGTCCTCGGCCGTCTATAGCGTGTACAAATACCTGGGGTTGTGCTCTCCCATTTCGTTAATCTCCTCCTCTGTCTTCCCCTCCATTCTCCAGTCCTCGAGGCCAGCAAGCTTGCGCTTGTTCTTGTTCCTCAGGTGGAAGTAAATCGTGGTATGAACGGCAATGGCGAAGACAAGCATGCCAATGGCGGCGCTGTAACCGGGGATGTATCGGGGGCTGTACTCGTCGGTGTAGAGGAATGGCGCAGGGACACCTGCGGCATTGCCGATGGTGATGAAGATGCCGCTGGCAAAGGCGCGCTTGCCGTACCGAGGCTGGTTGACAGTGATCCAGGCCATGCCTGAGCCAGAACAGGTCCAGAGGCCGGCCGAGACGAAGAAGCAGCCAACAAAGCTCATGGCTACGGACTGGTGCGCGAGAAGAAGGGCGTACCCGATGATCATGACGACTGCACCTCCTATGCAGAAGATCCCTCTCTGCTGGATGCGGTCGCTGTACATGGCAGCGGTGAGGTAGGTGCCAAAGCCCAGGATGTAGACCGGGATGGTGAGGGCGTTGATCTCAGCGTCGCCCCAGTCGTCCTGGCCCATGTCCCGGATGATGGTGGGCAAGAATACGCTAAAGCTGTAGAGCACCGAGTGGCTGCAGAACTGGGCGAAGGACAGGGCCCAAATCTTCCAATCCTTGATTCCGGCAATGACATCTTCCTTGTGCATGTGTTGGCCGGACGCTGTCTGCCCAATCTCCTGCTGACGCAGGAGGACGAGATTTTGACGGTCTTCAGCAGACAGAAAGCTTGCTGTCTCGGGGTCGTTGGGTAGAATCCAGAGAACAAGCGGCGCCGTCACGACGGTGGAAATGCCGTTGATGGTAATAATCCAGCGCCAGGCGCGCCATCCGGCCGTGCCCTCGCCGCCATTGTCCATCTGGCCGATGCCGTAGGCGACGAGGCCACCGACAGCACCAGAGATGGCCGAGATGGAGTAGAAGTAGGCATTGCGAAGAGAGATATGCCTCTTGGTGTAAAACGTGGTCAAGTATAGCATGATGCCAGGGAACAGACCTGCCTCGAACAGACCAAGCAGCAGGCGGCAGGCGATGAGAGCGCCGTAGCTGTCGACGAAGCCAGTGAACGTGGCGACAAGGCCCCAAAAAAAGATGAGGCCTGCCAGGTACCGCGCAGGCTTCATCCTCTTGATGATGAGGTTGGATGGCGTCTCGAATAGGCAGTAGGTGACAAAGAGAATCGAAACGGCGAGCTGAAACTGGTTGCTGCCCTTGGTCATGCCCAGGTCCTCCTCGATGCCGAAGAGACGCGCATTTCCGATACCGACTGTCAAGGGTCAGCTTCAGGTGAGAGACGGTGTAGGGGCTGCTGACTCACCTCGGTCCATGAAGTTCATGAGATAGATCCAGCAGCAGATGGGGATGATGCGCCGGTCAAGTTTCGTTATCAGGCGCTTCTCCGTCTCCTCGCCAACGAGACGAGGGGGTGGGGCATGCTCGACCGACGTGGACGCATCTTTGATCGAGCCTGTGGACGATTTCTCGGTGTGGACGGCGTCCACCATGGTATCGACTTCGGGGGCCATGGCTGCGGTTGGAAAATGAGAAGATGAACGGCGAGAGCAGAAGGTGTGAGCGTGCCGAGTCGGCCAGCTAGGATCGGCGGCCTGCGCAGCTTATATGTGGTCAACTGCCAGCAGCGCGCGCGTGAGTGTGGGCTTTCGGGCCAAAGGACAAAACCCCAGATTACCCCAGGACTCCAGGAGGGGGAAATGCCCTTATCTTACTGCCAAGGATTAAGCTTGTCTCGTCTCATTTGCCCAGGCCCGGCAGGATGACACAAATCAGGCCGCGTCTTGTGGTGATAGGTCCAATGAAGGCCCGGATCCGTCATGAGTGCTACTCTAAGGCCCGTGCGGAGTGTGAAGCAAGGGCTGCCGTTGGGCGGCTTGTGCCACGACTCACGAGTGTCTGGGTACCGTGTAAGCGTGTATGCGATGGACCCAGCTTATAGCCTATAAGCTATTGGGTCCTCGAGCCGATCGCTGCCTAGTCCAGGCAGCGGGCTGCGTAAGTGGAGCTACCTACCGCGACCGGAACCGAGCTCGGTAGATCGATGGCGCCAATGAGCGCAGAAAAATTACACACGCTACGTATCTCCTCTGCTATATAGGAGTCTTAGAGCGCAGTCTCTGGCCATCTTTGGCTTTCCATACGATTTGAGCTCAATGTATTATGTGAGCCGTAAGTAGACAGCAAGAGGTTCGGCAGTTCCAACGTCCAGCCCTGAGCTTAGATTCAAGGTTGATCTGTTGCTTGTTCAATTGGCTCAGAAGTCAGCTTCCATCCTTCTAGCCTCTATTGGGCGCTTCCCCGCGCTGAGTGCCTCCGCAGTGCCTCCGCACCAAAATACGTAGCCAGCGGGCCAAGTACCCAATTCGCCGAGTCAGGCTCCGCTAAGCCTTATCCAGGCAATGGTCCGGTGGAGTTTGCAGCCTGTATCTAGGCTGCAAGCCAGGCTCAACTTCCTCTGGTCCGATGGATGCGTACTTGTAGATCTAGCTGACTTGGCTACCCTATTAGAGAGAGAAGTCGAGCGCTCTTAAGCCTGTGTCTAGATGCCCTGCATGGTGGCGTCTTGGATAAATTGATACCCTCGATCAGCCACGCGGCTGGCACTTGGAGATTACATGCTTTCGTCCGAAGTGAATTGAGCGCGTCATGTCAGAGAGGAGACGATTGGGCGAGAATGGGATGTTCTTGGATTTGGCTTGTAACAAGCCAATGTGCCTCCATTGGTGCAAAAATATGCACAGAACCCCGAGCCCATCAGGGTGCCTCAGCCAGGGGGAAAAGCCATGGTTTGCCATTTACCCTGTAACGGCCTACAGACAAAGAGTTACTAAAGGTTAATCCTTACGGATGGAGGATTCGTAAATAACTCGAATTCGAACTATAAAGGCTGTGAAATCGGTGGCAAACCATCAGTTAAGCGGTTCCACCACTCCAGACGAGAGTGAAACCAATAGCGTGGACATTCAGTCACATCAGTCCGCAGCCAGGCGCGTTATGACGCCCAGATGTGTTTTCTCCATCCATTTGCCCGATATTGCCTTTTCCCAGCCGGTCTTGGAATCAGCCATAGATCCATTAGCCTCCACTGGCTACCTTGCTCTTTGACTGGCACTTCTTCTGGATATCCACTGTAGAGTCGCCATTTGTCCTACAGGTCTAGTTGGTATCGATGATTCGTCCGAACAGATTCACCGTACCGTAGAAACAGGAGCGGCACTGGAATTAGGGCCAGAGCAATGAATCCGAGGGTCGAGTTTCCCCAGCCGAGACCCAAAGTACGATATAGGGGCGGCCCGGCCAGAGGGAGGAAGGCGCCTAGGATAGATCGCAGAACTGCCAAGGCAGCCAATGCAGACGCGGCATACAGGGTGTATGCATCCACGAGGTACGTTTGAACCGACATCTGGGATATGATTTAGTTAAAATGAATACCACAGCCCAAAAAAAATAAAAAAGTAGCAAATACCAAGGATAGGTTAAGGCCCACGCCCAAAAGAGAGGTGGCACATATAGGAACTATCCAGTGGACCTGGTAGAGGACAGTCCAGCCATACATGAACAAGCAGGCTGGTATGCAAAGCGCCGCTGGTACCATGAGTGGAAGACGATACTCCGGCTTGGGATCTTTGCCTTGGCTCATTCTCGAGAGGACTCGATCGGAAGCGAAGCCGAAGATCATGTTTCCAATGAGGAGACCAACAGCTATGCCAAGGTATGCGAGACCGATCTCGCCGATAGAGAAGTCGTACATGTCGCCAAAAACGGTGGGTATTGTGACAAAAAGGAGGAACTGGTATGAGTAAACGACTGCAATGAAGATTGAAAACAGGAGTACGATGGGTGAGCGGAACAGAAGAATGAACGGACGTCGTATACACCGGAGGATACGCTCTCGTTGGCCAAGACCGTCGCTGAGGCTTGATTTCAAGGAATTGTTCCCAGTCTGGCGTCTGAGCCGGTCCACCTTCCGCTGAAGTATCACAGGAGGATACGTCTCCGGTACGACGATAAAGAAGAGCAGTGTGGTAGCTGCACCCTGCCCGGCAATGATTGTCAGTCACAGCAGGACGTCGCGGGCTGTGGGCGGTGTGCTCTTGAACGCTGGGGCCACGTACCACAATCGCAACTATCCAGAACACCCATCGCCAGCCCTTCAGCTCGGTTACGGTGCCTCCAAGCACAGGTCCAATCGCTGGACCCATCAGAGGTCCAAAAGTCCACGCAGCCATGGCTCGGCCGCGCTCTTCTTGAACAAAGAGGTCGCCCACCGTCGCACCCCCGACTGTCAATACTGCCGACGCCTCCATTCCCGCCAACAACCTGAAGATAATCAGGGTCCCGAGGTTCGGGCTCGCCGCGCAGCCCACGGTGAACAAGGTGAACAGAACATTTGTGACATGGTAAGGGATGAGACGGCCATGGAGTTCGGACATGGGTGCAACAAGAAGTGGTCCAAGGGCCAGTCCAACGTTATACACGCTTACAATCAAAGGGCCGAGTATTTCACTGTCCTGATCGAATTCAAGCACAGCCTTGCTCACTCCTGGCGCAGCAATTGACGAGCCAAGGGCACTAAGGGCGTAATTAATAAATGGCATATGGAACGTAACGATGGGCCTGAAACATACACAATAAAGCTCATGGCCGCGAGGACAAGCACAATGAGCCATTTCCTTGACGCTGGCCAGTTGACCGCCATTGTGGGATCATTTGGACCTTCGAAATCGACCAAGACGTCCGTTTGCTGGGTTGTGTCTCGCAAGTCAATGTCCCCCAGGCCGAGAGTCTCGCGGTCTCGGGGCATTGTGCTTTTGATGAAGGGAATGACTTGAGATTTCCACGTAAGTTGCCGGTGAGGTGAGCAGAAAGCGGTAGAGGGGACGAAGGCTTGCGGGCTTTGGTTAACAGTACGACCAGGCACGTCATTAGCACACTAAAAATCTTTCACTGTACTATCCGCTCTGGGAAGGTAAATGAGCTGGCAATATGCACGGTTTGATGCATACAGGCATTTATCGCCTTGTATCGGGCAGCAATTGACCGGAAATGACAGGAATCGACACTACACTATGAGCTATCTTCGGCACAGTCATTCAGACTTGTTGCTTGATGCGGTCATCTTCTGCCTTGGAAGGCCTTGAATATCTTTTAATAATATACTTCTATAGCTTAGCTCGAGACTCTGAGATTGCAGCCCAATCTGATCTCGTGAACAACGTGTACTTGGGTGACCCCGGACGCAGCCAAAAGATCTGATCACGCTCTCCTTGTGGAACCTGGGACCCCAGAGTATCAGGATCGACGCCTTCAAGCTTGAGCGGCTCCTTCTTCTGCTTATAATTGTCCGTAACCATGGCTCCCACTGCTTCTCGGAGCCTGAGAAAAACTGGAACAGCGTAAGGAGGTAGCTCCGATCGCAGTCGTGCCGTTAGCCTCGTCCAGTCAATCAGCTCGGGATGGACGGAGTCTTTGAGTATAATGGCAGCGCAGCCAGCTTTGCCATCGTGTCCTGGGATTCTTACGCCGTACACATTCGACTCTGCAATGTCAGGGTCCGAGTTCAAGATTTGCGACACCTCTGTTGTCGACACATTCTCCCCCTTCCAGCGATATGTGTCTCCTTGAAAAATCTGTCAGCTCCAAAAGTCAAAGGCAGGAAGCAATTTGACACATACCAAGTCGGTCAAGGAAATACCAGTGACCATTGTCATCGCGACGCAGGGAATCCCCTGTCCTGAAGAACACGTCTCCCCGCTTCAAGACGTTGTGCACCAGCTTCTTCGCAGTCGCGTCTTCAGCCTGCCGGTAGCCAGACCACGCCGACTTGGACGACAGTTGGACTAGGATCTCTCCACCTTGATCGTACGGCAGCCTCTTGGCAAGTCCAGTCCTTGGACACCGACGGATGTCTCCTGTTTCGGCATCAGTTTCCACTGCAACGTAGGAATCGCGGCCTCTCCTCCTCAAGAGCCAACCGTGGTGGCCCACAGCTCCAAGCCCGAAGCCACCACCACGATAGTGATTGAAGAGTGCCAAGGGGCCTTCCGTGCTGGCATAGAACTCGCCAATGGCAGACACGCCAAATCGCTCCTGGTAGTAGAACAGACGCGTTAAAATCCGGTACTCGTCTCGATCAGATCTGAGAATGTTACCTGGAATTTTTCCCACAAGTCGGGACTAAGCCCATTCCCCCACACCAACCGTACTTTGTGCTTCCGATCTTTGGGCAACACAGGGGCCGACAGGAGATAGCGTATCAGCTCGCCAAATAGTAGATGTTAGACAATCTGAGGCGCTTTGTCAAGGGAAGACCTACCATAGACAAATATTGTTGCGTTGCTCTCGATGATATCGTCCCAGAAGCCTTTCAGTGAGAATTTGGGGGCGATGGCAATGGAGATGCCACTCATCAAATCGTTCATTGCAGCAAGACCTCCTGTCCCATGGTAGAGTGGTATACAGTAATAAGTTCGATCACCACCGAGTCCTGGGGCTTGTCCAAAAGTCTTTGGAAACAGCGAGGCAGAGGGATAGTTACGTGCAGACGTAAGTGGGAAGGCTTTGGGTAAGCCAGTCGTTCCACTTGTGCAACTTAGATGAATGATCAAGAAACATATGGGCAAGCTTGGGGCTTACCTTGTGTACATGAGGGCTAGTGGGTGTATCTGTGGGTCCCCCAACCAGTCTACTCGCGGTGTCTGCGTCGACGTTTCGGCAATGCTGTTTGTGACACTTCCTGCAAGCTCCAAACTCACGACGCCCATGTCTTTCAACTGTTGCTCGGTGTCGTGTATTCTGCCCGTGCAACCTGAATCAGAGCTGTGCAATAGAAGACGACAGTCAGACAAGCGGACACAATGAATTAAGGCGTCAGAAGCCAAGTTGTAGTTGATCAACGCCGGAGCGGCCCCTATGGACAAAAGGCCCATCCACATAAGGGGTAACTCTGGCGAATTGATCATGTAGATTGCAACGTACTCCGAGGGCTTGACCTGCAGTCCCTTGAAGTAATTGCCGTACTGGCAAACCCGCTCGTAGGCCTGCATCCATGTGTACTCGACCTCGCGAGACCAAATGCAAGGTGCTTCTTGCAGCCTCTGCGCGGCATCAGCAAAAAGAAAGAAGCCAGAGGCCTTATTCCGACGTACTGAGCCCTCCATTAGATGAGTCGTGATCAAACATTTCGATCAGGATCGCTTACTTGCGTCGGAAAGATTTTTTTCGGCCTTTCGTACTCGGTACAGCTGGTTCAAGTCCTTTGAGAGATGCAACTTGGCATCGGCGTATGCTGCTCCTGCAGTAATGCCAGCGACTGCCAGGAGCGCTTGGCTCACTGGCCGTTTGTGAGTCTATGTCGTCGCATCCGGGAAGTTGCAGACTGAAAGCAAAGCTGCACGTACCTAAGGGGCCATCCATTACAGATGTTGTCGAGCTGTCGACCTTTTGCTGAAAACTGTGATCGAGCGATTTGGCGTGCGAGACGCATTTCCAAGACCGCAAGCTCAAAGGCAAGTCAGGATCAAGCTTGGGACTTCACGAGGGTGCCAAGTCACACGTAACGGAATCCAGCACACCACGGTGGGTTGCACCACTAGCCCTGTCGATCAAGTCACAAGCCGTGTTCCTGCCCGGCATATGCCGCCGGCCAATATATTTATGCCGGTGAATCCTCCGCTGACATGCATGAACGAGACGGCACACGTACCTCTAGCTGCATGGTGGCGGGGTCCATGTCACCTTCCTTGTCCGGGTATCTGCGCGATGACTTCGTACTGTGGCATTCAATTCCATATTGTTTCGCTCGCTTGGAAAGGAGGATACCTACATACATCAGAGGGGCAGCATCATTCCCCCTTTCGGAACTGCGTATCTTAGAACTTGTAGGATTAGCGCCAGGCGTGTATGTCCCAACATACATGCATGTACGGATGCGAGGAGTTGGATGTCTGCAAGGGTCAGAAGTTCATTGTGCCAGGCCGCTTTCTATTGGTGCTTCTGGAGAACCAGTAAACCATGGTACTTTAGATTCTCAGATTGATACTATGGGGCCACGCTCACCCCAAGCCGACGCCCTGCCGAGGAATCATGCATCCATTGGCCTCGCTTGAAAGCGAACGAATCCTACAACCTTACCTATCGATGACTTCAGTGGCCAATGTGTCAATAAAATCATCTCACACGAGTATTCTGGAACATCTCCAGCTGTCACTTTGCGATGCCCTTCTCAAGAAGAATCCCGGCGTCGTTGTCTCACTGGCTTTCGGCGTGACGGAAAGTATCGTGGTATAGTGGGGTCCGGTATTTATCATTTCCTCGTGGGGTTAGGTTTTCTATTGAAGCTTGCGCATGGTTTCGACCCGCTATATGCACCCGGCAATATTTTCAGCAAGTTTGCCGCAGGAGCGAGTCTAGCGGGAGAATAGCCAGGGGCTACCGAGGGGAGTGAGGAGGTTCTTCGCGCATAGCTCGGGTAGAGAGAAACTTAAGAGATGTGTAACGGGAGTGATGAACTTGCAGGATTGCTAAAAGGTAAAAGGTGACTAGAGATATGCATTGGACTGTTGTTTTGAAATAGTACACTGGTGGAATTACGCCTCTAGACCCAGTGCTACGTATGAGTTTTCCAGGCTGCCCTTGTGGCTCCCTAACACTTCCGTCACTGCCCTTCGACGTCTCGGCTAAGGGAAGCATCAGTCGGACGATCGTCTGATGATTCGGACGACCTAGCGCAGAGATTCCAAAATCTAGACTAGGCTTCCGCGGTCCACCCCTGTAGGCTGCAATCTGCAATGCAGCATCATGATGATCCCTGTCGACGGATCGTCGGAACTTTAGCGACGGGCCGTCATCGGGTTCAAGTTCTAAATTTCAATATGATCCAATAATTCAAAGCTGCCGCAGGAGGGGTAAGTTGGCATGACCCACTGCATGTATCTGTAGTCTCGGACTCGGGCCCGGCATTACATGTGAATATTCTTGTCACTTTTGAACTCGGGGCCTAGGAGCTTCTCCTGCAGCACGGCACTTCTTGCAGGGTCTTGGCAAGTCGGCGACTTCCTTTACCCCACGTATTGCTTGCTAGGTTCGGACCTAGCCTAGTAAAAGCTAGCTCGTACTCTGGAGAATTGTGGGATGGAGAAAATCTTGTCGCGCTCAAGATCGGGCATTGCAGAACGTGCAGAACGGGTACAATCTGATTTGGCACGCGTCTAATAATTCGGTTGTGGCTTTTGAAAGAAGTACTGACCTGTGCCTTTGTGTTGAAACTAATAATAGTACGATTCGACAGGCCGAACGGAGTGTTGCTGCCCTAGTGTCGCCTCGTTCCTGGCATTCTCGTCTAGGTCTGTCCATTCTTCTTAATCAACCCAATCAGCCCCCCTTGCAGGTACGCTCCGTAGGAGATGCTCTCGTTACACATGCCTTGCTCCTCGGAAGCCTCGTCCTTGTCGGCGGCTTTCCAAGGCTGCACAGTGTCATCCCAACCCAAATTCACGAAGAAAGGCAAGGACTGTCGCTCTGCATTCTGCCACTTGACGCGATGGACGGGTGCAGGATAATGATCATTAGTGATGTGGGCCATGTAGCCACCACAGTTGACCAGAAACCCAGTGTCATCCGGCTCAATGTCAAGCCAGCCCTGAGCGGTCTTGACCTGCAGGTTCTGCACATCCGACTGGTACAAAACGGTGATGAGCGACACATCCTTGTGCCACTCGAAGCTAAGCTTCGTGCCGTCGTCGGCCGTTTTGATTGCCGGTGCGGGGTAGTTCTCCAGGTAGGGGTAGCGGATGAGAACGACAGACGACAGAGTCGTGTCTCGCTGGAAGTGCTGGACGAAAAAGTTCTCCTCCTTGCCCAATGCCAATGCATACCCTCGAAGGAGCGCCTCGGAAACGCGGAAAACGTCCCAGTAGTACTTCTCGGCAAAGGACCGAAATCCAGGGTGCCTCTCCTCAGATGGCCAAACGTTGACCTCGTGCATTGGCGTCTTGTTTTTGATGCGTGGGTGATCAGGCCCGAATGAAGGGTTGAGGTAGCAAAGTGACTCCACAGCCTTCTTTCCCGGGATAGGGAGAGAGTATCCTGCGCGGACCTGGGACTCATTCTTCTCGTTATAAGCCCGTATGGCCAGCTGCCACTTCTCCTCATCGCTAATGGTCTGGTGAAATTTGGCAGTCTCGCGAGAGAGCCATGGAAGGTCAACACCGTGGTTGACAGCGTAGAAGAAGCCGGTGTCGCGCGTGGCTGCGTCGATAGCTCGCGCTACCTGGGCTTTTTTTTTGCCATCATCACCAAACAGAGGCGATATGTCAATTCGAGGAACGTTGGCAGTGGGGAGAGAACCCATTTCGAAACTGGTTTAATGGAAAGAGTCGAATCTGCAAAAGCTCCTGGCAGTTCTGTGTCTGGCGCCTTTGCTTTAAGCGTGAGTAGATTCACGGGTCGGAGAGGACTTGTGACTTCTTTATCCACCAACACAATGGTTCATGTTGATACGACCCCTCAGTAGCTTCCAGATCCAAGTGTACCCTATCACTCGTTCACTCGCTCACGGATTCCCAGACCCAGAAATAAAAAATGACGTTGCATTCATGCTGGTTCATGGTGTGCACGCACACGCCCCTTCTCAAGTTGCTTGCATCCATCGTGCGCAGGTGCCTCATCTTGCCTCCAACAAGAAGCCGCGAAGGCACCAAAAGCCGCTAATGCATGAATCGACTTCTAGAATTAGGCCAGTGCTGACAGAGAACACACGCATGATGTTCAGTGGCCCAGGACGGCGCATCTTGATTGGAATAGACGGATACGTAGATCAAGAGTCTAGGCACAGTCTATCTGTCAAGACCTTCTCTTAGCCATGGGTAGGAAAATGTGGCTTGCGGCGCCAAGAAAACGACATCAGTTAGGGTAAAAAGATAACACCTGCCAAAAGCAGTGTTGTCTGCGGCTTCAGTGACTGGAATTAGCTGCAACGGGCTCTCCGTACATGCGTGTTGACTTTGATTGCAGACAGCAGACAGCAGGATCGACTTGGGCCCCGCGTGATCCATCAAGTTGTTTGTGATCCTCGCGAATAGGATTCAAGCATCGTCCACGAGTGGTTGCTCTCTCCAAACGACATGGCGCGGCTCGGATCCGGCCATGGTCAAATGAGAAGGCCCAGTCACTTCAGTGGATACGTGGTTCGGAAGGACCTTGATCCATATATAGATGAATGTGGTACAGGCAAGCTTCCGGATATAACGACCAGAGAACCAACGGAGCACTTTACAATATCATCAGTATCCTTGTTTGGAATCATGGCCGTTCCAACACAAACAGGTGGCGAGGTGTCCTTGCCCAAGTGAGGAATTCGCACTCATATTATAAGTCTGTGCAGCAACTAATTGTCTTTAGGACGCACAAACTCCAAAGTTCTATTGCCATTAAAGTACTTGCAAAGAACTCCAACGGAGTTTGTGAAGACTCGCATTATCCCCAGCCTGATTCCCAGCCATTGAACATGACACCTGAATGTTGGGTCATGGCTGGAACGCCAGAGATCTGGGCCGAAGTAGCTCAAGAGATCTATGAAAGATGCGACTTGAGTGGCCTGAGTAGGGACCCCACACGCTACCAAATGGCTTCAAAGGGGGAAAATACCAATCACGGCAACTACGAACAGAGAAAAGCTATATTCTCAAAGGCTTCGCTTGCCAGTCTGAAGCAAGTCTGCTCAGTCAGGGCGTTGACGCCAGAGGCTCTGATCCTCTTTGGTGCTCATCAAACCTTGAAGGGTCTCGGAGGTGGCTCTACCACTGTCTCTGCTTCTTTGTTTCCCCAATGCAACGAGAGCTCGTGGCAATATGCCTGGACTGCCCTCACCTCCATGGTGGATCACACTACCCGGAACATCCAGACAGTGGATGCAGCCTTGGTAAAAAACGCGACTCCTTTCCCACGGTTCTCGTGCGACGGTCCTGACATGGAGCTTGTGGAGGCAGAGCGTCTCGTGAAGTCGGGCCTCCTTGACATTGTTGTCGTCTTTGAATATGGCAGAGAGAACGCACTGCTGCCCCATTTTCCACTCATTCTTGGAGTCAACATCAAGGACCAAGCCTGGGAGCTTACAATCGGATATGACCATTCTCTATTTGACGCAATAGTCATTGAAAGTATTCTGAGTGCGTTCCACACAGTCTTGATGGCTACGACCATGCCATCGCAACTTGTCAAGAATATTGAGCTCCTGTCTTGTGAACAAGAGGCTCGTTTGACTGAATGGAACAATACCGATGGCAAGTATCCATCTCAGAAACGGCTCAATCATCTTTTTGAAGACATTGCAACACAGCAAGGGGACAAAGTTGCGCTCATCTACGGCGAAAAGCGAATCACGTATGACGCTCTGAATGTGCGCGCCAACGGCCTCGCTCAGCAGATCTCTTCTCTCAGCGTCCTGCCCGAGCAACTTATTGTTTTGTTCCTCGAAAAAAGCGACATGATGATCGCAACCATCCTGGGAGTGTGGAAATCTGGCGCAGCCCACGTGCCTGTTGACCCTGCCTACCCGGATGAGCGTGTCCGCTTCGTGCTCAACGATACGCAGGCTCGGGTCATCGTTGCAAGTCGGCGTTATACCAAGCGGCTGAGGGAAAATGTTGTCGAGGACAGGGAAATTCGCATCTACGTCATCGAGGATTTACTGGCAGCCGTTGACCAAACAACAAGGACGTCCGCAGGCTGCACCAACATTGCACCCCCCACTCCCCTCACAAGCAAACAGTTGGCGTATGTCACCTATACTTCTGGCACCACCGGGCTCCCAAAAGGTATATACAAGGAGCACACCAGTGTTGTCAATAGCATCACGGATCTGGCGGGTCGATATGGCATTGCCGGAGCTAACGATGAAGTTGTCTTGCTCTTCTCCGCCTACGTCTTTGAGCCCTTTGTGCGACAAATGTTGATGGCACTGACTACGGGTAACACACTCGCTATCATCAGCGACGAGGAAAAATTCGACCCAGACACTCTGCTTCCATTCATCAAAAGCAACCATGTCACTTACCTCAACGGGACGGCGTCGGTGCTGTTGGAGTACGACTTCTCGTCATGTGCATCGCTGAAGCGCATTGTCTTGGTCGGCGAAACACTCACCGATGCGCGTTATCAGGCGCTCAGACAGCGATTCCGAGGCTGTATACTCAGCGAATATGGATTCACCGAGTCGGCTTTCGTCACCGCGTTGAAATCATTTGATTTTAATTCTCAAAGAACAGACATGAGCCTGGGGCGACCTGTGCGGAACGTCAAGTGCTACATTCTCGGCCCAAGCCTGAAAAAGGTGCCAATTGGAGTACCAGGAGAACTATACGTGGGCGGCCTGGGCATTTCACGTGGCTACATGAATCGCCCAGAGCTCACAAGACAGAAGTTCCTGCTCAATCCCTTTCAGACGGCTCAAGAAAAGGGCATGGGCGTCAATGGCCTGATGTACAAGACCGGGGACTTGGCACGCTGGCTCTCCAACGGTGAAGTTGAGTATCTAGGCCGCGCCGACTTTCAGATCAAACTTCGCGGGATTCGGATCGAGCCTGGGGAGATCGAATCGAACATTGCGACGTATCCCGGTGTCCGGGCCAGTGTCGTCGTGTCAAAGAAGCTGCTTAGCCAAGGAAAAGAAACCAGCCAGGATCACTTGGTCGGATATTATGTCTGCGAGCAGGATCCAGTGTCAGAAGCCGATCTGATTTTCTTTTTGGAAACCAAACTTCCACGGTACATGATCCCTACGCGATTGGTTATGCTACAAACCATTCCCGTCACTGTCAACGGCAAGGCTGATCTGCGTGCGTTGCCTGCGGTCGAAGTCGAGGCAGGCTCAAACGGCTCGTCAGAAGAGCACCTCGACGAGCTCGAGGCACGCTTGGCCCAGGTATGGAGTGAAACACTACGAGTGGACCTGTCTTCCATTCGCTCGGACTCGAGCTTTTTCCGCCTTGGGGGACATAGTATCACATGCATTCAATTGATCGCGAGAGTGAGGCGACAACTGAAACGCCCGATCACTCTCGAACAGGTCTTTCGGACAAAGACGCTTGCGAACATGGCAAAGCTCTTGCGTACTCAGAAACGAGACTCGCAATCAGTGTCCAACGGAGCCAAGAGCCAGCCGCACACGAACGGTGTCAACGGGGCTGCAGACAAGGGTACATCAAGAGGGATCGTCCACTGTCGTCAGTACGCTGCCAATAGTTTACAGCAAGGCTTTGTATACCACTCCCTCAAGCTGGGGAAGACCGATGCATACATCATGCACTCTATTCTCCACTATGGGATCACCTTGGATGCTGACAGATACCGAGATGCCTGGCGAGCAGTGCAGAGACGGAATCCAGCGTTGAGAGTTCACTTTACCTGGAAAGACGCCGTTCTACAACTGATCGAGCCCAGCCTTGGCTTGGATTGGCGTATCGTTGATTTGAGTAGCCAAAGAGGTGACGAGAGCAACCGAGCCCTTCTCCATCGCCTGCAACAATCGGATCTCGACGAGTCTTACCAGCTAGATAAAGGACCTCTATTCCGTGTCTACCAAGTCTGCTTGCCGGATGGAAAGCAGACGTTCATTCTCAGTTGTCATCATGCAATAATGGACGGTTGGAGCTTGCCGCTTCTTTTCGATCAGGTGCACGAGGCATACCTCAACAACAATACTGATCAAGGGTGCTCATCCAAAGAGAATACGGCTTATATCCGATGCCAGAAGTACCTCGAAGAGCACAGAGATGATCATCTGGAGTTTTGGCAAACTCAGATTGGCATGATCGAGGAGCGCTGCGATATGAATTCTCTCCTGAACGAAGCCAGCCGTTACAAAGTGCCGCTGGCAGATTACGACGAAATTTCGGAACAGAGGCAGCAGTCCGTTGAGCTTCCTTGGGGAGACACAAAGAACAGTAGCACCAAGCAAGAGCTTGACAATCATGGGATCACTCTTCATACCCTCCTCCAACTTGTTTGGCATTTAGTTCTACATTCCTATGGAGGAGGTACTCATACCATTACAGGAACGACATCTTCTGGGCGCCATTTGCCAGTGGAGGGCATCGAAGATGCTATTGGACTTTTCATCAACACACTACCCTTGATCGTCGACCATGGCTACATTGGCAGTCAGAACATGACTGTTCTTGAAGCCCTGGTCTATGTCCAAGAAAAAGCCAACGAGATGAATCTCCGCAGCAACGCTGAGCTTGGGCGTTTGCTGAAGGCTGATTTGAAGCATGGTTTGTTTGACTCACTCTTCGTGCTTGAGAACTACCCCAATCTGGACACGGACCGGGAAATCCACCGCCAACAATTGCGGTATACGATTGAGGGCGGGTTGGAAAAGCTCAGCTACCCACTTGCAGCGATTGCCAGGGAGGTTGCCAATGACAGCTGCTCCTTCACCTTGTGCTATGCTGGCGAACTGTTCTCCGACGAGAGCGTCCATACACTCTTGCAGACGGTTCGGGACGTATTTGAATGTGTGTCAAAGAACCTCCACATGGATGTGGGCAGCTTTGAGTTTCTATCAGACAAGGAACGAACCAAACTCGACCAATGGAATGCCACGGAGTGCGAGTATCCAAACGCAACGTTGCATGCTTTGTTCGAAGTCGAAGCCCAACGAAAACCAGACAAGGTGGCCGTTGTGTACGAAGACCAGCGGTTGACATACCGAGAGCTGAATAGTCGCGCAAACTCATTGGCGTATGAACTTCTCCAGAGGGTACCTGTCCAACCAAATAAAATCATTGCCCTGGTCATGCAAAAGAGCGAGCACATGATCACCAATATCTTGGCAATCTGGAAGACAGGCGGTGCCTACGTGCCGATTGACCCTGCCTACCCGGACGATCGTATCCAATACATCCTGCAAGACACGGGAGCTCTGGCAGTCATCACTGACGTCCAGTATGTGGAGCGCATGCGTCGAGTAGCGCGACATGATGTTCTGGTGCTGGAGTCTGATTTTGGTTCCCGCCTCGAACAAGCTGCCCTTCATCCAGCTATAGCAAGCAGCCCTGCAGATTTGGCATACATCATGTACACTTCTGGGACCACCGGGAGGCCGAAAGGTGTCATGGTGGAGCATCATGGTGTTGTGAATTTGTGTGCCTCGCTCAGCAAGATATTTGGCTTACAAGATACCGACGACGAAGTCATCCTGTCATTCTCCAATTACGTCTTTGATCACTTCGTTGAGCAGATGACGGATGCATTGCTCAACGGCCAGACCCTCGTGGTGCTCAATGACGATATGAGAGGCGACAAGGAAAGGTTATACAGGTATATTGAAACTAACCGCGTCACTTACCTCTCTGGCACGCCATCGGTCATATCCATGTACGAGTTCGACAGATTTGCATCATACTTGAGACGCATCGACTGTGTTGGCGAGGCATTCAGTGAGCCAGTCTTTGAGAAAATTCGCAGCACGTTCTCGGGACTCATCATCAACGGCTACGGGCCGACCGAGGTGTCTATCACAACAAATAAGCGGCTTTATCCGTTCCCAGAGCGACGTACCGACAAGAGTATTGGGCAACAGATTGCGAATAGTACCAGCTACGTTGTTGATGGTCAGATGAAACGTGTCCCCATCGGTGCTGTGGGTGAGCTCTACCTCGGCGGCGACGGAGTTGCTCGGGGCTATCACAACCGGTCCGATCTAACAGCGGAGAGGTTTCCAATGAACCCTTTCCAGAATGAGATCGAGAAAGCTCAATGTCGCAATGGACGTCTGTATAAGACCGGGGACTTGGTCCGATGGATCGGCGAAGGCGAAATTGAGTATCTGGGACGCAATGACTTCCAGGTCAAGATCCGAGGTCAGCGTATCGAGCTCGGGGAAATTGAGGCAGTACTCTCATCCTATCCCGAGGTCGACCAATCTGTAGTTCTAGCAAAGAGCAGCGAAACAGATGGCCAGAATCAGCTCCTTGGTTACTTTGTATCTGCTGGGTCATTATCCACTCGAGCAATCCGTCGATTCATGCTTGGGCGACTTCCGGACTACATGGTTCCCGCCAAACTCGTGAGGATCGACAAGGTTCCGGTCACAGTAAGCGGAAAGCTTGACTCTAAGGCTCTCCCAGTACCGAAAGAGGCAGACCAGGATGAGATAATTGCGCCCCGTACCGAAATCGAGCAGATATTGGCCAATATCTGGTCTGAGCTCCTGGAAATACCCCTAGCAACCATTGGCATATACAGCGATTTTTTCGGGCTAGGCGGCGACAGCCTCAAGAGCACCAGGTTCTCCTTTGCTGCGACCACGGCGCTGGGTGTCTCAGTCACTGTGCGTGACTTATTCAGCCATCCGACCATTGAGGCAATGTCAAACTGGGTTGTTCGAGGCTCGGATGGCCACAGTGACGTTGCAAGCCTGCAAGGCCATGCTCTCAACAATCTTCCCATCTCACCGGCTCAGGAACGGCTCATTTTTCTTCACGAGTTCAATACGGATGGCCGTGCTCAGAACGGAGCGTACAACGTTCCCTTCCATCTCCGCCTCCGAGACGACGTTGTCACTGACGCCTTCCAGCAGGCAATTCATGACGTGGTTGCGAGACATGAAGCACTCAGAACATTATTTAAGTGCTCCAACTCTCAATACCGCCAAGAAATTATTGATCAAAATACGGCCAAATATCGTCTAAAGATGGAAACCTTGACCGACCTCTCGCCGTCTGAGATGGAAGTCCAAATGGCTCTGTTCGACACGCACAGCTTCAGCATCGGCAGTGAGCTCCCCATCCGCGTGCAATTCTACCAGCCATCAAACGCGGGTGGAAGCTTGCCGACATTCCTTAGCATTCTGTTCCACCATCTGGCGTTCGATTCTTGGTCTTGGGACATATTCGAGAGAGATCTTCAAGTCCTATACTCCGCTCGGTGCGGGAGTCCAAGCCCCAGCAGCCTGCCGATCCTACGTGTTCAATACAAGGAGTATGCTGTGGAGCATCAGAAAATACTCACTTTTGATAAACGGTGTTCTCTCGAGAGCTATTGGCTCCAAAAGCTAGCCGACCTTGAGCCTCTGCGGCTTGTGACGGATCGTCCTCGTCCCTCTCAGTTCGACTTCTCCGGGAGTGATGTCCGGATCAATGTCGAACAAGAAACAGTCATCAAGTTGAGAGAGCTCGCAAAACGTGAGGGCACAACGCTGTATACGGTGGTATTGTCGGCCTTCATGTTGCTTGTCAACGTCTACACCAACCAACAGGACATTACCATCGGAATACCAATGTCCCATCGCATGCACCCCGACTTCGGATCTTCAATTGGGTTTTTTGTTAATCTACTCCCTCTACGCGTGCAAGTAGCGCAAAAGAACTTCTGTCAACTTGTCAGAGATGTACGGAAAGCGCTTCTGGATTCCCATGTCCATCAAGATCTTCCTTTCCAAGAAATCACTAAGCTTCTTGAGCATCGGCACGACCCAAGTCGCCACCCTCTCGTCCAGCTGGTCTTCAACTGGGAGGCTGCCGCGGAGAGAGGTGGACCCGAAGACAGTTTAATGACTGAATACTGTCCCTCCAATCCTCTTCCCTCTGCGGCCAAATTTGACCTGAACGTGTCCGTCAAAGAAACCAAAGGTTTGCTGAATGTCAACTTCAACTACCCTACGGCTTTGTTCGACGCAGATACTATCGAAGGATTTATTGGGACATTCATTCACATTCTCAAGGAAGTTGCCTTCATGGATGCTGAAAGTCGACTGGACAGGCTGCCTGCTTTCGAGCCGACGTTCCACATGAACGGACATCTGGGGGGCAACATGGTCGAAAACCAGTCTGGGTGCTCTTCACTTGTGGAGCTATTCGAACTTCAAGTCGAGCTTCGTCCAGATGACATAGCAGTCGTGAGCAGTGCCGGCATCTTCACCTATGCCGAGGTGAATAGGAGAGCGAACCAGCTCGCACGGTTGATCACTTCCTCCTATGTACTCAAGAGAGACGATCGAATAGCTCTTCTCATGGGCAAGGACATCGACATGGTCATCTCGATTCTGGCTGTTTGGAAATCTGGTGCTGCATACATCCCTCTGGATCCAAGCTATCCGCCACAACGAATTGCTCTTATTCTCCAGGAGTCAAATCCACGGGCCCTTCTGACGAAAACGGACAATTATTTTGAGCTTCAAACACCGTGCAAAGTCCCAGTTCTTGTTATTGACGAAGCGGGGATCCAGGAGAGACTCAAGGAGATTTCTGAGAACTATTCTTCAGTATCTCTGCGCAGGCCTTCGGACATGGCCTACATTATCTTTACCTCGGGGACGACTGGGAAGCCAAAGGGTGTCATTGTCGAGCACGGGAGCGTCATTCAATTCCGCAATGCTCTTCTTGAACGATATTTTTCCGGCAATACAGGGTCACAAGCGGTTCTGTTCCTTTCCAACTACGTCTTTGACTTCTCCCTTGAGCAATTGTCGCTGTCTATACTTAGCGGCAACAAGCTGGTCATTCCGCCCGAGGAGGGCGTAACGCATGAAGCGTTCTACGAGCTTGCCACGGAGCAACAGCTGTCCTACGTGAGTGGAACTCCATCAGTGCTGCAGCAGATCTGTCTTTCGCGACTTCCACATCTCCGAATGATTACCTCCGCAGGCGAGGAGCTCCAGCGCAACCAATACGATACCATGCGCGCTCAGTTCAAGGGTATCATCAACAACGCTTATGGCATCACGGAAACGACGGTGTACAACATTGTCACCACTTTCAATGACACGGAGCCGTTCACAAAGGCGCTTTGTGATTCACTGCCGGGGACTGAGCTTTTTGTGCTCAATGACCGTCTCCAGGAACTTCCAGCTGATGCTGTTGGTGAACTCCACATTGGAGGGCAGTGTCTTGCACGCGGTTACCTTAATCAAGACACTCTCACAAATGACCGGTTCATTCATCATCCATTCAAGCGCCTCCCAGAGAGCAGTGGCATGCGACAAGAGAGGCTGTACAAGACGGGAGACTTGGTACGGAAACGTCGTTCGGGCTTTCTCGAATATTTGGGAAGACGTGACCAGCAAGTGAAGTTGCGCGGTTTTCGGATCGAGCTTTCCGAAATCAGGGAGAGTGTTCTTTCCATCCCCCAAGTCAAGGACTCGGCTGTAATTGCCCTCTACGATGAAACCGAGTCGAGTTCCCGCGTTGCGAAGGGTCTCGCCTGCTACTACACCGTCGAGAACGACAAGGACCTGTCATCTTTGGAGATACACACAGCGCTCCTATCGAGGCTTCCATCATTCATGGTTCCAGGGCAATTACATCAGGTCCAGGGGTCACTTCCGGTGACAGTAAATGGCAAGATAGACGTGTCTCGTCTGGCCCAGACAAGGAAACCACAGAGCATCAAGTCAACCACCGCACCACGGAATGACCTTGAGAAAACCCTCTGTCAGCTTTGGGCTTCACTTTTGAACATCAGCCACTGTGGAATTGACGACGATCTTTTTGCATTGGGCGGGGACAGCATCTCATCCCTTCGGCTTGTCGGAGATGTGCACAGCACGCTCGGTCGCAAAATCACCGTCAAGGACATTTTCCTCCACAGGACGGTTCGCGCCTTGAGCGAAAATGTTCTCTCAGCTCAGCCTGCAGCCGAACTCAACGGTTATTACACGAACAAGCCAAGCCGCAGCGCTACAGGCGACGCCCCTCTGACACCTATCCAGCGATGGTTCCAGAGAAAGGATTTACAGCATCCTGAGTTTTGGAATCACTGTTTCACTATAAGGACACCTATTCTCTCTGTGGATCAATTGCAAAACGCGTTGAAGCTGCTTCAAGATCGACATGATGTTCTTCGAATGCGGCTGAAACCAGAGGATGGAAACAACGTGCAGAGCTTCCCACCCGACTGTCAGGAGCCCGATATCTCTGTTCTTGATGCCTCAAGTTTTGAAAGCACAGAGGCTTTGAGCGAGGTACTGGGAAAAATAAACTCACGCCTTGATCTTTACGAGGGACCATTATACGCGATGGCTTACATCCCCGGTCTCGAGGACGGTTCAGCGCGTATTTGGTGCGCTTTTCACCATCTCATCATGGACACAGTGAGCTGGAACATAATCTGCACCGACCTGGAAGCATTGTATCATGGGAAAGGCCTAGGTCTGAAAGGTGGCAATGTTCAGGAGTGGGCACTAGCACTTGCCGAGTACAACATGACCCTTGCTGAAAAAGCGTACTGGAACATGGCTCGGAGGAAAATGACGGAAGGTTTCAAAAAGCTTCCTCAATTTTCTCAGTCTCGATTCCAGCGGGCATGGAAGATGACGAGTCGGGACACAGCCTCCCTCACGCGACTTGCTTCGGTCCTCGACACCTCTATGCACGATATTCTACTGGTGGCAGTCAGCCGCGGCTTGCAGGACACGACACAGCATTCACCAGGTTTTATCGCAATTGAATCGCACGGCCGTGAGGAGATTTTCGGGGCATCTTTGGACGTGAGTCGGGCAGTTGGCTGGTTCACCAGCATGTACCCCTTCGAAATTCCGGTGGTAGATGATCTGGTCCAGGGCATCATCGACGTCAAGACCCGTGCTTCACAGGTACCCCGCAATGGCATTGCTTATGGGCCTATCTTCGGCTATGATCAAGATTCTCTTCCACTGGTCTCCTTCAATTATCTAGGTCGCTTGGGCAAGCGAAAGATGAATGCCAGCGAGTGGATGTTGGTCCACGAAGAGGGATATCCTCAAGGGCTTTGCACCAGCCCCGCCGACGCAAACAAAAGTGGCTCAATGATTGACTTGACTTTTTCTATTCAGAACGACCAGCTGACAGCCGAGGTTGACTGTGGTTGGGGTCAGGAGGCTTTGAAGCAGCTCACACTTTCGATCCAACAGACATTGACTGAGCTGACTACGACCAGCCCTCAGGACCCTGCGGCTGCTGTCAGACCACAGAACACCCATCATTCTGGATACACTCCCTATTTCATCTTTGAGGGCGAGTCCAGGTCCGGGCGGCCTCTTTTCCTTCTACCGCCAGGCGAGGGGGGCGCAGAAAGCTATTTCCGCAACGTTATTCAAAGTTTGCCAGAGCGAAACATGGTGGCTTTTAACAACTATTATCGCGAGCACAAAGACCTCGACACGATTGAGCAGCTCGCTGAGTACTATCTCTCACTTATAAGAGACGTTCAACCCGAAGGTCCTTACGACATCCTGGGATGGAGCTTTGGTGGTATCATCGGGCTCGAAGTGGCAGCTCGGTTGATCGATGGAGGGGAGAGCATACGCATGCTTGGCCTAATTGACCCATTCTTTGATATCACTTCGGCCACAAAGGCCATCGACCACAAGGGCACCATTCTGGACCCGATCTACGATGTTTACCAGCCGCCAACAAATGCGTTCCAGGCCGTCGAAGAGCGCGCAGAGCACATTGTCCTTTTCAAGGCTACCACATATGATGAGAAGCACCAGTCTGCCCCCGAGCGACAGCTTTTCAAGTGGTACGCAGCTAGTCCAGCAAACAATCTGGACAAGTACGTTCAAATGAGCCGCGTGCAAATGGTGCGGATGGGCGGAACACACTTTTCATGGGTTTGGAAGGAGGACGATGTGGAATCAATTTGTTCCAGGCTGAGATACTGAACACTCTTCCTTAGGTACAATCCGATATCCGCAAACTCGTCGTTGAGGGTGATTTTCTTTTGTTTTTGTTTTTTCTATGCTTGGACGTAGTTTCGGGGCGCCATATGCGCGAATACGGTCAACCATCACGTATCAGGTAGTGTATTTAGTGAGCCAGGGGGAATTTTGATTCCTATTTGTCTTTTCTGATATACCTGATATGTCTATGAGGCGACTCTTACATCTCTCTCCCTGGCACATGCCGCATCCACGTTAATTATTTGCTGAGTTGCGCAGTGGACTACACCTCCAATAAATGGGAGGGCCCTCACATGGAGTGGTCTGACTATCCAATCGGGGCATAGCTTTTGGAACAACTCGACTGCTTCTCTGTCTCTCTTCGTCACCAAACTGTGGAAGAATCAGTCCTCCATTGACGAAGTGGAAACTATCATAGTTCGTTGCCGGGACATCGTACGCCCACGATCCGAGACAACCAGGTTCTAGCTCGTTGAAGATATGAATCGCAAAGCGCCTGCCTTTGGCGTCAGTGGACTGCTCTAGTATGGCCTTGTTCTCTTCAAATACCTTCCACCACGCCCTTGGAGTGCCTGCATACGGTCTTGAGAGGACGACCACGCCTGGTCGGATACAGTTGACCTCGGCGTCAATGTGCACGTCTGTCGCATCTATATCTGCCTTACCGGGCATCCAGATAATATATCGACTCCGGGCAAGCGATGGAACTCGACTTCGACGTCTTATCGTCATACGCCAGGGTTTCGATTGTCGTTCAGGATGTTGCTTTCAGTTGCTAGCAGCGTTCCCTAGCCGTCAACCACAATCCCACCCCCTTCAGGACAGGCCTTGTCCCACTCTCTTCAAGACAGATTTTGAAGTCGAGCCTCGTCACCGGAGACGGACATGTGTCCCCTGCAATAACGTTCTCGGCAAATTCAACATTCTCTCCTGAATCTCCTTCTCGCTCAACTGCGGTCAATCGAGCTCAGCGAGCGCGAACCCCGCATCCTTTTCTTGTTTCATAAACCCCCACTCGGTGTGACCGAAGTTGAGGGAAAATTTGGTTTGTGACTTTTGCTTAGCTTGGCTCACGTGTTGGAGCTCCCGCACGTAGATCGGCTCGGTGTCTCGAACCCAGAGGTTTTTTGTGGTTATGGGAATAACGGTGACATTGCCCAGGCTGCCAGAGTGATCGTCGTTTACCCGGACCACCGCAGCGTGCGCCTCAGCTGTATCTTCCGGGCGAGTGTATAGCCGGACAGGCTCAAAGCTAGATATGGCGGCAGCCAGGCGACTAATGTCTTGGCAGGCGGTTTCGTGGTACTTGGCCAATGCTTGACTTGGCCGGAAATCCCAGTATCGTGCTGATATGACGGCAAAAATTGCCGGTGTAAAGGGAACGGCGGGTCATGCTATTAAAGCTTGTTTTTTGTTTAGCCAAGGTATTATCAACAGAATATCGACGTCTTGAGCGAGCCCTAGGAGGTTTGTGACGGGACTTGACGATTCCAGAGATAGATACAAGACTCGCTAGGTGTGAAGGAGGTAGGAGAGGTTGAACCGTTGAGGCCTAAAGTATGCATCTCCAATAGTGCTTTTTTGGCATGACTGATTTTGTAAGTACAGGATATTTATTACAATATTTACGTGCGGACTGACTCCTAAGGCGTAGGCTGCGAAGTCAAAACGTTGATGTGAGAGCGGAACTCGGCTCCCCGCGGATTGTCGACTTCGCACCCGCGGAGCCCGGGTAGCGGATACTAAGGAGTTAAGCTTTATTAAAGTAGGTAGTGCCCCGTAATCTAGATTCGCTCCACTAGTCCCATGGTTCGAATCGCTGTTGAGGGTAATTCCTCGGATAGTGTCTTACACCGAGATCCGGTGTGAACAAGGGAGCGGGGTTGGGTACGCAATACACCGCCACCCCGAAGTAATTAAATTCTCACCTACACGTGTGTGAAAGATATGAGAGACGTGGATTTTGGCTAATACTACATATATTGAAAATTCAGAATAGTCCGATGAAATTCTCTAGCTCATGAGCACGCTGTCTCCAGAAAATCCGAAAGACTTGGATCGTAGCTGAGGCGGCTAGGCGGACCGAACAGCGGCGATCATGCATGCGCCCTTTTTCGGAAACAAATCCAGTCGGGATAGGTACTGAACTTGAAGTCAGCGCAGATGCGAGGATGAAATCTCGTTTATTGTGAAAGCGGAATGAGGCACGGTTCAGGCAGGTCAAGTGTCTACTAGGCAGAACGTGGGGTCTCGATTTAAGCATCACGGAACACCGCCTCCCGAGATCTATGCAGGGGATCTGTGACCCCCATGGGGACGTCTCCACTCAAAGATCTTAGGCTATTTAGATTTCGGAGTACTCAATACGGCACTGGGGTCTTCTCCAATTCAAGGTTCGCCAACCTGGCCGAGTTCTGCGACTTGGCAACGCAATAGCTTATGACAAATTGACAATAGCAGCATACCTTGGAAGCACGCACAGCGCATCCGGCTCGGCAGCAGCAGAGACGACTGCACATCACTGGAGACAGACGATTCAAGACCACAAGGCCATCATGTTGAGCGGAAGATCGGGATAGGCAGTCAGTATTGGCTGATTGCAGAGCCCAGCTTCATGTGAGCTCGCAATGCAGTCTTTATCGGGAAATAAGCAACACCAGGACACCGGCGCAAGTGAACCTGGGACCCACGCTTATAAACACCCGTCTGCCCTATCTTCCTGATACTTGAACTCACCCATGCACTAGACGAGCTTCTCCACTAGCAACCGCCTCATCTTCGATCAAGCACCATGCGCTCTGCACCTTTGGCCAGCGCCCTGGCTCTAGGGGCTCTTGTGCCATCTTCAGGCGCTGTTCCCACTGCGATCGTCTCTCGAGATTCTTCCAATCCATTCGTCGGCCGCAAGCTCTCTATCAATCACTCCTATGCAGCCAGCCTCGAAGCTACATTTGATTCCTTTATTGAAGAAGGCGACGAGCTCAATGCCCGCAAGACCCGAACTGTTCAGGGACTAGGGACATTCCAATGGGCGCCTGCCATTAGTCTCCTTGCAAGTCTGGACGCTGCGATCTCAGCTGCCCGTGCAGAGCAGAACCAAGGCGGCGTCCCGCAGGTGGTGGGACTTGTTCTGTACAACCTCCCGGACCGTGATTGCAGCGCTGGCGAAAGCGCTGGCGAACTGTCGGGAGAAGACGGCCTACGCCGCTACAAGAATGAATATGTGGATGGCTGGGCAGAGAGACTGAGCCGAGCCTCTGACTTGACATTCGCCGTCGTTGTGGAGCCTGATGCTGTTGGGAACATGGTAACGAACCAAGGCGTGCCGCTCTGCGCCGAGGCCAAACCCATCTACGAAGAAGGCATTGCGTACGCCATTTCCAAGTTGCAGCTTCCCAACGTCAATCTCTATCTTGATGCGTCTCATGGAGGTTGGCTTGGCTGGCCTGATAACCTTGTCCTGGGTGAGTAACGTCTTGTGTGATTCTGGTACTTGATGCTGACACTCGAGAAGCTGCGCAGCAGTTCAAGGACATTGTCGATCGTGCAGGAAACAACGCCACTATTCGTGGATTTTCCACCAACGTCTCGAACTACAACCCATTCAAGGCCACTGTTCGTGAAGACTACACTGAGTGGAGCCCGTCATGGGATGAGGATCATTACACATCTTCCCTTGCGCCTTATCTGGAGGAGTTGGATCTGCCTACACGGTTCATCGTGGATCAAAGCCGTGTACATCTCCCAGGCGCCCGGGAGGAATGGGGTGAGTGGTGCAACGTGGCGCCTGCCGGACTTGGCGCACCGCAAAAGACAGACCTGGAGAATCCATACATTGACAGCCTCGTATGGGTCAAGCCCCCAGGCGAGAGTGATGGCCGATGTGGGCTCGAGGGAGCCCCCGCTGCTGGCCAGTGGTTCAATGAGTACGTACAGATGCTGGTGGAGAATGCGCATGAGGACGTGCAGCCTGCCGACTCTCTTGAAAGGGTTACGAAGTCCTGGTGGCCTCAGATTTAGCATAGTACACGAAGCAAGAGGGGCATTGTTTTGGCGTGCCCCTGGAAAAGTCGTTCTGTATATATTCCACACAATGATCCTTCCTTATCCTTGGTCACTGAGGGTTTGCAGAACAAAGAGCCTCATACAGCTCAATGTGGGGGATCATGGTGACTTCAGTGGTAGTCGACTTTACGTTTTGACGGACAATCTCATAGACGAGGTGAAGGGATACAAGAATATGCTATGAATCCCGTCGACACCCACCGTCTGGTCTTCGATTCCGATTTGAGACGCCAGTGCATTCAATCAAGGATGTGAACGAGACTTCAGCACTTAAATCGCTCAGTAAACAAATAGTGACGCCACTCAGAACCCCTCTGCCCTTACAAACACGCAGAGCGCGGCAGGGCATCTTTGCTCACAAGATCTTCGCTGGGACTTTGACACTGCACCACTTTCCGCAAAATGACGCACAGGCAGTGCCAGAGCGAGTGAAGTTGTCGGGGACGGTTGCCAAGCCCTCACTGGGAGTGCATTAACCACGGCAGAGTCCTTTCTCTCTCGTATCGCAGTCCATGCTGCTACGCGTACTGGACTTAGCCAGGCCTTCCTCAACAACGCGTCTTACGTGTCGCTCCTCAGACAGCCGGCCTACGTCCGAGCATCTCTTCGAGCCCTCATTCACTCGCCACGCGCCATGGTGCTTGTTTGGGAAGCACCGAGTGTTGGCCAAGCCCCGATACATGGCCAGGAGCATCTAGTCGCCGAGTTGTTCGCTACGCAGTAGATGTGTGTGGCTCTCCAGGCATGGTCGGTACGGGATCAGATGCGGATGGAAGGGGGCGGCGGGAGAACATATCGCCGCCGTCAGCGACCGAGGTATTCAATCTACGTGATGAAGCTTCGTCCTTGGCGTCTATGAGGGCGTTATATGCGTTGGGTGTGAATGTGGTGTGTCCCGGTGCGACGAATCGGAATCGACGTGGCAGGGCGAGGCTATGAATGCTGGCGTAAAAGCTGTTGAACTCCACGTACAGCCCGCCCTCCGTGGAGGCGTCGAAGAGGTTGTCTGAGCACAGGAGATGATGACGCGATCCTCAATAGCGCCGTGGATCAAGCCGCTCAGGCTCCTGCTCGGCGGGTCGGGCTGGCGAAGCTCACGGTCAGTGGCAAGCCATTGGTGTCGGGCTGTCGGGCTGCCAGAGGAAGTTGTGGATCATGCCACGCTCCGCTTTGGTGGTATCGAGCCCGAGGCCTCGGTGGTGCTGTCTGCCTGCTGCGTTGCAGTCGTGATGGCTAGTAGCGTCAAGATCATGACAATTGATCATTGTCGACTTCATTTTGAGACGCGTCTATCTCGCCACGCATGTCATAGACACATGACGCGTCGGCCGGTGTTTGCTCGCGCGTGGGTGTATGAGATCATGGCGGATACCGCGGTCGCCTGGATTGTGCGTGCACTGCAACATAGCCCTCTGTAGGAAATTGTTGTGCAGAACGGCTCAGCGTTCGGAATCGAAAATGCTGTCTTCCATGGTGTATGAGCCGTTTTCGTATCGTTGGCGATGATAGTCGTAGGTCGAAGCTGACTCGCATTCAGTCGGGCGCGCAGGTGGTGAGTCGTGTCGCGGTCGTCACCATCATGATTTCGTTGTTTCCGTAGTGCGAGCAAGGCCTGTCACCTACCCTGAACAGAACCTATCGGCCTCCTGCGGTTGCACCTTGCACTCTTGAATTCATGACACTCCCGTTGGTTAGTTCTAATAAAGTCTATTCTATTGATTCGAGTTTCTATTCAGGATAATACACCTAACTAATGTCGACAAATGCTCACTCGTCTTGGTCAATGGTCCATAGGTGATATCCACTCACCAGAAAATCTATTTGACCGCAGCGTGGAAACGCATGACAGCTCCAAGATCTGCCATATGGTGCAATCAAGACAACTCAAGAATACGTCAACAATTCCATACACACCAGACAATAGACCAATCTAGGCGAAAAGCGCATTACTCTATCAATTAGATCCGCGGGTTCAAGGCCAACGGAATCATGAATTGACGCCGAGGGTAAACAAGCAGCTAGCCACGATATATCTATCCTTGTCGCTATTCGTCTAAGATATTACGGGAGGATGAATGTTCGCGGAGGCTGCAGTCCGAAACTGAATATTAATTAATTAATGACCAGACGAAACGCGGCCTGCGTCGATGGGGACTCGGGGAGGCGGACTATTTATTTCCTAATTCGGACAGCTCTTCACGGAGGGGCTTCCGTTCCCTCAGATGAGATGGACCCCATATCCACCAATCACCACCCGGATCGTCAACCTCCGTTTCCCCGTGTGGCCTGAAACACTATGACACACGCGATACGTCTCAAGACAGCGACTAACAATTTATATTAAACACATGCGTTTCGTCTGTTCATGGCGGCAGTGTAGTCGTTTATATAAGTGTTGTTCGTAGTGGTTTGAATCATTTCATCACTTCTTCTCAAATCTGGCAATCTCTACCTTGTTTCCCATCGCCTTCGGTTTCTGGCAAATCGTTCTCCCACAATGCGTTACCTCGCCTCTATTCTTTCGACCGCTGCTGTCGCAGCTGCGCACGGCTATGTTGAGTCGGCCATTATTGGTGGCGAAACATACGAGTTCTACAACCCCAACACAGACCCATACATGAGCCCGAAGCCCGAGCGCATCTCGCGCTCGATACCCGGCAACGGCCCCGTCGAGGACGTCACGAGCATCGATATCCAGTGCAATGGCTGGTCTGCTGGTGGTGTCGAGGGCAGTGAGCCTGCACCTCTCCACGCCAAGGTCGCGGCCGGCTCAGAGGTGACCCTGTTCTGGACATTGTGGCCCGCCTCACACATGGGCCCTGTCATAACATACATGGCCAAGTGCCCCGACACTGGATGTCAAGATTACCAGCCTGGAGACGACGCAGTGTGGTTCAAAATTCAGGAGGATGGTCGCGAGGGCACCTCTCAGAACTGGGCATCGGTGGGTTGATCACAGAATGAGCATGGAGTACGGTGTACTAATAAGCTGCAGGATGTCATTGTTCAGGCGAACAATGATGGAGTCAAGTACACTATTCCCGAGTGCATTGAGCCTGGCTACTACCTCGTTCGTCACGAAGTCGTTGCTCTACACGCAGCTTGGCAGTACCCAGGCGCCCAGTTCTACCCTGGCTGTCACCAGCTCGAGGTCACGGGAGGAGGCAGCGCCTCGCCAAGCGACCTCGTCAGCATCCCTGGTGCGTACGCTGGCACCGACCCCGGTATCACATATGATGCGTACCAGGCGTCGGAGTATGTGATCCCTGGTCCGGATGTGTTCACATGCTAGATTGGCGTTTGGAATTTGGATTGTCTTCATATACTTGACGGCGATGAACATGCTTGACCACAAGGACACTTATGCTCTAAGCGTGACTACCTTCATTTGGCGACCACCCGTGCATTTTATCTCCAGTTCATTTCCAGCACGGAACTTTGCTCAATGTCCCACCACCAAGGGGCTCAATTTTGCTTGGGAGCTTGCCGTCGACTACTTGAAACCCAAATCGGAGGCAGAAACACAAGTATAACGTGACCTGTGGCACGTTCACGTAAGCTTGAAGCCCGACCCACGTAGCCTCTGGGACACGCTATCCGGATCATACCTAGCCGCGGCGGCCTGTAGTTTCTCGACAGCGTCTTCCCCAAAGGAGGATATCACGTCCTGGCTGCTGTGCGCGTAGTTCAGATAGCACCATCCCCAGTTCACACCAAGCTTCTCGGCGTAATCGTCCAGATCCTGCATGTACGCAGTGAGAAGAGGCAGTGCCCGTTCCTCAGCTTCACGACCATGAACAACAAAAGTAAGCAAGAACATAATGCCATTGCCCTCACTGATGTGGCTTTCAAGACCCATGACGTTGCCGCCGTTTGCCACGCCCTTCTCGACAATGGATTTGGTGATGGGCTGGAACATGCAGAGTGTGTTGAGACCGGTCTCCTGAGATGGCGCGAATTTCTCCAGCTCAGCGTTCAGTTTGATGAATTTTTCGACCGCGTAGTTTATTGGGCGAGCGTCGTTCTCAAAGGATGCGACGAGCCAGATACTATTGTGTGCTTCTCTTAGCGGGTTGCTGATGTCAAAACGAGGAATGACAGAGTGATAGACATACCGGAAACCAGCTGGCTGGCCCGACCCCAGCTCATTGGCGACAGCAGAGAGAGTGCCGACCTTGGTCGTACCATCGTAGCCGCCTGCCACAGCGTAGTACCCGTCAAAAGCCCTTGGCTTCACTGTTGCACGCGTGTTCTCGATGGCGGCATTGAGTATAGTGCCCCCAAGAACAGCAGGCAGGTATACCCGGTAGACAATAGAAGAGCTGCTCTCGTCCTTGTAAGCATTGTCCGTGAAGTCAACGAGAGCATCGATGACTGCCGGACCCGAAGATAATTCGTAGAAAAGATTGCCACCCCAGACGACAGGGTTTGATGGATCAGCGTAATCGATGGGGTACATGTCGAAACTGGTGATAAGCCCTAGATTGCCAGTGCCACCCTTGAGGGCTTACCAGAGACCTGTATTGCTGTCCTTGTTGGCATTGACAATATTTCCATTGGCGAGCACAACCTCAAAGTTGGCAACAGCATCACAGGCCATGCCATGAGACGCGGAGTAGAATGAGTTCCCGCCGGCGCGTCCACCGGCAACAGTGACGCCGTAGGGCACTAGTTCGTCGTAGACAGTTCCCAGTAGCCGCCGGGCTGAATGGACGCAAGCTTGGTGTCTGGGTTCCATGTCGTGGCATTCATGTTCCCTAGAAACCGGTGACTCCGGTCAGCAAGCGTCGAGTGTAACGCACTGGGCTTGACAACGTACCAAAGTCGATAGTGACTACATGTTCAACACCATTGGAAAAGGTATGGGCACCATGTCCTCCACCAGGGACGCCAGAAGGGCAACCGCCAGCGACAAGAATTTTGATTATTTCGGATGCGTCATCTGCGCTGGAAGGCTTAACCATGCACCAGGGTGGCAATGCGGCACTGACAGACCAGTATGTGTCCAGGCGATCCTCGTATGCGCTCGAGTCAGGAAAGTAAACCTTTCCCTTGAGTTTGTCGGCCTTGTGCAGTTCCAGGCACTATGCAATCCCGGTCAGCATCATTGAAGCAGCATTAACAGAGCACCAGCACTCGGCTCCGAAACCGCTTCGGGAAAATTGGGTGGTGGGGGTGGAGTTTGGGGAGTGACTAACACAGCGAGACACGCAGCCGCTGGCAGCCGAGAGAGACTGAGGGCTTTGGTAAGCACAAGCCTAATACTTGACCTCATTTTCACAGATCCTGCCAGACACCGTCTCGAAGGGAAATTGGACTATGGAAAACGACGAAGGAAAATTTGCTTGACAATGATTCTTTTATTGACGCTGAATAGGGCTTGACTTTAAGAAAAGAATGAAGAAAACACCCAGTCTGATTGGTCGGTATGAATCCCCAGAATCACTATTCTCGACCGCGTTATTTCGCTTAAGAATGTCCGCGCATACGCAGCGCCTACCGGATAGAGAGCCTGCTCCGGAGTTGTTGGTCATGATTTGACCACAGGCATACAAGATAACATATGCATATACATGTAGGTTACGGATACAAGGGCAAGGTCACGCGGATGCGCGATACTTGCTCCAGTCCCAAGAGCCCCGGCCTTATCACACCCGCCCATGCTACGCAATCAGACTTTATCTGATGACATTGCACTTGCGAAGTTTCAATCCTTTACTTTAAGGCTTGACCAACAGCACCAAGCGGTCCGAGTGTTGTCGGTTCAGGGATAACCAAACGCTTGGGTATGAGTGGACGGAGCTGGTGGGAATGGGTGTTACCAAGACCCTGTCATCACCCCAACGCATTTAATTCCATGCAGGAGCACCAAAACGCCATGTCCTCAACGACGAAATGCTCTTTGTATAGCATACCTCGTTTGAATCATCGCTGACGTTCCGGCTTTTCTGATTTTGGCTTGGGTATGTGTTGAGCTAACTGAAACTTTCTGACATAACGTTAATAGGACGCCAACTGACAATCATGTAGCTTATATCCATGGCTACTGTTGGCCTTTGTGTTCGTCGGTCAACCTTTGAAGGCGCCAATGACGACAGCACTTACCGTTCTTCTTATAGACATGTTTGCCGCAGGCGCAGGCGGAGTACATGGCTGGGAAATTGATATCCCAACATACAACATCTATCTTATGGTGTGTACATCAGCATTTTACTTTTTTCCGCTTCTATTTAGTGTAAGAGCCTATCGATAAATAGAGCATCCGGCTGACGAATATTATAGGACGTGTATCTTGGCGCAGCAATATACATCGTAGGTGGCAGCGTCACGAAGGTGTCGTTGTTGTTTTCTATCTCCGTCTGTCGACGCAGACGTGGTTCAAGACATCCGTGTGGGCTACTTTGGTTTTCATCATTGGATATACCATCGGCATCTTTTTTGCGCTCGTCTTCGCGTGTGAGCCTACGATGCCACCGTCATGTCGGGGGCCGGACTTCATTTTCGAACGGCTGCCTGATTTGTTGCAAGGCGCTATAGTCACTTCTGTGATCCGAGTGTCCATTCTGCCGTAAATGCTCACCAGCGTGGATCAAACATGGGTCATTTCGTGGGCCTCTGTCTGGATGTGAGCGCAAATTTCATTCGATCCCCCTTGAAGAAATACTAGCTGACACATCCATTTCTAGTTTGTAGTATCGTCGAAGCGAACCTGTTCATTGTCTGCGGCGCGCTACCGACTATTCGAAAGTTCCTCAAACATGTTGCACCCACTAATATGTATGTAATTAGTTGACACAGTTGGCAGTGCGTTATCTAATATCCCACCGTACCCACTCTCATTGGCGAGACCCGATACACTCGAAGCTCAAAAGCAACGAAAGACGTCAAGAGCATGCCGGAAACAATTGCGCTACGAGCAATCGAATCAATGACTACGAAGCACGTGGGCGCAAAACAGAATCATTACTCCCAATTCGAAAACATCGATAACGGCTTTGTCCATAGACGCGGAGATACGATAATGTTGTCGAAATACTCCATCTCTGGCCGAATGGCTGATGGCAGTGGAGAAGAACAACATTGGGTAGATGACAGCTCTGAGAAAGCTATTAAGGAGAGTCGGCGAATCCCGCGGTCACAAACCATTACCGCAGATTATTATTGAAACTCGGCAATGTTTACGCGTATCCTAATTGCCGAGGTGCGCCCAGACTCCAGAGCACGTCAGCACGTAGAGCACGGAAAACTATAGAAGCCTCACGGGCTTGCGACCTATGGATCCGGACACGAGACTACAAATTTGAAAAATAGATACAAGGGCCACACAAAATAACATTGGGGGCCGATGACAGTGGTAGTGAGTACCGCAGAAGGTCAGGGGCTGTTCTTCGCATCAAATCGATGACTACTTAATACAATGTTTGAGGAGCTCAAGCTGCGCCTTGATATCGTCTCGAAGGGAATCTCCCACGTAGATATCAAAGTGGCCATATCCTTCCAAGTAATTCATCTGTTTCGGCTCTAAAGCCTTGTTGAAGGCATCCATCTGGGACGCTGTTGAAACAAGGACGTCATTGCCTGTGATGACAAACAGGAGCGGTGTGAGGAAGATCCTATGGATCATTGCCTCACCGTCGAAACTGAGTATTTGCAGTTAAGTCTGGAGATGACGTAGTCTTCCCACTTGCTTCCAAAATCATTTTGCTGAACCATTAGGTCGTAGGTATTCTTGGTTGAGAACATGGCGTCTGTTTTAGACGGATCAGCAGACCCTCGATCGGGCGCAATCAGTGGTACAGTAGAACAACCATGATCGGAAGTGATCCGTTTTCTGTCCTCTAGTAGCTCCGGAATGAATGCGATGTTTGAACGCACGAGGCCGAGCGCTCGCGTCACGGGAACAGCTATCCGACGAGAACCTCATGCGAGTGGCGGCGCGGCTCGGCGATAGCGACGAGGACATCCGACGGGTGGCCGTCTAATTACTTATTACTGGAATAAGGATTCGTGTTGGGATTGTAGCTCCGTATCTAGACGCCCCGTATATATTGTTACTAAATAGTAACTCGATAGGTAACGTCTATTGGCTCACGACGACCGAAGAATCTTATTTATAACTCAACCAAATGGCACCGGCTCACTTTCCTGGCAAATCAGAGCGCTTTATAAACCTGACTTAGGATATTAGAACAGAGTTTGGTATTCCTCGAATAGTTCCGGCTATCACTAGACCCGTCGACTATTTATCAGGATAGTGAGTCGCATGGAGCCTTAGAAGTTCCTTTTTATCTTGCTATCATAGCATAGTGTAGGAGGAGTGTGCGGAGATACAGGCTGTTGTAGGCTAGGCCCAGGTGGCCAGGAAGAGGTACGTCCCGTCCTCATCGTTGTCCTTGGCTTAAACCCCCAGAACAACATAGCTTGGTACGGACAGGCGGTTATGACACTCCATATACGTTAATCCAGTAACTCATCACATTAATATCAAGTCTCTTATATTATATCACTTATCGAACTTACTCGGTCCTAGAATCAGGTTTAGTTAGTGGGGCTCCGTCTGAAGGAATACTCTTATTCCCGTAGGATTTCTCTTATCTAGAACTATTTTCGGATATTACGTCACATCGATGTAAAGACTCTCTTGGCGAATCCTTTAGAGGAGTTACCGACCCAGAATATAGTCACAAAGCCAGATAATATACTATTTCATCGAATGATGTTCTGCAAGCCATGCCTCCACGGTGCGATCATAGAGTGGGTTCACTGAAGTTGATAAGCATTGGATCGTGATCAAGTCGTGTGTTATCAAGACTGGTGCTAGACAACTTGTCTACTTAAACCAGCCGCACCTTTCAACGTGTCTCAAAACAAACGCCTAATCTAACATTGTAACTATTCAGTTCAAGTCTCTCCAAATATCAAAACACAACACTCTACTATCCTTCCACATTATCACGACCATCAAAGACAATGAAGCCCGTCATTGCTTCTACGCTTCTCATCGGCACCGCCCTTGCCCAATACACCGGCCAGATCAAGGTCGTCGACGACAGTTGCCCCATGTTCGTTGCCGGGGAGAAGGGGAAAACTGTACAGTGGAACGCCCCAGCTGGCACTATCTGTGCCGATATTTCAGACATCTGCCCCGAGGGCAAGTGCTTTGTAGCCCTTCAGGCCGTCGGCACAGGTGTCAATACTGGCATGCCTGACAAGATGGCAGCCTGCCCTGGAAGCGACTGCTCCGCTGATTGCACAACCTGGGACCTCAACAAAGGAAGCAGTGACTTCACGCTGGACTGCGCTGAATTTACGGGCGAGCACTACTTCTATTTGGGATACTGAGTACTCAAGTTCAGACAGAACATGGTATTGGCCACAATAGCTTTCACACTAGGGAAAGAAGTATAGGTTTTAAGGGTAAACCTATCAAAGCTGGAACTCAGGCCTATTGAGATATTACATAAGAAAACTAACGATGTCTGATTAATATGAGTCTCGTTATTATTCTGTCTTAGTTTATAGGGCAAGAGATATACCATACGTGATTGCTGCTATACATTAAATCGATTCGTAAAAATCGATTTGAATATTGGCTCTTCTGCGCGAACTAGCGAGGTCCTAGTAATTAGTTTAAAGAATGGCTCTCGACGGAAGGTTCTCGCACTACACAGACTCCTTACTTATTCATCCGCAGGAACCCGCGGCTTACTATTTAATTAATTCAGTCGCTCGTGTTTTATAGATTATTTCCTAAGTGATGCAGGATTGCAGCTCGTCAGCGAACTCCAATGCACGCACAAACCCAAGTCGCTTAACTTCGTCGAAGCAGCGAGCTTTGGATTGACTTTTGGAACTGCCCATCAGTCTCTGCACCACCGACTTGATATCAAACCTAACGAGAACGTTGGAATACTGATCGTATGTGAGAATTTTCCACGCATTGCTAGTAAGGGGAAAAAGTTATTGAAATTTGGCTAACGTCCCATTGAGCAAATCAGATCAATGGCGGCGGAGTGGGCAGTGCTGCTATCCAGCTAGCACGCAACGTCTTGAACCTGCCAGCAGTGGTTGCTACAGAGTCGCGGCAAAAGACTAAGAAATCTTTCAATCGGATGGGCGCCACTCATGTCGTCAACCACCAGCATGATCTTGTGGTACAAATCAAAGCCATGAACCGGGACGTCCCGATCAAGTATGACAATGCAAAGTGTCAGATTATCCGCTGTGCCCTTTGCTGATTACTCTGAGCAGATATGTCTACATCCTGGCAAAGACTGGGCAGTATGTTAATGCCATTGCCAACATCTGCGCGCCGTTTGGCAAGGCGTGCGCCATTTTCCAGGCTACATCAGCCTTTACGGGACCAAGTCCATGTCCAGGTCAATGACGTTCTCCTGGGACTGGCTCGGCTCTGCGGCGTATCATCGCACCGATGTTGAAGGGTACCACGACATGTTCACAGCCTTGTCGCGTCCAATGAATGAACGAAGGCTTTTCCCAACTATTGGCAAGCGATACAAGTTGACTCTGGCAGGGCTAAAGGAATCCCATCGTCAAATCGAGTCAAATGCCACCGTGGGCAAGATTGGCCTCCGTGTGAACGAGCCCGGTGAAGGTGTTCCCTTTTCATGAGGTCTCACGCGTTAGCAAGGTACTGATAGCAAGAAGCGGACGCCATTGCTCGTGACAGATTAAAGATACATTAGATTGATATTCCTTAGTTGAACTTTAGTACATCTTTGTGCAGGAAACATCTAACTTATTTGGCCCTCGCGCATGAGAAGTCTAGAATAGCACTATGCCTTGGCTACGGAGTGAACAGGATATGACCCCAGTATGGGGTTACTGATACTGTGACGATTCGCGACTAAATACTTATAAATGACCAATGCCCGGCCCCAGCCTGATTCCACAAACTCCTTCAAACTCCACGCCTCAATCAATTTATCTCGACCTTTAAACATTTTACGCTTTTCAAAGACGATCCAAGCAACGTACTCGTAGATTTTCAGCATGCCTCGAGTTGTCAGTCAGATCTCCGGTGCCCAGCGGGAGACGGATGGCCCGTCTACACCCGCCCAGAGATTCTTCAAGCAATACGTCGACACCGTTCATTCTAGAGGCTATGATAGCGGCTTCGGCCTCGAGTTCTACTAGGAGAACGTGATCTTTCACAACCAAAACAACGCACTCTATCACGGAGGAGGTGAGTTGTGGGCTTAGATGAAGAAACTGTTTGGGATATTCGAACGAATCCATCACGACTGGATCCATCTTCTGGAGATTGAACGCTATGATGGGACGAGCCAGATTTAAACCCAGAATATTCGCAACCTATGGGTTCAGGGAAACAAGGACAAGATGCCCCAAGTCAGCATCTCTTTTACGAGGATTGCCATCATCGGAAAGAGCGACGACGAGAAGACTTCAAAGGGGTTTCATCTCAAAAAGATCTGGCTTTATTGGTATACTGCTCTTCTTTTACCCTTTCTTCCAAATGAAACTGTGGTGTTCAAGACGGAGAACGTCTTATATGCGAATGCGGGATAGACTGATGGTCAGAAATTCAGTAGCTACTAACAGAAAGCTGCTACAATATTTACCGGAACTCGATTTTAGCTCAGAACATCAGAAAGCTAAAGTATCCCGATAGCAATCGATAAAGTGTTTCGTCATGCCTATTCCACTACAGTTATTTGAATCAGACGTCAAGCGGCATTTTAAGCAGTTGAGCCTTAGTGGCTCTCGGTACGTAGAACGCTATAGAGCTGTACGTAGTATGGTCGGCTTCTTTGTAATTTCTCCGACAGTTCAAAGGCCTCGGCCGTACGGAAAGGGCTTCACGAGGGTACGCAGATCCGTGGTTGCCAACTAAGTCCCCGCCTCTGCCGAAGTGGGGCGGCCGCGGGCTATCCCCCGTTAGGAGTGGGTCTTAGATCCACTCTGTGCGGGCTCACGGTGGGGCGCAGGATGACCCCACCCGGAATGACCGGACGGAGGAGTCAGGAGACACGACCGACACAGGTGATTAGAAATTGAGCGTAGAATTGATTACTATACATACGGCGAGCTATAATAACAATTGTGTTTTCATGTACATTTGCTCTCTATCCATACATACTTCCAGATACATCAGCCCCTCCCAAATGTGAATCTGCAGTACAAAGTATTTTTCAGCAACCGTGCATCGGCCACCCGAAATGAGCCCGGCGGTCATGACGACTTGAAGTGGGTTCTGACCTCGTCTACCTTGGTCTACGGAGCGAAAGGTGCTATGTAGGTCGACGCGCAATTGACCTCTGATCCTTCGCGTGGACTTCTGGACTGGGTTGTTGCAAGCGGGTACAACATCACACACGTTTACGTCACTCATGGCCACGGTGGCCATTTCCTCGGCAGCACACCTATTCTGGAGTGGTTCTCAAATGCGATTCTAGTCGCGACCCCCGAAGTCGTGGCCAGAATGGAATTCGAGACTACACCAGAGCGTCTGAACGGTCTGTGGAAAAAGCTACTCTCTAACCAGATTCCTCGGACACTGAAGATGGCCCAGCCTCTTTCCAGAGACTATTTTGAACTGGTAGGCGAAAGCCTTGAAGTTGTCAGGACTAGCAACACCAACACAGACGAGAGGAAAACGCTTTAGGTCCCGTCCATCTGTTACTGGCGATGCCGTGCACGCAAACACCGACCCGCACTTGGGCGAGTCGGAAATGGCCGCCAAACGCAGTCAATGGATTGTTGCGCTGGACAAGATAGCCGCACTTGGATCTGAGCATGTTGTGGGTGGACACAGCGATCCGGGCAAGGGTTTCGGGCCTGAAGCGATCTAGGACACAAAGACGGACGTACTTGGAAAACGTCGACAATCTTAGTCCTGATGCTAGTACGACAAAAAAACTTTATGAGCGCATGTTAAAGATATATCCCGGGCGCCTGAACCTAGGATCTTTCTGGATCGGTGCTGTTTTAATGAAGCAGTGGTAACTTAACTAATTATATGATAATTAAGCAATGCACCTGTAGCTCGCCTACTCGTGACCGCCCTGAGCGCCGACGCAGTTCAAACTATGGTCTAGCCCTCTAGGGGAAGGAGAAGCAGTCTCCACCGCGACGCGTTGCGCTCCCATCGAGTCACCCTAGTTCGTACGTATACCCACGACATCATCTAACCTGGCTTCTCAAGTCGGGCTACTCGTCACCGACATTTGTCTACATACTTCCTGACTCATTCACGCAACTTTCTCAGCATACTTGATCTTCTTCTGCTTTGCACGTGATTCGCTTTGCACGTGAGCCAGACATGAGCTGGTGCCCGCGGCGGACGGTGTCGCGGCGTGTTTTTTCGCGACGATCGTATTTCTGAATTTTCACCTAATTCGTCACGAAAACCCCGCCCATCAAATACGCCCTGCTCCACGACATCGGCTCTAGAGATTGAGTAAAAGTATGTTGATGGCGTGTAAACCTTGAGCGACTATCGACCGGGAGGTTATCATCCCATCCAAATCGACGACCGACTTCACAAGCAATACCGAATTGTACACAAGCTTCGTCACGGCACTTTCTCAACGGCCTGGCTCGCTCTGGACGAAAATTCATCGACCTATGTCGCTATTTAGGTCAGCACCGAAGACGCAAACAGGCGAGAGGTGGATTTCTTATCCCAGCCTACAACAGGAGTCGCTGCCCTCAAAGCTCCCTGCAGACAAGATGTCGATACTCCCCGTTGTCCTTGACTGTTTCAGTCTCGATGGCCCCAACGGAAGCCACCCATGATTTGTAACACTCCCAGCAAGATGCAGCCTGATGGATGCGAAAGAGGCATTTGACACGAAATTATTCCAGCTGGATGTTGCCCGGTCCTTAGCTGCCCAGCTTGCCATGGCGGTTTCCCTTGTTCACTCTCAGAGTTATGCCCATGGAGGTATGTGTTCCGTTTCTATTCTCGATTAGGCTAATAGCCGCGTGTCTTAGACCTTCACCATGGCAATCTGCTGCTCCAACTACCGTCTTTACTGAACAAACTCTCAGTAAAGCAGTTGTATACCAATTTTGAGCCCCCAGTGCTAGAGCCAGTTGTAAGTGTCGATGACAAAGCGAGTTTTGCAGCAACTGGAATTCTTTTGCACGCCGTCTCTCTTGTATGGCTCGGTGTTCCAAGCGATGAGGTCACCACGAAGGAAGCGAAGCTGTTGCGCGGCGATTTTGGTGTCGCTTTTCGCCCCTCTAGAAAATCGCGCTTCCAATTCCACACGCCACTCGTGATCCGTCCGCTCGAGGCGCTTTTTGAACCGGCGATGCCGCTTTCCTTTCATTCGGATATATGGAGTCTCGGTTGCGTCATCTTCGAGTTACTTGCCCATAGGTCCCTGATTGACGGAATACTCACGAACCAGGACGGGATTAATGCGCAGCAAGTCCACTTACAAGGGCCTCTGCTATCTGAGTGATGTAATAAGTGGGAGCAGCGATCCAAATGGTTTGCCGAGGAGTGGCGCCCACTCAGCAACGAACGTGACGTATGGACGTGGAATAGGCGATTTGAGCAATGGATACAGGAGCCGAGGCAATGGTATGGTATGGTCACTATTGACGAAGAGGAGAAATATTCCCCGGATGAAGCGATTGGCTTTGCGAGCGCTCGAGGAGTCTGAAGGCTTCGGCAATCGATTGGTCAGCTTTACATATATCTATCTAGGTTTCGGAGGTTGAGCGAATCAACCCCACCTAGATATTGCCTACCAACCTCAGTCCAGGCGCTCCTTAATGCTACTACCATGGGAAACACCACCGTCGCCAACAATTCACATTTCATTTATGCTAAATGTCATGCTCACCGCCATGTTCCCGCCTCCACCGGTGCGGATTATCCCCAAAGCGAGACCTGTCCAAGGGTCAATAACATCGACTCCATCGCCAGCTCCGGCAAAGATCCATCCCATATGCGAGACACGAGACCCGTCTCAAAAGTATGCAATCGGGTTGTTAAGCAATCTCTGATTTGTCAAGATGCGGTTCTTGGCCACGTCAAAGGCGTACAGATCCCTGTTACCGAAAGCACTCTTCTGCGAAAAGGGTTTGAAATCGGAGGCACCGGTTCCAGGGGGAGATATGACTTGTTTATGTTCACTGTCCGCTATAGAAACCCCGTTAGTACTGCCGCTGGTGATGTGAACGATCTAAGGTCTCATAGTCTTCACGTCAACACGATAGACCGTGGGCTTTGTGGGGTTAGCAAAAGGGACAATCTCGCGACCTTAGAAAGCCGATTAAAGTCTGATCTAAGCTAGAAAGGCTGAGTGAAATCACATAGCCAGACTTGGAATCTGTCAACCAACAATTTCCGTCGCGGTCAATGTCCAATTTGTTGAACCCCTGGAACGGCTGCTGGCAGAAGTCGTTTAGCAGAACCTCCTTCTTGAGAGTCTTGGAGTCGATCTTGAAAAGTTGACCAATCTCGTTGGGACCGCCATTTGTAACAACGTACATCTGCTCGTTGTAGATGACACAGCCGTGGGCGTTGATACTGGGGGGAGTGGGGGCCAGTGGTGATCTTGCGCAACTCATTGGTAGCTGTATCCAACATGTACTGCCATGAGTGAACGCCGTTTTTTCCACCAGGAGGGGGGGAGGGGGCAATCGACAAAGAAAAGTTGCTTTGTTTCATTTCTGAAACAAAGGGTCTCGTGTGTCTCACAGGAAAGTGTCTGTAAATGGTTGACTTCTCCATCGAGACCAATAATGTCGAAAATCTTCTTGTCGTAGGCGATAAACTGAGTTCAATTGAGGAAATTTTGCTATCAATCAGTTAAGAAGCTTCTATTGGAGAAAACTAGCGTTGGATCAACGCGTCTGTCAAATCCCCATCCGACGTGACGCTCTCATAGGGAGCATCAAAGACCGAGCGATTGAAAGAGCCCGGTAAGACAGCAAGCCCATTATACCCTGATAAGAGTAAAGTGCCCAGTGTTTCTGGTCAAATTCTGGAGGCAGGCTATGGAACAAACCTTGGACCAGGGAGAACGCAGCCATCAATAGATATGCGGCTGTCATGATAGCTGGGTCAAGGCGGTGATGATCTCAGTCTATGGCAGTTCTGAGATCGGACTGGGTTGGTAATGACATATGACTTATACGGAAACGACAGCGCCGTTCCGAAGTCGGACCGTCCAGTGGACCTTTCAGCCGTGATATCCAATCCCACAGCCCCCGGATTGAGGTAGCAAGATCACTTCGATAATCTGGAGATCCCGTGGAGAAGCGTGGGATTCGGCTTGTAAGTTGCTGCTCTGCACAAATTACCCCGTACTAACTTCCGTGTACATTGACTTGACGGTTGTGGAGTCAATCCTCTGTCGGATACCCCCGTAGAATAGTCATGGGTGCTGGAGGTCTCCGCAAAAGTCTAGCCAAAGTTCATGCCCAAGCTGTCCGATGAGTTTCATAGTCGTTGTTCCGGCTGACATTCGCTGGTTTCCAACTGGATCGCGACAAGGGCAGAAAAATGAAATGGTCCCATAGACGCCCATAATTTCCACACGGAGATTCAAGGTGGCCGAAGTTCTCGTTATTTGAGTATGTTGTCGCGAGACTACACAAAGAATAAGATCGAGCGAGGGGAGGGGTGTTTTCAAGAAACAATGTCCTTCTATCATAATTGGCTGCCGTTAATTTGGTTCTGTTTGATAAAATTCAACGCGCTACCAGCCCTCAGCCACTCAATTTGGTGGCTGTGATAAGAATGATTCAATAAAGCCGTCCATGTAGATCCGCTTGCGGTTCGGACTTGCATCGTGAACTGCTTACTCGACTGCAGCTTCTTGCCATCGACTCCCAGCAATGTGATCACGTCAGCCTCCTGGATTATGCCGTAGTCCGCGTGACCATCAAACGTCGGGAGCAGCATGCCTTGCTTCTTGAGATTGGTCTCGTGGATACGAGCAAAGCTCCTGACGATAACAGCTGTGCCGTCCAGCAAACGCGGCTCTAGAATGGCATGCTCGCGTGAGCTCCCCTCGCCATAGTTGTTGTCTCTAATGATACACCACTTGAGACCCTTGTTCTTCATTCTCCTGGCAGCCTCGTGGATCATCTTCATTTACCCGTCAGCGGGATCCTTGGTCTTGCCAATCATATCGAGAATGGTATTGTCTGGGAGAAAGCTATTCGAGGCTCCCAGCACCATGTTGTGGCTGATGTTGGTGAGATGGCCGCGATAGTTGTACCAAGGGCCGTCCGGGGAGATTCGATCAGTTGCACACTTTCCAGCAACCTTATTAACAAGAACCTGCATCTCTCTGGCCCGGCCATTCTTCCAAGCTGGAAAGGGCTCGAGAAGCCCAAGTCGTTCACTGTTCTCGTCAATTTCAACCCTATACTGGTCTGCATTCCCCAGTACAGGTGACTGGTACATGTCATTGCTAGCGACAAATGCGTCCGGAAGCTCCTCAGCGGTAGGAGGGGTGAAGCGGAAGTCGGTCATAACGCCAGACTCGCCAACGACCGTGATTAAATCGGTGCTTGGGTTGGAAGACAGGTCGCCAGCGTAAGCAAAAGCAGTGAAGATCTCGGGAGATGTGACGAATGAGTATGTGGCGGGGTTGCCGTCACGGCGACTAGTAGAATTTTGGTTGAAGCTGGAGATGACCGAGCACTTCTCTTTCTTTCCGACATCTTCGCAGTCTCATTGCCAGACACAGGGTCCGCATGAATTGCTGAGAACGATGGCGCCGGCATCTCGAAGACCATCCAAGATTCCCGCATCCTGGGCCATGGCCCGGATTTGCTCGCTGTTATGTGTCAGGCCCAGTGACTGTCAGACCAATCACTGCCCTGATTGGTCAGGCTGCACATTCGGCCCACAGCTGCCCTCAAAAGGCAGCATCTTCGCGCTATCGCGTTCTTCCTCTTTTCATAGCATCAGCATCTTCCTCAGATAGAGAATTCATCTTCTTCCTTATCTCCTGATCTGTTGATTATTATACTCGCTCCCTGGGCTGACCAATGAGGGTGTCTTGGGACGTGACATACCAGCTTTTTTGGCCTGTTGGACAAGATTTTGAACTTTCTCGAGATCTTCGCAGGAGCTGTTGGACTGCCGACCATGCTGTGGCTGGTGTTGGAAGGCCAGGAGCTCTCTTGGATGTGGGCTTTGAACTGTGGCAGCGAGTGGTGTAGGTCAGGCGTGAAAGGGCCGTTGATGTGCGGCTCAAGAGTGGTCAGGTCGTTGTGGATCACTTCATCGCAGTATTGGTTGCTGTCCTCATCGGCTGTGAGCAGTGACTCTTTGAACGACTCAGCGTAACGGGCAACGCTGTCGCGCCTAGTGGCCGAGAGATAACGACCCGTGGATTCCGAGTACGGGAAGATGCATGATGACGACCCGACTTCGGCAGACGTGTTGCATATGGCGGCCATGGCTGTAGCATCCAGAGTTCGAACGCCAGGCCCGATGAGCTCGAGGATCTTCCCCTTGCCTCCCGAGACAGATAGGATCCCAGCCAGCTTGCAGATGATGTCCCTGGACAACCTCCGACTCTGGAGATCGCCATTGATGCAAATACTAATGACATTTGGGCAGACCAGTTCTCACGGCAGACTAGCCATGGCATCAACAGCGTCCGAGCCGACGACTCCGATTCCAAGCATCTCCATGCCACTAGCGTTCGGTGTATGTGATTCGGTGCCGATCACTAGCCCTCCGGGTTTTAGCTAACCCTAGTGTCTCCGGCCTCAACATTTTCTTCCCTACCATCGTCAAAGGTTTCAACCTTGGCCACCGCACCATTACCCTTTTTCTGACTGCCCCGCCTTACCTTGTGGCCACCTCCACAACTTTCTTCACTGTATGTTTTAGCGACAGAACAGGCGATCGTGGATGCCACATCTCTATTCCTCAAGCTGTGGCCTGTGTCGGGTTCATTATCTCTAATTCTCCCTTGACCAACGCGGCACGCTATGTGGCTGCCGTTTTCTACATCTGCGGTTGTTTCTCATCTAACGCCATCGTGTTCAGCTGGGCCAGTGCCACTTTGAATCAAAGGCCCGAGGAGAGAGCATGTGCCACAGCTATCACCAACCTTCTCAGTCAATTTGGGAATATCTGGAGTCCCTACTTCTTCCCGACAAGCGACACCCCGCGCTTTGTCATGGCTAATATCCTCACGATGTCGTTCTCTACCCTTTCGGTAGGTATTTGCGTTATTATGAAATGGATGTTAACTGGAGCTAATATGAAGCTTGTTGCTAAGGAAAATGGCAGTGGCGTATTTAGGCTGTAGGCCCAGGAAACTCAATGAATAATTACACCTCCATTAGCAAAACTTGCTCTAGGGACCCCTGCTGTTCGTAGATGCACACGACCAAGTTTGACGATAATGATTACGTAGAATACCTGCCACAATCAGTTCAGGACACAACGGCGGGTTAGTTGACGGCAGATAGCTTAGAAAGTCAGCCAAGGGTTACGAAGTCCTATATTGTGACAGCAGAATTTACCGCGAGACGGTACAACTTTTGGGCGCCCTTTATTAGCCGGACGCGCGTTTTGGAACTGTGGATAACCTCGTTCGAGAGCGTGTTTGTTGTTTGCGGATTGTGGGTGCAAAGATGGATATGAAATCTTTCAATGTCTCTCTCGCGCGAACTGAGTTTAATCATACTGCCTGGGTGGCCGGGTTAAATTGTTGCTGCGCATATATCCAGTCGTCTTCGTGGCTGGAACCTATCTGCAGGATACCTGGGAGTTGTTCTGTTGTGGTGACGAGGTCATCACCCGGCCCGCTGTACTTGAGCAGGACCCCTACCGGTGCCGTTTATTGTAATAGTCCCGTTGCTCGGGCATTTTGCTGAGTGCTGGATGCAGTTCCAGAGGGTGGGAAACCATATGCCACACCCCTTGCAGGCGCTGTTGGGATCTGTTCACCCGCCCGAGCAACTGTTGACCGCTTTCTCAACCGGGTTGATATTGCACACGGCACAGTTTGTGGAACACCCGGAGAGTTGCGCGGCACAGGTGCAGGTAACCACATCCATGCGGCTTGCATGGCTCGTATTACAGTTTGTAGCAGCCCAATCGATTAGAGAAGTCGACAGCAAGAGTAGAAAGGCCGCCTTGATTTGCATTGTTGCGGAATTGTATTGAATTTTTTGCAGTTATGGGATAGAAAATGTTCAGGATTATGAATTTATTAAGAATGTTCAGGACTTTTGATTATCTTAGCAGAGGGAGAGTTCGGGCTGCTCGACAGGATTTCACTGCCTTTATAGGTATATGAAGTCGCTTTGGTTATACATTTCCCAATCTTCAGAAGCCGAGACTCGGAAACTACTTGAGAAGATGTAGCGCTCCCCCAACCCCCCAAACCCCCCTCATCCCTTATAGGGGGTTACGGACAAATGCATCATAAAGCCTTAAGCTCGTAGTTATGAGTTAGTCCTTGGGGCCATTAGTTGGAAAAAACTGCTATAGTCTAAGGAATGTAATCAGTATAGTTTTACTAGTAACTAGAGGCTTGGGAAGTATATTATAATATGGTCATCATATTACTCAGCCCCTGCTATGAAAGCAAAGTGATCCAACTTATCGGAGATCAGTGCATCGTCACGATCAGTGCTAAGGGTGACGTCCTCCCATCGGTCCATCACTATGGCTTCCTGTTGTCTTTTGATCTTCCACCATCGAAGTGAATCCGAACCTAGGGCAATGCGTGAAGACCAGACTCTACCAGCCGCCATACCCTCGCTTTTGACAACGTCAGCCATTGCCCTTGCGACCTTGACAGGGTCTCCCGGAGGCATTCCCCATTCGGACATATCCTGTGAGGCACTTTTAAACCCTGGCACGTATGCATCGATGGGACTCTTGTCTTTTTTGTCCTGCTCCGACGCGACTTTGTCCTTCTCGCGCGGTTCGAAGAAGCGGGTGACAACACCGCCGCACTCAAAGGCCACGCAGCGGATGCCGAGAGAGGATACCTCTTTATGCAGCGATTCGGCGAAGGAGCTGTTTGTCCACTTTGTCATGTTGTAGTACGTCGTGTAGGGCATGTTGCCCCAGAGTTGGTTTGAAGCCGTGAAGGTGATTGTCCCTGATCCCTGTTGGCGGAAGAATGGGAGGATGGCCCTCGTCATGTGAAGCTGACCGATGACGTTGGTTTGGAAGATGCGTTCTGCGTCGTCATCGCTGCATTTGCGCAAAACACCAGAGTCAGCTGATGAGATCTGATCTCAAAGATGGACATGGCTTACCTAACATCCTCGAAGGGGGCGAGCAAGAATGTTCCGGCATTGTTGACAAGAACATCGATATGTCCAAATATCTGCCAGGCCTCCTTGACTTTGCTCGCAATGATCTTAGAACCAGACGTCATGTCGAGCTCAAGAAGCGACACATTCTCCGAAGCGCGATCGGCCATCTGATCGACTTGGCGGTTGCCAGCGATCACTTTGTCGCCTCGACTGATGATTTCCTCGACGAGTGCAGCACCAATTCCAGACGAGGCTCCTGTCACAAGCCACACAAGAGGTGCCATTATCGCGAAATGTAGTGCCTCAAGCGAACAAATGGATGTGAAGGACGAGAAATTGAGGTCGGGATTTGACTAAAGAGGCAGTGAGAATATGTAAAATAGAATCGTAAACTTCCTGGCTAGAAAAAATCGATCCGTGACTACTCCGTAGAGTCTCTTAAATACCAAACCGGACACATGTGTGGGTTCCTATACCGGGATCCTACCTAGGCAAACAGATCAAATAGAAAGGCTCGTCCGCGCACGAAAAATCCGATTGATAAACAAGGCAAGGGATTTATCGACAATTTCTGGAGTCTTTCAAATCAGAGTCTTTCAAATTAAACATACTCATTAGTAATGCGACAACGAGATGCCTCCGACGGTCACTGACAAGCCTGGCGACCAGCGACAACATTTCAGCTGAAGGTGGAGCACGTCGTCTCGATTCGCGATTCCGTCCGCGGATCAATTCGCCCGTCGTCCGTGAGTCCGCGGACAAATTCGCTCATCCGCGCCAATTCGCAACTCTGAGAAACTCTCCCTCTGCCAGCAACACTTCGACCGCGCACAGTGGCTTGGAAGGCTATCCATCCGAACGTAGCAAACATGGTGTGTGGCTCCCCGAGGACGTCTGCGTCTGTGTCTGCATCCAGGTCATCGACCTCGACGCCGACACGTAAGACCATGCGGAAAGGGACGCACAGCTGCATGGAATGCAAGTATTCCCTCTCACGCCCAACTGCTCTGGGACGCCAGCTCACGGACATTTGTCTAGGTCGCCGTCGGAAGATTCGATGCGACTCGCTGCCAGGAGCTTCAGTCTGTTTCAATTGCAAATCTCGTCGCACACCATGCATAAGCCAGAGCGGGGATGGCTCGAGACTGCCCTTGCGTCAGCGCTTAGGATCCGACTCTCCGGTAAATCGCAGCAGCGAGTCCCCTTCGTGGGCTGCGAGGAGTCAAAGCGTCCCACAGGCTCCAGACGTTCTAGAAAACAGTGTCGTAGATCAGCGAGCACCATTCCTCGCGGTTCTGGGCCCTTCTGGAGTAAGTCCCCCATGCTAGTATACAGTTGTACGTTCAGCAGATTTGACGACGCAGCACAGCTCTCTAACCCCCCCCAGACGGACGATCCCCATACGTTATCTCGGCCTCTAGCCAGGGACAGCAATATGTCTTACTCGACAGCAGGTGACCGTAGGTCATCTCGTGGCTCCAGCACATTACATGAGCCACTTCCACCCGACCAGGGGAAAAGTACTTGCGAGACAGTACGTGCAGAATTACCGTCCTACGATTCTATCATGAAAGTTGCATTGGCCCACAGAGGCTGGTGGGTTCGAATACACAAGGCTGTTCGTGGCATGCTTGACGACACGATTGAATCTTTTCCAGACTTCGTCAGGCGAGCCTACACGAGCAATCGGCCTACAGAACTGGGTAAGATGGCGATTGCGTTTGCCTTCGCTTCCGATGTTAATGGGTTCAATATCTACAACTTGGTCGACCGCCTCGTTGTCTCTGACATGACGTATATGTCTACTGTGGAAGGGTTAGAATGCCTGATCTTGCTGGCCATTCTCTATGCGGACGAGGGCCAGCCCAGAAGATCATGGATGATCTATCGCAGAGGAGTAGTGGTCGCGCATTTAACGGTGAATCAACGTCCTGTTCCTGAAACAAGTGTTAGAAGCTAATGATGACAAAGGACCTGTACCAGGCTGGCCTCCGATCCACTGCCATGAGACGGCTCTGGTTGTCTATCTACCAAGCGGACCGCATGATGAGCATGTTCCTAGGGCTACCGTACGGCTTCGTCGACATGCACCATCAGCAAATCTTAGAGGTGACGACCGAAAACGATGACTTGGATTCGACGATGGCTATCCGCTGTGCGATAATAGCCGGAAAGGTCATTGATCGAAACCACTCGCGAAAAAAAGCTTCCATCTCCAGGACATTGGAGCTGGACGAGGAGATGAATGAGCTCGCAATGTCTTTCCCAAAAACCTGGTGGGAGCTTCATAACCGGGTCCAAGCCGATGGGCACGATTTCGACAAAACCCATGTCCGGCTGCATCAGCAACTCTTCTTCTTCCACCTGCGACTTTACATTTACCTGCCGTTTCTCATGGGCTCGGAAGAAAACTCCCCGTACGGCGAAATCATACGCGTCGCCAGCATGGAGGCTGCACGACAGCTGCTGAGACGCTACCTAGGTCTATGGAGTGACGCGGAGGGGCTAAGTCCGTCTGAGTGCAAGCTAGTGGACTTTATGGCATTTACCGGCGCCATTGTCCTACTCCTAGGTTGCTCAAGCCTCTCCGGCCGGGGGATATCGAGTGATGGGAATGATATCGAGGCTGTGCTGTCTTTGATTCGGTGCTTGCAACGCCAGGAGAATCAAGAAAACTGTCCCATCGCGTCACAATGTCGAAAGACGCTTACCGTACTGCTTTCGAGATCGAGCACGGACGAAGAAGTCCGCATTCCGTTCTTTGGCACAGTCGTTAAAAAAGGCGACCAAACCGGAGAGCAGACCGCCCAAGCTAGTCAAGGCTTTGTAAGAAACTCGAACGCGGGTGATAGTCATGCTTTACCTACTAGCCAACTATCCTCGTCGACGACTGTTGCTAACCCTACTACCACGAGTGAAGACCTAGCGATACCAAGTGTTGCGTATTCAGAGGGACCGTGGGGGGTAGAACAACCCGGCTCTATGCTAGAACTTGGCGTCTTGTCTTATCTAGAGGATACGTCGGTAGATTTTGATATGGGTTGGGAATTTATTGTAGATCTCGATAGCTTCTAACTTAGTTTAGAATTTGATAAGAGTTAATACTGATCGAACCGACTAGTTGACATAATATTTATAGTTCCACCGATCTTTAGGCTTTAGGGAGTTTTTAGCTTTTATTCTTCCTACTTCATAAAAAGTCCCTTATTAAAAAGGATAACTTATTAAGTTACTTGTATTATAATTATATAAATATTGTATATTTTTATATCTAAATTTTAATTTTATTATAATTAAGTATACTAAAGAAAAATATCAAATAACTTTAGCCGAAGTACAGAGCTTGTTATTTCTTCTTAAATATTTGATACTCTAAAGCTCTTAATTTTAATATTTCTTCTTAGTTATATATATTTTATATTTTATACAAAATGATGATTATTATTTAAATATTATTAAGCTATTTAATTAATTCAAACTACCTTTTTTTTATGATAAACACAAGATTTAATTAAGAAAGAAATAAGGTTATAAATAATTCAAATATAATTTTTCTATCTACTTATGATATAAAGGTCGACTCAAATAATTAATAAGTATATAAAAAATGAAGACATTTTTATTGACCATAGTAATAAATCATACGCTCTTATAAATACCGTATAAAAGGTAGCTAGGCTATCTAATCTACATATTCCTAGGAGAAAATTAAGTAAAACCCTTGGTATAATAAAGTTTCTTATTCTCCTTTCATCTAATATTTGTTAGGTATATTAAAAGTTTAAAAATGATTATAATACTTAAAAGTTACTTAGAGTTAGAAATTCGTATAACCGCGGAGCAATGAATAAATCTAGAGTATTCTCATAATAAACCTAGATTATTCTCATAATAAACCTAGAGTATTCTCATAATAAACCTAGAGTAGCGTAATCCACAAGCGAGTGCACCACCCAAGCGAGTGCACCACCCAAGCGAGTGCACCACCCAAGCGAGTGCACCACTTTCCACCACAGCATATTACCTTATAGCAAGACACCGAATTCCTCTATAACACAGAATACCTATATCTTTATACGAAAGTAGGATTATTTTTACTATTGAATATCTCTAAAAAGATCTAAAACTTAGCCTTAGGGCCGTAGTAAGGATCTACGAAGTTAATTATATAACCTTTATGCGACGACGCGCTAGTCGCACGGCCTAACGCGATATTAGGCCTAATTTAATAAATTTAATTAAATTAGAAAAAAGGGTTATTATTTAATATATTATTAAGCTAGCTACGTAATTATTTCTTCCTAGATTACGCGGTATTAAAGAAATAGCTAACTATCTACTACGCGTACGCGACGCGCTACCTATCGGGAAGAACTAGGTGTATAACTTCGTTAAGCGTTAGCTAGAGCTTTATACTCGCTAGTCTCGTAGATACGATTATTAGAGGGCTAAATACGAAGATCCGAAACTTATTAACGAGTAGTTTAATCTAGTACGGAATATAAAGGCTAAGCATGGGATCCTAGATAAAGATACCTATAACTTCGATAAGACCGGCTCTATAATAGGTATAATCTTCGTAGGTATAGTCGTCACGATATCCGATAGCTATATAAGGGCTAAATTAGCCTAGCTTAATAATCGGGAGTGGTTAATTATAATCTAAGGCGTTAGCGCGGCCGGTTAGGCTATCCCGTTATTTATTATCCTCGCCGTAAAATACTATCTCGCTAATTAGTACTAAGAGTATAATCTTCTAGCCGACTAGCGTATCGTAATAACCGATAATAGCTAGACTATTAATAAGGTCGGTCTAGATTAGATTAAATACTTCGGTTATTATATAGCGCCTCGTACGAAAGGTAAGTATCGGCTCTTAATCCTTAACGGCTATAAAAGCTACTACTCGATCGAATTCGAACTCTATTATAAGTAATATAATATTATCACGCTCTATATACCTATATATTCCTCTTATATCCTTTAGCCGCTAGATATTAGTTACTTTAGCCTACTAAAGTAAGCGTACGGCCGGTAGGTTAAGGATCTAATATATATATATATTATATATATTAGCAAGCTCGAGTTCCTCTACGCCTTCCGTATAGCTTACTTTACCTCTATAACCGAGAAGAATATATAAGGAGGCTTTATAAGGGCCGGCCTTATACTATACGACCCTTTATTTAAGGGTTCTCTTAAAGCTTCATATACGACTACGAATACTAACGCCCCCGGTGACTCTCCTTAAGATTAAGTAGCCTTAGGTCCCGAAGACGCTATAGAATACGCACGAGGCTAGCTCGTAATTAGAGTATATTAAGAATCGAATCTCTACTTATTAGAATAGCTCTCCGACCTTAATAATAGCTACCTTAGACTAACTTAAGAAGGGGGTAAGAGCTATTATATATCGGGTGGCTCTCTTAGAGGTAGAGACCTCTATATTTCGTAAGGCTAATAAGGCACTAAGTAAGCGCTAAAGAGTAAAAAAAAACACGCGTATAGCTTAGAGGATTACTTAATATATAAGATATATAAGATCTAGTAGATTAGAAAGATCTAGATAAGTATATAAGAAAAGAAGAGCGCTAAGGTAAAGGGAGGGGAGGGACCGCTCGTGCGAAGCTTCTACGCTATAGTAATTACGGCGGGACTGGCTATAACGTACGAACCTATCAGAATACTATAGAAAGGTCTGATATCTCTAATTCGGATATGGTTATAGTAGTTAGTTAATTTTATAGTGGTTAATTGAATAAATTATTTATATTCTGGTGGAAAGTAGTGTACTCGCTTAGGTGGTGCACTCGCTTGTGGATTACGTTATTCTTATTTATAAAGTGTAGTAATAGTAAGAATAAGCTAACTCCAAGGGCTTTATAAAACTTGCTCTATTTAATTAAACTATTTCTGTTACCTCGTATTTACGGCTTAGGCCGGGGCGACTAGTGCTTTTGAAGTCACTACCTCCCATAGTAGTTGCGTGAATAGTGCATAGTCCACTACTGCACCAAAGCTACAGGAAGTTAGATATTTCGTTATGCTCGCGTTTAATGCACTGTTTGACTTGCCCATAACATTTCGCGGCGTCGCGCAACTTTTCAGCCAGCGTCATGACGCACATTAGATCGAGACTCCCGAAAACTGGTTGCTGGCGCAGCTCATCCCAAGCCTGAATCGGCGTAACGTCCTCCTGGCCGGAAAAGGTCGGGGATAGGATGAGCAGGCGATTGAGAATACTCGCCGGAGCATCCTCCACTGGCAAAAGAGATGACCGGTTCGGGGGCGGGGAAGACGACAGACTCAGGAGCTGGGAGGTGACTGTTAGAGCGTGGCCGGAGGGCTCGTTTGGTCTGGTGTGGTCGCCATGGACATGCGTTAGGCAAGGCTCCTCGACCCTGTAATTATGAATAAGCTCGTCTTCGATGCGGTATACGGGAAGATTGATTAGAGCTAGGTAATGCATACTTGAGGACGAATCTCATGCCGAGCGTGGCTAGGTCAATGTCGCAGACTCTGGACGACATGGAGACAGTGTCATCGGACGAAAAACTGAGGGGAGATAGAGAGGAGATGATTGTGGAACCCTGTGGCCAATCCGGATGACTGTGAAGCAGGCTTCCGTCCGGCGATGTGAATGGTTGATCAATTCCTGCGCAAGAGCCGGCTGCATTGTTTTGAGACAAGCACTTGATACCCGTGGTCGCTATACCATTTCGTGCAAGGAGTGACAACAAGGTCTGCAGCTGGTGCTCGAGATCCTGCTTCTCCTTTGACATCTGGCACTCACGCCATCTTGACTTGGCAATATCTTCTTCTAATGCCTTAACGTACCGCGTCTTGCGCTGGCGATAAATACTGACATTGTGACATTAGCCCGCAGTGTTCTGCATGTCGTGGTGGTTATGAGAATCATTGGGGAGCGGAAACGCACTGCTGGGCGCGGCGAACCTGCTGCCGCCTTTTCTCAACGCTCTCTTCCTTGGATCGACCCGACGGATTGAACATGCGAAAGATGGGGCCCTTAGATGGCATCTTGAGTTAGCTGCAAGAAGCGCGTGTCGCGTAATGACGAAATGTCAGAGGAGTCTGCGTCGACGGTGAGGAAAGTCGTAGGTAAGTACGTCAACATAAAGGTAATCAGCAAAGCAAGGGTCTGTTTGCGGGGGTCGGTCGCTTGTCAGACCATGCCAGTTCGTGTTTCATGTCCTCTCCTGACTGCCCCTTGATTACAATTCCAATATTTCCCCATTCGGAACCCTTGCTAGCCTCCCGATTTGGAATTTTTGATGAAGTTATCCTTTGAAGTTACAGAAGCGATGAGTCTCAAGTCTCGTCACAGCCGTACTCCGTATAAGTTAATATAAAGGCTTCCGTGTTCTCCCATGTAATTTCATTCGGACGAAGGGCATCTACTCATCAAAGCATATACTTCTCTTTCTCTACTCCGTACTCCACCCCTGACAACTGGCTTGTCTCAATTTCGACTATCACAATTCACTCAGATCAAAATCATGCATTTGCCATCTACCCTCGCCTTTAGCTGTGGCCTGCTCCATGCTCAGCTAGTGGTCGCACATCCTGCCAAATCCTGCGAAATGAGGCGTCAGGCAATCTACATCAGTACCAATGAAGAAGAGAACATGGTACTTTCCGTCCCTATTGACGAGCAAGGTATGCTTGGAGAAGGTTCGACGACTGCGACCGGCGGCGCTGGCGCAGTCAGTATCGATGGATCCACGGACGAACCGGCTGGCGTTGACCCTCTGGTCTCCCAATCTGCTCTGACCGTTGCAGGCATGGTGAGTAGTACTCCAAACAGCCGCCTCTAGAGCGCCGCCTGACACGGTTTAGAATATCTTCGCTGTCAACGCGGGATCCAACACAGTCTCCATGTTCTCCATTGACAAAGCCGACCCCACGAAGCTGACCCTGATCGGCCAGCCCGTCGAGGTGCCAGGCGAGTTCCCCAACACCGTGGCGGCCTCAATGAAGAACCGTCTTGTATGTGTCGGGGCGACCGGTGCCACGGCCGGTGTGTCTTGTGCCCACTTCGACCGGAAGAACGGCATTGGAGCTATGGATGCTCCACGTCCGTTCGATCTTGGACAAACGACGCCGCCTGTTGGCCCCACAAACACCGTCTCGCACGTCTTCTTCTCCGAAGACGAGAGCACTCTCTTCACCACCGTCAAAGGTGACCCGCCGGCGAACAATACTGGCTTTTTGGCTGCCTTTCCTGTTCATCCATCATGCCGTGGCGGCACTGTTGGCCTGCAAGGTGTCATGTCTTCCCCAGACGACACACTTGTTCTCTTTGGCTCCACCGCCATTCCCGGATCAACCGACATCTTCGTTACCGACGCCTCTTTCGGCGCCACTGTTCTGTCGATCGGCACTGACATGCAGGCTACCACCAAAGGACGCAGTGCTGTAGATGGTCAATCCGCGACGTGCTGGGCTACCATCTCACCGGCCAGCAAAACCGCTTTTGTGACGGATGTTGGTGTGAACCGCATTGTCGAGATGTCCATCGAGGACGCTTCTATCCTCAACGAGATTGACCTAAGCGCCAACGGCCAACCTGGCATGATTGATCTCACGGCCGTCGGTCAGATGATCTACGCCCTCGCTCCCGGCAACAGCGGAAAAGAGCCAACGATCGTGGTAGTCAATGCAGTTACCCGGGAGATGGTGCAGGAGAAAGCGCTGGGAAAAATGGGGGCGACCAATAGGGTGCAAGGATTAGCTGCGCTAAGGGTATAAATACTGTATAATAGTGAGCTGGCCTTGGCGTGTAGGTCATGAAGACCTGGGGGTCGCGCCAGTCTATCTTGCCATTCTTACCCGTCCCGAAATTGTTGGAGACGGTCACTTCCAGGTCTTTTCGTTGTCGGATTTCTCTTGGAAATTGGCCATACCAGCTTCGCTGTCTTCGCTGCGCAGAGAGCCGTCAACACCTCTACCAGCTGTGTCGGGCATGGCATCGTGATTATCATGATTGAAATTATCAAGTCGCCATCATCCTCATTGTCTAACTCGTGACTAGAAGCTTTCTGTTGGCTCCGGGGGGCAATGACTTTCCGCAGCTGCTTCATTACCTCGGTAGCCTCGCCCGTGTGTTTCTTGTCACCGTGTCGAATTTCGAAAATCGTCTCCTGGGCTTGGAGCCGCTAATCATCGAGAGCACATCCGCGCTCGCACGCTCCTCGCCTATGAAGATAGAGACAGTAAGTGCAAGCAACTAGTCAGTACTAAGCCAGTTTTACTTGTTAATAAGAACGAGCCTGGCTGGGTCACGACAACACACGTCTTCGCAGACACTGTCAGCCATCTCACACAGTATGCTCTCAACGCCACCAACATGATGACTCGTTCAAGTTCGAAAGCAGCCTGCCAAAGGGGTAGACCAAATCTTGATGTTGGACTATGCGAGTCACAACTTCATTAGGTAGGGTCACGCAAGTGCAAGACTTCGGTATCAACGATGTTGGCTATGACAACAGTCATAGACTCAACTGTCTGTTGGTATGTCTGGAGCAGTACGGGAATCTGCCATTCCCGCCTTGAAGAGCCAAGTGAACTTTCTAGGAAAGTTAGTGCGAAATGGCAAAACTGCGTAGAATGTAGTGTTGATTAGTATAAGTGGCAGATTATGCAAGGATAGCTAGTTTATCAAAGCCTCTTGTCACCTTCCTAGTTACCATGGATCAGAGACAAGAAGAGCTCTCTCAACGCCTATACAATCCACCTTCCTTGGGAGAATAGGAAGTTCGACCTAACTTTGTCCCAACGAGACCAAAAAATCAACTTCCTGGCTATGACAGCGCATCCCTTCAGCCAGTGCCGAAGAATTGGAAGAGAGAAAAGCACTGAGAGGAAATGTCTGGAAGTGTTATGTGACCATCATATATGTCTCTCATTGATGATCTATCGCATAATGCCTCGCCAACTGGGAGAAGCCACAGAGTGGCACATAGCCAGCTGGGTCAGGGCACTATCTCACGTACCTAATTCTAACTAAAAGAGTGACATTTCCGAGGGCAGCCCTGGAAGCAAAAGAAAAGAGATCCCACCGACCATCCCAGTTTTTATGTTTTGTCTTCTGCGATGTCCTATACTCCCCGTTCATACAGTCTTTGTGTCCTGCCTGGCTTGTGCTTGAATTTAGTAGCACTGGCTGTACCAGTCGTTGATGTAGTTGCAAGTAGTGCCAGAGGCGCAGGTGGTGCAGCCACTGAAGCCGTTGCCGCCGCACTGAGCCCACTGGGGAGTCGTGCAGCCGCCAGGGGGGTTGGTGGGCCCAGAGCCCTCAGAGGTGGTCGTGGTCGAGGTAGTCGAGGCGGTCGTAGTCGACGAGGGCGGGGGGTTGGAGTCGTCGTCGGTAGTGGAGCCAATGGGGCCGAACTTGATGTTGGACCAGGTCACGTAGCTGCGTTCATGTTAGAGGATGGTCCATTCTCAAGGATAGGAGGTACTGGGGCGCTTTTAACAAGACTCACCTGTCGGGATAGTTGGCAATGACCTCAGAAGGAACGCCGGAGTCGGCGGGACAGTCGCCGCGGAGGTTGCCAGGCTGGCTCGGGTCACTATCACGGGGGTAGAGGCCGTCGAGCCAGAGCATGTTGGCGTAGTTCTATGGTTGGATATTTGTCAGGTCAGTGTTCTCAAGATGTTAGGGGATTCATTCGGAGTTACTCACGTCAGCCCAGATAGACATGACCAGGACCAAAGGCGTCGCGAGAGCCTCTTGCATAGCGCTCCAGCCACCGAGTTCCTCGTAGCGAGAGCGGGTATCAAAGACGTCGTAGACGTTGTCGCAGAAGTCAGCGTTAATTTCATTGCTGTCGGGGAGACCGTCGAAAGCCGGTGTCGGGACCTCAACGGTGTTGTCGTTCTGGACGAAGAACTGACGCATATTGCCGTTGAGCTCAAACTGTGTAACAACGCTTCTTCATGTCAGCATGTTCGCATTTTCCAGAAAGGAGTATATTGACGTACGTGAAGGGCTGGCTAGTGTCGACACTCTTGCCCTCACCGTAGAAGCCGGTGCGGCCGAGGCGGTAGGGGTTGTAGTCGCAGCCGTCGGCATCACACTTGCCACCGTAACGATCGTCAGAGTAGGTACCACCGCACGAGGTAGTCTCGCAAACATGGTATTCGTTGAAACCAGTCTCGCAAGAGTGGGGGGTCAGGGCGTAGGAGTGAGAGTTGGATTCCCTAATCGCAATGTTAGTCACTGGCTAAGAGGGTTCTGAAACTCCATACCAAATATCAATCTCAGCGCAGCAAGCGCCAAGCTCACCAACACCGCTGTTGGCGTCGGTATCGGACGCCATCCAGCCGTCGTAGTTGCCCTGGCCGCCGATGAACTTGAGATCACGGGCGCACTGGGCGTCGCAGTAGCCGGTACCGTACTTGGCGCCAGCCTCATTGACGGGGTAGCTGCTCATGCCGCCGTCGGCCTCCATGGCGACAAAGTACAGAGCGCTGTTCATGCCGCAGGGGACAGTGGAAAGGTCGACGTCAAAGGAGAGCTCATTGCCAAGGAGGTTGAACATCTGGTATGTGTCGGTGTCCTGCATCAGGTAGAGACGAGATCCAATGTTGGTGCCATAGGCGTGCGTGGTGACAAAGTCAAGAGTGAGAGCGTCGCCGCTGGTGCTGGCGCCGTAGGTGCTGCCGTAGTTGGCACCCTCCAGAGCGCACTCCTCAGCACATTCGGTGTTGCTGGTGCAGACTCCAGTCCACTCGTTTCCGTCGTAGCAGTTCGCGAGGCTGCTGTCATGAATCCAACGCCAGTTGGCGTCGATGACGACCTCGCCGTCGACCTGCTGGCAGCCAGAGCCAGTGCACTGGGTCCAGGTCATGGAAGGATGGACTTCGGGAGTGTCAGATCCGACCTTCTGGGCCGTAGCCACAGAGAGGAGGGAGAGAGCCGCGAGAGTAAGCATGGTGAATCGGTGATGTCGGACTTGTCGGAGTGTGTGGGATGATCAGAAGCAATGTCGAAAGAACGTCGGGGACCTCTTTACTTATACCTGACCCCCTCAAGGCAACTGCGGATGAATTTTCCCAAGCCCGTCTGGGCAAGCCCATCCTTGAGGCTTAGCATCCTGCCGAAAGGGGCCGCTCAGTCCGCCCACACAGTGGCCATGGTCTCGCTCGTCGCAACTCGCAGCCCCGGTCGTTACAAGCGAGCCCCAATATGAGACCCAGCTATGGAGATGCAACGGTCCGTCACGCAAAGCGCCGCGTGCCTTGGCCAAGGAATCTACAAAACATGTTTCGGTCAGGTGCCTCCGAGGGCGGAAAGCTGATTCTTGGTCCGATGTGGGGTGCTTTGAGGACGAGGCATGCGGAGAACAGAACTACACCTCTCGGGCCCCTCCCCCGCGAGCTTCACATCCGGCCCGGGATCTCCAGAGAGCGCGACCCCCGGAGGGGATTGCGTCCGTGGCCACCAGATGTTTCTTGGAGTAAACAGATGTCGGCATCTCCACAAGCTAAGATCTGACCAAAGCTACACGATCCACCTAAGCCGCATGAAAGCGGGGTGCGGGGGAGGGGATAGAGGCCGAAAGCGGGGGACAGCGGAGGGTCATCGTCCGCGATGCGCCACGCAGAGATGCTCATACTACCACGCTCTCCGGAACCGAAGAATCGATCCGCCACTTTAGCGCAGAAGCTTCCTTGTGTGGAGACGTCGACGGTTGGCGAGAAGGATCCGGATAGATTAATGAAGACGTCCCACTCGTCAGTGCCCGGATTCAAGGGGCGTTTTGCCGCACGCCACCGGACGTGAGAAGATAGTCTCACGAGACGCGTCTCTTCGGACGTTCGGGAGGCGACCCTTCATTTTTAGTAAGTTTAATTAACAACAAGATCTCCGCAATAATGATCACATGGCCATATTGTTTACTTCGGTCGGCGACGAAAATGTGAGGGGGGCAGTCCGGTTGTATGGACTGACTAAGCAGGCAAACATACCTGAGAAACAACATGATTCCCTTGTGCTACATAGTAAAGAGAATTATATAAGCATCGAACTTATACATCCCGCTTTCTATCGACTCTTGATCGTAGACGCAGTTGAAAGAAGTTTCATTTCTTTACCACAGTGGGCGGGGAGGCCAGCGACAGATGGTATCGATCTCATCCGTGCCACTCAGTGTCGCGAGTGCGACTCCGTTCTCAACCCACGAAGTGACCGTTTGCCAGATGGTTTGCGGCCATCTGCCGCCAGGCTGATTAGATTTTCTCCCACAGTGAGCTCCGCCCGTGACAAGGTACACGCGGTAGAAGTTATCAACCGCTGTAACGCTTTCCTGGTAGCTCATGTAGGGGAACATGACAGTGCGGGCAGAGTCGTAGTAGTGAATCGACGAGCCGGTTGGAATCAAATCATCTTGCTCCCCATGCACATGGATGACCTTGCCGCAAGCAGGGTGGAAATCCCCAGGATCGGGATACGTGGCATGAAGGGAATCCGCGTACTTGTTCATGCGATATACCGTCCACTCCTTGAGAGTGTCGTAGGTGATAGTGTCGAGTCTATCCAGGTTCCTTGCGGCCTGGAGTTCTAGGTAGCGCGCCACCCACTCGACACCAAGGGAGCTGATGCTGAATCCCAAGGCGTCAGAATCTCCGCCGTATGCGGTGACAGCATCGTTGAAACTTGCACCTAGCTGGTAGCTGATATACGAGCGGCGTCCCCAGAATCGTGAAGACCACCCAATGAACAGCAAATTATATGTGACGTTCGGGTCTAGACTAGCTACCGGGTAGATAGAATAGAAGTCGGTTTATGAACTGAGTACACTAGGATATCGTTGACTTAAGCGGTCGGGTTATAGTCTATATGCGAGATAGTAGATCTTACGTAGATAATTATATTTATAGCTAAGGAGCTGGTAGAGACTGAATGTAGTAAAGCTAAGTTTCTTATATACTAAGGTGATTATTATCCTCAAAAACAATCCGTCTGTTTGTTCGCGGTGATTCGCGATAATCGTAGTAATCGTAGAAGCGATTATTTATATAAGTAATAATCGTGCTATAAGTAGTAGGAAAAAGTAAGGCGTGCCTAGAAGCACGTAAAGGCCGTATATTAGGTTATAATATAGTGCCCCTCCTCTTTAGATCTTATCCCTAAGATTATTTAAACGCCTATCCCCGTTCTATTAATTTTAGTAAGTTTTCTTATTCTATTTCTCTCGCTATATCTAGCTATATTACTAAGCGCGCGTAGAAATCGTCCGTCGACGCTAAAGAGCGTAAGATCCGATTTCTTAAAACTATTTTCGCGTTGATACACTTTGGAGGTTGTGTGGCCATTCAACCAAGATGCATCTGCGCTGTGTGTTGTCAGACCGAAAGGGGTCGGACCGCGGTGACTAAGCAAAGAGGGGTCTGGAGATGGCTGTAATGAAGGAATCAGCACACAGCACGATCGAGAAGAGCACGATCGAACACACAGTTGAAGGCCTTAAAATCAGCCTCTTGATCATCAATTCAAATAGCCTTTTCTAGGCCCCAAAAAGACCTACTATTTCCTCGATTATGAACACTTGCACACATACACACTAACTCGGGCCGTGCCTCCACCAAAGCGGTCACGTGTCCGACATGTGTAGGTGTCACGTGCTAGTCACGTACACGCACAGGTACGATAGCGATAAGATAGTATTAACAACGCCGCAGCCAATCAGGCTGCGCGCACACGATCCGAGGAGTAGCCGCGCCATGCCTATTTAGGCTAGCCGACTGGCTACCTAAGGACGTTTAAATTAATTATCCTTTTCTACTTATTTAATCTACCTTTAGTTTATTAGAGTAATAGTAATTCTTAACTCCCTTATTAATTAAATAACCTTAAATAATTACTCGATTAATCGTAGGAAGTTCCCTAGTATTTTATAGCTATTCGTTCCCCTTATATTCTATCGCGCGCTTATTAAATTAGCGCTAAAGGGCTATAATAAATAGTATAATAACTTCCTCTACCTATACTATAATTAGGCTAATCTTCCCTATAAAGGATCAGCCTTATAGTACCTTATCGCGTAGAGCCTTAATTAACGCGCGACTAAGCCGCTAATTATACTACGACCGTACTAATTATACTATAATCGCGGCTATTAATTAGTAAAAAAACACGCGCGTGTTATAATAAAGGTAAATTAAACCGCGTACTTCTTAACAAAAGTAAGGCATAGTATATACGTTATTATAAGAGGCATGTATAATTAAGTATAATATTATAAAGAGAGCCCTTACCTATATCGCGGGAATTATTTACATTCGCGTATTCCTTAGAAGTCTAAAAATTAATATAACGGTAAAAGAATAACTATCTTAATCTTTACCTTACTTTACTAAGTAATACTAATCGGCTAGATTTATTTAAGGAGTGTTGTGGGCTAAGCCCTGTTGGAACAACTTGGTAGCTCAGATTAAGTCTATCTAACGATAAGGTAGGAAAAGAGAAAGAGGAGGGAATTTACGGTCCCCCTTTCTTATGAAGACCCTGCGAGGTCTGTGCGTCCTCGTGGGCACGCGTCACGTGCCTGGGTGAACTAGGCCAGGTCTTATACCCAGCTACTAGCGACTAGTAGAACCGTAATATTACCCCCTTACTAACTCCAGGCCAGCCTACGGTAGCCCGTCGGGATAGCTACGGGGTGCCTTACCGCTAGGAGTATATCCTAGGTTTTCGTATATAATAATTCGTACTCCGGGTGGATCCGCGGTTTCTCGTAGTACCCCGCGCGGTATGGTTACGTCCTATATATACACCCGTTAGCCTCGCGAAATAAGGCTGAGGTAAAGGTAATGTAAGCTAACCTTAGATAAATCTAAGGGCGGCTATAATAATATCGGCCGTGGCCTTCCCTACCTATTATTTTTTCTCTCCTTTAGCCTTATTTCTCGATACCGGTATATGCCTTTAATAGCCTACGGTAGCCCCGCGATACCTCTACGACCTCCCTACTAACCCTATACGTAGCGCGCTATAGTTAATTAGCCCGCCGGCCCCGGTGAGTTAATCCTATACGCGCGTAGTCCTTGCGTGCCGCCTACGGCCACTCTAAGAGCCTTACTAACGTCGTAGAACGATCAAATCTTTATCGCCCCTACCGCCCCTACCGCCGCCGCCGCCGCCCCTAGTAAGGACTCCGAAGCTAGAGCGACAACGTATAGCTAACGCATACACGCAGTGGCCTCCGGTAAGAAAGGCGCCGCCAAGGGCCCTCGTGGCTCTAAGCGCCCCCGCGCCGTATATTATAACACCCTAGGGTGCGAGTCTCTAGCGAGGACCGTACTAACCCGCTAAAATAGTCCTCCTAGTCCCCCCCTCCCTCGCCGCCGCTAGGCAAGAAGCTAGCGCCCCTAGGCCGCCGCCGTAAGCTCCTGTATATATAACTACGTAGTAAATATAAGGACTCTACTTATACGCTCTAGATACGCCCGCTACCTCCGCGCCCTCGTAGGCGACCCCTCCGCCGCGCCCTACCGTAGCGTTAAGAGTAAGTTATCCTACGACCTCCGTGCGGCCCGCCGGCTAACTCGCGTAGATTCCGGTGGCAGGAAGTGCTACTATTATACTAATATTAAGCACGAGTATATCCTTATAAGTTTTGTATTTCTTAAAAATCCAGACGCCGCCACCTTATATTACTAACGCCTACATTCTGTAGCTCGCTCCTAAGGCCGTCCCTGCCGCCCTAGAGTTCCTTGCCGTTGCTGCTGCCGCTAAAGCCACGGGCGTCGTTCCGGGCGATAGGTCCGACGTTAGTCCGCTACGCACCCGTAAAGAGAACGTATACTAATGGGTTAGGAATTACGTAAAAGGTCTATCGCCGGCGAGCGTGCGCTACGCGCGCTACGCTAGTATCCTCGGGCCGCCCCCGACGCTACCTACGGCCATACCGGCCTCGAGGCTATAGTGCGC